GGGGGGGGGGGGGGGGAGGGGGCTGCGAGCTACGTGGCTGATGAGAGCTTGGTGGCGTACAAGACACAACGTACTGTGAATGAAGAATCAGGTGTGGAAGCAGGTATATTCAGTCGAAAAATTCACAGCTAAACAACCAGATCTGGGATTTAGATGACAATACGTAACCGTTGGTAAGGACTGGTACTCCTGTCTTCGTAGAGTACTCGAGTCGAGCGAAAGCGTGGATTCGATTGATGACATAATAAACGAGATACAATACCCCATAACCCACCAAGACACCTGAACAATGAACCAATGAAAGCGCGTCAAATTGCGTTGCCCGGCAACATCAAATGGCACCGTGGAATCCAAACCTCCAAAATACTCGCCAATGTCCCCGTCCTTCTTCTCTCGCGATACACTCACACGCACCATCATCAGCAACAGTTTCCCGGCCTTTCGTTTCTTGCTTCGCCCCTTGATCTCGTTTCCGTCTAGGGCGGCCCTTGCTCCCCTTCCTTCTTCGACATCAGATTAAGGAGCGTATACACAATAATATAAACCCTTCAATTGCCTCGGGACCACGACAATAACAACAAGCACATATCATTACCGTCTTATATACTTGACCCGAGACGCGTTTTCTCTGCAGACAACCGTCACACACGCACATAGCACGCAGAGGATGGCGAGCGCTTCGCCAACTCCCGCCCCCGCGGCTACCACCCGCCGAACATCACAGCGCCAGGCAGTCCGTAGGCCGACGTCGCGACAGGCCATGAATAGGAGCGACGTGCAGGCTGCCCAGGATCAACAACAACAATATCATCACAACGACGAGAGCTCGGAGGATGAGTTCCCTGTTCCTATGAAGCTTAGTGCTCTCACAAAAGCTCTCCTCAACGATGGGGAGTCGGTGAGGCCGGTGCAGTCAAGGCCTTCCCCCCCGCGTACCAGGCGCCAGGCCCACGCCGCTCTCAATTCGTCGACGTCGTCGGCCACCGAGAACCGTCGGTACCTTCGATCCGGCAGTGCACAGGCCACGGATGTACCCAAGCAGCAGTCGCAGCAGCAGTCGCAGCAGCAGCCGCAGCCGCAGCAGCAGCTACCTACCCCCCCGACCACCAGCACACACAGCAGCACCACCAGCGGCAACAACAACAACGACAACAGCAACAACAACAGCCACGATGACAGCGAGCACAAGGAGCCCACGCCCCCGCGGAAGCGCGTCGTCCGTCTGAGCAACACGCCCCAGAGCCTCAGCCAGCTGGGCGCTAGCAAGAGGCGCTCTGCCTCGTCGTCGCTGTCCGCACAGAGGTCCTCGGCTGCTGCTGCTGCTGCTCAGCCGCCACCGCGCCCGACCAGTAGGACCGGTAACAACGGTGAGAGATCGACCGAGGATGGCAACAAGTCCCACGACTACTACCAGGTGGACGTCAACACGCCCGCCCAGAACGAGCGCATCGTGCGCATAGCCGCGGGGTCGTCTGGACACCACAGCCGCGTCGGATCCTCAGCCCGTCGGTCGTTTGACCGGTCAGCCGTCGACGTCGACGAGGCCCCCGACGACGACGAGGACCCGGATGCCGTGGCCCGCAACGCTCCTCCCGTCAGCACGGGCAGCGTGGCCAACAACCTGCAGGGCTCCATCCGTGTCAAGCGCGTCGGCAAGATCCCCGGGAGCTTCCTCAGCGGCCCGGCCCGCCGTGGTGGCAGGCGCACCCAGAGCGGTGAGCACAACGACGCCGACGCCTTCTTGCAGGGACAGGAGCCCGGATCCCACCCTGGCCGCGATGTCGCCGGCACCTCGCCGTCGTACTACGCTGATGGCGTCCACGACCGCGACTTCAACTCTGGCAGCCCCGTCAGTGCCGGTGCCGCCGTCAGGGCCAGCCAGAGGCTCCGCGGTGCCAGCGCCGACATTCCCGGTGGCGAGGACGAGGCTCCCGCCCCTAGGAGGTCGTCGCCGCGGATAGAGGCTCGCATCGTGTCCGAGCCGGAGCAACCGCTCGCCTCGGCCCCCGCTCCGCAGATGCCCTCCGCCTACGACCAGGAGAACGAAGCGCCCGCTAGCTACAGGCGTGCCAACAAGCCTCCCGCCGCCGAGGCTGTGCCGGAAAAGGCGTCGAGCAAGCCGATACCTCTGCAGCAGCAGCAGCAGCAGCATGGGCCGTCGACGGTGTCGCCGGCGAGGAAGCCCCTGTCGATGGTGGAGAGGAACACGCCTCGCCGTCCGGCGCCGCCGCCGCCGCCCAAGATGTCGGTCATCGAGGCGGCCACGTCAAACGCCGGCGCGTCCACGACGACGCAGGCCAAGCAGAGGAGGAACGTGCTCAAGGTCAACGGGAGGTGCTACACCAGGCTCGACTGCCTGGGCCGCGGCGGCAGCGCAAAGGTGTACCGCGTCACGGCGGAGAATGGAAAGATGTTTGCGCTCAAGCGCGTCTCGCTCGAGAATGCAGACGAGTCTACCGTTCGGGGGTACCGTGGCGAGATTGACCTCCTCGGGAAGCTGAAGGGTGTCGATCGCGTCATCAACCTGTTTGATTATGAGATGAATGACGAGAAGCGAGTACTTAGCCTGGTATGTTTTTCTTCCTCTTCTTCTTCTTATCTCTCCCCTCTTGATGTTCATGCTTCCTTTCTTCTTTCCTACCCCTTATTCACTTCCTTCAATTCTCCTTTTGACCAGGATTGCTAACTTGCCCGCTACCCTTTTACAGCTTATGGAGATGGGCGAATTGGACCTCAACACTCTGCTCAGGACAAGGCAGAACCCCGAGGGAGCCAAGCTGGACACGGTGTTTGTGAGGTACTACTGGAAAGAGATGCTGGAGGCGCTGCAGTCGGTTCACCAGTACGACATTGTGCACTCGGACTTGAAGCCGGCCAACTTCGTACTGGTGCAGGGCCGTCTGAAGCTGATCGACTTTGGCATCGCCAACGCCATCCAGACAGACGAGACGGTCAACGTGCATCGCGAGACGCAGATCGGCACGCCCAACTACATGTCGCCCGAGTCGTTGATGGACGCCAACACGCCCCGGGGCGGCGGCCGCGTCCCCGGCCGGCCCAAGCTGATGAAGCTCGGCAAGCCCAGCGACGTGTGGTCCCTCGGCTGCATCCTGTACCAGATGGTGTACGGGCTGCCCCCCTTCGGCCACATCGCCAACCAGATGGCCCGGTGCCAGGCCATCATCAACTGGGACCACGGCATCGAGTTCCCGTCGCGCGGCGTGGGCGGCGTGGCTGTCCCGCCCTCGCTGATCCGCACCTTGCGACGCTGCCTCCAGCGCGACCAGCACCTCCGCCCCACGTGCGAGGACCTCCTCCGCGACACGGACCCCTTCCTGTACCCCGTCGAGCTGGGCGACCGAGCCGTCCCGATAGATGAGGAGCTCCTCGGCAGGATCATCCAGAGCGTCGTGACCAGGTGCAAGGACCGTATGCCGTCCGAGTCGGAGCTGGCCACGGTCTGGCCACAGGCGTACTGGAGCAGCGTGAGGAAGGCGACGTCGGGAAGGATGTGATCTGACCAGCTTGGCGTGTTTGATGAGAGAAGGTTGCATATGGTGTTTCCTCTTTTCATTTCTCTTTCTTTCTTTCCCGGAAGCGTATTATATTCTTTGAATTTCCTTTGGCGGGGGGATGGGGGTTGTTTTATTTCTTGTCTGGGGTTTTTTGGCCTTACGTCTTGGAGACTTGGGGGTTTTCTTTTTTTTCTTTGATTTTTGTTAATACGATACCCACGGTTTAATATCTACTAGACTTGTGTGATTTATGTCTACTAGACTTGTGTGATATATCTTAGCAGACTTGCGATGACATGGTTCGAGTAGTCGGTCTAGTTTTGTTTGACTATATGTGTGTCGGTTGGAATAATTTCGTCTTGATAGTTGGACTGACTACACTAAGACAGCTGGGCTGACCATACACAGATGGTTCAGTGGGATTGCGACTACGTGGTTGAATCTTGAATGGACTGAGTATGTGACCACCTTCAGCTTAGACCTTTATGCCATTGGTACTCTAATTCTAGTATACATATTTAAAACATGACAGCAGTAATATGTCCCCCCCTCCTCTTCTAGTACCCGGAGAGAGTATTGGAGTATCGTACAGTTCTTCTTCTTTATTTTCCGTTCCCTCCCCATACGCCCTCATGCTGCTGAGTCGATATCCTCGACATTGTTGACGGTGAGCTCCGAGATGCGAAGAATGGTGTAGCGGTGCTTGCTCTGGACGGTACGGACGCGACGCTGCCTCCTCTTGGTCTTGGACTTGATGCGCAGGGGTTCGGACTCGAGGCCGACGACGGTGGCGCGGCACTCGAACAGCGACTCGTCGACATGCGGGCTCCCCCTGAGCGTGTAGTCGCGGCTGCCCAGGACGGTGGCGCGGTTCAGCCGGAGCACGTCGCCGGCCAGGACGCCGGGCATGCGGAAGGGCAGACGGATCTGATCGCCCTCCTGGACGAGATAGGGAAAGCCGTGGATGTGTACCGTCACGTAGTGGTTCGGCTGGGCGGCCAGGAAGGGGAGCAGGTTGCGGACCGAGTCGGACACGGGACGGGGAGGCACGGCCGGGTGGCTCTTCTTGTAGGCCAGGGGCCGGGGCTGGTCGCGCGTAGGGTTGGCGGCGTTGTTGACGTGTGACCGGGGAGACGGGGAGGTCGACGGGGGAGGCGCGAGGACGGAGGCGGTACTGGTAAAAAAGGAACGGGAGGTAGCCGCGATGGTGATGGGGCGAGAGACGGCGCCGGCGGCTCCGAGCTCCAGGGCGGAGCGGAAGAGTGTCCTGCTCATGATGAACGTGTGGGGATTCGGAGGGGGTTTTTGCTCTACGGAAAGAGGGGCGGGCACGATCGGGGCTCGTGTGGGGAGCTGACTGAGACCTCTCGTTTTATCCGTCGTGGTAGGGAATTCCGCTGCAACCTCTCCACCCCAGGGAAAAATGAAGCTTGGTGATGGGATGGGCGATTATAGTGTTGGAAAAGTTGTTGGTGGTTCTGGCAAAGCTTAGGAGATATGTCCGGAGCCGGAAAAATGGAGTGCCGAATAGGCGGTTGGATTCTGGGGGAATAGTGTGTAGTGTGTGGGTGGGGGAGGACAGTTGCAAGTGGGTAGCCCATCTCTTTTTTTTTTCTTCCCTTTCGCTTCATTTTGCCAATTTTTTTTCTTGCAGGCTCACCACCAACCACAACTTATCAACTACAACAAACGAGTGTTATATTTCACAGCCCCAGTTTGGGCAACGCTTGTCAATATGGTACGCGTTATCTGTTCGGTCAGGCCAAGATGTCTGACATGGGTGTCTGATACTAATGTGGATTCTTTTCGACCGTATAGCCTCAGAATGAGTACATGGAGAGGTGGCGTAAGCTGCATGGCCGCCGACTGGATCACGAGGAGCGAACGCGCAAGAAGGCCGCCCGTGAGGGCCACAAGGCGTCGCAGGATGCGCAGAATCTGAGGGGTCTGCGTGCCAAGCTGCACCAGCAGAAGCGTCACAAGGAGAAGATCCAGATGAAGAAGGCCATCAAGGCTCACGAGGAGCGCAACATCAAGACGGCCGACGAGAAGGAGCCTGATTCGGCCATGCCGGCCTACCTGCTGGATCGCTCGAACCCGTCGACGGCCAAGGCGCTCAGCAGCGCCATCAAGAACAAGCGTGCCGAGAAGGCGGCCAAGTTCGACGTGCCGCTGCCCAAGGTGCGCGGTATCAGCGAGGAGGAGATGTTCAAGGTCGTCAAGACGGGAAAGAAGATTCAGCAGAGGGCTTGGAAGCGAATGGTCACCCAGCCCACCTTTGTCGGTCCTGACTTCACCCGCCGCAACCCAAAGTTCGAGCGCTTCATCCGCCCGATGGGTCTCCGATACAAGAAGGCAAACGTCACCCACCCCGAGCTCGGCGTCACCGTCCAGCTGCCCATCATCAGCGTCAAGAAGAACCCCCAGAACCCCATGTACACCCAGCTCGGTGTCCTGACAAAGGGTACCGTCATCGAGGTCAACGTCTCGGAGCTTGGGCTCGTCACCGCCTCCGGAAAGGCCGTCTGGGGCAAGTACGCCCAGATTACCAACTCGCCCGATCAGGATGGCTGCATCAACAGTGTCCTCCTTGTCTAAGATGCAGAGGTGGAAAAGCAAAACGAAAAACGACAAAAAAAAAAAGACCCCGATGCGATGCCCGCGCATGTCCATCCTGTCTATTGTTTACTTCCGTTATTACCTAGTGCTCTGTGCCCTCTCGTCCGAGGGCACGGCACGATGATGCATGTTATGGAGTTATGGGCGTCTGACGGACCTATTTTGAAAATTGGGAACAATATATTCACTTCTTCTTTTGCCGAATTCCTCTCTATTGAATGACCATTACTACTGTGGCGAACAGTTCGAAAGGTCTTACCTGTACACGGGTATCATCATGAAGGTGTTGTGTCGTATAGAATATTACTCGTAAAGACTCATACGAGCACTCGTATGCTCAAAGGTCGTCCAGCTAAAGACACCTACAACAAATCAAACCAGGCAAATAAAGGGGACAGAAAAAAAGGATTAAAAAAACAGAGAAAACTCCACCTTGTCCAATCCATCCACAGCAACCGACTGACTAGCATGTTTTCCCGCCTCTTTTATTAACCCACAGGTTTTTTTTCCTACTACGGCGTAGAGAGTCTAGAGGTACAGAAACCGCCCTTTTAGTGCTCCAAGGCCGGAATCACAGGGTCCAAAGGCGGTGACAGCCCTGAATTTCTTTTCTGCCCAGAGAGAAAAAAAAAAAAGGTCCGTTCCACAGACGGCAGGCGCCACTCTCTCACTCCCCGCTGCTGCCAATTTTGTTCCCAATCGTCTATCACCAACTCTTTTCCCCCCCTCTACTAACACCCCTCCCCCTCCATATCCTCCTCCGAACCACCGTCTACATTTCTTATCTTTTTTTTTTCGGCTCCCACGATACTACAAAATGAGCGGTGATAAGATGGATGTCGAGGCTGCCGAGCAGAAGTTGAACTCGTTGGAGCACTCTGAGCAGCACTACTTTAAGAGGTAAGTTGCCAAGATCCAGGACCTTGTACGCGCCCGATCGCAATGATGGGACGATGCTGACTCTTCCTTCTTCTTATCCGCACAGCTACGATCACCATGGTATGCGCAATCAGAGGACAATGTGATGGCCGATATTGGACTGACCGATTTCCCTCCACCCGATCGCAGGCATCCACGAGGAAATGCTGGTATGTTGCGGAGCTACCTATTCTGCGAGCAGCATCTTTGGCTGACGACGAGGGTCTACGCACCCATTGCAGAAAGATGAGGTTCGCACACGGTCGTACATGAACGCCATCATGCAGAACAAGCACATCTTCAAGGACAAGATTGTTCTCGATGTTGGCTGCGGTACCGCCATCTTGTCCATGTAATAAGAATACTCAGCCTGCTCACCTGCGCCGCTCCATACGTGCGACGGAGAGAAGAGAAGACGGGAGGAAATGTCACTGATACATATAACAGGTTCGCTGCCAAGGCCGGCGCCAAGCACGTCATCGGCGTCGACATGTCGACCATCATCTTCAAGGCCCGCGAGATCGTCGAGACCAACGGCCTCTCCGACAAGATCACCCTGATTCAGGGCAAGATGGAGGAGATCCAGCTGCCCTTCCCCAAGGTTGATATCATCATCTCGGAGTGGATGGGATACTTCCTTCTCTACGAGAGCATGCTCGACACTGTCCTATATGCCCGCGATACCTACCTCGAGAAGGACGGTCTCATCTTCCCCGACAAGGCTACCATCTTCTTCGCCGGTATCGAGGACGGTGACTACAAGGACGAGAAGATTGGCTGTGGGTCGACTCTGTTTTCTGCGAGACCTTGCTTTCTGCTTTCCATCTGATGGCTGACTTCTCTTGCTGTGCCATACAGTCTGGGACAACGTGTACGGCTTCGACTACAGCCCTCTGAAGGACACGGCCCTCTCTGAGCCTCTGGTCGACACTGTCGAGCTCAAGACTGTCGTCACCGACCCCACTCCCGTGCTGACCCTTGACCTCTACACCTGCACCACAGCCGACCTTGCCTTCGTCAAGCCCCTGACTCTGACGGCCAAGCGTGACGACTTCATCCACGCCCTCGTCTCGTGGTTCGACATCGACTTCACCGCCTGCCACAAGCCTATCCGCTTCTCTACTGGACCCCACACCAAGTATACCCATTGGAAGCAGACTGTCTTCTACTTCAAGGACGTCCTCACCGTCCAGGAGGGCGAGGAGATCAAGTGCAACCTCCAGGTTAAGCCCAACGCCAAGAACCGCCGCGACCTCGACATCGACATCGCCTACGAGTTCAAGACTGACGACGCCAATCGCAGCGCTGTCGGCCAGTGCACCTACAGGATGTGCTAAGTTTGAGAGTGGAGGCGGTATTGGAGAGAAGATCATGACGTACATGAGAGTTGCTTTATATTTATTGATTAATGCTTTACGACCCCTAGCACAGGGTGGCTATGGGAAGCATGAATGTATGCATGCATGAATGTGGGACAAAAGTAAACAACAGGATCGAGGACGAGGGTATGTTGCCAAAATACTCGGACAAAATAGGAACAGGAAGATAGAACCATAACCATCATAAAAAAAAAGAAGGAAAATGGACTATGGTGCTCGTGAAGTCATTGCTACTACTACAAGGGTTAGGTTAGCAATGGCGCGGTCAAATGATCGAATTACAAGGTGAGCACATTGATTCTGTAATCAGTTTGTCTTCACAAGAGGTAGATAGTAAATAGATCTGTAGAGGCATCTGATAGAAAGAGACATGGTATGAAGGCAGGTTTGTACGCAACATCCTTTCCATCACCCACCGGTGTCGAATACATTTGGTGAAGACCTCATCCATAAGACTGCCTGTCTGGGAAGTCTTGAGTCTTGATGGATGTCACGTGCTTTCGCGTCAAAGCGTTGGCACCATCCGCGTCTGAGCAACTAGAACTTTCGTCAACGTCAAACTCATGGGCTCTCTAGGCAGCGAATCAAGGATTGCCTGATTCCTCTCCTTCTCCATTACTAGGAATTCCCGCCTATCGGATCATGGCCGTCACACACATAGGAGACCTCCCTAGTTGAAGAGAGCCCTTGAGACCACGCCCCTCCCCTCCCCCAAAGCAATTTTCAATACGTCCCTTCAACCCCCACCCTCGTCTCCCCGGCCACGACAACGACATAACTCCTTATGGAGAGGGGCGAGGCAGAAGGCCAGGATGGACCGAATTCGCAGCTCCTGGGGTGGGTAAAGGAGTGGCTAGACGTGGCCCGTGAGCGCAACTCCAAGGGCATGACGACGTACAAGCACGCGTACGAATCACTCAAGGCGTGCCCGCTCACCTTCCAGCACCCGGCTGAGCTGCAGCAGCTCAAGGGCTTCGGACCCAAACTGTGCGAGCGGCTGACGGAACAGCTCAAGAAGCACTGCGAGGAGAATGACCAGCCCATGCCACCGCATCCGCAGGCCAAGAAGGCGGCGGAGAAAGCTGCAGCAGGGCAAGGCGGAGCGAGACCGGCAAGGAAGGCTAGGAAGGCTAAATCATATGTGCCGGCCTTTCGCTCGGGGGCCTACGCGCTCATCGTCGGTCTGGCCACGCTGGGAGAGGAGGACTCGACGGGCATGACAAAGGCGGAACTCATCGAGGCAGCGCAGCCGCACTGCGACTCGTCATTTACGGCGCCGAGCGACCCGACGAAGTTCTACACCGCGTGGAATTCCATCAAGACGCTCATGCAGAAAGATCTCGTGTGCGAGAGGGGGAGACCGCTGCGCAGGTACTCGCTTACCGACGAAGGGTGGGAGACGGCGCGGCGGGTGAAGGAGACGGGTCGCTGGCAGGCTGAGAACGGCGCGTCCGCTACTGCTGCCGCTGCCGCTGCTGCGTCCACACCGGCCAATGCGGGACGGGAGCCGTCGACAGCAGAAGAGGAAGAAGGGGAGGAAGGAAGAGGAGCCTGGGTGCCACCAGAAGAGGGAGCTGAGACGTCGGTGGCATCTCGGGACGTCGTGTCGGACGGGCCAGGAGTGTCGGCAGACGGGCAGCTCCCGGCATTCACGCCCATCACACTGCCACCCGGATCATTCACGGTACAGCTGCTGCTGGATGTGCGCGAGGTGCGCGCCAAGACGGACCGCGACTACATGAAGGAGGAGCTCGCGAAGCAAGGGGTGACACCGGTGATGCGCAGCCTGGAGCTCGGCGACGCACAGTGGGTAGCGCGGTGCCACGACCCGACGGCTCTGTCGCGCCAGGGCGCCGAGGGCGACGAGGTGGTGCTGGACTGGATCGTGGAGCGCAAGCGGCTCGACGACCTGATAGGCAGCATCAAGGACGGGCGGTTCCACGAGCAGAAGTTCCGGCTGGGCCGATCGGGCGTGAAGAAGGTTGTCTACGTCATCGAGGAGATCGCCATGGACCCGGCGTCGGCGCAGCGGTACGACGAGGCCGTGCAGTCGGCCATTGCGTCGACGCAGGTCGTCAATGGCTACTTTGTTAAAAAGACGGCCAAGATGGACGACACCATCAAGTACCTAACGCGCATGACGGTCATGCTCAAGCGCACCTACGAGGCCCGGCCACTGCACGTCATCCCCACGCGCGTCATCACCGCCCAGAACTACCTGCCCCTGCTCAAGCACGTGCGCGCCACGCTCGGCCCGTCCTACTACGTCACGTACGCGGCCTTCTCGTCGCTGGCGTCCAAGTCGGAGATAATGACCCTGCGAGACCTGTTCCTCAAGATGCTCATGACGACAAAGGGGCTCACGGGCGAGCGCGCTCTCGAGATCCAGAAGAAGTGGAAGACGCCGTATGGCTTCGTCAAGGCCTTCGAGGCGTGCGGGCCCGGTGAAGCCGGCAAGAAGAGGAAGAGGGACATGGTGTTTTCTCACATGGGTAGCATGGTGGGCAGGAAGAAGGTGAGCAAGTCTCTAAGCCAAAAAATCGCCGAGGTATGGGGTGAAGAGGCGGCAAGATGACGATATGAATTGAAAGAGACCAAGATCATGATTATATATAGGCGGACAGACCAGAAAAATGCACACGCTGAATTATTTCTCCCTCTCCTTGTTCTTTTATTGTTTCGTTCCCAATCACATAGCCTGTCCTCTCTTTACTGCTTGCCAGTGGCCTCGGCGACAGCGCGGTCGACCATCTTTCGCAGAAGAGGGATGGAGGTAGGATCTGTGGAACCCAGCATGCCGGCGACCGACTTCTCGGCATACTTGGCCATCATGTCGACCTCGATGTTGACAGACTCGCCGGTCTTCTTAGCCGCGAGTATGACCTTCTCCTGAGTGTAGGCAATGAGCATGACCTCCCACCAGCCCTCGGCATCGTTAACTTGCGTGACGGTCAGGCTGGTGCCGTCGATGGCGATGAAGCCCTTGTAGACGACGTAGCGGAGCAGCGCGGCGTCGCGGGGCCTGAAGCGCATCGTCAGCGCGTTGCCGTCGGGTGTGACGGCGGCGATCTCGGCCGTCGTGTCCACGTGGCCCTGGACGAAGTGGCCACCCATGCGGGTGTCGGCGCGGACCGCGCGCTCCAGGTTGACGCGGCTGGACACGGACAGGGCCCCCAGGTTGGTGACGCGCAGGGTCTCGGGGGCCACCCCGATGGTGAACGAGGCCGGCGTGAAGGACGTGACCGTCAGGCAGCATCCGTTTACCGAGATGGAGTCGCCGTCGTGGCAGTCGCCCAGGAGGGTCGAGCCGCTCGGGAGCTGGATCGTCATCGACGTGCCGCCGGTCGAGTCGTTGGTGTTGAGCTCGGCAATGGCTGGCGCGGACGGATTCAGTCAGTTCTGTCGGTCCGCCACGAGGGCATGGCTGGAGAGGAAAGGGGAAAAGACGGGTGGGAACTGACTGCCAATCTCCTCAACAATTCCGGTAAACATGATGGATTGATCGAGGGTCTCCTCCGGGGTCGCTGGTGAGGGGTCGTCTGGTGGGATGGGGATTGACCGGCAAACTGGTTGCATATGCAGGTGTAAGTCTTGGGATAAACCAGGAGAAAACAGATACTGCTGCTGCTGCTGCTGCTACTACTGTTAAGAGTAGAGGAAGATGAAGAGGTGAATGACCGCAAGTGTAAAAAATAAAGAAAACGCTTGATGCTTTTGCTGATAATTCATGCAGTCAGTATTATGACAAAGCTCTACTCAACTTTTGAGGAGGAAAGGAACCCCGCCATGGAGCTTGCTAGCCACCTTTCTTATCGATAAGGACTCTGCCGCCCAAATTTTTCTTGAGTGGGAGAGGGCCGAATGCGGGTGTGATATGTGATGTATCTTGCTTTGAAGGAACTTGAACTTGGTTTATATCTTCACCTTCTCTTTGCTGAAAGGCAAGGGGATCTCGTTGCATATCGCAAACCATCGGACATAGGGCACCTGAGCTTCTCACTCGTGGCTTTCTTCTGCTCATCTTTGCTTGAAAAATCTCGAGCGGAAATACCAGAGCACACACACAAGCACCACCACCACACATCACATCATCGCAATGGCACCCAGCCGGCCGCCCAGCAAGAAGGATGCGAAACCGCAGGGCGCGGGCACACTCCTCGCCGACGCGGAGACGCAGCTGACGGTGGGGAACCTGGACGAGGCGATCGCGCTGGCACGCAAGGCGCTGGAGACGACGGGCGAGGGCGGCGACTTTGAGCTGCGGGCGCTCAACCTGCTGGGCACGCTGCACGTGGAGACGGGCGACGTCGACGAGGCGCGGGACTTCTTCGCGCGGGCCGTCAAGCTGGACGAGGAGGGCACGGTGGACGAGAAGGTGGGCGGCGGGCCGGAGAAGTTCATGTTCATGGCGCAGCTGAGCGAGGAGGGCGGGCAGGACAGCGTCAAGTGGTTCGAACGGGGCGCGGCGGCGCTGCGCAAGCAGATCCAGGCGCTGACCGAGGCGGCGCCGACGGGCAGCCGGACGGACGAACAGCAGGCGTCGCTGGATGACAAGCAGTCGCGGCTGGGCGGCGTGCTGTGCGCCGTGGTGGAGGTGTACATGACGGACCTGTCGTGGGAGGAGGACGCGGAGCAGCGGTGCGAGGCGCTGGTGACGGAGGCCATGCTCATCGCGCCCGGGTCGGCCGAGACGTGGCAGACGGTGGCCAACGTGCGCATATCGCAGCAGCGCGTCGACGAGGCCAGGACCGCCCTCAGGCGCAGCCTCGAGCTCTGGCAGCACCTCGCCCCCGAGCACCCGGCCGTCCCCGAGTTCCCCACCCGCATCAGCCTGTCCCGGCTGCTCCTCGAGGTCGAGATGGAAGACGAGGCCCTCACCGTCCTGCAGCGCCTCGTCTCCGACGACGACCAGTCCGTCGAGGCCTGGTACCTCGGCGGCTGGTGCCTCTACATCGCCGGCGACAAGCTGCGCCAGTCGAACCCCGACGAGTGGAAGTCCCTGTGGACTTCGTCCCGCCAGTGGCTCGCCGTCTGCCTCAAACTGTACGAGGTCCAGGAGTACGAGGACGAGAGGCTCGGCGAGCACGCTGCCGAGCTCCTCCAGAGCATAAACAAGGAGCTCGGTGAGCCGGCTGACGGCGAGGAGGATGAATGGGCCGACGATTACGCCAGTGACGACGACGACGACGACGACGAAATGCAGGGTTGATTTTAAATAAAAAAATAATTATGGGAAATTTTTGTGTCTGCGTGTAAGAAGACGACATGGGAGATGACGTTTACAACGAAGGATGGGAAGAAGAAGCCCAACAGATTAAAAACAAAACAAAACGAAAAATAGGGGGGGGGGGGGGGGGCAGGAAACGGCTTGGATTGCTTCATCAGCTTGGATTGCTTCATCAGAAAAAAAGAGCCCGGTGCCCTAGTAGCACATAAAAAAGAAAAGACAATGAAATAGACATCATGTAAACAAATAAATACAATGAAAAACAAAAGACATACATGTAAATAACCCAAGATATATTGGCTTCCCAAGTAAATAGTAAGTAGTAAGCAGTCGTAGCTAACTTCCTCCCAGATGCTAACTGGATCTCGTGATGGCGAAAAAACAAGAGAGAAACCCAAGCAACTCCAGATAATGCACTCCTTTTTTTTTCTAATTTTCCTTCCAATTATTCTTCTCTTCTTCCCTTTTCTTCGAAGATTTCTCCCGTTACGCAGCCTCGACCTTGAGCTTCTGTATCTCGGGCATACCGCCATCGTCGTCGTCGTCGTCGTCGTCATCGCCGTTACCAGCGAGACCCCTCTCCCAGAGCTGACGGCCGGTGAGCTTGACCGTCTCCTTGACCTTGGCCTTCTTCAGCTCGGCCAGGCGCTCCTCCTCCTCCTGGAGGCGCTTCTGCTCCATCTCCCTGATGAAGCCGTCGCGCCACTTGAGGAAGGTCTCGGGGGTGACGGGCGTGCCGTGGAACTTCTTGTTCTCCTCGCGCTCGGCGGCGAGCACTTCCTGCTCGTGGGCGGCCTCGGCGGCGTCCTTGCGGTCCTGGATCAGCTGCTCGGCCGCCTCCTTGAGGGTGGAGATGATGGTGAAGATCATGGCCATGCCGATATTCTCCTGGATCGTCTCGCCGAGAGCCCCTAGAAGCCTCTCACGGTCTTCGGCGACGTTGAAGTTCGGGTGCGGGGGCGAGTCGGGCACAGCGTGCATCTCCAAGTGGGGGGCCACGTCGGGGTACTCGTCCGGGTACTTGACGTTGAGGGAGAAGCGAGGCTGGTCTTCCTGCTCTGCCACATCGGGGACATCTAGTATGACCGTAACCTTGAACTCGGTCTCTGAGATGTCTTTTATTTTTCCATTTCGGGTTCAATTTGTTTGCCGTTTCTCTCATCGTCAGTCTTTTTTTTCCTTTTTGCACATCTCATCGATGAGCAAGAGCGCGGGGCAATCTTCTCACCTGTGATCTCATCGGGGAAGATGGACTCGAGCACCTCACGCTCCTCCACTTGCTCTTCCTTTCCCATCGTGTGTTGGATGTGATTATGAGTAGAAGCAGAGGGAAGTTGTTTGAGAAGTGAGATATCATCGCCAACTCTCGAACGAGTCCCGCATGAGATGATGTCGAGGTGAGGGGTGGGTGATTCTGAGTTTTGCCCACATACCATAAATGGATTAGCGCCATTCTGCGTCTCTCTCATAAAAGGTACGTACCGTTTTTACCTCTTACGTGGGGGAGGGGAGAGCCTCTGGACAGAAATGGCTTAGCGGCCATCTCACCGCCCGACAAATTCAAAAAATTTCCGTCGGCCTTTTACCTTTTCTGCCCTGTGAAGAGCGAAAAGTTGGTAGAGGCATCGGGGGTCTTTTTTTTTTTTGGTCGTTATTATCATCAGACCAACAACACCCCATCTTGCCTCACATTGCAATCATGGCAGCCAAAGACAGTTTTACTGATAAGAAGCGCAAGGCGTCTTCGCGCAATGAGAAGCCTGATGCCAAGGTCAAGAAAGCCCGTGTCGACAAGAAGACCGCACCCAAGCCGCCTGTCGACGAGGACAGTTTCGAGGACTTTTCCGATCCCGAGGACGGTGGTGTGAAGCTCAATGACGGAGAGTCGAAACCCAAGAATAAAGGGGGAAATGCGTTTGAGAAGGGTACGTTCTGTTCTGCTTTCTTTCTCTCCAATTGTCCTGTGCCTGCGACGGATGGAGGGTGGGAGTACCATTCGGGCTGGATACCATTCGTGTTGGATACTATCTGGTTTAGGTACTATCTTGACTAACATCGTGTGTGTGTGTGTGTGCGTGTGCAGAATCCGGACAGACTTCCCGTGAAGCACATGCCAAGCAGAAGCAGCTGGCGCAGGAGCGCAAGGCAGCCAAGCCGCTGGCCGAGCAGGTGCAGCGAACCAAGAAGATCTGGGAGAGGCTCCGCATCAAGTCGAGCGTACCCAAGGACGAGAGGCAGAAGCTGGTGGACGAGCTCTTCGACATCATCACGGGGCGGATGCGCGACTTCGTCCTCAAGCACGACGCCACGCGCGCGGTGCAGACGGCCATCAAGTACGCGACGCCGGAGCGGCGGAAGCAGATTGCGCGCGAGCTTCAGGGGGCGTACCCGCAGCTGGCCGAGAGCCGGTACGCCAAGTTCCTGATTGGAAAGCTCATGGTGCACGACGACCACGAGATCCGCGACATCATCATCCCCGAGTTCTACGGCAAGGTGCGCAAGCTCATCAACCACCCGGAGGCGTCGTGGATCGTCGACGACATCTACCGGACGGTGGCGACCAAGGAGCAGAAGGCGCTGATGCTGCGCGAGTGGTACGGGCCCGAGTTCGCCATCCGCGAGATGATGAAGGACTCGGAGCCGACCGCGGACCTGGCCAGGATCCTCGAGACCGAGCCTAGCAAGCGCGGCCCCATCATGAAGTCCCTGTTCGACATGATCAACTCCCTGGTCCAGAAGAAGATGACGGGCTTCACCATGCTGCACGACGCCATGCTGCAGTACTTTAGGAATAACCAGCCCGGCACCGAGGAGTTTGCCGAGTTTGCCGAGGTCGTCAAGGGCGACGAGACGGGCGACCTGCTCAAGAACCTGGCCTTCACCGCGTCGGGCGCCCGCCTCGTCTGCCTGCTTCTGGCCCACGGCTCCGCCAAGGACCGCAAGCAGATCCTCAAGGCCTACAAGGACACGGTCCACATGATGTCGGGCGACGCCTACGCCCACACCGTCATCCTCACGGCCTACGACGTCGTCGACGACACCAAGCTCACGGCCAAGTCCGTCTTCCCCGAGATCCTGGGCGAGGGCGGCGAGTCACCCGTGGCGCAGAACCTGGTGGCGCTGGCCCACAACCCCTTTGCCCGCCTGACGGTCCTGTACCTGCTCGAGGGCCTGTCCAAGTCCCTGTTCCCGGCCCCGACGGCCTACAACGTCGAGCTGCTGAACGAGGTGCGCGAGATCCGCAAGACGACCAGCAAGAAGGACGCCGACGTGCGCCGGATGGAGCTGGTGACGGTCCTGTCCCCGCACCTCCTGGAGACGGTGGCCACGTCGCCGCGGGAGCTGACCTCGACCTCGTTCGGCTGCCAGTTCATTGCCGACGTGCTCTTCTCGTGCGTGGGCGACAAGCAGGCCGCTCTCGAGGCCGTGGCCGACGCCGCCGGGGGCGACCCGACCGCCGAGGCCTCGGCTGCCGGGGAGGACTCGGCGCCGTACGTGCACATGGCCCAGACCGCCTCGGGCAGCCGCATGCTCAAGTCGCTCATCCAGGGCGGCCGCTTCGACAAGGCCGCCGGCAAGGTCATCCCCGCCGACCCCCCGCTCAACTTCGCCAACGTGCTGTACCCCGTCATCGAGGAGTACGTGGTGCAGTGGGCCACCGGTCCCGGGTCGTTCGTCATCGTCGGCCTCGCCGAGGCGTCTGACTTTGACGCCGCTGCCAAGCTCACCAAGACGCTCAAGAAGAACAAGAAACTGCTCGAGAAGGCCGCCACCGAGCCCACGGCTGATCAGAAGCAGACTGCATCCAAGGACGAAGCCGCGGCCCAGAAGTCGTCCGACAACAGCAAGAAGGGAAAGAAGAAGGGTGAGAAGTCGGTGGGTAACATGGGAAGCAAGATCTTGCTGGAAAAGATATAAAACAGCGTCTGGTGACTCCGTGGGGACCAAAGAAAAAAAAGGGCGAAACTCCAAGATAGAAAGAGGAAAAAAAGGTTGGATGACGTTGTATTTATGTGCATGACTGCTGGCGTTAGTAGTTTTCTTCTTGTTCTTTGCTTCATTTCATAGTCGGTAGATAGGATTGTGATGTTAGAGAACTGTTGCAAATCCTCCCCCCCCAACCTCCCCAACATGAGCAGGCCCTTTTCTACTTCATCACTACCAATACTACCGCTATTAAGAGAAGCTCGAAATGAGAAGTAGAGTGGTAACATTCAGCGTCTAAACCTCTGTGTACCGGTGGGGAAAAGAAAAGCAACATGGCTTTCGAGTGAATAGTCCTCTTTCTTTTTCTTCTTTCTAGAAGTTGACAGCTGGCCGCCGGCTGGTGACAGTCCTCCCCCAGGCACAGGCCTCACGGCCAGCTGCACAGGCGCTCAAGTGCTGTATCATCTATCGCACGGCACAAGACCATCTTGTTCTCCCTTACCCCCCCTCCTGCCGTCTCTTCTTTTTCCTTCTTCTTCTTTTCTGTTTTGTCTTTCAATCTGAAACTTGATCTACGAGGGCAAAAAGATGGATAGACAGCTTTCCATCCCCGCACACAAAGACCTTCCCCCCCTCTTCCCTTTCTAGCCTCTCATCTGAATCATTCCTGATATTGACGTCTGGCCACACTTCCTTTCGTCATTCTTCCATTCATACTCCTCCCACCGCGCCTTTGTTGGCACTAAGATAAACCGTCAGGTCATTCCCTCTTTCTGAGAGTGTGTGGATCACCTTTATCTTTGTCATCACACACTCCTCCTTCACTTCCCAATCTCTCGACAGTTGCCATGGATGACGACGAGTACCGTTTCTATGCCAGAGAGGAGTCCTCGTCGAGTGGAGGTTTCTGGATGACCATCCCCTCGGGAATCCCTCGCCCCCCGATGGCATCCGCGTTCGACAAGAGCGACCGGGACGACGAGGAGACTGCTGCGATGACGACCGAGGCTGACGAGGAGCCGTCCGAGACCAGTGTGCCTGAGACGACGGAGACTGAGCCGTCCAGCACCAGAACGGCATCCGAGCCCGAGACCATGACCGATTCGTCCGGCATCAGCAGCCACGGAGTCGTCACCCATGCTCCATCCTCGGCTACCAGGCCCGAAACGGTCGAGCAGACAACTGCCGTCCCTTCTGCGACCGGAACCGATGGAACGTCTTCTGGAGGTGGCAACGCCCGAATCTCCACCGGTACCATCATCGGTGCCAGCCTGGGCGGTGCCGCCACGGTCAGCCTCGTCGTCCTCGCCGTCCTCGTCCTGATTATGAGGACTCGGCGCAAGAGCCGCGGACGAGGCAGCCGAGGCAGCGAGCATGGCGGGTCCGAGGTGACCGAGGAGCTTGCCTGCGTGGAGGAGGAAAAGCGACGACCACCGCCAGCACCACCGGAGTCATGCCACGGGGAAGATCCCTTTGGGCCTTTTGGCGGTAAGTAGTGGTAGGGGGGAGGGACGTGAGCCACTGTTGAGAGGGGAAGAAGGAGATTGCTGATATTGGACCGGTCCAGGCCGGGCTGATGGTCACACGATTTGCCGCACTTTCGAGCTGGACGGCACGGCGCGCGGTTGCCCGGCGAGGATGCCCGAGGCGGCTGAGCCTGTCACGCACGACAGCATCCGCACGGTGCAGACACTTCCCGATCCCGTCGACTCCAAGGCCAACCTCCACTCTCTGGGGTACGACGACGGTAGGCCCCGCTATGTCAACCACTGGAACCAATATAGGGAAATGGGCGGGACTTAGTGAAAAGACACCTCTGTTTCGCTCGGGGTCTATGAGATCATGAACGTGTGTGCGTTTTACGAGAGAGGAATCCGGCCGTCTGTAGTATTGAGCTTGTTCCATGCCTCTTTCATGAAAAACGTATGGTCTTCTCTTTTGGGGGAGATGGACCAAATACTGGTGGAGCAGATATATGCGGCAACATGCCTCTCTTTTCTTCGTCTTTTTCTTCCCGCATGAGAGTCAACAAAAGGGGCCATTTTAGCTTTCGCATGAACAATCTACCCATTGCTTTGATGACGGTAATTTTTTTTTTAAAAAAAAACCACAATGGTGGTCATTTGTCATACTTTTTTTTTTTTGCGAGTCTGGCTGTTCCCGTCCTGATACGCCATAAATGCAAAATGCAACTTGTGAGATGTTTGGGTCCTCAGACACACGAGGACAGAGACCAAGATAAAAGGAATATTGATAAGACAGGGCTGAGAAAAAAACGCGGATTCGTAATCGGGGAGCATATGGTCTTCATCGGTTCTGCAGTTTCGACACCTCGTTGAGCAGGTCTTGCAGGTCATCGTCCGAAATCTTGTCCTGCAACGAAGGGATCAAGGTCTTGGCCTCGTCGGCATTTTCACAACACAACGAGCCTGTTTTTTTTTCGTTTTCGTTTTCGTTTTGTTTCAAAGCGTCAGCATGAATGAGCAGAGAAATTGAAAGGGAAAAAAGCCTGCGACGATTACGTCAAGGTCGGCGCGCGCATACCCAGCTGTGCCCTCTCAAACTTCTCCAGATCCTTGTGGGTGCTCAGCAAGCGTTCCACGGCCTCCACGTTCTCCTTTTGCGTGAACCGCGCGAAGTGATCGAGATAATTGAGCGTCGTGTTGAGCATCCTGTTATTTTTTTTTTTCGTTTCCCAATCCATCAGCACGAACCGTCCGCTTCTCTCCCTCTGCACTCCTCTCTCCAGTCTGCTCCATATCGTGCGGGCGCAACAACGGTCATGGAGATATTGCCTTCCCCTCCCAGTGCGGGGGTTTTTTTTTTCTCTTACTCAGTCTCGTTTGTATCCTTGCGATCGTTGCGACGCTTGGCAACCAGGGCATTGAGGACGAGGGCCGCCTCGGATAGCGTGAGGGTGTCGACACCCTGGAACTCGCCTAGGTTGAGGTTGGCCGATGCCTCCTCGTTACCTGGCGGCGGAGGCTTGGGGCGCGACGTTCGCGGGAAGTTGGACATTGTCGTGGATTGTCGAGACGGAGCCTGGGCGCACGGTAGTCGGGGTTTAGGGGAGGATTGTGGTTGTGTTGTTTTCCCTTCGGGGCAAGGGGTGGATGGTCTGACTGGGAGGGTCGGAGGTTCAGAAGGAGAAAGAGGAGGAGCGACAAAGGTATGGGGGACTTTTTATCACCCGCTGCTAAGCCTTATACGGTGGTTCAGCGGGTGCAAGCTGTAACTACAATCACTGACTGACAAGACTTGCTCGCCGAACACTCACTGTCAAAAGACAATGATGAGAAGGGAAAGAAAGAGAAATAGATATCACTATTGCGAATATATATGTTGCACATCGGTACGATTTATATATATATATATATACATTTATAAAAAACAAAAAAAACCGTCTGCGTCATACTCTGCCATGCCGCTCATTGTAGTCTAAGACTGATTATCACAGTGAAAAGGTGCCTGGATGACCTGAAATCCCCACATGCCACATCACCTTCTTGAGCCTAGCTCCCCCTTTACTACTGGCTTCCTTGAGGGGCAGGCACGACCTGTAGGCTACGACTGACCTAAATACTTACTACTTATCGCTGCGTGCCATTTTTGCTGACGAGCTGTCGTATGTCGCACATGGACAGGGTCCCTCATCATCGGCGCATTCTCAACGCTATCCCTCTCTTCCCTCCCCAACACTCACTCACAAGGGCAGGAAATGGGAACAGTCTCATGACAAAGAGCACCGCACGCCTGTCGACGACGACTGTAAGCCTCTCCCCCGTCCCTACCATGCCAATCCTCCTCATCTACTATTCCGCCATCAAGTCTGACCGCGTCTCCTTCAGGTCACACGCCCTTCATGGGAATACCGAGCCTAAGCGGCCATTCCCAAATCTGATAGCAATAACTTTTCCATAATTTTATCTTTATTCTTCACACGCAAGACTACAGTAGATACGCGCGCATACGCTCTTGACTTTGGCATCTCCTCCGCCATGTAAGTATTGCATCGCCATCACCTGACAGACCGCTTCCCTTTTAACTCACACTTGCCTCTCAGGACCATCTTCGCCCTCATTGTCATCAACAAGGCCGGCGGCTTAGTCTACAATAAAAACTTTCATGATGGTCTCAACAAGATAAGCACGAATGACTATCTTGTCCTAGCAGGAACATTCCACGGGTACTATATTTCCTTCGGATCTCTCTCCTTCTCTTACCCCTCCTGCACACAGGTTGACTGATCCGAGCCCCCCCTTCGCAGAGTACACGCCATCACTTCCCGCCTGAGCCCTTCCAAGGGAGCGGCATATAGGCAAAGCTTACAGGCTGGCGAGAGGCCTGAACCGCCATCTGGTCTCGAGGTTCTCGAGACAGAAAACTTCCGCATGCAGTGCTTCAACACTCTGACCGGCACCAAGTTCCTGCTCTTTACCGATACCACCCAGACAAACGTCGACGTCACTATCAAGAGGATATACGACCTCTATGCCGACTACGTCATGAAGAACCCCTTTTACTCCCTCGAGATGCCCATACGATGCGACATCTTTGACAGGAAGATGTTTTCGTACATTAGGGAAATTAATAACCGATAGAGGAAAATTTATTAACAAAAAACGGTCTTCACCCTTCCTAAATACAAGAAAGAGAGAAAGAAAGCCTTGGAAAAGAGTGAATGTGGCCACTTGGTTAAATCGCCGGATTTCAGGAGCACGTAGAGACTGATCCAGAGCGCAATTCATCTATTGAGCCCTCGCCCCGCCTCACTTCATGAAAGTCTAGTGTACACGTTTCCGCCGGGGCGCCCGAGTGCCACCCGAAAAAAAAGATGTTTGACTCCCGAAGGAGAAGATTGCTACTATTTGAAAAGGCGTCTAGGGGAAGGCTAGGACGTGTCCATCTTATCGTCCTTGTCCTTGCTACTCCCGCTGGGGCCACCGGCGGACTCGTCCTCCTCCTTGACGTTTCCGAGTGAGGCCTTGGTGGCAGCCTCCTCCTCCTCCTTGGCCTTCTTCTCCTGGCGGGCCTTCTCCTCCTCCATGCTCATGCGGAGGGCCAGGGCAAGCTCGGGCTCGAGCGACGGATCGATGCCAAACTCAAAGTCTTCGTTACCACCGGAGCCCTCGCCGCCGGCACCGCCGGGCCCGTCAGCGTTGTCGCCCAGGAGGATGGGGCTGGAGACGAGCTGGTCTCCAAGAAGCTTGCTGCTGGGGGGGAAGACGACCAGGTGTGAACCTTCGCTGCCCTTGACAGCCTCGTTGAAGGCCTCGAGCTTCTTCTGCGTCTCCTCATCGTCGTGCTCGCCGAACAGGACAAAATCGACCGTTGTGTTGCCCTTCTTCATTTTTTTGGCTAGCTGGACAAGCTCCTTTTGCTCGTCGGCAATGGGCGAGCAGACAAAGACGATTATCCGTTGACGCTGCGACCGGTTCTGTCGGTGCTTCAGAGCGAGCTGTCCACGGGCATCCGTCAGTAGATAATTCACACACGACGGGCACATATGAAATATACGTAGTAGAAAAGAGGGGGGGGATATATCCCATACAGATGCAACTTGGATGCTCGTCTTGAGGTGAGATGAACCTCCGAGCTTCTTCTTTGTCCGGTGAAGACCTTCAAGGATCTTGCCGTGCTCCGTCGTCAAGGTGGCGAGAACCTCGGGGCCCTTGCCACCCATGCTCATCAGCCCGACTGACGACTCTGGGTTGCCGTTGGTGATGGTCTGGAAAAGTGTGCTGGTGGCATCCGTCTGAGCGTCGAATCGCGTGGGCTGGTAGTCGCCATTGCGGCTGCTCTCGCTGTTGTCAACGACAACCATGACCGCCTCGAGAACCATGGTGGGCGGGGGTTTGCTGGGCGCAAGACCGTAGCGTGTGGGAAGGAAAGGAAATTGCGAGTTGCTCTTCAAATTTTTTGAGTCGGAGGCTTCAAGTCGGGAGATTGGACCTGTTCACGGATTTCGGTCTGCCTTTGGTGGTGTCGGGTTGGACGCAGATCAAGAGTGTGAGATCAAGAGAAGAGGGCAGTGGACAGAGAGCTTGCTTCCTCGATGTCGTAAGGCAGTTCAGCCTGCTGTCGCGCAGTGGGAGCTGGGAAAGGTACTGGATACATTCTAATCACACGCTTTTTAGCCGTGTTGGGACGGTACTCAGTACATTCTTCCCAAGCGCCGTGGCCATGTTCACAGACCGTTGGTCAGTGCTGATGATTACATAAGAATTCCGCACTGCGGGTTTGTTTACTTTCCCCAACGACAGTCAAACAGTATTATCCCACAACGTCCAACCTCATGACCCCAAGAAACTCGAAATCCGCCTCGATTCCCGATACACCCCAGTGAATAATCCTTTTGATTAATGACAGCAAACATAGACGACTCAACCGAATCCTAAAACCCTCTCACAAACACACACCATGGCGCCTGGACGCATACCGAGACGCGACTCGCTGACCACGGCCATGGTCCCCATTTCGACACCAGCAGCACAGCGAAGCCCGATCAAGCAACGCAAGATGGGAATCACCGCACAGCAAAAACAGGCCCTCATAGATAATCTCCAGCTAGAGAGTACGGCGGGTCCCTCTTTTCTTTATGCGTCGTGTTGCGCACGGCGCACGCGCGCGTGTGAAGTGCGATATGAGTTGACACTTTCTGCCCTCCAGTTACCGAACGTGCTAGGAGACTACGAGCCCAGTATAACATGCAGGCGCAGGGCCTGCGGTCACGCATAGAAATTCGCGTCAACCGAATTCCCATGGCATTACGCAAGTACAAGATACAGGATCTACTCCTCAAGTACTCGGAGAAGGAGCAGCAGCGCACCGTGGCGGCACCCACGACGCGCCTGGCCGCCTCCGCCACCCTCCCCTCGAATCGGACACAAACACAGAGGCCCGCTGCTGTCGCAACGCAGAGCCAGAGGTTTGTTCACCCGCAGAGGCGAACGAGGTAGACGAAGACCCCAGCACCTTGCCCCAAGCCTGAAACATAACAGTCTGCTGACACACAAGACCCAGCGACCACTTCCACGGCGACAAGGAGAACGAAGTCGAGCATTTCGAAAACTCCAAGCAGAAGCCTCGCGGCGCAGCGCAGGGCGCCGAAGCGGCCCACGTACGCCCCGGCCAGGTCCTTTCGCCCACGTCATCCAACTCTCGTCTCAACAAGGGTCGCCCGGTAACGTCCCCCGCCAAGCTGCAGGCGCCTCGGCCAGGATCTCCTCTGAAGGGAAGCGCATCGTCGAGGACCGCTGCCGCAACCAGCATGCTGTCCAACTTTGTCGAGAAGGCCAAGTTGGTCCGCGCCACGGGAACGCGTAAAGTGACGACTGCGTCCAGCACGAGCTCCAGCTCTGGTAGCGGCAGTGGTGCTGCGCCCCCCGCAAAGTCCACGAGACACGCAACCGCCGCCACCGCTGCGTCGGTGGCCAAGACACCCGTCTCGTCGAGGACGACAGCGACGTCGCGCATGGGTCGACGCGCCAGTCTGACGAGCGAGACGAGTGAGGCGAGCAACAGCACAGACATCAGGAAGGGCGCAACTTCCAGAGCCGGCGCAACTTCCAGAGCCGGCGCGACTTCCAGAGCCGGCGCGACATCAAGAGCTGGTGCGACATCTAGAGCCGGCGCAACTTCCAGAGCCGGCGCAACATCCAGAGCCGGCGCAACATCCAGAGCTGGCGCAACATCCAGAGCTGGCGCGACATCTAGAGCTGGCTATGCTATGCCTACGGCCAGTGGAAATGCCAAGAAGACGCCCGTGAAGTCCACGGCAGCTCCGACGACTCGAACGGGTAGGGTTTTGCGTAATCGGGGATGAGCTCCGTCTTCATTGGGTTGGGCGTTGGTTTAGGGCGGCGGCGCTTTTCGGGGTTGCCTGGAGGTCATCTTGTTTGGTAGGAGTTTTTGTCACTTAGTTTTTTGTTTTCCTCTCCTACTTTTCCTATGGGAGCGTTGATATCACCAGGATGGACATTGGTATTACTGGGACACGTGGGAGCTTGGATATCTTCTTCGAAAAAACGTGCTATTCAATATGGACACATTTGTGTGTGTGTAACTATATGCATACGTTTCGCTCTTATCAAGTGCTTTGTTAAACTAGATATGAGTAAAGATCGAGAGTGAGAGGGAGGTCAGGCCGTGCTATTATCACGCGGCAGAAGCTTTCTTCTTCTTCTTATCATCCACCAGCTCGATGTTGTCTTCAGGGACCTCCTTGTACTTTTCGACGAGGAACTCCTCGAGCTCCTCGCTGACGTCTCCCTGTACGACGATCTCTTCTCCGCCGCTGGGGACCTTGGTGACTGATGAGCCAGTAGCAAACTTTTTGCCCAGGTCCTTGGCAACCTATGTTTTTTTTGTTTGTGTGAGCTTGTGTGCAATTGCTGGTGGTCCCCTTCCCTCTCAGGGACAGGGAAGAAGGGCGGCAGAGCCTACCTTTTTCAGATCCAAACCAAAGGCCTCGAGGCCAATGACAGCCGTGACAAACTTCTTCTTGTTGCGCTCGATGCGCTTGATAGTGATGATGCTCTTGGCTAGCTTGTCGGCCTGCTTGGCCTCGGCGGCTTCGGCCTTGGCTGCCTTCTTCTCGGCGTCTCGGGCGGCTCGCTTCTGGGCGTCGAGGGAGAGCGCTGAGGTGGATGCTTCGAGGGCCTCTGTCATGCGCCATGGGATTCAGACATCAGCCGAGGTTCGAGTCAAGTGGATGATGAAAGCCAGTGATACTACGAGTAGCAGGTAGTAGTACTAACCTTGCGACCATATGGTAGAGTACATGTCTGGGTGGTTGGCCTCAAGCCACTCCTGGCACTTTTTCACGGTTCCGCCATATTCGCAGTACTATTCGGCAGGGGAAGTTTCAGTAAATAAACACTGGGGAAGGCATGCAGTTTTTCAAATCTCGCTGCGAATGCGTCAACCGTGGGCGGCGGGGTAGAAACGAACCTCTGGCGGGAGGGTGCAAACTGCGAAGCAAAGAAAAAAACAAGAAAAAAAGTTAGTCGTTATCCAGATCCTTGGCTTGGGGGGGACGAATAAATAGGGCGGCGGCCTCGCAATTTACTTACCTCCACAGTATATAACGGTACGTCCTGGGTTTCCTGAAGGGCTGTCGACGTCTGCCATATCTGGAGACTGTCGATGATTTATTGTTGTCGTGTGCGTGTTTTTGGAGGGGAATGATGAAGCTTTCAATGTTTGACTAGCTGAGGGAGAGAGGTCCGATCTCGTACGCGATTGCTGCTCTGGATGGCGGGGTAGAATCCATTCGATGGAGGGGCAAAAAGAGACGTCACCCGGCGACTTGGGAAGGGAAAAAGCCTCTAATACCCTACGCTTCATGTGAGGAGATATCGATACCGAGTGAAGTAACCTTTTCTATTCGTAGTACCGCCATGAAAGGAAAACATTCCAGATTTAATCGTGTTCTATACTCTCCATCACTATTTGTCTATAAAGTGTTGATATGAAAGAGCATGTAATGATTGAGTATCTTGTACCTACAAGTAGTGCTTTGCTCCTTCTACGTCAATTGTTAAAGCTCTATGGTAATATGGCAGGAGCTCGCCACCCTGCACCTTCCATTTTAGGGAATTTCCTGGTCAGCTGATATTCGCTGTTGTCCTCCGACTCGAGGATGAGGAACAAAAGAAAGAGATTACGCCCAACTCTACAACTCTATCTCTGAAAATGTTTTGGAGCGGGGTTGACCTTGTTTACGTTGTGATTTACAAAGAGGCCCTGCGGCCCGATGTTACACTAAAGACGATGGCCACTGCAAACCATTGTTACTTGCTTGTTGGTCGAAAGGGCCGCGCCGTTCATCGTGCCTCTCGATATCGTGGGAGTCGGGCGAGCATTGGAACAATCCGACACCCCGCCTGTTCGAAGAAAGCAGCCCGTTCAACAAAAGAAATCGGCGTGCAGTCGCGGCGCTGCTTCGACTGGCTGACTCCCATAGTAGGAGCGCCCTCGCTCTCGTGGCCTTGCAAAGTGGCCCGGTGGACTACCTACGCAAAATCAGACCGCCTCTCATATGCCTTACCTACCCGCCCTGCTTACCTACCCCTGGAGACAATAAGTGTTGAAGATGCCAGCATCTCCGCCAAACGCCCTGGCCTGACAGTATCAAGCCATTACTGTCCTTGAACGGTGTGGGTTCTAACCAGGTAGAGATCGATGGATTGCATCAGGGGTCGGTCGAGATCCAGAACCGCAGATGACTTCACTTCCTTCCTTGCCGCTGCTATTCTCTACTACACCAGCACCGCTCTGGATTCAGAAATGTAGCGTATAGCTGCCTGTTGTACTACTACCACACATACAAGATGGCATGTTTCGGTAGAAACCATGATCCTTACATTGCAGAGGTGGCCAACATGAACCGAGTTTCGATGCATTCCATCATGAGGCCGTGCTCGGAAGGTGGTGACGGGATGTCGACGTCGGGCTGGGTTGTGGTCGTCATCACGGGTTTCTGGGCATCAAAAACAATGACGGCACGATACTCGAAAAGTTTTTGCAAACGCCAAGACAAGCGCTCGCTGCCTCTCATCACCACACCACTTCCCCAGTCCGGGACAAGCAACGCATGGGTATAGTGCCTAGAAAGGAAACACATTACCGATTCGCTGCACCGAATTGCCCTGCAAGCGCCATAATGATAACTTTATTGAGGGCAGTGCTGCTCATCTGGGTAAGGAACGATAGATCTGCTAATATTATTAAAGTCACCAGGCGCCCGTCATGGCCGTTTATGTGCGTCTTGGGTTTGGCAGACAACCCGAGTGATGAGCCGTCTGAGTGGAGGGGGGAGAAGTCGGCCGAGTTGAGAGACAACGCCGTAGCCGCCCATCACCGACAGGGATGTTGGACACCAACCCAATCAGAAACAAACAACTTGGCGAGTAGCCGGTAGAGACGGAACACTGTCTGGCTGGACCATTTTTAGAAATACCATCTGGGCCTCCTCATTGGGTCTGTTGCTCATCTTGGCTTGATGGTTAGCCAAGATCGCCGCTCATTGTCACCAGAGAAAGCGCCGTTGCCACACACAACCAAGCCTGCACGCCAAACGCCGTCGCGTTGCCCTCGACTGCTGGACCATGTATGGAAGGGTTTTCTGATCACACCTACTCGCTCACTTCTCGTACTAGTATGCACGTGTATGCGCTCGCCGACAGTCGACAGCCACCATGTCCACGGGTGTAGGCGCCGGCCCCGCCCTCGTTCATGTCGGACAGCAGACGACTGGAGGTACGCCGTGTAGCTTGTGTTGGTTAACTCCCCTTATCCCCCGCGGACAATCTTGCCATTCTGTCCCTTCTTTTGCATCAACCTTCTCTTCAATTTCTTCATGTCATTTATGGCTTTCTTCTTCACTTAATAGACGCTTCGTTGACCGAAGCAGCCTGTCGTTACACGTATTTCGCTTCACTTGACCACCATCAACGCTGGACGTTGATCGACTTTTCTTCTTCTATTTTTTTTTCATTTTTTTTTCACTTGTTTTCCTACCGATATCTCTCATACTACCACGTGCTGTTATAATCTCTGTGGAGGACGCTATTCTGGTAATAGTGCTTGGGCTTCAAGACTCCTTGATTTGACATCATGGCCGACACCTTCTGCCCACCACAAGCCCTGTCTTCGCTGGTACGAGGACAGCAGCACACGCTTAATCCGATAATAGAGGAGGACTGCGAGGATGGCAGGACCAACGATCATCATAAAGGACCGACGATGCGTGCCAACCATAATCTCAAAATCCAGGCATGGCTGTCTCCCATGAGCGACCACTTTCCCACCCCGAGGGGCATCAACTACCTCTCGGCTCCGATCCTGCCCTCGTCGCCTTCTTCCTCGTCCGCCGACCACAGCTCTCCGACCAATTCGTCCAATCCTTGGAACCGTATGAGCTGCGCCACCGACCGCACCGACTTCGAGGATCTTTACGATGCTACCGATGATGATGAATGCGATGTCCATCGCCACAGTCACCAGAGGGTTTCGCATCATCACAAAACGTCGTCATCGTCGTCGGTGACGAAGCTGCCGAGCATCCAGCGGGGATCGTCTACCGTTTATGATCACCGCGATGGCGCTCCCTTGAACTCCCCGACCCGTCTCATCATTCCGGATGACCGGCAGCCTACAGAAGAGCACAAGGCTACCATGAATGAGTTCAAGAAGATTGTGGCGTCGCCTGTTCCTCTGACACCATCGGCGCAGCTGCCCATGTCGCCCGCACAGCTGAAGTTCATGGACAAGCAGCAGGCTCAGCATGTTCCTACAGACTCAGCTCCCCCCTCTCTCGACGGCAGCCTCTCCTCCGAGCAGCTCGCCGCCATGAGCGCTCCGCCCACCCCGGTCATGGACAACGACGACGATTCCCAACCCGACGAGAATTGGTCAGGTGTCCAACTGCAACCGGGTGCGCTCGAGACCCTCCAGTCTCTCTCCTTCTCCGGCGACGACGAGGCGAACCAGCATGCTCATGAGCATCCGGACCGGGTGCTCGAGATTCCGCGTCAAGAACCGTGGCACGAGCACCCTCAGGAGATGCGAGAGCAGCAGCGTCAACAGAAGAACCCAGTTCTTGATCAGGGTCGGAGGCCGCCCTGTGAGATGCAGCAGCAGCCACAGCAGCAGCCTCTCCGCCTCATCACCAGCTTGAGGCCCGCCTCCACTTGGGATTTCGGCATGTCTACCGATCCAAGCAGAAAGTCCCTCGCGGGTCTGACCAAGCTCGACATTCCGTCTCCCGGAGGCTTCTTCTCAGAACTCTCTCCCCGGACTAGGTCAACATGGCACATTGGAACCAAGACCCCCGACGCCATGGTGCCCCCAACCTCGACCACGGCCGAGCAGTTCTACCGTTGCCCCTGGAACACGGATACCTCACTCTCCATCCCGCCCGTTCCTCAGAGGCCAGACTCAGCTGAGGGCTTCTATCGCGATGCCATGATAGCTTCGCCATCTCAGATCGTTGAGCAGATGGTGGAGGTGATTCCAGATGACGTCTTGTCCGATGACATGCCCACAGCGAAGCCCGTCCTCCAGCACCAGAATTCGGACGAGTCTGGCGCCACAATCAAGCCTCCCAAGTCTCCCGGCTGCGATTCACCCACCGAGATCGTTTTAGACTATGACCCCAAGTACGCTCGCAAGCAGCAGGAGACAGCGCTGTCCAACCTTGGTCGCACTGAGCTGTGGCTACTCGCGCAGCGCGCGTACCTCAAGGATTTCGACCAAGACAAGAAAGCCGGGAAGGAGGAGGATAAGGAAGACGGCGAACTAACAACTATTATCGAGGCCCCCGAGGCTGAATCACCTCGGAAGCTCCCGGCCACTGCTGCAGAGGCGTCTCAGCCAGAGACCAAGGCCGAGGTGACGCCGCCGAGGAAGAAGAGCGTGCGCTTCTCCGAGATGAACTCTGTCGTCTCGAAGCCTAAGTCTCTGCCGTCCAAGCTTCTTCGCCAGGAGTCCGCCTACTACCGGGCCTTTCTGAACTATGTCGTGAAGGCACACCGACAAGATGTGTTTGTTCACCAGCTGGTCCGTTTCGAGGCTCTGCAAGGCCAGAGGATCTCGCTCCGCGATGCACACCGTAACCAGCTACTTGGAAAATACCAGCTCAGCGTCGTTCCCCAGTCCGCGAAGAAGAGGCTCAGCACCAACGTGGTGCGTGGCGATGATTCCCTCACGGACGACCTCGACAAGATCCGTCGGGAGAAGGAGTTTGAGGCAGCCTGTCAGATGGCGATGCCGACCTGGCACGTGGCGGCGATGAGGTTCCTCAACGGCGGCCGTCTGATTACGGCGCCGGTGACGAAGCGGCTGGCTCGCATGTCGCTTCCCAAGGCCGGATCTGGTGGTGCCTCGCGTGAGCGCCCGCGCATCCTGGACCTCGGAGGCCAGTCGACGTGCGACTGGGCGTGGCACTGCGCGCTCCAGTACCCCAACGCCAAGGTGTACACGGTGACGACCAAGACGATCCGCCAGCTCTCCAATGCCAACATCCGGGGCCCAGCCAACCACCGCCAGGTCGCCGTGGAGCGCCTGTCGCGCCTCCCCTTTCGGGACAACCACTTTGACTTAGTCTACGCCCGCGAGCTGCACAGCATCCTCAAGTTCGTCGGCGAGAACGGCGAGGATGAGTGGGAGACGTGCCTGCGCGAGTGCATGCGCGTTCTCAAGCCGGGCGGCTACCTCGAGTTCTCCCTACTGGACTCGGAGCTGATGAATGCTGGTCCCATGGGTCTAGCAAAGAGTGTCGAGTTTGCCTTTACGCTCAAGACGCTCGGCTACGATCCCAGCCCGTCCAAGCTGTGGCTGAACCGCCTTGCCCGCGCAGGATTCCAGGACACCCGACGCATGTGGATGTGCCTCCCCGTCGGCGCTAAGCGCGCAGGCATGAACCCTCCTCTGTCGTCGTCGACAAGCTTCCCCGGAACGACTGGCAAGGCCGCTCCGACCATGGGCAGCACCGACAACATTGCCAACGTGTGCGGCATCGTTGGCGGGTGGAACTGGGAGCGTTGGCTCCTGCGCTGCGAGATGGAGAAGGTGGCTGGTGAGATGAGGCTGGTCGACACTGTGACGGCCGGAGCTGCCATGCACGAGGCTGGCAAGTGTCTGGAGAGTGTCGCCTCGGTCATGGAGGAGGGAAGGAACTGCAGGTCGGCGTTCCGCATGCTCAACGGGTATACACGGAAGCCGTTGGAGTGATGGGTCACTCACAAATGTCTTTTTTTTTTTCTTCTGTGCACTCTGCTTCTTGGTCCACGATTCCACAAATGTTTTTCGTTTCTTTTAGTCTCTCCCTTTCGTCTTATATCCCCCCCCCCCCCCCCCCCCCCYCCCTTTTAGTATATACCAGCAAGTCTCATATAGTATGTCCGTGTTCTTATATTTCCGTGTACTCAACACTGGCCGCTTGGCTCGTGGAAAAATGGTGACTCGCGATTGACGGTGAATAGTACTTAGTGTTGAAATATAATAAATAATTTCCAAGTTGAAACGAGTATTGTCTGTAAAGGTGATTTGAAGCTGTAATACCTGATGTTTGATGATAAAAAGACCTCTAAAGTTATGGTGCAGCTGTCTACAAGACATCATGAGAAGACACAAGAATCCGGCATACGCATCGAAGATTTATCGCACGCATAATTGTATAGAGAAGAAGAAAGAGATTAGTACTGAATGAACAAGCAGGCATCGTACAGAATAATACAAATAAATGATCGATGCATCTCCAAGTCCCAAATAGAATAACCAAACCGAGGTACAGGTTAAGCCATTTCCCACTGGAGAAAACGGGCGAATCCCAAGGTTTGACGGGAGAGGGAAAAGTGGAGCGACAGAAGTTCCCCAAGCTCAGGTTTTAGCAACTGCTGATGACAATGAGCTGGTTCGTGCGTCCCTTTCCATCCGCATCCGCCATCCGCATTCTCTTCCCCCCCAAACCGACGAACCCCATCACGCGCAACTTCGGATCGATTGAGAAGGAAATATAAGCCGTCAAAGATAAAGCAGAAGTAATCACCGGAAAAAAAAGAAGACGAGACGGATAGGAATCGGGCGACAGACCTGTCGTCGGAGAAAAAAAAGAAAAAACCAACCCCCCCCCAAACAAATCACCATGTCGCAGAACAACTGGCAGGAGGAGGCGATGAAGCGTCTGCGTCAGATGCAGCAGTCTGGACGGCGACCCGGCGGTGCCGCTGGTGGCCGCCCCCCCCAGATTCCCAGGGGAACGGGAGGCATTGCCGTGGGGAGCATGCTCCTTCTCGGAGGAGCCTACGTGCTGTCCAACTCGCTGTTCAACGTGGACGGTGGACACCGCGCCATCAAGTACACCAGGGTCGGGGGTGTCAGCAAGGAGATTTACACTGAAGGTGGGTTCTCAATCTCTAGAGGAAAGAGGGAGGGAGATGAGCTTCTGCTGACGACGTGTAGGAACTCACATCAACATCCCTTGGTTCGAGACGCCAATCGTATACGACGTGAGGGCCAAACCGCGCAACGTCGCCTCCCTGACGGGGACGAAGGACCTGCAGATGGTCAACATCACGTGCCGTGTCCTGTCGAGGCCGCAGGTCGAGGCTCTCCCTCAGATCTATCGTACCCTGGGGACCGACTACGACGAGCGCGTGCTGCCGTCCATCGTCAACGAGGTCCTCAAGAGCGTCGTCGCCCAGTTCAACGCCAGCCAGCTCATCACCCAGCGTGAGATGGTAGCCAAGCTGGTGAGGGATAACCTGTCGAAGCGCGCTGCCAGGTTCAACATTGCCCTCGATGATGTTTCCCTTACGGTGAGTACCATACCATCTCGTGCGAACAGAAGAGAGGCCACACGCAAATAACTGACCGGTGTGACGACATAGCACCTCGCCTTCTCTCCCGAATTCACCGCCGCCGTCGAGGCCAAGCAGGTCGCCCAGCAAGAGGCCCAGCGTGCCGCATTCGTCGTCGACAAGGCCCGCCAGGAGAAGCAGGCCATGGTCGTCAAGGCCCAGGGTGAGGCCCGCTCGGCCGAGCTGATCGGTGACGCCATCAAGAAGAACAAGGCCTACGTCGAGCTCAAGAAGATCGAGAACGCCCGTGCGATTGCCGCGCAGCTCCAGGAGGCTGGTTCCAAGAACAGGCTCATGCTCGACTCGGAGGGTCTGGGTCTAAATGTGTTTAGTGACAGTGGTAAGAATTAAAACGAGCCGAAAGCAAGGCGGGGGGGTATCGGGGAAGAACAAGAACAAGAAAGGAAACTCGAGTCTTTTTCTTTGCTTGACTTGAATTGTATTTGTTTAGTAGTAGCTCTGTGCAGAATCTCAATACATGTATACTATTGATCTGTTTACATTGATTCCGAAGATGATCCCAAGATGGTTGTGTAGTGTATTGCTGTACGGACAGGTTCGCCTATCAGATCAAGCTTACTACTTATTTCTTCTTCAGAAACCCTTGACTCGTACGGACGAACATGGCATCTTTATTATGGCATGTACTGTATCTAGGTAACCCCGTTTTGTAGAATTGACCGAGTTCTTCTCGTTAGGACGCACGCCTTGGATGGCGCATAGCGCTCACTCCGTAGTAGTCATAGGAAAGAACACACCCCACCTTGTTCGTACCTTCGTCGGTGCATCCATCTCCGCTCTTCCGTCATTTCTTCGAAATCCCCAACAACAGCAACAACGTCGCAAGAACACACACACACACGCACACACAACGAAGCCATTATCCGCGGCTAAAAGTCTCGCAAAAGTTCAACCCATACGAGAGAGAAAAAAAAGCCGAAAACTTCCTGTATCAAAGCTCGCCCATCATGTTGATCAAGTGAGAGAGAACGCCCACCTACCGATATCTCTTCTCTGCTCCCCCCCACCCCCCTCCTCACTCCCGCAGCGCGACTGACGTTGTTTCTGAGCAGGGTCCGGACGTTGACAGGTAAGGAGATTGAGCTGGATATCGAGACAGAGTACAAGGTGTGCCTTCTTCTTCCCTCTTCCCTCCTCTTCCTTCTTCTGGAAAGGCACAGGAAGTTCTCGTTTGGCTGACAGTGCAACAAGGTCTCTCAGATCAAGGAAAAGGTCGAAGAGAAGGAGGGTATCCCGCCTGTTCAGCAGCGTCTCATTCACGGCGGAAAGCAAATGTAATACGCAATACGCATAAGAAACGAAACCGTCTGATGACCCAGGATGGCGTGCTGATATAGCTGACCTGTGTGTTGTGCTACAGGACCGACGACAAGACCGCCGCGGAATACAACCTCGTTGCTGGCGACACGCTGCACCTCGTCCTCGCGCTGAGAGGCGGGTGCTAGAGCACGAGAGACGAATAGATACGTATACACAGGGAGTCAAGACGGGGCGAAGGGGGGAAAAAAAGAAGAAGAGGGAAGATACAACACACAGGTGGGGGAAAATGCTGTGCAATCAATGACGGGTTTCAAGATCAAATCATGAATTAAAAAGAGGAACATGACAAAACAGTAAACACCGTCCCCGTCTATCTTTCTTTATATAATATTTGCCCGTGAAAACGCCAAGATGAGAGTGATAACAAAGATTGAGAAGAAGAAAAGCACTCAGATGCTAGCTCATGCGTTCAAATCTGCCCTTTGCCTATCGGAATACGTTACTCAGCTGTTCCGCTTCCGAGGTTTCATGAAGATATCTGCAGCCTTGCGTTTCGGCGGGCGAGGCGGCGACTGTGCCGATATTGCTGACGGGGGAGAAGAGGCGCGTGCTGCCGCCGGCCTCGACGACGATGAGGTGGATGGTGCCGCCGCGCTAGGTTGCTTCGCCGAGGCCGAGGGGCCGGACCCGCCAACGCTTGGTCGTGGTTTGGATGGCGAGGTGGATGACTTGGTGGGGTCTGGGGCGGACGGGATGGGACGGGGCTTGGTCGCGGGAATTGGTCGCGTGGACGACGAAGAGGAGCCGGCTTGCCTCCTCGACTTGAGGAGCGATGTGGCGGCGGAGCGTGCGGCCGACGGCTTGGCGGCAGCCTGTTTGGGAGCCGCAGATCTGAATGTGACGGGCTTTGGTCGCTTGGCGGTCTCCTCGTCATCGCCGTCAGCGTCGAACAGGTCTCCGTCCTCGCCGTCTTCCGAGTCGGAGATGAAGGTTGCGCGCTCCTCGTGCTCGGTGACGGCCTTTGGCGGCAGCCTCTTGAACTCGGGCTGGGCGGCGCGGCGGCGCTCGTTGATCATGGCCTGGGGGGCCTTCAGGACGGCGGAGGAGGCGGCGCGCTGCCCACCCGCGGGCGTCACCTTTGACAGGGAGCCGTGGATGGCGGCAATCTCCCTGACCTCCCTGCGGACCTTGCGCATGACGCTGGCGCCGTTGTGGGTCCTGGTGCGGCTGCCGCCGCCAAAGGTGAGGGCGCCGTTGCCGAGGGTGCCGGAGCCGCCGCCGGAGCCCCATCGCTTGGTCGGGACCTTGCGCGGCAGGAGGCGGCTCTCGACAATCTTGCTCGTGTTCTTGGCCTTCTCTTGCTGGATGCCGACGATGGCATCGCGAAAGTTGGCCTCGCTCTCGGCAATGGCCTTGTCGTGGTCGCGCTGGTACTTCTCCCACACCTTGAACCACTTGGTCGGGTCCTGCGGCTTGTACGCCTTGGCGCGGAACTCGATGGGGAAGTCCTTCTCTATCAGCCGGAGCCAGAGCTCGCCCGTCTGCCCGTCCAGCTGCGGCGAGTTGAGCTCGATGCGCCGCAGCTGCTTGGCGCTGTCGACGCGCATGAGGAGGTGCCGCACGTTCTCATAGGGGAGGTAGCCTACTCCTTCAAGTAAGCGGACGTTCTTGACGCACGCCGCTGATGCTAGCTCGACGAGCGATCGGACGCCCGGCATAGTGTGGGTGTTCTCTTTGTTCTCGTTTTGCTTCTTGCGTGTACGCGCGCACGCGTGTGTATGTGTGTTCGATGGATGGAAATCGATCCGCTTCTTGTCCGAATGGGCTCGTATGGTCTGTGTTTCCAGGGAAGGGCTAATTCGTTGATGGAGAGGAGAGAATGGTGGTGCTCTAAGGAAATCAAGGCTGGATCGCCGAGACAAGGTCGTGTGGTGGAGGAGGATCGTCGCCGTGCTGAGCTCAGACTGAGGTCACGGTGAGTGCTTGCTAGGACTGAAGAGAGCGAGAACAGACAAAGGGGACGGAGATGGCCTCCATGACAGAAAAAGGAAGAAGAGAAGAAAAGGAAATCAAATCGAGGTGACGTTGATCGCTGAGCACGATATTCTCTTGAGGAATCGTTGTTTCGGGAAACCGTTATTGTCAGGAACAAAGGATTACAAGTCAAGAGACGCTCTATCATCAATAAATACTGTACAGATGGTCTGGGACCCTGTTTTCCGATCCATCCATCCAAGCCTGGAATCACGTGCACAGATGTATGGCTCAGCAGTGTAACCCGGAATCTCTGCGCTGTTTTACTGAAGAAATAGGCAGCCAATATCTGACAGGAGCAGGTTGGATCATGGTGATGAAAAAAAAGAAAAAAGGAAACGCGTTCGTGACCCCCACAGTCTATGTCGGGGCTCGTTGATGGGCATATGCCGAGTATCCCCACACATCGAGGTCGGGTCTCAGCGATACTGTAGGTAGTAGTAGTAGTAGTAGTAGTAGTAGTAGTAGTAGTAATAGTAGTAGTAGTAATAGTAGTAGCGCTCAGCTATGGAGGAGTAAAAACATAGCTAACAATGAATGCTACGCAGAGTTAGTCCTCGCAATACTGACAATGACGGTATTATTTCCCTCAATATTTGCCCACATGCCACGAATCCTTTGCCTGTCAACCAAGTGCATCGTTCTTAAAAAGAAGTGCGGATTTATCACTTGTAGGCTTGATTCCTGAGGCATGACGTAAAAAATGGCAGCTCAAAGCTTTGGCTGAGAGCGGGAAATTAGTGGAGCCACTTCTATTTTAAGGCTAGCGGCGTAGCGCTTGCAGGGAAGGAGCCGCGAGCTTTGTCGGTCGCTCTTTCCTACATCACCAACGTCCATTGTCCAAAACCGGCATTTCTCTGATATAATCCTCGTCCCCTTTCTTTCCATTCCTCGCCCGCACTCTACAGGTTCCCGTTTACCTCCCCTTGTTCATCTCTGATACCCCCCCCTCGGCCCCTCGTCGGCGCCGATAAATCGACCCGCTAGAGACGTGTCCCAGCGCGCGTGCTCTTCGACATCTATTCACTGGCCGGGTAATCGACAACGTCACACACGTACACAGACGCGCGCACATATCATGGCGGAGCCTCAGGTCAAGGCCGACCCGGAGGCATCACCGGGACCCGTGGGCACGCCCGCCGATGAGGAGGATCTCTACGAAGATGCTGGCGACCTCGAGTTTTACAACAGGGCCCCGGGCACCAATAACGAGACGCTGTACCTTACGCGTGTCCCGCAGTACGTGTGGGAGTCGTGGATGAAGATGACGGAGCGCCTGGGTGACGACGATGAGATCAGAATCGGCACTCTTCGCACGTGGAACGAGACGAAGCCTGACGGATCAGCTACGGTGAGCTTTATGGTGGAGCGGATCTTGGGGAGTAGCTGGGACTGACGGCGTGGGCCCCCCCTCCACAACAGACGAAGCTGCGCATGCTCCTACAGGCAGAGCAGCCCGAGCACCAGGGCATCCCCAAGGAATACAACATCGAGCTGGTCGACGGCGACGTCAAGAACCACTTCATCTTTAGCGAGCAGGACCTTCCCGGCTTCAAGGCCAAGAACAAGGCACGCGCCGAGGCGGGCGGCAACCAGTCATCTTTTCAGCGAATGCGGGACGGCCGCGCCGAAAAGTCTGGCTACGATAGAAGGAGCGGTGGTCGCTACCAGCCGTACTACCGCAAGGCCATCCCGAGTAAGCTGGGCCTGGGGCGCTGGCACCCGAGGAAGGAAGGCGTATATGCTGACAGGCCTGTTCTCTGCAGAAAAGACAAAACTGTACGGCAAGATTCACTACGAAGTGCGGGCAGAACCGACGGATAGGGACGAGGAGAACCGCCTGGTCGGACAGAAAATCTACGAGATGGAGCATGGGCGCCCCGGCCTCCAGATCATCAGTCGCAACAAGGCGTCGGTCATCACCAACCCTGGAACGACTACATCAGCCAACTGGGGCAGCAACTTTATCGTAAGCCTAATCGTGTCGCTACCTGAACGTACAAAGACCAGTTGTCTAACCAGCTGTATGTGTGTGCGCAGAAAAACGCTCCTGCACAGGCCAAGCCCAAGAAGGGTGAGACCATCAAGGCCGCTCGCATCCCCAAGGACCAGCTCCTGGATCTCATCTTCGACTGTTTCCGCCAGTTCCAGTACTGGCCCATGAAAGCGCTGCGTCAGAAGACCCAGCAGCCCGATGCATACCTGCGCCAGGTGCTGGAAGAGGTGGCTGTGCTGATCAAGAGCGGGCGCTTTGCCAACAACTATGCTTTGAGCGACGCATATAAGGATATGCAGGGTGCTGAGGCCAAGGAGGAGGCCGCGGCTGCAGCGGCCGACGACGACGACGAGGATGAGGAGATGGAGGATGTTCTTCCGTCGTGAACTCATGGACTAGTTGGGATAGAGTCGGAGTAGAGAGGGCGGCCGGGTAGTGCACATGGTGTGTGTGCCGAGATGGTGATGCGAAACAAGGAATCAAGGCGGTAGGAATGGCGTTTTTGTGTGTGCATATCTGTAACATCTCACTGTTCTTATTTGAACGCCTCTAATTCTTAAGAGATAAAAAAAACAAAACAAAAAACAAAAAGGAAGGAACATGATACCCTGAGATACTTTTGATTGAGGGCGATGATGTCATTCGCAAATGGCGACGGCTCCTATATTGTTTTTTTTCCCCCTACTCAATATCCTTTTTTTCATTTCTAGGCCTAGATTTAATTCAATATCATCTTGGCTAATCACACTTTCACGCAATGGTCATCGATGGATCTCATCGATAAATGGTGATGAATCTGCAGCGTCGTCACATCAGTCGAGTTGAAACATCATCGTCAGCCGTGGCTAGACTTGTCTCACGGGTATCTCCGCCTGCACCAAGACGGGCGGGGGGAGGAGCATCATCAAGCCGCACCGTCATGTCGTCCGCAACGCGGCAGCAGCAGCAACGCCGTCGACTGATACTCGATTTCGACAGCACGATCACAAAGAAGGACACGATTTCCGTGCTGGCATCTGCGGCCATCGCACACCAGCAGAAGCGGCAGAAGCAGCAGCGGCAGCGGCGGCGGCAGCAACAGCAAGAAAATGATAGAGATGGTATCCTGGAGGACAAGTGGAGGCAAGTCGTGGAGCGCTACATGAGAGATCTGCAGTCGTACAAGGAGAGTTCCGGCGTCCCAGAGGAGGATGAGGAGGGGGTCACCACCACCACCACCACCATGGCGCTGGAACGTGAAGTAGAGTACCTATCCGGCATGTCGTCCGTGGAGGCAGCATCCCTGGAGAGGGTTCGCGACAGCGGTGTGTTTGCCGGGCTCGGGGCCGAGGCGCTACGGCAGATGGGACGGGACGCCGTGTCGGCCGGCAGCGTGGTGTTGAGGGAGGGATTAGACCGCCTCGTCGACCTGGCAACCCGGTCGGGGTGGGAGGTGGCCGTACTGTCGGTGAACTGGTCGGCCTCGTTCATCCGGGGGGTTCTGGGGGCCCGCGACATGGCTGTGGTGGCCAACGAGGTGTGCCCCCGCGACGGCGGTATAGTCTTCCCGGACGGCGACGCGGGATCGAGACCGCTGACTACGTCGTGGGATAAGCTGGACGCCATGAAGAGGTGTCTGCCTGCCCGGTCGGTGACGTACATGGGTGACTCTACGACGGACCTCGAATGTCTACTCTACCAGAGGGGTGTTGTCATGGCCGACAGCGAGGAGGGGTCGTCGCTCATCGGTACCCTACGACGTCTGGGGTACACTGTGTTGCATGTCAGTCAGCATGGTGGTGGTGGTGATGGTGGCCATGTCATGTACTGGGCTAGCGATTTTGACCAAGTTGTTGATAGTGGTCTGTTACCGTCGTGATAGTTCTTCTCCATCTTTTTCTTCCCATTTTTCATATCGCTACTTATTGATTTGCTTCCGGCGGCCCTACTGGAGATGCTTTTTGCTTCACTCGCTCTTTCTCTATTCTAATATATGTATATATATATATATATGTATACTATATATCTCCATTACTACCGATAAATCTGCCTCCGATGGCTCTACCAAAGGTACTTCTCACTTCGCTGGCTCTTGTCCACATATAAGTCGTATTATTGGCCTGGATACAATATAGACATACATATATCAAGAGCAAATTTATGCCGCAGAATCACCCGCCACTCGATCTAGGTTGAACGCAGCACTTATAAACGCCAGGTGACTAAATGCCTGCGGCGTGTTACCCAGCTGCTCCCCGCTGCGGGAGATCTCCTCCGAGAACATAGAGAGGTGGTTCGAGAAGCCCAGGACGTTCTCGAACAGGTTCATGGCGCGCACGAGGTACTTGCGGTCGTGGACACCTGCGCGGGTCATGGCCTCGACGAGCCAGAATGTGCACATGCTGAAGGCTCCTTCTTTACCTCCGACGCCTGTTTTTGAACATGCACGCACACATGGTTAGTATAATGACCGTCCATGTTTGGGAAGAAAATAAAGGAGGGAGGGGGCGATGAAGAGGAGCAAGAGAAGAGGGGAGAAGTTGATGTATACCATCATCCGTCAGATTAGTATCGTAGCGGTAGACTAGACCGGTGCTGGTGAGACCGCCCTTCTCCGGTGGTAGGAGGATACGGTCGAGCGTCTTGATGAAGTACGGGTCGCACGGGGAGATGAAGAAGACCAGTGGGGCGATGAGGATGGACGAGTCGAGGGATGTGTTGCTCTCGTAACTCTGGATGAAGCACTGCATCTCCTTGTTGTAGCCTTTTTCATTCACATCCGCACGCGTATCAGATATTGTTAGCTCAGTAATACTGAGAGTTTAATGACGATGGGGGCTGAAACAGAAATGGTAATGGAAGATGCTCACCCTTGTCCATTATCTCATCGTAGAGACTGTCCCTCGTCTTCAACCACTTTTCGCGGTTCGGGCAAGGGAAACATCGCTTGTCGGCTAGTCGGAGGCCGCGGTCAAAGGCTACCCAGAGCATGATTTTTGAATAGGTAAAGTGCTGCTTCTTGTTTCGGACCTCCCAGATGGACATGTCGGGTTCTATATAGTTAGACGTGTTTTATCCTCTCTCAATATATAAGGCAAGGATGCAAGGATTTTGTAATTACCATTGACAAGATTCAATGCATAGTCTGCATGCGTTAGAAGGAATGTTAGCGTACGCATACAACGTGTATTGTTAGTAGAACAGAGACCTCACCTAGCAACTCCCTCACAGCCATCCACACAGCATACGACACGGGTGTTCCGTACTTGTTGTACAGGTAGATAGCGTCCATGAGCTCCCCGTAAATGTCAAACTGCTGGTGGAAGGCGGCACCGTTGCCGATGCGCACGGGACTGCTCCCGCGGTACCCCTCGAGGTGATCGAGCGTTGATTCAGGGACCTCGGTGCTGCCGTGGATGGTGAACATGATGGGCATGCCGCCGTCCGGCAGGCGCGAGTGCAGGAAGCGGTCCATGATGAACTGCATGTAAGCTTCTGCCTCGGCCTTGAAGCCCATGCGCAGGAGGATGTAGATGGTGAAGCTCGAGTCGCGGACCCACGAGAACCGGTAGTCCCAGTTGCGCACGCCGCCAATGTCCTCTGGGATGGAGAAGGTCGGAGCAGCAATAATGGCACCGGTGGGCTCTGTACTTGTTGTCGACCGTCCCTCGGTCTCGATATCAGCCCGCTTGTACATCGATATACGTAATTCTTCATGTTTCATCACACATCTACGGGTCGCGCAGGATGACATACCATATGTCAACATCTTGAGCGTCATGAGGCTGCGAGAAACGACCTCGCGCCAACGTCCTTTGTACTTGGATTGGGAGATGAAGTTGAACCAAAACATCTGCGTGTCGTGCTGCTGGTTATCGAGCACTGAGGTCGTGATCTTGGGTGTGGTGTGGCTGTCACGGTCGTCTCTCAGGATGAAGGAGATGGTCTGGCCCTCGTGGATCTCGACATGGGCGACCAAGCCGTCCCCCTGAATTCCGCCGTACTCGGCCCGCTCAAAGTATATGACAGGGCTTCCATTGCCGTTATTGTTGTCATCTTTTTCCGTATCTAGGGATATGTCGAGCTGGAGATTGGCGTGCTTGCTGTGGAAGGTGGCTACCTTACTCTGACCCCTCGACGGTCTATGGACCTCGCAGAATAGTCTGGTCGTGTGGGGCTCTTTGCCGTAGCCAAATGACGGGAATATCTCGATGTCTTTTTAAGTCAGGTCCTAGTCAGCTCTCACTCATTTTCATTCGACCGGGACTACGAATGTATGAGTACCCATGGTCAAGGACCCGCGGATGCATTCAACCCTCCGGACGAGCCACTTCTTGAGCTCTTCCTGAACATTGGTCATCTCGCCGTATGTGCCCATGTTCCCCGCGTTATAAGACGGGCCCCTGATCATGACGCGAGCACTCTTGGGTCGAGGGAAGAAATCAACGAGGTCGACGGCGCCATGTTCGTTGATGTACCGCGTTCGTAGAATACACGAGTAGGGAAGATACTGCTGTTTGGTGGTGTAGTTGAGGCCCCTGCGAGGAGAGACTGAGAAGAAGCCGCCCTTATCCTTGTCGAGGAGACGACAGAATACGGATGGTGAGTCGAATACGGGCCTGATAAGTTGGATTGTTTTTTTCCCTTCTTCTCAGCTTCCAATTTCATGTAAGATAGACATCGCAAGCATCATGATGGTATATCAGAATTGGTGAAAATATCCTATTAGAATTGGGAAGAGAGAGCTGATGCAAGCAGATGCAATAAAGGTGACGAGAGTAAAGACTGCTCACCAGCACATGTAGTCGATGCTCCCATCGATACCAACCAGTGCACAAGTGTGCATATTGCCAATCATGCCATAATCCTCGATGGGGAGGTAGCCACCTAGCTGGTGACGGCGGGAGGAGGCCATTGTGGGCGTTGGGTTCTCACCCGAAGACATGGCTGTACGAGGTGTGGGGTCTGGAAGGGCACGGTAAAGTCTTTTTGGTGTCCTCTTCGACGACAAAATTTCTATCGAGTACGATGGGTGACGTGATGGAACTGAGTCCTGATGGGATATGGCAAAGAAATGAGGATCGAACAAGAAAGGGAGGAAATGGAAGCAAAAGAGATGGGAAGGAGCTTCCAGGTGTGACGTCAAGCAAAGTGATTTGGAAGTTACGGAGGGTCGTTCCTCTCACGATGATCTCATTCCCATGACCACGATTAGATTCTACTACTAGTACATGCGGATTTTATATTTCCTTCTATCAGTTTATTTCTCAGGCATTAAAGCTGTCAGCAGTGGAACTGCACATACTGAAGAGAGTGTAGCAGACTAGATAGTGTTACCTATAGTATATATATGATATAAGAACTTTCCCACACGGCGACCCATGAGCTAACGATATTATCATCAAAGCTACCCTACCGTTCCGGATTTTAGGGTCAGCCAGAGTCTCAGGTTGCAGTCTAGCAGGTGTGATATCGTGCGGACCGCGGTACGGTAAAAACGGTCAGAGCTCGTCCCGCATCATCCGAGAAGGATTAAAACGGAGGGGGGGGGAGCGAAATCTGATGGACCGAATCCAATCGTGACTGCTTTTCTCCCGTCCCGCGGCATGAACTATGAACCACCTGCCGGGAGGGGGGGGGGGGGGGGGGGGGGGGGGGGGGGGGGGTTGGAGGGGGAGGATCACTTCTAGGCTACTTGCTATGTTTCTCACCTCGTGAGCCTTCCCTTTTGTCTTTGCGTGCGTCCTGGCCCACGAGACTTGTGTATATGTTTTTTTATTTTAATTGCTTTCATATTCCTTTATCTAATGCCAAGGTTGGCTGGGTTTGAAACAAAACGACATTGGCATATAAAGTAAAAATAGCCACAATCCGGAATAATAGAATACATCATACACGTACGAACAGAGCAGTAGTTCTGTAGTGCTAACAGAGTAGTAGTACCTTATAAACAGGCGCACTGACAGAGATGACACATAGAGGAGAGAGAGCGAGATCGAGGGAAGAAGGAGGGGCTTCTACAAATGTGCTCATCAGTGCCATCACCCACACAGACACGACCCCTTGCCGCACACGCTTTGGCCGTCGGCGACCAACCAAGTCGAGTGAGACAGACCATTCTGGACTCTTTCTGTTCTTTCTTCCTTTCTTGCTCTTTTTTTTTTTTTCGTGCCCGCCCTCTCTGTCACACGTTTTGACTCGATACTCATTCTAGTTTCCCCTCGCTGTCGGAGCTGATTAGAGTCACTTGATGCTCTCATGGCTTAAAAGCTAGAAGGGACGAATCATGTGCCCCAGGGGGGGGGGGGGGGGTCACTGGAGCGGAGATGCGCCAAGTGGGGTCTGGACTGGGGCGAACCCCGGATTTATTGACCTGCTAGAGCTTAGAGCCTACCTGTACGGAGTAGAGACTGGAGTCTAGAAGAGTAATATTAACGTAACCTGCCCATGTGCTCGTAGTGTGGTTATATTTCTATATTTCTTTCGTGACGCACAGTAACATTAACCATATAATTCATCTGCAGAGTCCGTCCTTCATCATACTCGTTGGCTGGGCTTGGACACGAGGCGGGGGAGAAAAAGCGTGGCGCGTGCCCACGGCTGGCGGTCGGTGCATGCGATGTGGCTGAGGGGTGTTACATTACAGTACGGTACTCTTTTTAGAAGAGACAGAAACGACAAGAGAAGAAAATCAAGGAACAGGGAATGAGCCTGTTGCTGTTCTTGATCCCGAGTCTATTGCCTCACTCCCACTTACCGTCTAATACACCGTAGAAACATTCGGCCTGGCCTAGCTGGCCGTGCATCCTACTTACCGAGATCCTGAGACGGATGGAAAGTGGGAGAGTGCATGCACATAACCTGCATGCTTCCACGGGATCCTTTCTTTCTTCTTCTTTCTCTTAAAAGAGGGGCTAGAAGGAGAATACAGGCGGGAGACGGAATGAAACTATTCGATAGGCTGTAAGTACCTGCAAGACAGGGCGCTTCGAAGCATGTGAGTTGGCACAAAAAAAATACATACATGACTTATACATGTATTATGTAGACAACCTCGTTGGAGCGGGGGTGAGTGGAGAGGGAGAGGGGAAGAAGAGGGACGTCGGACACAAGGTAGTAAACTATTTGTAGCAAACAAGTATATGTAAAACTAGAGTTACTATAATCGACTACATATATTATTATACTACTCCGGCCAGTATTACTAGTATCAGCACTAGCAGTTTGGCTTGTAGCGGTAATTGGCGGTCAAGTTACTCTCTGGTTTCCCTTCCGATCTTGGCATTGACTTTTCACCAACTTGCAGCAACCCAACCAAAGGTGTGGTGGGGAAGAGAAAGATGGAAGAAACCGGAGGCCTCGGTTTCGAGGCACTGTGCCATGGTGAGCAATGATACACGATGGAATCAATGGGTGGATTGTCTCCGTCTGTGTGTGTCGAGCTGAATGCTGGTTATATGCATGGCCAAAGCATATTAACGCCCGATCATAGTGCATTGATTGATGTATGGCTATATTTTCTATTTCTACGGTGAACGATGTAGAGGCCGTATTATACCACAACCTACTAGTCATATATTACGAGCAAAGAAAAGGAGTAAGAGAGGAAGCTCAGATGCTACACTGAGCCATGAAGAAAAGAAGGAGGTCGAACTCCCTGGACTTGCAACACGACTGCTGTGCTCATGTGAATCATCTACGTCGTATGCGCCGCCCGTGCATGTCTCCCGATCGCTACGATATCCGTCATGTAATGATAGTGCCATCTCATACAATCCACGGTAGCCATTTTTAACCAATTCGTCTCTTTGCTTCTTCCTTTTTTTCCCTTCCAAATCTATTATTTGTACGGGTTCACAGGGGTCTAAAAGTTGGGTCTCTTAAGGCACCAAAAAGGCCAAGGCCAAGGGGGGCGGGGTCAAGGAGGACAGGGGGGATAAGAAATAAGAAACCAAGAAAGCTCGTAAGTCAGGGCCCAAGTCAGGGCAAGAGACAGAAAAGTATGCCAAGATTTCAAGGGCAAGTTGATGTGGCGCTGATGCAACGTTTATGCTTGGCACATTTCATGCGCTTCGGGGGGGGGGGAGGGAACCTAGTCAGAGAGAATAAGAGAGATCAAAGATCCACATTATTGTCACTCATATTCTTTTTATTTTCTACATCGTTTGTTGTAGTTTTGGCAATTATCACTGTTTGGGAGTTCAAATGAACAGGAAAAGGAGAGAACTAAGGTGAGGCAAATAAGAGAAGGTGAAAGTGAAAGTGAACTGGAGAGGGAAAGAGGGAGGGAAGGGGAACGAGAAAGCAAAAGAAAGAAGGATGACAAAGCGATGATTGTCGAGACTCGTCTCGTCATCGACTTACGCTGTCAGCTCAGCCTCTCTCACCCGACCGCCTTCCCCCCTAGACTAAGATGGCGATGATCAGCGAGAAACCGCGGTAGTTGACAGTTTGTGCGTAGCGATCATCCGAGATTTAATTTCCTTCTTTTTCCCCTTTGCTGTCGGGTCTGGTGACATCTAACCTTGGTCCAGCGACTCTGGCAACATGGGTTAACATGGTTTAGTAGAAATATTATATATATAATATCATGTACTGTATTGCTACTCATACATGTATTCATAAAAGAAATACGCTCACACCTGACCCTTTCTTTTGCACAGGAGATACATCATCGAGTGTTTTGAAGTAACGATATAGACAGAGTCAAAACTACCTATTAAGAAGATACATGATGAAATTCAGATTGGTCTGGAAGTATTACTATCAATTTGAAAAGAAAGGGAAAAGAGCAAGAATCAGAACGTTTCGGACTCGTGACACCTGCCCACTGAATCTCCACCGTTTTTACAGGAAATTCAGTTCAAGTGTCCGACGGTAATGGATGACGACGTACAGATTACATGTATTAGCATTATAACAGCGTAACACTAGAGTAGTAGCAACAGTGCCGTTGTGTGGAAGCTGGAGTAAGAACATCTAGTATTAGTAGCTATCCATATGAGTATGAGTAGTTACGTATTAGCAGCAAAGCTATTATCAGTAGGGTTATGAACGCAGCGCAGCACAGCACAGCACAGCGCAGCACAGCACAGCGCAGCACAGCACAGCACAGTACAGTACAGTACAGCACGGCACCGCACAGCACGGCACCGCACAAGGTAAAGAGTCACAAGCACGCGACACTCTTGTCAGGGCTGAAGCAGAGACGGGTCAGGGGCTCGTACACGGTAGAGTCGGAAACATGGACACGCCTTTTCTTCGAGCACTACTATATTATTGATTATTATGCTGTTAGTATTACAACTCCGTATTTCCAGCCCATCTTGCCCCTTCTCTTCTCAGCATTGGGCAGAGCCTCAATTTGTGATTAGGGAGAATTTGAATTGGAATTACTCGTACATGTAATCTGTAAACCCGCCAAAAAACAAAACAACAACATGTACGTATGAGACGACGTAACGACAGATACGTACGCCTCATCACACGATACCCACCGACCCTTTTTGGCTCGGCCCTAGTCGAGGGAGTCTGGGAGTCATGGAAGAGAAGATTTGATACCTAAGCACGATATTATTCCGTACCACCCGTAGACTACTCGTATACATACATGTACCATTAGTAAATAGTAGTGGCAGCCAAAATTTACAGGTACTGGTATACATCATGTACCTACAGCTACGCGTAGAAGAAAAAGCACAGCTCAAAAAAATGGCTGATCAAGTGCATCACACACACGCACGGCAAAGTGGGCACCTCCTTACCTGTATCGTACACACTCACACTCACAGAGGTTTACCGACGCGCTGCTCCAATCTACCCGCGCCCCCCCCCCCCCCCCCCCCCCCCCCCCCCCCCCCTTCATCTTAAACCATGCCCACCCGAACACCATCCATTTCATCCTCCTCATCCCGACCACCCCGTCCTGCTCTACCACCTATCTCGACAACGATAGTCACTCCTTCAACATCACACAGCAACACCATTGCAGACGCAGCTTCCTTTCGCACGTTATTCCAGGAACCCGCATCGGCAACGACCACTGCCACTGCCACCGCCCCCTCGTCCGTCGTCGCCGCCGGCGGCCCGACACTATCAGCCACGACGACAACCCGTGACGCCATCGAGATGGAGCCTATAGTCACCGGCCACCGTCGCCGGAAGAGCAGCCTGATGAACCCCATAAACACGCTCTCGTCCTCGACCATCGCATCGTCGTCCCGCCCACGACCCCAGGGCAGCACGCTCACTTCACCGCTACCCATCGGCCCCGGGTCCCTGTCCAGTGCAGCCTCCAGCGTCCCCGAGCAGCTCCCTTCGGCGGAAATGCTGCAGCAGCCCTTCCACGGCGCCGGTGGCAGCCCGACTCCCACCACCGCCACGAGCGTCAGGTACGACGGTGACTCGGACAGCTATAGCGATAATGACCTTCGCGACGACGAGGAGACAGGCCTCACCAGGAAGCAGAGGAAGAACAGGCAAAAGAGACGTAGGAGGAACACCCTGCTAGACCAACGTATAGTACCGGACGAGAAGAACCTGGGCAATGAGGACGAGACGCACGTCGACAGGGATGTCGTCAAGCGAATATCCGTCAACCTCGGCCTCATTTTTTTGTGGTATCTGTTCTCTCTATCCATTTCATTGGTAGGTTTTTTTCTCCCCCCCCTTTCTCTATTGCACCCTGTGTCATCACACCCTGTGCCGTATCACAATTGTGGCGCAGCGCTACCAGCAGTGGCTCCGGAAATGAAGAGGGTAAACCAGACCGTAAAGCTGACAATTACAGTACAACAAATGGATGTTTGACGAGGATCGTCTGAATTTCGCCTTCCCCCTATTCACCACTTCGATGCACATGATTGTCCAGTTCGCACTCTCCGGCCTGGTATTATACCTGGTGCCATCGCTCAGGCCAAAGCCTGCCCACGAGTCAGACATGGGTAGGTCGAGACACGAGGCTGAGCCGGCGAGCGGCAGCAACAGCAGCGGCAGCCCCGTTGGTCTGCTCTTCTACCTGACCAGGATTGGACCCTGCGGCATGTCTACCGGTCTGGATATCGGTCTGGGCAACACGTCGCTCAAGTTCATCAGCCTCACATTCTATAGTACGTCATCCCCTTGTCAGAGCTTGCCAAGCAACATGGAATATACACACTGCTATGTCATTTGGTCACGGTCAACTAACCAATAGCGTGATTAGCCATGTGCAAGTCCTCCTCCCTAGCCTTTGTCCTCCTCTTCGCCTTCCTCTTCCGCCTCGAGACGCCAACCTGGCGCCTGGTGGCCATCATCGCCACCATGACAATTGGCGTCATCCTGATGGTGTTTGGCGAGATCCAGTTCAAGCTGGGCGGCTTCGTCCTCATCATCTCGGCCGCCTTCTTCTCCGGCCTGCGCTGGGGCCTGACGCAGATCCTCCTCCTGCGCCACCCGGCCACGTCGAACCCGTTTGCGAGCATCTTCCTCCTCACGCCCGTCATGTTTGTGACGCTGCTCAGCCTGGCCTTCCCTGTCGAGGGCTTCTGGCCGCTGATTGAGGGACTGCACACCCTGTCGGACGAGTGGGGGGCCATATACACACCGCTCTTCCTCCTGTTCCCGGGATGCCTGGCCTTTTTGATGACGTCGGCTGAGTTCGCCCTGTTGCAGCGCACGTCGGTCGTCACCCTCTCTATCGCCGGCATCTTCAAGGAGGTGGTGACCATCTCGGCCGCCTCGGTCCTATTCGAGGAAAGTCTCACCCTCATCAACCTCGTCGGCCTGTTCACCACCATGGCCGCCATCGTCGCCTACAACTACATCAAGATCACCAAGATGCGTACCGACGCACGCGCCGGCGAGGCTACCGCCGCCGACTACCAGCGTGCCAGCCTGTCCTCGCCGGGCCACTCGAGCGGAGACGACACTGACAACGACTACGAAGGGTACGCCGAGACTGCTGGCCTGCTGCGCCAGAGCGTCGACGGCCCCGACGGCACCCTCATCATGGCCGACGGCGATATCCAGCCTAACCTGATAATACCTGCTAGTCCAATCGACGAGCACACACGATAGATTTCTATTTTTTACTCCTTCATCTTCTTCCTCTTCCCTCGTTCCAAGAGTATACGGCCATTTTTCTCACTTCTTCTCTGAAGCATGCAGGAAAGAAAGATGCTATGTTTTGTTCTAACAGAAAGCGTTGCCTTTTTTATACTATTTTACTATCTGACGCCAACAGTCATTACCCCTGTTTTTTTACGCACCTTGAGCACCTTGTTTATCTCTGGGTGTCTCTTTATATTTTACTTGTTCTTCCTATCTCTCAAGTGGATGGGATGGGCCTCACCATTTTTTATACGCATACCCGGGGAAAGAAAGCATCTCGATGGAAGAAGGAAATTTCGTCGGTGGCTGGAAGAAGGCAAAACGAAAAAGAAGAAAAAGCATGATACCAAAGGGAATTGGGACAAGAATGGGATTTGGGGGATTATGGTATAGATATTCCATTATTTCGTGTGTACAGGTACGAATGACAATTCAGTGATACCCAGCAAGTCAAAATGTGAAGTCGAGCGTAGCGGAGCCGGTGGAGGGGAGTATATGTATATGTGAACATCCGTGCAATGTGAGAAGTCCCGGTAAGGTAGGTAGTCAGGCAGATGGTCACTTTGTATATCACCACGTCTCCTAGTGGCAGTAGATGTACGAGTACACTGCGAGCGTAGCGAGGGACACCCCCGGTAGGGCCGCCGGAGACAAATACGTAAATCTTGACCAAAAGAAAGTGTAAATACAGGCTATTAAGGTATCTAAATATACTGCGTATGCAGCGAGGCCGACGTAGGCGAATGTTTAACCCAAGAGTTTGAGACCATTCTTGGTTCGTTGACCAGGTTTGGTGACACCGGCAGGAGAATGAGGACCAAGTTGAGGAGGATCGTGGGCACCATGAGCACCATTACCATGAGCACCTCCACCGCCGGCACCATTGCCACTCCTCTTATTATTATTGTTGTTGTTGTTCCTGCCATTGTTCCTCTTATTCTTATCCTTGACATTTGTGACCTTGATCTCGGTGTTTGCCTTGCGGACGACGACGGGGTGACTCTGGATGTACTTGCCATTCATGTCCCTGGCGGCGGCGAAGAAGTCGTCGGCGCTGCTGAAGCTGACAAATCCGTAGCCCTTGGACTTGTTAGTGCGCTTGTCCCTGATGACGCGGGCCTTCTGGACAGAGGTCCACCTGGCGAAGGCCTTGAGGAGGGAGTCATCGGTGGTCTCGCCGGCAAGGTTGCCGACGAAGAGGCGGAGGTGGGAGGGATCCCACTCGAGCAGGGTGTCGTCGGTCCACTTCTTGCCGCCGCCCTCGCGGACGGCCGTCTTCTTCTTACGGTTCGGATCGTCGAGGACGGCCTGCGCGTCCGCCTGAGCCTGGGCCTGGTCCTGAGCCTGCTGGGCCGCCGCGTGAGCCGCCGCGTTCTCCTCTTCCGTGCCTGTCCGGGGCCCGTACGCGCTCTGCCAATGGGCGATCTGCGCCGCCATCTCCGGGTCGAAATCGCTTCCTGTGCCGGCTGCGGCGGGGAAGGGGTTGTGTATCGCTGGTGCTGCCGCTGTTGGACCTATGCCGCCGCCGCTTCCATAGCTGGGAGGAGGTTGTCGTGGACCGTAGCTTTGCGGACCGTAGCTCTGCGGACCGTAGTTCTGCTGGGGCGTGTAGCTGCGCTGCGCATTGTACGGGGGATATTGGCTGCCATATTGCTGCTGCTGCTGCTGCTGCTGCTGCTGAGGGCGGTAGGAAGTCGGTGGCGCAAAAGGTCCGTGAGTGGTTGCGGCGGCGGCGTAGGGCGAGGGAGACGGGGAGGCCGATGCCGAAAAGGCTGGCTTGAAGCCCGATGGTTTGCTACTGTTGAAGCCTGGCGCAGACGAGGTCGTCGCCGGAGGTCGTGCGGGGAGGTTGCCGATACCTGGAGGTGGAGGGTACGACATGATGAACAAGATGCGCTTCTTTCTTGGCTTTTCGGGGGGGTTTTTTTTTTGGTGGTTTCCCCCTTGTTGGACAGAGACAAGAAAGTTTTTGAGGAGAACGTACCTTGAGCTTCCCTTTCCTGGTGTGGCTCAAGTTGAGATGCGCGAGATAGTATACCCTGTCTGCCTTTTCTTTTCCTGGTTGATACGTGCGGCAGTCTTCTTCGAGAAAGACTGTAGTGGAGTTATGCGTCGTTGGGCGGCGGAACTCTTTTTGGAACTCTTGCCTCGGTGTAGTAGTCAGAAAGTCGACGATGGGACGTCGATGATGGCGGTCGGCCGTCAGTCACGTGATTAGTCATATGTTGATACCTCAACGTCATGGCATGAAGGCACTGATGATGGGAAATCTAGTTTTCAATGTTCTTTTGCTTCCTCTTTTCTTCTTCTATTTCTTTTTTTCGTCAGAGCATTAGTATAATTCGTAGTAAAGACGAATTCGATATCGTATCGTGAATAGGAAGCAAAAACGACGCGAAAATGTATAAGCTCAGGCCACATTGGGCGGCAGTTTCATGCCGATATTACTCGTACTTTATGCTATTGCAGTCTACGAGAGCATCTCAGGCATGTTTCATGTACTCGTACGGATATTTAAATAAGTCTCCGGTACTGCTTTTTTCGACATGGATGACACATGGGGTAATCAGCTCACATCTCGTACCAGTAACGCCCAAAACAAGGGAATAATACCGCAATTGGGCATGACTACTGGTAGTCTGCTAAAAGACGAACAAGCCCGGTAATTCCGCCGCCGCCAGACGATAGCTTGCGGCGGCAAATATCTAGTAAGAGGAGCGGGGGAGGGGCATCGTTGTGGTGCAGAGATGACTATCATAGGACGGTCAAAGAGGGGTTCCGAAATGCCTCATTCCTCGTTCCGTTGGGACGAATAAGGATTATAAATGCGCGCCAGAAGCGTGAGTTCGGCGAAAATGAAAAATCGAAGAAAGGGAAAAAAAATTGGGTCCGCCGGTCGAGAAGGGCCATACGGATAATACTATTAGCCGTGCAAAGACGGAGGTGGCAGCTCCGGGCAACATGCCCGATAATACCGCCGTGGAGAACAGTAAAGCAATTAGAAAGAAAAGGCTGGACATGTACTCATAAAATTGCAATCACTGCCGAGTGTTTTTCTTCTTCTTTTATTCTCCTCATCTGAAGCGGTTTCGGATAAACCGGATCAGCGAGGTAGAGCTGGAGTGTGAAGGGTTGAATTTTCCTGACTAGTAAGGCTTTAAAAGACAAGGATGACGGGATGGATATAACAATGGAAAGAAATGGAAAGACAGGATAGATGGACAAGAAGCGCCTGCCTCGGTCGATGCCGAGAATAAAATATATCGAAGGTGATACTACTCGTACAATTATTCCGTACCTGTACGATTCCGGAATAATACACAGCCTGCCGACCTTGGACGGCGGGGGCTCTTTCGCGTGACAGTGAGAAATAGGGCTGGCCACGATGCTCCGGCAGCGGCGGAGGGTGCCCCTCGACCCCCACTACGGGGGACAGAAGCTCGGAGTACACTGTACCTACGATCAGTCAGAATAATACTCCTCTCAACACGACTGGGGGAGCGGAGTAACGGTGGTCGCTGGGGCAGAATGCCTGGATCATACTCGTATTCAGTTAAGAGCTAGGTACTGCCGGTGTGTTTTACTGTACAGCACCGCGAGATTATGTGGTGCTCTACGGAGCAGTGCTGCCCCTCGTTGCCCCTCATTACCCCTCCTCGTACCCTCTCGCCACGCCTCAGAGGCGCGTCACTCGATTTCCTTCCCTTTGGACAAGTCCGCAAAGGGGAAAAGGAGGAGGAATGAGAGAAAAGGAGGAAGAAATGAAAAATGCGTTTCCGTGTACTTTGCCATGTGCATAGACGGCAAGATGCCTCCCCGCCGCATCCCACCCAAGAGGTCTTACGTAGGCCTGGAGTGTGTATGATGTGGGAGAGGCATTTGAGTCCGGAGCCAGCGGGGACCATGTACGTCACAAGATCGGTTTCGGTGATGACAAAACCATTACAGCTACTCTTCACAACAACCTCTGACTACTTACTAGCAATGTTACTGTAACTGATCATATCCGTAATATTGTTGATACTGCTACCACCACCAGAAAAGAATACCACACTCGGAGTTCCGTGCTCCTTGGTACTGGGTACCGCCCACCAGGGTTCCCTCTTATTACCCGCTTTTCTTGGCACGTCTCGCGCTGTGACATGCGCCTGTCAATCCAGCCTCGGGCTCGTCTCTCTAGGGGGAAGACGCTTCTAGGGGATGAGAAGCGCCGACAAACTCTAAATCTGCCCTGTATCTCCCTAGAGCCTTTTGCAAGGTTCTTCCTGACTTGCTTAGTACTTGTATCACCTCTCCACCCAGCTCCTTCTCTTTCTTAGCCCCCCCCCCTCCATTCATCTTCCGTCTCTCTCCCATCTCTCCTTCTCCTCCTCCTCCATCTTCACATCTCCATCCTCCTTTCAACCACATCTGCCATCTGTTACGAGCACAGTTGGCTGTCTATTCATACCCTCTTCTATAAACAACTCTTCTCTCCAGTTCGCCCATCATGTCTGGCCCCGTGTAAGTCGCTCTCCCATCTTCTTTTCCCCCTACCCCTCCATGCTTATGGAATTACCCCGCCACCCCGCCGCCCTCAACGGACTCTGCTCTGGTTTGAGGGAAACTTGGGCTTCATCCATGACCTTAAATTTCCCTCAACTGCCCGCGAGACGCCCAGTCTTCGCTTTGGGCGTCTCGCTGACTGGCCCTCCCTCTGTGTTTCTTACCATCACTTCTCGTACCTTGGTCGTGGTCATGGCTCATGTTCCCGACCTAGCGCACGCTTGGAAAACATGAAGCTGGGAGGCGCCGGTCAACAAACCCAACCGTCCTCATCATCTACTCCTAGCTCGTCTCAACCTACGACTATTTCAGGAAATGCTGACTCTGTGCCAAGTGCGGATCTGGGCCTCATCGGCCTGGCTGTCATGTAAGTTTTATCCCCCTCCCACTCCCTCCGAAGAGTCCGTACGGTGACTCTCGGAGGACATTACTCCGGGATTCGGGAAGAGGCTGACCGAACATGTCGTCTTACAGGGGACAGAACCTCATTCTGAACATGGCCGACCACGGCTTCACCATTGCCGCCTTCAACCGTACTGTCTCCAAGGTTGACCGATTCCTGGAAAACGAGGCCAAGGGCAAGTCCATTGTCGGCGCCCGCACGGTTGAGGAGTTCGTGAGCAAGCTCAAGTCTCCCCGTCGTATCATGCTTCTCGTCCAGGCTGGTACCGCTGTCGACGACTGGATCGAGAAGGTCCTCCCCTTCCTCGATGCCGGTGACATCATCATCGATGGTGGTAACTCTCACTTCCCTGACTCCAACCGCCGCACCAAGTACTTGGCCGAGAAGAAGATCCGCTTCGTCGGCTCCGGTGTCTCTGGTGGCGAGGAGGGTGCCCGCTACGGCCCCTCCATCATGCCCGGTGGTAACGAGGAGGCTTGGCCCCACATCAAGGACATCTTCCAGAGCATTTCTGCCAAGAGCGACAACGAAGCCTGCTGCGAGTGGGTCGGCGACGAGGGTGCTGGTCACTACGTCAAGATGGTCCACAACGGTATCGAGTACGGTGACATGCAGCTCATCTGCGAGGTACGTCCACTCACCAACATATGCACACACAAATCACACGTAGCACCTCGTTTCTTCTGTCCGCTTGTTACAGCATGACTGTAACACGGCCAGCGAACGACAGTGACACATGCTACATCACCACTGCAGAACCATTGAAACATGACCGGGTGGACATGCGCTAACCCTCCCTTCCCCGCAGGCCTACGACATCATGAAGCGCGGTCTCGGTCTCTCTAACAAGGAGATGGGTGACGTCTTCGCCAAGTGGAACAAGGGCGTCCTGGACTCTTTCCTCATTGAGATTACCCGTGACATCATGTACTTCAACGACGACGATGGCAAGCCCCTCGTCGAGAAGATCCTCGACCAGGCTGGTCAGAAGGGTACTGGAAAGTGGACCGCTGTCAACTCTCTTGACCTCGGCCAGCCCGTAACCCTCATCGCCGAGGCCGTCCTGGCCCGCTGCCTGTCTGCCCTCAAGCCCGAGCGTGTTGTGGCTGCCAAGAAGCTGCCCTTCGCTAGCCGCACCACCAAGTTCGAGGGTGACAAGGAGCAGTTCCTCGAGGACCTTGAGCAGGCTCTCTACGCCTCCAAGATCATCTCGTACGCCCAGGGCTTCATGCTTATGCAGGAGGTAAGAGACAACACAAAATCCCCCCSGGKCCCCCCCCCCCCCACAGTGATCAACATCTGAATATGCTGCTAACAGTGATCTCACTATAGGCTGCCAAGGAGTACGGCTGGAAGCTCAACAAGCCTTCCATCGCCCTCATGTGGCGTGGTGGCTGCATCATCCGTTCCGTCTTCCTCAAGAACATTACCGCTGCCTACCGCAAGGACCCTGACCTACAGAACCTCCTCTTCGACGACTTCTTCAACGAGGCCATCCTCAAGGCCCAGCCCGGATGGCGCGAGGCCGTCTCCAAGGCTGCCCTCCTTGGTATCCCCACCCCCGCCTTCTCGACTGCTCTGTCCTTCTTCGACGGCTACCGCACTGAGTCGCTGCCTGCCAACCTCCTTCAGGCCCAGCGTGACTACTTCGGTGCCCACACCTTCAGGATCAAGCCCGAGGACGCCAACGAGAAGTACAAGGTTGGCACCGACATCCACGTCAACTGGACTGGTCGTGGCGGTAACATCTCCGCTTCGACCTACCAGGCTTAAGCGGCTGGTCCGATGATGACTGATGAGCGGAGGCGGTTACCGATGACGCAATGGGATGCAACCGTATGTGAGGAGGGTTGTGAGCACGTCGGTAAACTCAACTCCGAAGTTTTTAGCGCAGCTAGTATTCTTGGAGACAAGAGGATAATTTGAAAAAAAAAAAAAATTAGAACAAACGTTCAGTACTGTTCACCAGTCTTGAGTGATGTGGGAGTGTTTATGTATCCTAGAAGCATGTGCAAGGTGACATTTCGCATATCTTGCTTCTGTTCCATTCGGTGTACACAATGAATGATATCTATTGTTGATGGTCTTAGGCCACATTGGTCACGTGGTCGAGCCAGCCTTTTTGGCCGCACATCTCAGTTCAGCTAGCTAGCTTTCATCATCTTCTTCAGGTATCTTGTGCCACTTCCCTGGTGCCCCAACATTTATCGACGTGGGGCTCCAAATTCACAAATCATGTCTCGACAGTCAGAGAAAATTGTGTGTGGATGATGTACTCCGTACCATGACGGTATTGTCGTCGCGGTGTTTTAACAGCAAGACCAAGCTGCTACATAATGAATACTAAGTTTTGGGGGAGAGAAGAAAGAAAAAGAAGAAAGAACACGACATTGATAACTAAATCTGAAACAAAAGGAAGAAAAAAAAATGCGTGGATTCGTGTAGACATGACATTATAGAAGGGGGGAGGGAGGAATGAAAAGTTGGCGGTATGTTATCTTTTTTTTTCTTCCCCTAGCAACAAATACCTCTAGAGCCTGTGCTCCCTCTCAGCGACGCGCAGACGGCTATTCTGGGGATCATACACAGGATCACGGGTGACGGTGACGGGGATACGGCGGCCAAAGTATTCAACCTCGAAGGTGGCACCTTCGGCCACGTCGGCGGGAAGGTAGGCATAGGCCAAGGGCTTACGGACAGAGTAACCGAAGCAGGAGCTGGTGACGTAGCCTACTGCAGCAGCACCCTTGGCAAAGACGGGTTCTTTACCCATGAGAACGGATTTCCCATCGTCGATGAGCAGACAGCGCAGACGACGGACGGGCTTGGCAGCTGAAGAGCTCAGCCTGGCCAGGGCGGCGCTGCCAACAAAGTCCTTCTTGGTACCGGGCTGGATGGCATAGTCGACGCCAGCCTCGAAGGGGTTGTCCTCGGTGGACATGTCGACTCCGTAGGAGCGCAGGCCCTTCTCGAGGCGGAGGGCGGACAGGGAAGCCTGCCCAGCGGGGATGAGGCCGTAGGGCTGACCAGACAGGAGGAGGGCGTCCCAAAGGCGCTGGCCGTGCTCGGCGCTGGTGTGGATCTCCCAGCCCGGCTCGCCGACGTAGGACATGCTCATGAGGGTGACGGGGACCCCAGCGATGACTGCGCGGGAGACACGCATGGGCCTGGCGGAGGCGGGCTCGACGCTCCGGCCGGCGATGGCCATAACGTCCCGGGAGCGGGGGCCCCACAGGCCCAGGGCGCAGGTGGCGCCGGTGATGTCGCGGACGGAGACGGGCTCGGTCTCGAGGCGGGCCTCACGCGTGAGGTAGGCCACGTCCAGGGGTCCGTTCGTACCGAGCTGGAAGGACTGATCTGACAGACGGGCGACGAAGAGGTCGCTGCGGATTCCGGCGGCGTCATCGAGGAGCAGGGTGAAGGTGACGGTGCCGGCCGGCCTGGAGGCAAAGTCGGTCGTGGTCAGGCGCTGAAGCAGGGGCAGGGCCCCCGGGCCGGACACGTCGACGCGGCAGATGGACGTGACGTCGTACAGGGCGGCGGCGGTGCGCGTCCTCCACGCCTCGACGGCGGAGATGGGGGACGTGAAACGCGCGGACCAGGCGTCCTGCCTGTCGACGGGGGACCAGTGGGCCGGGACTTCGGGCAGGAGGGCACCGTTGGCCTCGTACCACTGCGGCCGCTCCCACCGCTGGCCAGGCGACTCGAGGAAGTAGGCTCCCAGGGCAGCCTGGCGGGCGTGGAAGGGGCTGACACGCAGGTTGCGCGGCGATCGGCGCGGCTGCATGGGGTGCACTATGTCATAGACCTCGACGAAGTCCTGGGACGACGTCTCGAGCACGTACTCGGGCGTCAGATGGACGGGGTCGAAGCGGGTGAGGTCGCAGCCGGCGAGGTCGAGGGCCGAGCGGCCGTCGGTGAGGATCTGTGCCAAGGCGCGGGCCACGCCGGCCGAGTGCGTGACCCACACGGCTTCGGCGACGTAGAAGCCCTGCAGGTTGGGCGACTCGCCAACCAGGGGCCCGCCATCGGGCGTGAAGGACAGGATGCCGTTGAAGCCCTCTGCTATCTCAGTGTCGCGCAGGGCTGGGAGGAGCTTCCGGCTCAGGTCCCAGGCGGGCGCGAACTCATCGGCCGTGAAGGGCCTGCGCGACGGCATGTTGTGCTCGGTGACGGAGCGCGGCGTGTCGCCCAGCGAGGCGGCGACGACGGGGTGCGGCTCGTGACCGTAGTAGCCTATGCCGTAGCGGTCGCCGTGCTCGCGGTAGTACAGGTCATGGTCCTGGTGGCGCAGGATAGGCAGGCCGGCGCCGTTGGGGAGTTCGTTCTTGCCCTGCTGCGAGGGCACGCTGGTGGTCTTGGCGTAGTGGTGCTCCATGGGCACGAGGGGGATGTGTGTGTCGGCCATGGCGCCGACCTCGACGCCCCAGAAGCCGGCGCACGACACGACGACGTCGGCGGGGATGACGCCCGCCTCGCGCGTGACGACGCCCGTTGCCCGCCCACCGGCCTTGTCGATGCCCGTCACCGTGGTGGACCCGAGGTAGCGCACCCCGGCGGCGCGCGTGCGCTCGATGAGCAGCTGCACCGCCCGCGCCGCCAGCGCGAGCCCGTCGGACGGTATGTGCAGGCCCGAGAGCACCTCGCCCTCGTCTATGAGGGGGTACAGTGCCACGACCTCCTTGGGTGTGAGAATGCTGGCCTCGACCCCCCACGACGCCGCGAAGCCGGCCTTGCGCTTGAGCTCCTCGACGCGCTCCGGCGTCGTCGCCACCTCCATCCCGCCCACGGGGTTAAAGCAGCCCTGCCCATCGGGGCCCTTGATGGACTTGAGTTTCTGCACTGTGTACTGGGCGAACCGTGTCATGGTCCTGGACGGGTTGGTCTGGAACACCAGCCCTGGGGCGTGCGAGGTCGAACCTCCCGGCATGTCCAGGGGTCCCTGCTCGACGACGGTGATGTCCTTCCATCCTCGGGAGACGAGCTCGTCTGCTAGGTTGGTGCCCACTATTCCTGCGCCTATGATGACGACTCGTGAAGATGTGGATAGGGGCATTGTGAATTATCTCTTTCTTTCTTCTTTCTCTTCCCTTTCTCTATGTTGAAGAAAAGTAGATAAATTAGAGCCCCCAATACGAATTTGGAAGAGAGAGAGAAAGAGATGTGATTAAGAGAGGAATAATAAAAGAATAGAAGAAAATTGTATAATGATATTGCTATAGACTTCTTCCAACCAGACTTGGACACGAGGGTATATAAGAAGAGGCCGACCAGGAGGGGAGGGGCAGATTTGAACCAACAATTGATAAAAGACTGCCCCTCACTTCCGATAGAGGAGCAGTCCTGTCAAGACAAGTGTACCTTTAGGAATTTTTGGTTCCAATCTCATGATAGTAAAAAAAAAAATATACAAATACAAAAAGACGACAGCTTAGAACCATACTCATCATTCAATGTGGAGGAGGGGGGTGTGCGTGTAAGTCGGGTCGATGAAGGCGCTCACGTGATCGGTCTCACGGAGTGTGGGGCCGACCGGCATGATGGTGGGGGGGGGGGGGGGGGNGAGGGGGGGGGGGGGGGGGGGGGGAGAGGGAGGGGTGTGTGTGTGTCCCGGGATCGGACCATAGTAAACAATCTATCCTATTACACGCTGTGCATTTCACAACGCTGGAGCTAATATATATATATATAATAATAATAATAAAAAGAAGATGGAAAAATAAACAAAACAAAGGGGTGTCTTGGGGAAAAGAGAGAACGTCCTTTTCTTTTTCTTTTTTCTTTCCACCCTTGTCGTATGTCGGTGACTCCTGTGTACAAGGAAAAGGCGGCCCGCGATATCCACACACACACACAGAGAGAGAGAGAGAGGAGGGGGCAAGGCACACATGCTTTGGGCTGAACCACTATCTCATCTCTTATTTTTCTTTCTTCTTTTCTTTTTATGTCATAGAGAATAGATTAATTGCGTGGGGATTATGGATAGTTGTACGAGACGGTAGATCGGCTTAGCCCGCTCTTCAAAGATACGGGACGTGTGCTTGTCGGTCCTGTATCAGTCCCCTCCTTCTTCCTCTTCTTCTTCTCTCTCTGACATTTGTTATTTTTAGCTATATTGGCAGCAATATCTTTTCTCTTTCACGTGGAAACCCTGACACCTTCGCCCAGCCTACAAGAGACACACACACTCCCGCACTTACACGGTGATAGATCATCGTCTGCCCCGTCCAACACAGTATACAGACGCGGTACATAGCATAGATGCAGTACATAGACACGAGATGTATCCCAAATACCGCTGACCAAGGCTTCTTATGGGTTCACGTGCAATTTCTTCATTAGACGCTATCAGCAAAAGATACAACTTTGGACCCTTCGTCCAACTTCAACCTCTTCTTGCCATAGTACATCTCAAATCTCTTCCCCAAAGCCTTTCAATCAGGCTACCTCACCATTTCAGGGAACAGATCCGAATGGACACCGTTTAGCGCATCAAACCAGGTCTGCGTCTTCTATCCTAGGGAAAGAAATTCGATGTATCCAATAATGTATTCATGTGCATTATGGTTTGTAGGTGAATGATCTGAGAAGCTTCCAAGTATATATCACAAATCATGCGCTTGCCAGGAACAATGTCAAAAACAGAAATAGCCAAGAGGAGTCTTACTCGTCCTCGCAACATAATGGTTGAAATGACTCATTCCTGCAATGCCAGCCAGTAACAGTGAGTGAACGTGAAAACAAAGATATCCCATCGCTTGTGCTAAATCAAAATAAATATAGTCCAAAATCATTGATACAGTCCCCAAAAATACATCAGAGTTGACTAAACATTATGTTGCTGAAATTACCCCCCTCCCACCATGCCATGCTTCTGTTCTCTCCCATAGCATGCGACTGGGACTGATCGTAGCTCGCATCTGCCAGGTTGGCTAGTTGGAGAGAGTCTGCGTACAGCCACGGTGTAAAGTTGAGACTGAGGTTATCCGCCTGGTCGGCAATGTACCTGGCGTTTCGGGCCGCATTCCACGACGACGATGTCGAGGAAGACTGCGGTGGTGGTGGCGGTTGTGGCGCCCTGCCCTTGTACGAAGAAGACGACATGGTAGGTGCCTCCTGACCGCCGTCAGCCGTGTTGATGGAGATCTCGGGGGACGTGGCGACAATGATCTCAATGGTCGAGTCCTCGTCGGGTTCCTGCCGTCTACGTGGAGGTACCAGAGATGAATCTAAGAGACCGCCCGTTGGGCTCTCTTGCGGCTGCTCGGTCGAGTTGAACTGTAGGATCTCCCACATCAGGGGCACGCTCAGGTAGATTTTGGAGGGCATCCAGTCCTCTACGTCCATGCTTTCCGGACCGGCGGCCATCTGCGTCATCTTGTCAAGATTGCGGTCCTGTTTGCTCATTAGAAAAATTTATTAACGGGAATCCCTCCTGCTTCTCCTTCACTCCTTTTGTTCTTTCCTCCTCCTACCCTTCCTATTCACCTTGATAGATGTGTACTTACCAGTTGTGCACAGCCTGCGGAGTGGAACAAAAATCCCTTGAGAAACCTCCTGCACTTTGCAAAGTCCGTGTTAGACTTATGCTTGAGCCTGGGGGACGCAGCGCAGCAGTAATACAGATGGACCGTTGCGGCAATGGCAGCAACATGACCGAAAAAGGGGTCGGCCAGGGGAATATGCTTGTCGACCACCATGTCTATCATGCGGACAATCCAGGTGGCGTGCAGCAGGGCGAGCTCTGAGGAGCGCCGCCAAAAGGTGTTTGGGATGGCCAGGTTCGGATTGTGCTGGGCACCGATGATGTAGAGGAACGGGTGGTTGAGAACGGTGGGGATGGCATGGTAGGTGAACTGTTCCTTGAGCCAGGGGGCCCAGTAGTCGCGGTGCATCTTAATCTCCTCGACATTACGTTTGTAGAACTTGGCCGAGTCATAGCGATGGCATATAGGTATACTGTTCTCCGTCTCCATAAAGTCGGACACCACCTTGGCGTACATGGAGTCGTGACGCCAGGGCTCCTTGAGGATATTGCGGGCGCAGTTGGAGACGTACTTTCGGACCTGGCTCCAGACCCAGGCAAGATGTGCTCCTGTGTTCCAGATTCCCGGCTCACTGGGGTCCGAGGTTCCGAGTTCATCACGGGGGAGCGGCGGGGCCGTGGGGTCAATCTCAATGTTGCCAGCATCAGTCGACCACCAAATCTTGCTGGGGCTGCTTAGGAGCCCCGTCTGGCGGCCATAGAAATGCTCGAGCAGTTGGAGGCTCCAGAAGAGCCTCTTCTTGCGCTCCGTAGTCCGGTCTTCCAAGGCGTAGACGAGGTCCAGGTCCAACATGGCTGACCGGCAGAGTTGGAAGGCGAGACCGAGATGAAACTGACCCAGGTGAAAGTTGCCATCTGTTTTTTCTTTTCATCAGCACACACATAGCCTGCAGCGTATTACACATCTCCTTACCAATGAATGAGGAGTAGGAAAGCAAACACAGGCTCTCGATGGTGGTGAGCTCGACGGAACCATTGGCGACGCGGAGCATTATGAGCGTCTTTGCCGTCTCGCCGTACAGCTGCAGCTGCACGCGCTTCTCGGAGAAGCGAGAGGTCAAGGCGAGTATGCTGCATGCTAGCTCCTCGGGTATGGCTTCATAGTTGCTGACCTGGTCACGATCAAAGCACCAGATGGGCTGGCGGTGGCAAAACTTGAAGTAGAGGCCGATGCCATCCTGGATATCGGACCTACCAGGGAGTAACGTCGAGTCCTCCGAGTCGAAGAGTACGGTGGAAGGGTGTGAATAAAGGCTGGGGGCCTTGCCGGACTCGGGAGCGGGAGGGGTGGCCGAGCAGGATTTGTCTGAGACGTCGGGAATGTCCTCGAGGGGCGCAGAGGCAGTATCTGAAGGGTGGGAGGAGGAGGAGGAGGAGGGATGGTTGGTCCTGAAAAATGTGGTCAGAACGTCCCCGCGTTCACAATGGTGTCAAGTCGTCTCATGTACAAGCCGCCGTTGAGAAGGAGATCCAGCTTTTCTTCCAGGCTGGCCAATCTCTCTTCCTGGTGGATTTGTTTTGGCGAGATATCAGCTTCTGTTCTTCTCTTCTCCCTCTCTCTCATCTTGGCCGCAAGGCGGGAAATGCATGGTTGAGACTAACGGATCGTTCATTCTTTGCTTTTGCTGCTGGTGGGTAGGAGCAAGGTTGGCTGAGCCGAGAGCAGCTGGAGCAGACCGGCCTCTCTCCGGGACATCGAGTCTTTTTTCTTCTATGAGTCCGTGTATCAGTATTGATAGCAAAAGATAATGATTACAGAAAAGATTTTTATTTTTTTTCCTGTGGTAGGAGAGAGAAGGGGGTGAGGTAAACGAGACAAACCGGCAGGTGAAGCAGGCGTGGTGCGACCGTCTTCGGCCACGAGACTGTGGCGCTTCGTCTGGGGGTGTCATTGTTATGAGTTGAAGGTGAGATGGCCAACCAGCCCAGTTGAGGGTGGTGACGACGCCTCAAAGGCCAACTTATTTTTCCTTTTCTTCTCGTGTGTATCTTGCGTTTCAGGCGTGGTTTTATGTCTTGAATAGCAAATGAGGTAGAGATCTGACAAGCTGAGAAAGAGCCAGTCGTGAAAAGGATGTAGACGATATATACTCCCCCCTGTGTGTGCTTGTGCGTGTGTGGGTGCGTGTGTGGAAATGTGTAGATAGTATTACGGATGGTTGTGGTGTTACTATGTACGACTCGGGGAGTATATGGTAGTAGTAGGTAGCAGTGGTAATAATGACTGAAGTTGGTCCCTCCCCCCTCACGGTTAATACATAAACAGGGAAACTATTCGTACACACTGTGTGCTCCTTCCTCTTGGATAATGTGGATGGGGGTGGGAGGGAAAGTGCGACGGAGGGTGCGGAGGAAGGTACGAGTACGATGAAAAGGGAGGGCAATTCCAGTAGTATTGGTACTTTACCACTTCTATAAAGTACCTGATTCATACCTGTGCCGTGTACGTAAGGTACTGCTACTACTACTACCACTATGTAGTAGTATACGAACATGCACAAAGGACGGAAGGCACGAAGGGACGGGGGGCGGATATGGAGAGGGAGGCGCGATACACACTCTTAGCAACTTGCCCGGCTCCTGCCTCTGTTGAAGTGGCTAACGCGGGGTTGACATGGTCCTTTCCTCATTTGGCCAAGTATCGAGATAAGAGAAAGCCAGAGGTCCAGGCCCAGCCCAGTCAGGTTCCACGTATTATCACCTGCTATTTAACTTATTATTGTCCGTTGCCCCGTTATAAGAGCCGCGCTATCTGCCTTGGTTGGTGTTTCGGACTCTCGTTCATACAGGGTGGGAGCGAGAGTGTCGGTCTCTTCTTACATCAATCAGTACTAGTGCTAATACACGCTATCTCGCGGTTTGATATCGAAAGATATCGAAACACAAGGTATGCCAACAACGGGTAATAATGAGCAATAGGGACAGAAAGTACTCTGTAGTAGAGAAGAATCAGAGAGAAGGGACGAGACTATATTCAATTGCGGGTCCTGAAGATAGAAGAAAGAGGAGAATAAGAAAGAAAGGGAGAGAATACGGACGTGGTTCGGCGCCCCATTTGCAATGCACTAGACATGATTGATTGATAAGTCGCCGCAAAGTCCGGGCGCTATACTCCCATCCCTGCTCATATAATTAATACACTACGAACAATTTCCCCTTCCCGCTCCTGAATGACCGTGATACGATTGCCATGTTCTGCTGGTCCGAATTTTCTATTGCTCGTACTAGTTGTATTACTGATCCTTGAAGGTGCACCGTATTATAGGGTCACATGCACCTGTGGAATTTGGCTGTTGCCTTCTTCTCTTGAAAGCCATATGGAGTAAATACGTTGCATTCAAGTGCTATCCCTGGACTCCGACGTCGGATCAGTTCCTTATCAGACGACGTCACATCGACTACCCCCAGTCTTCTTCATCTCACTGAGCTTAATGACATCTCATATATGACGGGAAGATCACCCTGTTTTTAATAAGACTTTATATGCTTCTTATGTATCAACGTCAAAACGAAAAGGGACCAAAATTCCCGAAAGAAAGAAAAATGCATGAATTCATCTCGTCTCGCTGCCACATGTCTATAATACGTCTTTCCCTCCCGACTACAGCCTGGCCACTGTATCCTCCAGATCGCTCATCTCTGCCCTGGGCCACTCCGGGTTGAGAGCCGGGTCAGGCCTCACCCGATCCCACGCCCACCGATCTACCAGCTCCTGCTCCAGGTTGCCTTCGAGCATCTCGACGATGTACTTACCCAGAACAGGGAAGAACTTGTAGCCGTGGAACGAGCCGCACGTGGCAACATAAAGGCCCTTGGCGGCCGGATGAGGCGTGATGATGAAGTCGCCGCTCGTGGTGAAAGCGTCCCTGTTGTGATGATGGTTCGACGTCAGCACATACTAATTCGCACGTCATGTATCGAAGTACATGTATGTACATATATATGTACATGTGTCGATCTCGGCGGATGGTCAAACTTACCAGCAGATGCGGTGCTTGCTCATGGGCCACGCGGAGCCGCGCTTTCCGTAAAACACTTGGTTGGCGTAGTCGACGTCGGCCTTGAGCTTCTTGGACACCTTCCACTGGGCGTAGTCGCGGGCGGGAGGCGGGGCGGACACGAAACGTCCTGGGAGGATCTCGCGGGTGTTCTTGAAGATGGTGGGCCCCCACCACTTGAGCTCCCTGTCCGGGGTGGGCGGGAGGCTGCCGATGAAGGGCCCGATGGCGGCCGGGTAGCCCTGGAAGCCAACGGGCATGGTGGCGTAGGTCTCGAGGGTCTTGTTGTCGAGCGTGGCCATGCCGGTGGTGATGCCTCCGGCGACGATCCTGTCCTCGGCGCGGAGGTCGGCCTTGCCGCTCTCGGCAGCGCTGTACTCGAGGAGCTTGGAGGTGTAGGCCCCGGTGCACAGGATGACCTTGTCGGCGGTCAGGACCTCGCCCTGCACGGTCTTGACGCCGCGGCAGCTGGTGCCGGCCCGGTCAAACTGCAGCGTGGCCACGTCGGCCGTCACGTACTTGACGCCCAGGTCGAGGGCCTTGCGGGTGACGGCGCGCAGGCAGTCGCCCGCGGCGGCCCAGCCGCTGGTCCGGTTGATGAGCACCTCCTTGGCGCCGGCGTAGTCGGCGTCGGCGAAGAGGCCGCCGTACATCTCGCGGGCCTCCTCGACCGACACGGAAAAGAGGTCGGCCGTGCGCCCTAGCTTCTTGTAGTTGTTGATGACGTCCTGCGCGTAGTCGGTGCGGCACACCCAGTACACACCCGTCTCGTGGAAGTACGGCTTCCACAGCGGGTCCGTCCTGAATACGTCCTGCGACTCAATGGCCAGCCGGCAGTACAGGATGTCGTCGTAGTCGGCGCGCACCACCTTGTTCCAGTCCCACGAGGCCGCCACGCGGCTATCTGCATCGAAGGCGTCGCGGTCCACCAGGGTCACGGAAGCACCTGGGTACTTGGTGATGAGCCGGTAAGCGGTCGAGACGCCAAACACGCCGGCTCCGAGGATGAGGTAGGAGGGCGCCGGGGTCAATGGCTTCTCGGTGGGCTTCTCAGTGGACTTCTCGGCGGGCTTCTCAGCGGACTTCTCGGCCACCGCCGGCTTCTCAACGAGCGCGGACGAGGATGAAGACGAGGCCATCTTGACGGATATGGGAGACGCGTCTAGAGTTATGCCGAGGGGAAACAGTGACAGCATGAAAGATGACTGGTACGTGTATAATTTTTCAATACACAAGAAAGAATTGTAGATGGCAACGTTCAAAGTTGGGAAGATATATCACCAACGTGGAGGAAGAGGAGTTTGAGCTTCGCGGAATCGGAAGCCGAAGTCAACACCCCGCTTCAAGCGTCACGACTGATCACAAGGGCGTAGAAGACCTCGAATTAAAGGAGAAAGTAAGTCAGATAGAAGCGATGTATTGGAAGAGAGATGGACAAGTTCAATGGATATTATTCGTAATTGTTGATCTCTTATTCGATGTGGGGAGAGGGGAGGGCACAACTGCCTTCCAATGTCCCACCATCATCGTCACGTAGGAGCGCGTGTCAATTGGAAAGATAACTCAATATTCGAGGTCGAATGAGCCCGATACCGGAGCTCCCCAGCCCCGGATATCACCGGCATTAGAGAAATAAAGCGGTAAAACGCAGCAAAAACCTGGAGTTAGGTAGGTAATGTTGAAAGGTTGAAAGCAACCATCGTATGTTGTCCCGGGTTACTATCTTGTAAGTCAGAGTCAAAGTTCCCAATTCCGATCACGTGGTCCTAGGGGAGGGGTGCGTGGAAACAAAGGATGATGATCGTTGATGCAATCATCGTGTCGGGCACTTATCATGGACTTTGTCTGGCAGGAATGCGACAGAGGCTTTGGGAGTACATTGTGCAGGACCAGTCCCAAGGTCCAAGATAGATGATATTGCGGGGAGTTAGTATGGGACACCGGAATAGACCCCGCTCCTCCCGGTTTTCCTCTCTCTACTATCAGTCTCGCTCTGAACATACTGTGCTAGTGCAGAACTCCGTCTGATGTCGACACAAGGTATAAAGTCATGAGTCTTTCGAAAACCTCGACAGGTTACGCATGACTGGCGCGGTCGCATACGCTAATGCACAAGGTGCAATCCGCTCTCCCAAAACGGCAATGCAGCATCATGTACAGCCTCTTGAGCCGCCACCTAAACCACCCCCCCCCCCCCCCCCCCCCTGGTCCTGCATACTCCGTTCTCTCCGCACGCACTAACATCACTTGTTTTGCTACTATGTTTTGTTTACTATCACTCAGGCTCACATACGGAGGAGGGTGGTGGGTACATTGATGCGAGATGCATATTACACGTACCTATGTGACGAAAACTCCACTCCCCATCTTCAAAGTTGAGCTTCATGGTACCCTCTATCCCAAATGCCGGGACTGGTGTTCATGCCATGCTACCCAGAAACATACACAAAGTGTGACGATAGCCCTCTCCCCACATAGCACATACTCTCTATTGCTCATCATCCGGACATCATGCCGAACCCGTCTTTCCCTAAGCGCCCCTGCCCCCTGGGAAGGCGAAGGGAGGGGAGGTGTCATGATATCAACCCGCGCTAATTGGTGCCCACGTTCCTCTTTAAATCCCCTCCCCACCTCATGTTCGTATCTGGTCCTGGAAGTATGATACGGCAGTGGTTGCCCTTTATTTCCCCAAAATGGACAGTGCACGACTCCAGTATCGAGAACATATGCTTCATACTGAGTATGTATTATTCATTCATGAATCACTCCGTCCGAACCGGTTTCAACTCCACTCTCCTGCCCTCCGTGATATCCCACCACATCGGAGACGGCCCCGGAATACCGTGGTCTCAATACAGGAATCTCGATTCTCGATTACTACCCCTCCACACTCTATAACGTAACTCTCGGACACAGACGGTCAGGTGTTCGCGTTTCGTGAGGGAAAGGCCATCCGTGATAACCTCAAGCCTCGGATGGTGGCGTGCAAACATGTACACGCATGCTTCTATTGTTGGGGTCCTGTCTGTCCAGCATGGATGTATATTTTTGATGTGTATCTAGAACATGACGTGGCGCGCATCGTTGGCATGCACTCGGAGCTTTCTATCTATCGTCTACTAGCTATTGACTGTTGTCGTAAGATCGACACGTTAAGAGAGGCTTATTATTTTTAGTGGCGTCTAGAGCGAAAGGAAAGGACCCGCTACTGGCAGCCTGTGAGGCTCTCTGCTCTTCTGTTATCTCCTAGGGGACGATCTAAGGCAGTTGGTGCGCGCGCAAGAGTTGAAAGGGAGGGAAGGGGGGCGTGTAAGTCGGGGTGTGATGCCGGTCACATGACCGGATTCCCTTCAACTTCGTACCAAACTCGGGCACGACTCGCCACTTACACGACCAGGAGCTGAGATGGCTCTATCTATTGTCAGGTCGGATATCTCTGATCGAGGCCGAGCTAGTCGTGTGGGAAGCTCAAGCCTGGCGTGTAAGTCGTAGCCGGGAGGGGGGGGAGGATGAAGATGGATGGAGGAGAGGAGGACGATAAACTAGTTAAAAGGGAGCTGGGATGCCGCGATCATGAAAACATTTAGATTGATAACTCTCAACAACAACAAACTTCTTAATACACTCTTCAAACCTCCATCTACAGAGTCTCCCGAGACTAGTCTTATAAGACCAACCCAAGAGTTTCCCATTAATATCCCAACTCTTTCGTGTTCTCCTCGAACAACAACAACAACAACAACAACAACAACAACAACAACAACAACACATACACACACACGCATAATACACAATGTCCTTCCTCAAGAGCTATCTGGGCTACGGAGGCAGCCAGGCTTCCAACGAGAAGGAGGCCGTCAGGGCCCTCCCAGCCTCATGGTACACGTCCCAGGAGATGTACGAGCTTGAGCGTCGGGCCATCTTCTCCAAGAAGTGGCTCTTCACCACGCACAAGGCGCGCATCCCCGACTCGGGAGACTGGTTGCGGTACGAGGTGGCAGGCTTCGAGTTCGTCATCTGCAAGGACAACAAGGGCAAGATCAACGCCTTCCACAACGTGTGCCGCCACCGTGCCTTCCCCATCGTGACGGAGGAGCAGGGCCACAGCCTCGTCTTCTCGTGCAAGTACCACGGCTGGTCCTACGGCCTGAGCGGCAACCTGGCCAAGGCCCCCGGGTACCAGGACCTCCCCGGCTTCGACAAGACCAAGAACAGCCTGCTGCCCATCCACGTCCGTGTCGACCGCAACGGCTTCATCTGGGTCAACATGGACGGCAAGGAGACGCCCGAGGTCTCCTGGGAGCAGGATTTTGCCGGCGTCGACGAGCAGCCCCGCTTCGACAAGTACACGTTCGACGACTACGTCTTCGACCACTCCTGGGAGATGGAAGGCCCGTACAACTGGAAGATCCTCGCAGACAACTACAACGAGTGCTACCACTGCAAGACGTCCCACCCGGACATCCCTGCCATCGCCGACCTCAGCAGCTACTACGTCAAGACCGAAGGTTGCCACATCCAGCACTTTGGCAACCCTACCCCTGAGCAGATCGCTCGAGGCTTCAATGTTGCCAGCACCTACTTCTTCCCCAACTCTTCTATGAATGTCTCGTAAGTTTTTCCCTCTTTCCCTACACACACACACACGCACACACACACACACACACACACACACACACACACACACATACACACACATACACATACATACACATACATACACATACAAGAAACAAAACAAAACAAGACAAAACAAAAGGCTAACAATATCGTGTTCAGCCCCCACTTCTTCTTCATCCAGCGCTTCGTCCCCAAGGGCCCTCAGCTGTCCATCATGAAGTACGAAGTCTTCCGCAACAAGAACTCGAGCGATGAGGACTTCAACATCATCAGCGACATGTACAAGCGCATCATGTCCGAGGACAAGTACCTCTGCTCCAACGCCCAGAAGAACCTCGACATAGGCGTCTTCGTCAACGGCGAGATGCACCCCACCATGGAGCAGGGGCCGCTGTACTTCCAGAAGCTCGTCCGCGAGATCGTCACAGAGCACCACCAGCGGGAGACAAAGGCCGACTGCGAGATCTGGCCATCCCGCCAGACCCTCCCCAACGCCGCCAACTCGGCTGTCAGCGAGAAGGACGTCAACTTCTGCTCCCGTGTCGACTGCTGCAGCAAGACTCCCAACAAGGAGGCCCTGGCCTTTTAAAAGGAAGGGTTCCTAGAGCGAGAAGATTGCGCAGGTGAAGTATGCAGAAGTATACATTCTCTCTTGTCGGAGATGATGCTGATAATGCCTGTCATGAAATCCTACCATTGAACACTCCTTTGTTCTTCCTTTTGTCATCATCCCATTAGTACTTTTTCTCCTTCTTTCTTCCATTAGCGTTGCAAGTTACCTAGGTTTAGGGACAGTTATCTATCTTTAATTTCTCTCAACACATTCATCATCCAAGTTGCCTCTTTTGATCCGTTGTCTTGACATAGAGGGATATATACGAGTACGTCGTTTGCTTGATGGAAGGGTATAGGTTGAGCTCTAGTTGCGTGTGTACGTACCCCTGTACCGCCTTGTCCCCTCTATAAGTAGAGTGGGCTCTCCTTGCCTTCCAAAAGGCACTTCTCAATGGATATTAGAATCTCGTGTAAGTTTTCCAGGTTCTTCATGATAGCTGCAGAGGATGTGCAGGTCCATGATACTACGAGCATATACTTTATACTCGGGTAGCACCTTGCGGATGTTGGTTGACTTGTTAAACGTTGCCTATACGAGTAGATTGCATATACGTGTAAGTGTGTGTATGCACGGCGCCATTGAGTCAACAACATGAAACAGACGATGCCTTGACGAATTCCACGCCTGAATAGATGTCTGCCCTTGATCTCCGCATCGATCCCATAAATTTCCGGCAGTGGGAACACAGAGAGAACAATATTGCTCGTATTGTTAGTTCGGTCATCAAGACGAAGACCGAGAGGGAAGGGTCCCGCCACCGACAGCCCAAGATTTGTCAGCGACAGTTTCGATGCCATGCCACAAAACTTCAAAGGGGGTTATGCCATCGAAATCACTGAGAGACGTTCCTGTTAAGATGCCAACCTGTAATATGGCCTGGATTTAAAAGTACAAGTACCGCCTGTATAGAGAGTACATCCGAACCCTGGTGCCAATCTAGAATATTAAAAGAGGCAGAAGAAAGAAGCGGAAGAAAGAAGCAGAAGAAAGAAGAGAAAAGACATCGTCACACATTCAAAGGCATTAGTCAGTGCAAGAGTTTCTATGGCTCTTGTGTAATGCGTGGTTCGGGACCGCAACTACAGGTATACGGGGGTTATAAATATATTCGTATTTGTCAAGATAAGTCACGAGGTTGGACAGGAACATGGCACAAGTACCTATACGCCACTCCTCCCTCCATATGAGAATAGCTGTGGGTCTGGGATCCTATAAGTACCTGTACCATGGATGTGTCCTCGGACTCGTTACTTCCTATGAATCAGTCTCACCATAGCGTGACAATATTCAAGTCCAAGTAGACCTGTTCTCCATCCACATCGACACTCACCTCCCAACCATATAGTAATCCATCATGAGTCTCGGTACAATACTCGTCACGGGCGCCACCGGCAAGCAAGGCGGCTCCGTCATCTCTGCCCTGCTTGCTGAGAAGGCCGAATACAAGATACTCGCCCTCACCCGCGATGCCTCGTCGCCTTCGGCCAAGAATCTAGCAGCCAAATCATCCGGCATCACGCTAGTCGAGGGAAACCTAGATGACGCCGATACCGTATTCGAGAATGCGAAGAAGCTTGCGTCGTCGCCCATCTGGGGTGTATTCAGCGTCCAGGTTTGTCCAACTCGACCCATCGAGCACACGCATGCATTGCCGATGCCCTAACGCGGTGCACCGCCACCACCAGACGCTCACCCCGAACAAGGCGGGACCTATAAACGAGGAGAGGCAGGGCAAGGCTCTCATAGATGCCTCGGTCGCCAACGGCGTCAAGTTCTTCGTCTACTCGTCCGTGGACCGCGGCGGCGAGGCCCGGTCCTCCGACAACCCGACCAACGTCCCCCACTTCGCCAGCAAGCACAACATCGAGCGCCACCTCATGGACCAGTCGCAGATGTCCTGGACCATTCTCCGCCCGGTAGCCTTCATGGAGAACTTCAACGGAGGCCTCATCGGCAGGATATTTGCGTCCTGCTGGCAGACGGCTCTCCCGTCGCGCCCGCTCCAGCTCATCGCCACCTCCGACATTGGCGTCTTCGCGGCCAAGGCCTTTATGGACCCGGACTCTGACAGGTTCAAGGGTAAGGCTATCTCGCTCGCCGGCGATGAGCTGACATTTGAGCAGATGTCGGCCGTCTTCAAGGAGAAGACTGGGTCCGACGTGCCGCTGTCTTGGGGATTCATGGCCAGGGTCACGTTCTATATGTCAGAGGAGATGAGCACCATGTTTAATTTCTTCGAGAAGGAAGGGTACGGCGCTGACATCCAGGAGCTGAGGAAGATTCATCCCGGGTTGAAGACGCTGGGTGCTTGGCTGCCTGAGTCGCCGTATGCGAAATGATAATCATCATCTACTTCTGAAGGGGAGGCTTGACGGCCTTGTTCGTGGACTCGCTGACTCATATCTGGCCATGTTTTGTTTTCGGTTTTTTTCTCTCTCAGCAATCTTGGATGGAATCATGGTTAGAGGTCAATACAATTCGATGCAATTTTTGTAACTTGACAACAAGAAGGATAATCAATCCCGCTGGCAGACTTCAGAAATTGAATTTGAAGCAAAGACAAAGAACATAGAAGATGAAAAAAGGAGCAAGAATACGCAAAAAAAAAAAAAAAAAAAAAAAAAAAAAAAAAAAAAAAAAAAAAAAAAGAAATGGTGCAACTGGGAGTCGAACCCAGGCCTCTTTCGAGACTGCGAAAGACAGGATTCCAGAGGAAACTGGACGAACCTGAACACAGCGCCTTAGACCACTCGGCCATCGCACCTGATGATGTGAATGGGAAGGAATGAGGCGGTTACGCCTCGTAAGCCGTTGACGCGCGAAGCTTGCATCCGACAGCTCTCTGCATGTGGCTCAGCAATGGTGCAGTGATTGGGACATATTGTGGCTGGTGACATCTGGAGCCTGTGGTGGTTGTGGCTGTGGAATGCACACCTCCCCGCTTTTGTGCTTCAGACGAGCATCCCCCATTGGCTCTTCATCTTCCTTCCTTTCCTCCCCTGCTTTGCTCACGCCCAGCGAGTTTTGGAGTCGCGCAACACGGGCGCAAAGGCAATTGGACGGTCCGTGAAGAAGCAAACGCCTCTTGAACTGGCATCATCATCGCACCACCCGCTCCCACCGCCCTCACCATCACTCATTCACATCAATCGCGCATCTCAAAAGTCAGCTGCGACGTCTGCGACGCCCACGCCCCGAGAGAACACGCGTTCTGCCTCTCTCTCCTCGTTGCGCAGCGCAGCGCAACGTGCACGTCGTCACCAAAAAAAAAAACATACATATACGAAGAAGAAGGGAAAAAAGAAAGTCCCAAGGGCCCGCCATCACTATGAACCCGTCCGATCCTAGTTTCACCGTCCCCCAGGAGCTGGTATGCAGCGGCAGATGACTTCAGTGCGCATTTTGAGAGACGCAACGGCTGACTTGTTCGACACAGATGCCCCATGTCCATCTCGTGTCTTCCCGTCGCTACCCTCATATCCCCCACGTCGGCATCAACGAGGTTGCGCAGTGGCTTCTCCAAGCACCGCTGATTGCGAGGGATAAGGCTCCTTTCTGTTGGCAAATGCTCGACAAGCCCGCCGATGGCACAATCCTCATGACGTGGCAGCCCCTGCAGCGCCTGGCCACTAACTTTGCCACGGACGGATACGTCTGGGCGCCTCCGGAGCAGCTGTACAAACACGACCTGGGCAATGGGCTGGTAAATATAGACTAGCACGCGATACGAACAAGGTAGAGAGACAACCCCTGTGCTAACTCAGTCTGTGCCACATCAGATTCTCGAGATCTACTACCTGAAGGCTGGATACGGCCCGCCACAGGAGCAGTACACGGCTCACGCCCGCCGCCGCTTCCGCCTGGTCCCCGCATCCGGCCACCCGAACGCGCCGCAGCCTGACCCCAACCTGTTCATCGTGCACTGGGGTCCTTCCGACCCCAACGACACCATGCCCGTCACCATGGTTCCGTGGGACCAGCGCACGAGCGCCACGATGCAGCAGCGCCAGCACCTCCTCAAGGCTGGCCAGATCCGCCGCAAGGAGTTCATGCTGTCTGACAGGGCTAACTGGCCGTCGCTGCCCGAGCTCACGGGACGCCCCGTCGACCCACAGATGGCCGCACGGGGCGTGCCCCAACACGTCGCATACCCCCCCACGCAGGCTGTGGCCGGCCCCCCCGCCAAGCGCGCCCGGCACGCCCCGGCCGCGTCGCAGCACGTGGTGCCGTCCACCGCCCCAGTGCCCACCGCCGTGGTGGCACCGCCGCCTCTGGACCCGGCCCTTGACGACGACGAAGACACGTCGCGCGGCGACATGTTCGACCACCTCACTCCCCGGGAAATCTCGCTCGCGCGCTACCAGCAGAATCACGAGTGGATGGAAGAGATCCTCTCGTCTCCCTACCGCATCAACCAGATCACGCCCGCCGACCTCAATTTGGGACTCATGGGCAGCCTCGCCTCGCTGACCGAGGGCATCTTCGCCGCGCAGGGTGCCGACGCCTACATCAGGGGCCCCGACGAGTCCAAGGCGTACGTCGGCAGGCAGGACCCCGCCAAGGCCGACGACTTCCGGAAGCGTGTTGAGGAGCACATCAAGGCCGAGAAGGCCCAGATGGAGGAGATGAAGAAGACGTACGAGGCCGCCATCGCCGACATGAAGACGGGCTCCCTCCTAAGCACCAAGGAGAAGGAGCTCAGGCTCATCCAGGATTCCGGGTCCGAGCTATGGAAGCCGCACGGTGGCGGCGAGATTCGCGACGGGGGCCTCAAGAAAACGGTTGACGAGATCATCCAGGAGATCGAGTCGTCGACAGGTCGCAGGATTGAGGACAAGCCCAGCGTCAAGTGCGTCGAAAAGGGCGGCTACACCGCGCCTCCGGCCCCATCACCTTCCCCCCCCGCCACCTCGGTCGCGGCCACGGCCACTACCCAGCAACAGCAGCAGCAGCAGCAGCAGCAGCAGCAGGCCACCGATGAGATGTCACGTCAGCCATCGCAGGCCGGGTCGCAGAACAGCGCGGCACTTCTGGGTGGCGAATCCGACGTCGACATGGGCGGCACGGCTGCCGGCCTCCTCGATCAGATGGGCACTGGCTCGGCCCACTCCACCCCAGCCCAACAGTCGGGCGGCCAGTCCGGCACACATACGCCTCAAAATGCTCCCTCTGCTGGTGCTGCCAGCGTCCCAGGGGCCACGCCAGCTGCCACAGTTCAGCCCGTCCCTGCCACCGCCGTCGCCGCTTCGTCGGGTGAAGGAGATGTTACCATGGGAGGCACAGACACCGCACCCAAGGACCAGCAGCAACAGCAGATAACAGCTCCCGACCAGGGGACGGGCAGTGGAGACTGGGTTATGGTCCCCAAGAACACACCGTCGCAAGAAGCCGGGGCCTCCACCACGACAGCGCCAGCGCCAGCGCCAGCGCCGGCAACGGCAGCGGCAACGGCAGCAGCAACACCTGCCCCAGGAACGCCTGCTGCAGCGCCGGCATCCTCGGCCGGCGACGAAAACACACCCAAGCCCGCGGTGGCTCCCGCTACAGCCCCGTCTGCTAAGGCCTCGTCGGCTGTGGGGACGCCGGCCACGGGTGGCTTCGACCAGAACGACTTCAGCTCCCTGGGTGACCTCGACTCGGCCGGCGACGCCCTCGCGGGATACGACGCCCCCGCACTCGACGGGGCCGCTGGCGAGCTGGGCGAGGGACTGGATCTACAGATGGATATGGAAGACTCGGCGTTTGGCGATGCGTTTCACGGCGTAGACTCGTCTGAGACTCCCGGGCAGGATATGTAGAATTGGTGGGCGAGGGAGCAAAGTATGTTAATTGATGCTCATGGGCCTGTAATTATTTCCTTTCCCTTTTCCTTGAATCGCGTTTTTTGTCTCTTTCATTTTCTTCAAGAAAGGATAGGGGAGGGTGGCGTTGGTGAAACCGTCCTCCGATAAAGATAGATGGATTCTAATCTTGATATTGTGCTAGTAGCCATGGGAAAATCGTGTACTACTGATGCTACTTCATATGATGATCTGAGAACAGTTTTGAGGCAATTGACATGCAGAGCTTGTCAGATAAGATGATGGTGGTGAGATGGCCAAGATGGGCGAACCAAAAAGGCAACCGCGCATTTTACCAGTTGCGCCTGCCCGCGGCGGGGTTTACGGTTATAATCGCTTGCTCCACAAAACGAGCAGCTAAGGGCCTTGACTCTTCCCGTTCCTGGCACCATGCGTCAGACGACTCACGCCCAGCAGCGCCCTGCCTGCCTGCCCGCCTTGCCTTCAGATTACGAGTATTCATGGCACATGCACATCCTCCTGCTCATTTGACTGACCAGTGCATCCTTGGTAACATCGGGTGAGCCATATGCACGTCAAGTTGATGGCTGATTACAGCGGCACGTACGTATCCGTACTCTGTGCTCTGTTCCTGGACCCGGACACGATCTGCATGCATTCAGATTGGAAACACAAGGAGCCTCTCACGAGTCTCCACGTCCCTCAGGCCCCTGTCCTGTCTCCTTTCTTTCCCATGCGCAAAGCTGGTAGACTGGGGGCCAAGATATTGAAGCCAACCACACACACCCCAGTCCGCGTTGATGACGCCGCCTGGGCAACCCTGTGGCGCAATGGGGGGTCTGGTCTGTTGGTTTCCATAAATGGGGGAGGGGGCCGGGACCTCCTGGTCGACCACTACATTACGGATACTGCCAGCAGGGAAACATCTTCATTGTTCATGTTGTTTTCAGCATCACCACTGATTTAGGGAATGACTGTCGTCGCTCAAGCCTCGGTATCCATGCTCTTCGATCCTGGCTAATTAAAAGGGAAAAAAAAAGAGCAAGAGAAAAGGAGAGAAATACCCCGCCCTTGGAAGTATCAATCACCATGGCTGTCTTTTTCGGATATGGCCAGGACCTGTTCAATTACGATCAACAGTACTTCTCTGGAAAAGTCCTCTGGGATGGAAAGCAGGTTTCTTCAAAGGTGGAATACGATGAATACGTCGTCTATGATAAACCTTCAGTCACGCCTAAGGAGCAGCATGAGCGTCGGAATAACACCAACAATGGATTGCAAGTCACACACCGCTTCAGCCAGGACGAGAAGTCGGGAGCGAGTATACTCAATCTTGCTTTTCGCTGCAGACACAGGGTCGATCGCGAGGTATTTCAGTCCCTATCATGATAGTGTTTTCAAAAAAAAAAAAAAAAAAAAAAAAAAAAAAACATGGGGAGGTTGTTGTTTTTGTTAACGTTTAATGTGATGTAGGGAAATTTTCGTGCGCCTGACAAAGAGACCGACGACTTAATGGACAGTCTGCAAGGTCGTGTTCGCAGAGTGTGAGGATCTCTTACTGTCTCCGCTCGAGGGTGAATCTATTGACATTCAACGGTACTGACTCTACGTAGCGTATGCTTCCGTCACCCAACCCCCTCTGAGCGCGATCCCGACCAGCTGAGTATGACAGCCGAAGACCTGGTAGATCTTTGCCTGCACCCTGCGACCCTCCAGTACTCTACCCGTGTCGCCACTGAGTCCCGGTTCTGGTCTCGGGATCGGTCTACCTTGAGTGAGTAGCTTTTCGGCTGTATCTTCTAGGATTCCATGAAGCTGATACAATGCCAGGTCTTATTCTGTCCTTCTCGGAGACATACAAAACACCTTGCGACTTCTTGTCCATGTCGTATCATATAGCCACAAGATCAACCACCATCTTGATACGGCAGTCGTTCGAACCCAGACGGCACCGTCCAGACGACCTCGACGAGTACGATGAGCGTCTGGAATCTTGCCGCGATCATTGGGCGCATCCACTCGTGATGCCCGTCATTCTTCTACAGGTCCAATTCACACGCTGCGAGGAGACTGTAGCGGAGAATTCGATGGATGTCATTGCGCTCGAGCAAGAAGTTAGCAGCAACTTGGGTTTCAACAACGCAGATCCTGCGCTGAGGACGACTCGGAGACGTTTCACAAACGGGAACGACAACGATACAGCCAGCAATTGGGGCCCTATGAACATGACGAACCTCATGAAGCAGGCGCACGATGTACTCAGAGGCACCATTAAACTTCTTGACACTATTCGCTGGGTCGAGAGGGCAGCCAAACTTCTGGTATTGGCGGGAGATGAGCTTGCAGAGAGGCTCAATGAGTCCAGGACCCATCATATGACCCGTGATCTGAACATGGGCGGTGGCCAATTTGGCCTCTATGAGCGTAACAATTCTCGGCCCCCATCTCTCGCCGTCCCTGATCAGGAGGATACAAGGGAATACACAAGAGAGGACCCGAGAGAGGACCCGAGAGATGAGCCAGCGGACCCACCTCTTCGCACATCATCATTGACCGAGGAGCTAGGTGCGCACTGGTATGAGATCAGGCAATATCTCGAAGCGCTCCTGCGGCTTTCCATGAGTCTAGAGACGGAACGAAGGATGGCCGAGGCCCGATGCCGAGCTCAGATTGATATCGTGAGTCTCAGGCCATTTTAACAAGATTCTGCATCATCCCACGCAAGGCGTATGACTGACCTATGATTCTTGCCTCCAGATTTACAGTAGAATGGCGCAAGAGGACAATGCTCTCAATGCACGGATGGCTGTGACGTCTTCCCGAGACAGTGCCTCTATGAAGGCTCTCGCTGTCATCACAGCTGTCTTCCTGCCTGGCGAGTTCATTGGTACCTTATTCGGCATGTCCATGTTCGACTGGCTGGCCCCCTCAGAGGGCTCCAGTAGTAGTGGAGCAAGCAAGCTGCGCAAGAGGTATGGCTCGTCTAACGGGGGTGGAAGCAGCGACGAGCACGGGAATGAGATCCTCAGCCGCCAGTTCTGGGTCTATTGGATCATCTGCATTCCTCTTACCCTCATCATCATCGCGTCATGGCGTGCATGGTGGGTAAACCAGGACCGTTACTTCCGTCGGCACCTGTCACGGGAGCTGAGCGAGGAGCGTTACTGGACAGATGATGGGAAGCCGAGGGACCTGCAGCACAGTTTCATACACGACTTCTTCTACCTCTCATCAAGACGTGCCGAAAAGCCTCGCGACCTGCCATCGTATTCCAACAACGAGCATCAGAATCCTACCGCAAATAGTATTGATATAGGGAACATGGATTGGGGTTTACCACTGGCCAGAAGGCACACGGCGACATCGACCATGATGCGGCAGAAACAGATACTCGATGCCAGACAAAAGAGTCTGCGCAACAGGTCTGTCGCCATATAAAAGACAGGCCTTCGTGGTTTTCTCATCCCCCCCCCTCTACTGCCCTGTAAAACGAAATATCAGATGTATTACAGTATCACATACGGAAGCAATTTCGTCGTTGAAATTAATAATAACAGCTGGACGGCATGTCTTCTTCTTCTTTTCTTCTCTAGATTGCTAGCAGAAACAGTCATGATGCAGAAGAGTGCTCTCATTGAACCATCTTATTCATAGCCACCGTCTTCGACAGAAACAGGATCCCCAACACTAATTGTGGGACACTGCGTCTCCTCGCTAGGCATGTCGTCACCATCGCAATCTAGACGCATATGGCACCCGAAAAATACTTTGCCGTCGAAGCGTCTTGTCTTGGCCAGCGTCACATAGGGCTCCTGTCTCCTCTCGGCTGTCGTTTGGTCCACGCAGACCATCTGGCACCTGCGACATGCGCCGAGCATCTTGAATGCGTGGGGTCCGATTCGTAGCGATGTCCAAGAGTCTTCGGCAAAGGGTGAGAGGGGACCTTTGCTCGGCGCACGAGTTCCATTACCATTCGGCATAGGAGCGCCGTCACCGTTTGGTGCAGAAGTAGACGTGGAAGAGCGGTGGGAGGCTGGTCTGAGTGATATGTTGGCTCGAAAGGCAGTCTCGTCAATGGGCGGGCCACCCTCGCGATCCTGAATGCAACGGTTCAGAGCGTCCACGCTGGCAGAATATATCATGAGTATGGGACTCTCGTTCGCGAGCAGTATGTTGCCCTCATCGGGTCTCTGCCGCTGCTGCTTCTCCGAGTCCGAATCCGGAGGCGAGGGGACGTCGTAGTTTGTGGTGGGGAAGGCTCCGGGTATTGTAAAGGTGGGAGCGACAAGATACTGCTGTTGGTGAGTTTGCATCCGGGCTTTGGATGAGCGGCTGGCCAGTCCGCGTCCGCCAGGAGGCAGTCTGGCCAGGAAGCACGGTACGCCTAGGACGTCGGAGAAGAAGTCGTTGATGTCGGCGGAGGAGTAGATGTAGGGCGATATCTTGTCGCCACAGACACGGGAGGGGACGTGGCGATTGGTGGAGTCGAAGAGGGCAGGGTTGACGGATAACGGGACGGATATGCGTTTTCTGCTAGTGCTAGTGTCGTCGCCGGGGTCCCTGTGCTCGACGCGCAAGGTCCCCGTGTCGAAGTCGATGGAAGGTTTCAGGAGGGCCATGCGCGGATAGCGCTTCTGGCTGAGGGTGTGGCCCGACCCGCGATGCACGAGGCACCATTCCCTGTCCCAGGCGAGACCCTCGGGGCGGATCTCCCACCGAGAACCGGCGGGCACGGACAGGCCGCCGCAGCTCTTGATAGGGTAGAGTGTTATGGCGCCGACTTCGAGGCCGGGCGTGCTACGGGTCGCACGCGTGTTGGCGTCGTCGGGTATGGGAGCGGGGGATAGGGATGGTGCGGCGGCCTCGACATAAAATTCCCGGATGAAGTCGACGAAGCGGCTGACGTCGGACCTGGTGCTCATGGCACCCAGACTGGCCCGGATGACTCCCGTAGGCTTCCCGGACATGATGTCGCTGTCGGTGCCGCACCGGTAGCCCACGGAAAAGTTACTGCGCATCTCCCACGGCTGGAGGTCCAGGGCGGAGGCGATGGCACACGGGCTGCAGACGCCTCCTGTGCGTATGTGCATCTTCCTCAGCTGGGCCAGCTTTCCGAACTCGGTGAGACTTATCCATGCGCCGGCGCTGTTCTTCAAGTTGAAGGAGACTATGGGGCCGCGCCCAGGGTTCATACCCTCCCGGCTGTCGTCGCCGCAGCCGTATATGAAACAGACGGGTTCCCCGTTGCCGTGTCGTAGACGGTCCAGGCCATGTGACAGTTGGTTTGTGAGGTCTGCGACGTGGGAGCTGACACGCGCCATGGAGCCGAATAGTGTGTGGTGGACCGTCATGGCGGTGTCAAGGGCCATGATGCTGTGGAACGGCAGTGTCCCATCCTCCAAACGCTCATGGAGGAAATGCGTCTTGGGAGCGTGCCACGTCTCGGCCCCACCGCACAGGACCATGTCTACCGTCCCGCCGCCAAAGTATGCCCTGCGCGAGAAGACGGACTGGGCGTCACGGCGGACAACTAGGGCGCCGAGGTCCGGGAAGCCGAAGATCTTGTACAGGCTCAGGACGGTGAAATCCGGGGCTGTGTCATGCTGGCCAAGGTTCAGGGGCGACGTGGCGGCCAGGGAAGCGGCGTCGAGCAGTGTGTAGACGCGGGGGAGCGTCGCTCCCCGCCCCCCCCTGAGCTGGCTGGACCACGAGAGCGGGTATCGTCTGCCGTCCATGTGAGACTGGGCCGAGTAGGCGACCAGCGTGGCCGAGGGTGGAAAGGTGGTATCACTACCAGTATCGCCGAGTCCGAATACGGAGGCGAAGGCGGGCGCACAGGTACTCGTGTCTGCAGACTGGCCACCCCGCACCCAGCCCGCCACGTCGTCGTCGTCGAGGCAGACGCTGGCCCTGGCCTCCTCGCGCACCCCGACGATGCTGGTATGGCACGCCCGATGATGGGCGTACAGGAAGCCGCCCTGGAGGGACCGCATGCCCTCGAGGACGAGCTTGACGCCCGCCGTGGCGTTGGCAACAAAGACGAGGTCGAAGTCTGATGGATCGGCGCCGAGGAACTGGAGAAGACGGAGACGGGCGTTGTCGATCCGCGAGGTCGACTGCTGGGATGGCCAGGAGGCCGAGTGCGGGTTGCCGTATAACACGGTCGTCATGTCGTGGGCGAAGGCGTCCATCAGGGACTTGGGGGGGAGCGTGGCCCCGGCATGGTCTAGATAGACGGAGTCTGCTTCGGGGTGGTCAGCATGGCGCATCCAGGAAGTAATTGCGTATGTGGGCGAGGTTATGCAGTATGGAATGGAGGGAAAAGAAGCATGATTCACAAACCCTGGAGCATGGGGTATTCTGTCCTGCGCATGGCCTCGACGGCGTCATTGTACTCGTCCAACGACGGGGGATTATTCTTGTCGCCCATGATGACGTCCGCCCCCCGGGCCCGTGATTCAATCTTGTTGAGAGTGGACGGGCATGCATGAGAGAACATACAATCCGGCGCCTTCCTCTGGAGTTAAATGCTGAGGTGGTAAGTCGGTTTGGCGGGGTGGGGAGGGGCGATGGACATATAAGAGTCAATACAAGCAGTGTCGATGTACAATTATATGATGATGGCGGGGATGGGACAAAAAGTTGTGACGACGAGTATTAGCAGGAAATGAACGGTATGGCTACTTAGTACTGCCGATAGATAGAACCTTCTTCCCGGATTCCCATCTCCTTTTTGTGTATCTCCCAAAAGTTGCGCTGTTTCCTTCCACGTGCGGCTGTTATCGGACGGCGCCGAAGACGCGGAGATGGCCACCTCTCCCCCATTGACCGAGTTTGGATGTCTGGGGCAAGAAGAATACAAGACTCCGAGGGCGACCCAAGGGATGCTATATGGAGATGTGTACTCGTAATTGGGTGGATGGAGGTATTGTGGAGTACGGTGAATATTTTGTGGGATTTGGACACTGGACACTGTGTGGATGTACTGCACTGTGAGCAGAGAGGGAATAATAATGGGGCTGGATTGACGCGCAGTAATATTGACGATTAACGGTTGCAGCATGAGTGCTCACTTGCTCACCCCTACGGTGTATAAGTTACAGTTGATGCAGCTGCTACGGTGGGTGTACGAGTAGACTGTACGAGTAGAGAGGCCTAGAGGGGTAGCCACTAACGCAGATGGTACAGTGCTAATACAATCCTCCCCAAAAAAAAAGCATCCACCTCTCCACACGCGGCTCTGCTCCGCTCTGCTTCCGAGCTGCTTCTCGCCTTGCGTGGAAGAGATTTGATTGGTAGTTGTCTACCGGTAGGCGCGTTCCTTGCTCCTGCCCTTTGTCTGGCTGGATCTCTCTTTCTCATCCTCTCCCCTAGCTTCTTCTCTCCTGGAAAGCCGACGTGATCTTACCTCACCTCACTTTTCTCCTTCTTTTTCATCTCTTTGGTCAAGGTACGCGCGCGCCATCGTTCGCAGCTCGCTCATTGATTGTCATATTGAATTCTCACTCCAGTTCGTCGGCCCCCCCCTTTTTTTCATTCTCTTTCTCTCTTCTATATATATATATACTTCCATCTCTCTACCCTTTTGTCTCTCTAGCTAGCCAGCCCTTGCTTTTGCCGACGCCTTCGTCCTCCGCAAAGGTCACCCATCCACCCGCCCTTGCCTCCTTCTCTCGCCCCTCCCCCGTCATACCTGTCATACCTTTCTCTAAACCTTTCTCTCTCTCTACTATCTTACCGTCTTTTTTTCTTCTCTCTACGGGGACGTCATCATGACTCCCGGGAGCCCTCCAGTCGCTTTTGACCATCTTTTGCCAGATCGGCAACCTGCACTCTTGTCTCCATCTTCTCTTTCTCTTCCAACCTTGATCCTTTCATCCTACCTGCATACCTGACCGAACCTTTCTTCTTCTTTTTTGAAATCACAATTTCTCTGACCGCCCTCCACTCTTTCCAGCGACAGATACCTGTCTCCCCCCCCCTCCCCCCCTCCCCCCCTCAGGAGACGGTCAACTTTGATTCACGCCTCGCCCTGCGCCGCCTCGGCTTGCCTAGCGACCGATCACGCCTCACAAGAGTAGTCTCTCGATGGATTCATATTCATCGTTCCGCGACGCTTCGGCTGATAGGACATGGGGACGGGACGACCCGCGTGCGCGCGAAGACAGAGGTGATAAATTCTACCGTGGTCGTTCTCCAGGTAGGTCTCCGTCGCCACCCCGGGAGCGTAGACTCGAGCTGACATGTCGCCCAGCTCACGAACGGCGCGAGCGTCGACGATCTAGATCCCCCGGCCCTGCCGTCGACCGCTACGAACCTCGACCTCGACGCGATGACCGAGACCGCGATGACCGCCGGCGAATCATCTCTCCTCCGGCCAACATTGACCGCTACATCCCTGGTCAGGATGTCGCCACCCCAGCCATGGTCCGGAACCCCCTGACTGAGCCCGCCCGACTTCCTTATCAGGTTGGCTTCTCATACTTTAGCGAGTGGTGGCGCATGAATACGAGGGTCAAGGACGAGAAGGAACGTGCTCGCACCGGCCGTCGCAAAGAGCCTGAGAAGCCTCGCGGCTCCAAGGAGGCCCAGGAGGAGCGCGAGAAGGAGAAGGCCGTCATCCAGGCTGCTTACAACACATACAAGGAGGAGATGCAGGCCAAGATGGCTCGCACCTTTGTCTCGGAGCACAGGAAAGAGCAGTGGTTCAGGGAGCGCTACGATCCCGAGGTCAGAGGCCCTTTCCGCGCCAAGCTCAACGACACGCGCCGCGGTGCCTATACTCAGTGGGAGCAGGACCTCGAGTCTGGCACCTTTGACGAGCTGTCGCTGGAGGGTGTGCCCAAGAGCGAAACCAATGGTGCTGCCGCCGCCGCCGCCGACAAGGAGGAAGGGGAGACGACTGCTGCCAATGAGACTCTTGGCGTGGGTGACCTGGTTCCCGTCGAGGGTGCCGATATTCGAGACGACAGCCAGCTGCAGCCGACGCTACTCATCAAGACGATTGCGCCTCACGTCAGCCGGGAAAACCTCGAGTCTTTTTGCAAGGAGCACCTGGGTGAGGAAGAGGGTGGGTTCAGATGGCTGTCGTTATCGGACCCGAACCCGAGCAAGCGCTACCACCGCATCGGCTGGGTCATGCTGCATCCTTCATCCGAGACGGCCATGCCCATTGACCGAACCGACCCCAAGGACGAGGATGGTGTTGCCCCGTCGGCCTCGCCTCAGCCCGTGTCGACGGCCGAGAAGGCGCTCGAGGCCATCAACGGAAAGACGGTCAAGGACGAGGTGCGCGGGGACTTTGTCTGCCACGTGGGCGTGCACAACCCCCAGTCGAACCCCAGGAAGAAGGCTCTCTGGGACCTGTTCTCGGCCCCGGAGCGTATCGACAAGGACCTTGACCTAATTCGCCGGTTGGTCAACCACTTTGAGGAAGACTTTGGTTCGGACTTCCAGGGCGTCCTCAAGGTGGAGGAGAGGGTGGAAGGCCTCCGTAGCGCTGGACGTCTACAGCCCGTCATCATTCCCAAGTCAACCCCCCGTGTGAAAAAGGCCAGGTTCGATGACGACGAGGCCATGGATGCGGAGGTTGGGGCGGAGGATGAGGATGGTGAGCAGGAGGAGGAAGGCGCTGCGGACGAAGACGACGTGGATGATGAAGATCTCCTTGCTAAGAAGAAGGAGCTGGACCTTCTGGTAGAGTATCTCCGCCGGGTGTTCAACTTTTGCTTCTTCTGCGTGATTGAGTGCGACTCGATCCACGAGCTGACGAGGAAGTGCCCCGCCGGTCACCTGCGCCGGCCTCGCTCGACACTGTCAGAGGCGGCGAGAGAGGCGGCACGTGCCACGGCCAGTGGCGAGCCCCTCCCCGAGAAGAAGCGGTCGGACAACTCGGAGGATGGCGAGATCGACTCGACTGAGGCGGACAAGAAGGGACGCAATCCAACCAGCAAGGCGGAGCAGCAGCTGGCGCGGGCGTACAACTGGGTCAAGACGTTTGAGGACAAGCTCACGCAGGTGCTCGACCCGCAGTCGGTGGACCTTCGCAAGCTGGGCGGGCGTCCAATAGACGAGGTGATTGAGGAGGAGCTCGCTAAGCACGTGAAGCAGGAGGACGAACACAAGTGGAGGTGCAAGGTCGGCGACTGCATCAAGCTGTTCAAGGAGGAGCACTTTTGGAAGAAGCACGTTGACAAGAGGCATTCAGACTGGCTGGATGATCTGAAGCAAGAGGTAAGCATGGTTTCTGGTCAAGGCCAGGGGAATCCCGGTGGACCGGTAAGACGTGGATGGTAATGCTGACGACCGATTAGTTTGAACTTGTCAATGCCTACGTGCTCGACCCTGCGCATATCGCACCGTCCCGTCCCGACGCCAACTCAAACGGACACTTTCCCCAGCCGAACGGACAGGGAGCAGCGGGAACGCCCCGCGGGTTCAACCTCCAGAGCCTGTCATCGATGAACAGCATGATGCCCGGGTTCCCGATGCCGCGCGTGGCACCGTTCATGGCGGGAATGCAGCCTGGCTTCAACCCCATGAGCGGCGACGAGCGATCCGGAGGACCGATCCGACGCGGCGGCATGCAGAGCGGCAACGGCCGGGGCCAGTACCGATCCGGACCGTACGACCGTCGCGGGGGCGGCGGTGGCCGATTCGACGGCGGCGGGCGCGGAGGCCGCACGGGTGGTTCCCGCTGGGGTGACGGGGCCGGTGCCGGTGCCGGTGGTCCCAGGGAGGCTGTACAGGGCCGAAACCTCAAGAGCTACGAGGACCTCGACCACGTTGCCGGCGGTGGTGGCGGTGAACTCAACTACTAGTGACCAGTGACCTGCTTTTCGCCTTGGGTGCTGATTGATTTTCTGTTGTATACGTGCGGCTCGTCTTGCCCTTTGCATTTTCTCGCTTCTTCCGAACCCATCTCCCGACCTCTCCCCTGAGTTCGGATTTGTCTTTACATGTCCCTATATAGGGCTCTCTTTTCTATATTTCTCCCTTAGTTGAGTCTCTCATCTCTCTACCCCTACGTTGGCGCCTTGAAATTGAAAAAAAAAAGAAAAAAAAAAACCAAACAAGGGAAAATGGACAGTTTAGTTTATGTATTTTATAGTATAATCCGTATTGAAAATTGAATCAACATTGCTGCATATTTCTTCTACCTTGGGGCAGAGTATTATTAGACTTCTTTCCTCTTTGAGACTTGAGGAAGTACACATATGATCATATATTTATTTATGCGGAAGCGGTAGTGGTAGAGTTGTAGACTGACGAATGATGTTTTGCGATAAGAATATACGGGATCCACACCCCGCTATCCGACTTTTTTTTTTTTTTTTTTTTTTTCTCTCTCAACCTTTGGCTTTGGGTCTGTTCAGTGTTGACCTCTTTTCTTTAGCTTTTTTTTTGTTGTCATCACAACATTTTTGAAGGTTCAAGACACAGCACGACGTTTCAAATCAGATAAGATGGGTCTCTTGGCAGGACCGAAGACGTGAGTTTCTTCACTGTCATATGATACGATGTAGTCAGGGGAAGAAGAGAAAAATGCTAACCAGTGTATATCGATAGCCGCCGCAAGCTAGACCACGACCCAAATAATACGAAATGGACGCGCAACGCCAACAAGTTCGGGCAGAAGATCCTCGAGTCCCAGGGTTGGCAACCGGGAGAGTACCTGGGGGCTAAGGACGCCTCCCACGCGGAGCACCTGACGGCCGCCAGCGCGTCGTACATCCGCGTCTCGCTCAAAGATGACGTGAAGGGCCTCGGGTTCGACAGGCGCAGGGAGAACGAGGTGACGGGCTTGGACGAGTTCTCGGACCTGCTGAGCCGGCTGAACGGGAAGTCCAAGGCTTCTGTGGAGAAGGACAGGCAGGCTAGGATGGAGGTCAAGATGGATGCCTACGTGCATAGCCGGTATGGACCCATGAGGTTCGTGAGGGGTGGGCTACTCGTTGGGGATGAGCTCAAGGAGGGATCTCGCAGTGATGATGATGATGATGATGATGCGGAGGGGGAGGAGGATGGGAAGGAGAAGGAGAAGGAAAACACGACAAAGAAGCGCAAGACTTTTGAAAAAAAGGAGAAGGAAGAAGAGGAGGATAAAAAGAGCAAAAAACGTCGCAAGAAGGATAAGGAGGGAAAGAAGACGAAGAGAAACAAGAAATCGAAGACTAGCGAAGACGACGACGACGACGACGACGACGACAACGACGATGACGAATCAGACCAAGAAGGCAAAGACGAAAAGGATGAAAATGAAAAGGATAGACAAGAAGAAGAAGAAACAAAGGCGGAAAGAAAGGAGAGGAAAAGGGCAAGAAAGGAAGAAAAGAGGAGGAGAAGGGAGGAGAAGAAGGAACGAAGGGAGCGCAGAGAAGGAAAAGCACAGTCTTGTTCTTCTTCGACATTACCGTCCTCGACATTACCATCCTTACCATCACCAGAACCTGCTACCGCTGCTCGTCCACGACTAAATCACGTCCGATCACGATTCCTGGCAGCCAAGAGGGAGGCCATGACGAATTCTAAAGCTCTAGACAAGGTATTTTCTCTCTCCCCCCCCCTCTTTCTCTATCTCTCTCTCCCTCTTTTCGATTCTTCTTTGGCCTTTTTTATAACTAATGACGGGTTTACCATTTTTTTCTGTAGATCTGGATGGTCAAGACGTGATTTCATGTTTATAATATCAAGACGGAGTGCATGACCTGTTTATACAGCAAAGATGTCTTCATAATGGCACCTTGGACTTTTTTTTTTTCTTCGCGTCTTTTTTTTTTGGAGAGTGAATGAATGGATTGATAGAAGAAGAAGTAAAGAAGAAGGAAGAAGGAAGATTCAGAATAAATTTGTACGTGTATTCGCACGGGTATTCCAATGTCATCGAGTCGAATCATGAGAGTAATACAGCTTGATCGTCTTTGTCCTTGGATTCTGCCTTTGGGGCCATACTACATCCCAGAGCTGACATCTAGAGTTGAAGTCATCGAGGTCATATGGAGGGAGATGTATGGAGGTTGGTCATGAAGAGGTTTATACCATGGAGGTCATACCACGATAAACCCCCTCACATCATGAATCAACCTTTGCTCTTCGACTTAATCAGACTCTGTGGCTGAGCAAAACTCTTCACCATAGATGAGAGATGAGAGCAAGCCATTGACCGAAGCAGGCAGGGCCACAGCTTAGAAGCTTCATATCCTTCATTATACTTTATACCCCCGGTACTCGATACTCTTGAGTCTATTCCTCTCCTCACATCATTCTCTCCCTCCCCCTCCCCTTCATTCAATAAATATCTGCCTCCCCTTCTCTTCCCTCTCTTCTCTTCTCTCTCTCTCTCTCCTTGGGGGGCGAGCCCCCCTCGGCTATTTTTTTTTCTCTTGTTTCTTTTTTTTCTTTTATCTGTTGGTACAATGGCAGCAGGGGTTTCAAAAGTTGTCATCTTGATGGGACATGGACTTTCCGAGTAGTTCTTTCTGCCACCGTGCCAGTTGTACGATGGCGTCAAATATGAGGACAAGATTCGATTTCCTTCTCATTTGAGAAATGCCCCCCCCCCCCCCCCCCCCTTGGACGCGCCACGGGATCGACATGATCGGGATGTATCTGCGCCTGCATCACCTTCCATATACAGTCTTTCTTCTTCTTCTTTTTTCCCTTTTTTTTCTCTCTCTTCATCTTGAATGCCGAATCAGCCTGGTATCGTCTCTCTTCGGTCATTTCTCCCAAAAACCTGTTCCACCTACTGGGGGGGGGGGCTGTGTTTGGAGTTTGTAGGATAACGGGGAGGGGTTTTCTTCTTTTCTGTTTGTATCATGGAGTTTTTTTTTTTATTTTTTTTTTTATTCGTATGATTTTGGTCTCTTATGTCTTGTTCTTTATTTCTTCTACTTATTTATTCTACACTCGCACGATTTCTCATTGCCATGGGATGAGATGTAGGTATAAATGCTCGATATTCCGGTGGAAACTATACGACAAATGAAAGAAAAAAGACAACACACTCTCCCAACACACAACACAAACACACACGAAAAAAAGAACCATGTGGGAAAAAGAGATGAGTGAAAAATACAAGATACAGAGAGGAAAAGATGGAAAGATGGAAAGATGGGAGATTGTCAAGGCGAGAAATCCAGGTTCGGAATGTTGGAAATGGCATATCAAAAGGTTGAACCATTGTAGTTCCCACCTTGTGATAATATACGTGCATACATCATCTTCCCTCTCATACAAACTTGTATGATACACTGTTAAACACCGGCAAACGCCGCATGAGGATTATTCCGGTCCGGATCTGAGCCTCAGGCCTCCAGGCAAACATCATCAGATCAGGTATATATATCTACGACCTCCTCCTCCTCCTCGATAGATGAGAAAAAAAGTAAGATCGATACAGCTGCCACGGCCCTTCCTCTGAAGCCCTTTGAAGGGGCCAACGCAGCCGTATCATCTGCAACACCTGCGCACGCGTGTGAGGGTGATACTGAAAGATACAAGACCTGGGAATTCTCCGCACACCCTTTGTCGTACTTGTCGATGCGCTAGGGCCAAGATGTTATTGATACTGTGATGACGCATTGATTCAAGTCATATTTCCCAGGACGAGCATGATGGACAGGCATGAGCCAGATTGGACGGTTTCTGTCAATGTCTAGACAGAAGTCACGAAATGGACAAGAATCCATCACTCCCGTACACTCAGAATGCCATTTTTACAATTACACATGATCCCTCTCTTCTCACTTTCCAATGTTCCGTCCAAAGTTGCTATATTTGCCAAGATGTCAGTCCATGGTCTCTCTGTCGGGACTCCATCATCATCCCGTCAAGGCGGGAATCGAGAGCGAGAACGGAGACGGCATACTTGTGAAACAGCTGACCGAGGTAGTTTCCCTTGACCTGCTGGTCGGAGTGAGACTGACGTCTGGCCGTGCTGGACTGCGTATCACGGAGCTGCGAGAGGCTCTCGAAGGCGGGCATGAATCCTGAGCTCTATCCTACCCGTCAGTCAAGCCCATGTGCCCATGTGCACCGTTTCTTCACCATCCGTCGCATCCATCGCCACAAGTTCCATCCTACTTCTACACGCTGGGACGGAACGTACCCGACGACGAGGGGGGGCCGCGGTGGCCGAGACGTTGGACGTGTTGGTGGGGGAGGAGTCAGTCATGATGGTGGGATAGTTGGATGTTGAGAGATGGATCGATAAAAGCGGTGCTTGTTGGATGTGGGATTGTAGGACTTTCTGAATGATGTTCGATACTATATATGGTCAGTGATGACACCAGGTGAAATCAGCAGTCGCAAGGAACAGAAGAGAGAGAACCAGGTCCCAGCTTTATATATCCTCCTCCTCCTCCTCCCTCCCTCCCTCCATCCCCTTGCATCATCAATTCCATTACAAAGCGAGTGGCGTGTTTGGTCAATCAGAGTTTCATCGCATGACGCCAACATGCTCTCCATTCTCCTCCTCCTCTCTTTCACACACACACACACACAGTCTCTCTCTCTCTCTCTCTTTCTTTCACACATACACACACACACTCTCTCTCTCACTCTCTCTCTCTCTGGGTGTGTGTGTGCGCGCGCGTGCGTGCGTGCGTGCGTGTATGTGCGAGTATGTCCATGTGTGTGACTTGTCTCTTTCTCCTCATCCTGAATATTGGAGAGGGGAACAAGTGATCCGACAAAAAGGTTTCCAAGCTTGGAACGTAAGTCTTAGTCTTGTATCAAGCCACACACACACACATACACACACGGTACGGTCCAAGCCAATAGAGTTCAATTTCTGCTCTTACCAAGAATGCCCTCCTCCTCCTCCTCCTCCTCCGTACTCAGTCTGAGAACTACAGATACATCCATCCGACTAGCCGACCGCCAGCACTTGGATGTAGATGTTAGTACTGATGTCAAGAGGTTGCATCTAATACACCCCAGGATCGCACACCATCCTCTGTTTCTGTGGGTCCGATGGCCCCGACCGGGTCTGGCTGGTTCAAGGTGTGGGGGTGGGATCGGATGCTGACATCCTCACGGATATATCGTGGCGAGGGTCATTGACGGATGTACAGTCAATAGTAACCGTCATGCAATTCATATCCTTCTTGTACCTCTGTTTTTGTTTTTTGTTTTTTATTTATTTATTCTTGAACTTTTCACCTCTAGTCTATTTGACCTAATCCTTTTCCAGACGAACGGCCGAATTCCTCTCGATAAAGTTGAGATCAACCTTGTGACCCAGCAGCTCGCGGATGTTGGCGATGCCGTACTTGATCATGGTCGGACGCTCCAGACTGAGACCCCAGCCAAAGACTCGCATGTCCTTGGGCAGGCCCATCGGCTCTAGCATCTCCGGTCGGAACATGCCGCTGTTGCCAATCTCCACCAGCTTGTTGAGACCCTTGTGGTAGCTGAAGATCTCCATGCTCGGCTCCGTGTACGGGTTGTAGGCCGGCTTGAACTTGAGGTCCGTGATGCCCATCTTCTTGAAGAAGACCTCCATAAACTCCATCAGTCCGCCCAGCGTCAGGTCGTAGTCGGCAATCACGCCCTCGACCTGGTGGAACTCGGCCAGGTGCGTCGCGTCCACCGTCTCGTTTCGGAACACCCGGTCGATCGAGAAGTAGCGCGCCGGCGGTGGCCGCCCGTCCGGTCCCTTTTGCGACGCCAGCCTGTACAGCATGGCTGTCGAGATGGACGTCGTGTGCGTCCGCAGCACCAGCTTCAGCGCCTCGTCCGCCGCCCACGGGTACTTGTAGCCGGTGGAGCCGTACTTGCCCTCCTGGTGCACCTCCTTGATGTTGTTCCAGTACTCCTCCGCGTCCTGGCCCGAGCCGATGGCCTGCGGCTTGCCGCCGACCTTGGGGTCCGAGATGTAGAACGTGTCCTGCAGGTCGCGCGCCGGGTGCTGCTGGGGCACGAAGAGGGCGTCAAAGTTCCAGAACCCCGTCTCCACAAACTTGTTTGTCGGCATCTCCTCGAAGCCCATCTCGAAGAAGATCTGCCGGAACTCGTGCCGCACCTTGTTGAGCGGGTGCAGCGTACCGGCGTTCTGGTCAGACCCCAGCGCCTTGAAGTTGTAGGGCTTGAAGCTGGCCGTCTTCCATGCCCCGGAACTCAGCATGTCGGCCGTCAGGTCCGTCTCCTCCTTCTGCACCTCGAGTGCGAACTTGGGACCCTTGGCCGCCTTGAAGCTGACCACCTTCTGCACCTTGACCAGCTTGCGCTTCTTCAGGTCCGCCAGCACCTTGGCCTCGGCCGTCTTGGTCTCCTTGATCTTGACGAGCGTGGAGCGTGTCGTGTCTGTGATGGAGTCGGTCTGTAGTGGAGTGAGAGAGAGAGTCAGCATCATGTAGCGACTGATTCGCGCCAGCCACGGCATCTCCCCTGGCACAATGTACATATGACAGAGAGAGAGAGAGAGAGAGAGAGAGAGAGTAGAGGTGGTGGGTGACACGCACAGTAGCAACCAGCTTTCCGTCCTTGCCCTTGGCGATCCACTTCTCCTTGAAGGCCTTGCCCTGGCCAACCTTGGTGACAGCCTTGTCGCCAATGGCCTGCTCGAGCTCCTGGATCGTCAACCCCTCTACGGCTTTGCTGACGGCCTCAAAGACGCGGGCCTCGTGACTGCCATGGGCCGCTATCTGCTCGGCCTCGGCCTCGAGTACGGGTTCCTCTCTCTCGATCGTCACGTATGTAATCATGGACCGCGACGCCAGTCGGTCAAGGGCGGCTTTGACATCCTGGTAAGCGATGGCGGGGAAGGCCTCTGCGGAAAGGAGGGGCTCCTGGATAGAGAGCCTCTGCAGGATCTCGGTGGCCAGATCGGCCTTGGGTGCCGAGCTCGTCATGTTTCTCTCGCTTCCTCGTTTCTTCGATTCGCTATGTTCAAGAAAAAAATCGAATTTTTTTTAAAGAAGAGTCGAGGTCGAGACAGGGACTCTTATGGCACCGGGGCGCACCGAAGCTGCTTGTCGGCTCTTTTTTTTTTTTTCGACTGAGTCACAGTCCTACAGGCGGGAGTGGGAAATTTAGCCTACCACCAGCACCTCCCCTCCCACGCCTCTCCCACGCAACCAGCTGGGCTGCGCCTTGCCCGTTCTGCATGGCGGGGTTCCCTGCATCGGACTTATAGTTGATCCCTCCCGGTCCCGGGAGTTCACTCCGTGTATCTTCTCTTTCTCATCTCCACGTAATGGTACATGTATATACATGGGCCTCCAGCACACTCTCAACCGCTGCCACTTACACTGGCCTTGACCAAATTCCAGCGACGTTGGCAGATGCCTGTCCCTTAGACGCGGGAAAGGAGCGACACGAGCCACGCCTTGTTAACATTCACGCCACTAAACGCATCATCACCAACCATCCATCGTTCATTTTACCCGTGTCTTGTCGGGTATATTCATCTTTCTCCTTCCATCTCCCCACGCCATGACCCGGACGCTGTCTTTCTCCGCGGATCGCACCTGTCCACGCCTCATCGGCGGCATTTGAGCTACTAATACCTGTCGCTGCCTTCCATGTCGTTTGCTCCGCCCTTTCAACGGTCGAACCATGCGCTAAAGAGACCCCTACGACGATGAGCAACGATTCGCCGTCGGGCTCTGCCGCACCATCAGGGGAGCCGCCTGGCACGACAGATCACGATAGAACGATCGTGCCGAGCGGCGACCGGGGGACTGGCTCGCGACACCATGGTGCCGTCCAGGAGCTACGACGGGACACCCCGGCCCGTCGCCCTGTGTCTCGTGGGAGCCGGCGCCGGAGGAGGAAGAAGAGGACCAAGAAGGCCAACCCAGGCCTCAAGAAGAAACTGGAGCTTGTCACGCACCTGCTCAAGGGACTGGACAATCTGGTCTTTGCCGAGCTGAGTGCCATGTACTATATGGAGTATGTGGAGAGTGACCATCCCCGGCCTCCCCGGAGAGATGCTGGCAGCAGCGCTGACCAAGATGGATTGATGCAGGTGCTCCACCTTCCGGCTGATTATACGCGCCGTCAGCCAGGCCATGTACCTGTCACCCAAGTCCGAGTCGTTCCCTTTCCTCATGCCCGCCAGCCGCATGCACGTCGCCCTCGTCGTCCTCCCCAACCTGTGGTGCATGCTGATCCACCTCCTTGCCGCCCTCCCGGAGGGACGCGAATACCACAGAGGCTACCTGCACGGTGGCGTCATCATCGACTTCATCGGCCAGGAGCCACCCGTGCATAGGCTATACTACATCCTGGCCGACGTATTCCTGCTCGTCCTGCAGTGCCTGATGTTGACGATACATACCGAGCGGGAGAAGCTGCGTCTGTCGCTCAAGACATTCCGACCGCTCGTCGCCAGCGCCGCCCTGGAGGCTGCCACGTCCCGCACCGTCGATGATCTCGATGCAGAGGAGAGGAATATTGGCAGTACGCAGGCTGATGACGACGATGCCGAAGATGGCATAGAGCTGCAGCCCCTGAGGAGAAGATCGACCTCGAGTAACGGAGGTGGCCGGGATGAAGAGGCAGCCGGGACAGAGCCACGACGGCCGTCGTCGAGTTCTGGCGAAGCCGTTACGAGGTCCCGCCTGTCGGACATTCTTACCTCGGGCAACGGTGTCCTGGGTGAGTATCACATTGTCCGCTCCCTGCGCGTGGCGGCGACGGAGCTGGAACGGACGACGGCCCAGTCTCTACAGAGCATCGGCTACCGAGCCACATTGGCGGCCCTCAACACCAGACGACAGAGTGCCTCGATCCAAACCCGGCCACAGCAAGCAAGCGGCGGCGATTAGGCCCCATGTAAGAAAATACTACACCATACTCTCTCACCCACACAAACGCACTCATACACAGCACATTATTCCTCCTCTCACAAAACACGAAACGCTGTATAACGACACTGCTACTGCCATAGAAATCACTGCCACTATACACATTTATTTATATAAAACGATGGAGTCAATGCATGCCCAGGCGCCGTGAGACTAGCCTCGTTCTCTCTCCTTTGTTGCTCATCTTTCATCTGTCCAAGATATCTATGCCATCTTCCTTCCAACGTTTCCGACGCCCGTTCCCTTGACGGCAACCTGAATGTCATCGGTGTCGTCATTGACATCACGTAGACCCCAGCTGCTGGCACCAAACGTCTTGAGATCCCTAGCCAGCGTCACAAGGTCCTCGCACCCGATGACATCCCTGCCTATGCGTAAGCGGCCGACATCCTCCGACCCCATGGCCATGAGGACGAGGACTGTGCTGGCGGAGACGGGGGTGACGCAGCCGCCCTTTGCGATAGTCTCGAGAAGCTGGTAGGCGCAGTTCTTGCCGATATCCTCGGGCACGACACCTCCCTTGGGGGGCACGACGGCGTCGGCCGAGTAGAGCACACCGACGGCGCTAGACTCGGCGACGAGGCTCAGGCCGAAACCGATGCCCAGCCGCCTCTTGCTGCCGGCGCTGTCGCCGGTGGGCACGAGGGGCGCCTGGTCGTACTGGGCAGCGACGTGGATGTCCGAGACGAAGGGGTTGAGGATCTCGCGGGCGGCGTGGATCATGCGCGCATTGTTGGAGGCAGACACGCCGGTGGAGTAGGCGACGCCGCGGATGCGCCTTATCCTTCCCGGGGAGCGGTTAAGGTGCAGCGTCTTGGGGAGGCGGACCTGGCTGGCGAAGCGGAGCTCGACGCAGCCGCCGCCGCCGCGGCCACCGGGGCCGGCGCACGAGCGCTGCAGGACGCGGATCTCTATCCTGGCAGGCGGGATGCCGAACAGGCCGAGGATGGGCAGGATGGCTGTTCGGAAAGTGTCGACCGACACGTCCCCCGACTCGGTGGCTGAGGTTATCACCCCGGCGCCCGAGAAGCGCACGTTCATGTGGGCCTTGGAGAAAGGCGCCAGCAGGCAGAGCGGCATGAGGAAATAGGTCACGCCACGGGAGCATGTGGGCGGGAGGTTGTGCTCGATCATGTCGCCCTCCGCCGCGCCCTGGCCCGCGATGGCCCCCGTGATCAGACCCGGATGGTAGGTCATGGCCGTGCCCGTGAACGAGATCTGCATCGAGCTACCGTTTGTCACGGCCTCCAGGAGCCGCAGGAACGACACCTCGTGTGGTGCCAGACCGGGATTCGTCGGCGACGAGCTCCGAATCTTGGAGATGTGGATCGGTCGACCTGTCAGCGTCGCCAAGGTCAGGCGCCGCGCAAAAGACCGGTGGCCCGTGAAGCGCAGGAAGTCGGGTTGTGAGTTGGACATTTTCGTCCTGGTGTCTCTTTCTCAACTCTTCTTTTCTGTCTCTCCCCTCTCTCTTAATAATTTTTTGTGTTCTTTTGTTCTGATTTCGAGGATCCGTTCGCTTTCGTCCGAGTATTGTGGTTTAGGTGTAAAGAGAGACTGTTTGTGGTGAATGGGAATGGTGGTGATTATCGTCGTCGTCCCTCTTGGTGGGACAAAAAAAAGACATAAAAAATAAATTCATTCTGCCATCCCCCATTAGCCATAGCTGATCTTAAAAGGAAGGCGGTGAGTATAGAAAAAAAGCTTACATGGTCAAAATCTCTGCTTCTACTTGGTATCTTATCGATAACATTTCAAATACGGAGATAGCAGTGGGAAACATTCGTGAATTGAAGCTCTCTCTCCCCTTTGGCCCCAGTTTCTTGAATAGCAGTTAGTAGTAGCTTTGGCTGTCTCCCCTTTTTCTCTTCCTGGCCCGGATGTCGGCCTAGCCTCTCCTTCATTGAATAGTTTTCAACACATATCCACGGAAACAAATGGCTGCCAGGCCCCTCTTACTTGATCTCGGATGCCGAAACGAGTCCATATGCCGGTCGTGCCTGGTGAGCCTCGTACGGCGTCCGAAGGCTGCCTCTGCTGCTACATCGTGGGTTGGAGGAGCTCGGTACATATCGCATACGGCCGAGAGACGAGCACGGACACGTTCGAGGACAAATGGGGGCGAATCGACCGCAACGACGACGACAAGGGCAAAGAAATCTGCCTTTGAGAGACCGACGCAGACAGAGGCCGTGCAGCAGCAGCAACTTGGTGACCTGTCCGAGGCGGCCGGTAGTAGAGGTCAGAATGTTGAGGGCGAGTCGAACAACTTCTCGGTTCGCTTCTTCGAGCAGGAAGGCTCGAAGCTGACCGAGATCCCCGACGATGGATCGTATGAGCAGGGGCTGGGCGGCGTGGACGCGTCGGTGCTGCGGAACTCGTTCGAGCAGATGAAGAGGGTCGCCGGGTCCAAGGGGGAGAGGGAAGCGCTGGACGAGGTCCTGGGCGCTATGGGGTCTAACTGGGGCCAGATGAGGACAAAGGACGACGTCGAGAGGGCCATGCAGCGGATGGAGAAGTATGGCGCGTCCATTGACGCCGAGATCGAAGCTACGCTCGCAGAGCTGCCTGAGGAGATCCGAGACGGCGTAGCTGAGCGGTTTGGCCCGCTGCTGTCGAGACCCAAGTTCGGCACGAGACCGATGTCAGTGCCTTCGTCGTCGTCGTCGTCGTCGTCGTCGGTGCCGACGCACACGCGATTCCCACCACCTCCGCAGATCCCGACGCAGCCATATACAGCGAACCAGCGCAAGAAGATATCGAGGCTCAACAGCGCCATGCAGCGCGTGGCGCGCGAGATGCGATTGCCCGCCGGCCTGACGGATAGACACGTCTCGACCGTATACAGGGCGTACCACGCCGCACGACTGTCACTGGCGTCTAATTGGGCCATCGTGCCACTGCCGGCGTGGGACCTGCTGTGGAGCATCTTCGCGGCGGACGAGTCTGTCAATGCGCACCGGCTGACGCACGTGTCGCTGCTGGCACGGGACATGGGCGACGCGCGCGTACCGCTCAGCCCGGCGCAGCAGCTGCTGACTATCGAGGCCATCTTCGTCGAGGGGTGGGAGGGCAAGGCGCTAGAGAGCTGGAAGCGCTGCATGCCCAGCCTGGGGGCCGGGTCGGCCGAGACATTCCGCGACTTCTGGGAGCTGGGCGTGCGCATGAGCTGCCGCGTCGGCGACATGGACCAGGCGCAGCGGTGCGTCGATCGGCTGGTGGGCGCGCACTCGGACCCGCGCATCCTGATGCCCGTCATCCGCACCTGGTCGGAGCGCGGCACGGCACGGGACCACGACCGCGCCTGGCTCGCCTACCGCCGCATGAGGGACCTGCTGGGCCGCAGCATGAAGCTCGCCGACTACGATCAGGTCGTGTCCTACTTCCTCACCACCAACCAGACCGACAACGCCCTCCACGCCTTCGTAGACATGATGAGCGACGGCCAGGTCGACCTCCGCAAGCAGAAGTACCTTCCGTCAGTTGTGGCTAACAAGTTCTTCGTCGGCAAGTGGCTCAAGCGTCTAATCGGTGCCGGCGACCTCGACGGCGCCTACAGCGTTGTCGACTTCATGCGCCGCAAGGGCGTCGAGGCCTCGCCCATCCACCTCAACGGTCTGGTGGGCGCGTGGCAGCGCTCCGGGACCGCCGCCAGCATGGACAAGGCCGAGCGTCTGGCCTGGGATATGATAGGCGCGCGCATCGACTTTGTACGCTCCAGAAAGGAGAAGGGCGTAACAGCGGCCGCCACCGCTGCGGTCCCCAAGAAAAAGAATAAGGACGACGTGGCCCCCTTCCCACGCGCCACCCTCGAGACCTTCTCCCTCCTGGCAGAGAACTACCGCCTCCGCGGCTTGCACGACCGCATGGTGGAATTGTGGGACTCTTTCCGCGACGCCGAAATCAGCCCAGACGCCTTCATGATGAACCAGCTCCTCGAGTCGTACATCCAGGCCGGCCAGGCCAAGGAGGCGCGCGCCCTGTACGACAGCCTCGTCTCGGACCGGGGCATCGTCCCGGACCCGTACACCTTCAGCGCCCTGTGGAAGACTCTCGACATCAACCGGCTACACCACGTCCCGTCGGGTGCGCTAGCCGACGAGGCCGTCGCGGCACGCAGCCTCTTTGCCGAGGCAGCGCGCTTCCGCTCTATTTTCTCCACCGCCACGACCTCAGAGGACGGACAAGGCAGCGGTGACGGCAGTGGTGGTGTCGGTACCGTCATGGACGGGCAGCTCGGCCGCAAGATCCTCCACACGTTCCGTCGCATAGGCGACAACGCAGGCTTCCTCGTGGCCCTGACGTCGCTGAGGCAGCTGTTCGGCTTCATGCCCTCCGAGGCGCTGGTCCTCGAGCTGACCATGGGCACCACCCGTCTGTCGTGGGACTCACCCCCCCAGAGGAGACGACTCATAGCTGCCAAGCGTCAGCTGGACAGCGACCTGCTCGCCCACGTGGACGGGGACGCCTCGAGGCTAGGGGATGAGACGACCCGTAGCAATGTGCTGTACGAGTACCTGCAGAGGAGGTACTGGCCGTCTGATGGGGCGGATAATCATGCCAAGGTGGTGTTTCTAGAAACGGCGAGGGAGATGGGTGTTTACCAGGCCCTGGTTGCCAAGGGGAAGGGAGGTGAAGTGTAACAATACCTGTATAGATGTGTACAATATGGGGAGGGGATTAAAAAGAAAGAAATACTCCCTGATATATGTTTTTCTTGTATAATATGTATCAACATCTTGTAGTATAACCACTTATTCAAACATGCGAAAAATCACTTATGGAATATCAATGGTAATTAATTATACTATGGTATACATTATATATATGAATATATATCTATACATTCCCTTTTTGAATCCGTAACTCCAATGCTATATACACTTTTTCCCTCCTATACTTGCGGCTCAGCATCAAACCCTCCCAAGAATCCTAGTACTAGTAGAAGTAGTGATAGTAGTAGTAGCCGCTTTCTCGAGGGGGCATAGCCTCCCCCTCCCCTCCGACGATGCCCACCCGCCGGCCTACGACAGATCCATGTCCTGGAGACCGTCACCGTTCAACCTGTCCCCAACCGAGCTAAGGCCGGAGCTCATTGAAGCCGAGCGCTTGACAGCGACACCGTTGCTCGCATGTCCGTTGGCTACGTCCTGGTGATCTCTTGACGATTCGCCGTCACCGCCGCCTGTCCTCTTTCGCACCCAATCCCATATACTCTTGACATCCTCGTCCCCTCCTTCGATTTCAATACCTCCCGCTTCCGCCGGTCTTCCCAATATTGTTCCTTGGAATTTCGAGTCGTCCGAAGTCTTGTTGTGACGTTTTTTAAGCGCTGCGCCCCTCCTGTCAGTTCGAAACACAGACGCGTGCACACACGCACATACACACGGGAAGGGAGAGGAGTATACCATTCAGATAATCCATCCCGTCATTCTCCCCATCGCCGTGAGCAAATTCGGCAATCTCCTTCATCCTTGGACCGGAGAACCAGGCCACGAACTCATCCACGCCCCTGGTGTCCTCCTCCCCGCGCCACTGCTGCTCTACCTCCAGACGGGCGGGCAACAGCGCGCCCGCCTCCTCCAGAGCCATCCGCACCTCGGCAACCGTGTAGTCGCCCGCCTCGCCGTCGTGGTTGTGTAGGGCGTGCGACGCAGTCTTCTCGCACAGCATCGTCAAGTACCGCGCCGCCAGGTCCGTCACGGCGTCCAGCACAGCAGGGCTGGTCCCGTGGTACCCTGTTGCGCGGAGGATTTGTAAGGTCGAAGGGCGGAGGAGGGCGTGAAACAGGGTTGAGGGAGCAGGCATTGTCATTGCTGTCCGGTTGTTTGCTTTCCCTTCTCTTTCTTTTCTCTGTCGTCTCTTCTCTCTCTTTTCGTTTATACCGTAGTTCGTCCGTCCCTTGAGACTGTGACATCCGTATCGTATCTCTTAAGCTGTGATCCGATGCTGTCGCTCGCGCCCGAGGTCGTCATCAGTTTGGTCGCACGGACTGAGGACGCATCTTTGACGAGGGGGAGGGGAGGAGGAAATGAGCGGATGTGCACAAGGCACGGAGATGAAAGGTAGTTTCTGCCTTCTCTGTAAGATGAAGTGCAAGAGTATGTAGGTTCTTTCCCCACCGTTGTGTGTTGAAATATGTCTCCAGTCGCTAATGTCGTTGCTTGTTGCTAGATACGTCGAGGGTTTGGAAGTAGAGCTTCTAGGCGCGACGAGGGAATGCACAGTGTTATTTGTGACAGTGTATGGTTCTATACGCACAGTCCATTTTTCAGGTACACTTATTACTTCTCCTCATGCGACCTTCACACTACTAAATTGCATCTCCAAAAGCTTCATCTTTCAGAGCTTCAACTTTCAGGCTGATATGCATAACTCTCATCTTGTTCCAACCCACGCAATTTCAATGATACCAATTCATACAGTCATTTTTCCAACTGCCTTGGTCAGATTAGCATCCACCGCCACTCCGCTGTAGTGGTTGATCCACCCCAGCACCTCCTTGTGCCACACCAACGAGTTTTCCGGCTTCAACACCCACTGTGAAATATGTCAGTACTCATCGATGCGTCGTTTCTCCTTCTACGATAGCGAGTTGATCTTACGTGGTTCTCATCCGGAAACACAAGCAGCTTGCTCGGCACCTCGCGAGCTTGGAGCACGTTAAACATGGCTAGGCCCTCCGAGATGGGCAAGCGGTAATCGAGCTCGTTATGGATGACCTGGAGAGTGTCAGCACATCCGCTTTTCGTCTACCACAAATACACGCTTTACTCCCTGCGTGCCATCTGAGATACATACCAGCTGCGGGGTTGACCATTGGTCGAGACGCAACGAAGGATCCCACTTGGCATACCCTTCCCTGTTCTCCCAGAGCGTACCGCCAAAGTCATGCTCGGGGAAGAAGAGCTCCTCGGTCGCCCACTGATTCTGTGTTGAAAAGACACCGTCATGGCACACGATAGCCTTGAACTTGCGTCCAAGGTCATTTCCCTGGATCCAGTCTGAGGAGAAGGTCCATTAGTATTCTGGCCGGGCTCTCACGTATTCGGACGATAAACTCACTCATCATGTATCCGCCATACGACGCGCCGAGAGCTACGGCGCGCTCCGTGTCGACATAGTCGAGCTCCTTCTCAATGTACTCGAAGCACTTAACGATATCCTGGTACGGCGTGCCGCCCCAGTTTCCTGTAATCGCATCAACATGGTCCTGGCCGTAGCCCGTGCTTCCCGTCGGATTGGGACACACAGCCACGTAGCCCTGTTCGGCAAAGATGGCTGGGTTCCAGCGGGTGCTCCAGTCGTCAGTCCACGCCGACTGTGGACCTCCGTGGATGAGCAGCGCCAGCGGATACTTTTTGCTCTTGTCGAAATGTGAGGGCTTCATGACGAGTGCGTGGTTGGGGTAACCCGCGGCCCCCTCGTACCAGATATCGGAGCACTGCGACTGGCTCAGGCCCAGACTCTTGCCGTTCTTAGAGCTCGACGAGACCTGGGTGATGCTCGCATCGTCCGTGTTCAAGATAGAGTAGTTGGAATTCTCGACGAGGGAGCGGGAGCTGATGAGAAGCCCCTTGCTTCCACCGAGAGTCTTGGCTTCCACGACACTGCCGTCGACGAATAGCGGCCGCGGCGGCTTGCTAGTTTGGGCGTTGGCAGGAAGCGACCACAGAACGACACGGCCGTGCTTCTCTGCACCGACATAGATCTCAGAATCATCGTCTGCCCAGGTTATCCAGTCGGGTCTGGCGCCCCAGCTATCGTCGTCCTTGAAGTACTCGTCGACCCGGCTCAAGTTGTTGATGTCGGGCATTAGCAGCAGCCTAGGCCGATCGGACTCGTACTTGTCCGACTTCATCCTCGTAAAAGCCACCTTTGTGCCGTCCCTGGAGAAGCTGGGGCTCATGCTGTACCCGCGTAGTCCTTCAGTCGTGACGATGCGCGGCTCGACGGGCTTCTTCAAGGCCCCCTCTTCGATGGGGATGTAGTACAAGTCCGTCTTGGTGAACCTGGCCGGGTTCAGTTCCGGATCCTTGGCGACGAAGACAATGCCGGTGGATGAGATGTCAAAGTCGGCGGTGCCTCCAAAGGGGGGGACGGGACTCTCAAGGCCAGTTCCGGTCAGGAGATTGGTGAGCCCGGGGGCATCAAACACCCACTTGGCGTCCTTCTTGAACAGGGTGCCGAACCAGAGCGAGCTCTTGTTCTCAGTGGACCAGGTGTCCCAGTGACGCACAAACAAGGAAGAGTAGATCTTGGCCGAGGATTGAGCTTTGGGCTCTGCTGAGGGCCAGTACATGTCGCCACTGGGCGTGGTCGGGGCTGAGCAGCATAGGAAGGCTTTTGTGGGGGATATCTGCTTGACTTTAAGATTTGACAGGCTACCGGCGAAGAATTGGATCATATAGGCGGATCTGGGGTCGTTATGCGTAAGTTTTCTCGTCTCTCTTCCTCTCTCCCTCTCTCCACATGTGGACATATATAAGTGACTTACTCGGGGCTCTCAAAGACATTCTGGGTCATGAGAGCAGTGCACCCACGGTCAGCCGGTTTGAGAAAGGCAATCTCGTTTTCGCCAATCCACACAGGTTCGTAGACGGTAGCATCCTCCGAGACGAGATGAGAGCTGCCGTCCGAGAGCCTCAGGACACGAATCTGTGATGACTTGGAGTGTGACTCGAACGAGTATGACGAGACCTGTTCCCCATGTTACACCAAAGGACAGCGTGTGTGAGCAACAGTGACAACAGACAGACAGACAATTGGCACATGAATACACGACACGAGAGGAAGCACGGGGTATATTAACGGACCGTGTAGAGAACCAACTGCCCCGTAGAGTTGGGCGCGCCTGCAGAACGGCGAGGGGCGGAGAGTAAGACCTCGGGGGTGAAGTGTGAAGCTTGGATTGTCATGATGGCCAACAGCTATCTGGAGTAGCTAGTTGTCACTGCCTACTGAGATTATTAATGGCTTGGACGGTAGGATCAGTGACAGTATGAGTACACGAAAGGCATGGGCTTTTCGTAGTAGCAGTCAAGACAGTGTAAGGGGGGTCGAGAGGGGGGGGGAGGGGTCGAGAGGAGGAGGAGGAGGAGGAGGATGAAGAGGAGGAGAGTGTTATAGTACTTGCCAGTACTGATATATATTAGTTTGCGGCTACAAGAAAGGTTGCTGCCAATAGTAGTAATGCAATAATATTGCAGTAGTACTCGCGAGTATGGAAGAATGATGCAGTACATATGCTATTACTACGAGCAATACTTTACCGTTGATATAACATCATTGCTATCTACTCAATACAGTGACTGCTATTTAGCAGTACATAAAGTCGTGTCATGATACTTGTAGTTTAAGCCGCTGGCAGAAAAAAAAAAGACACGAGCTGTTTCTTTCCCTTTGGCCAGATTCGGTACTTTTGACGATCCCTCGATCCCGACCCTGGCTGGCTGGCTCCTTCCCCTCTTTCCCTCTTTCGCTCCTTCCCTTTTTTCCCCTCTCACGCCAAAACATTAAGGAAGGATGACCCCGCACTCTCAAAGAGGATGATATATTTGTCATATTGTCACATCTTTCCCTACTCCTCTTAGCTCTACCTGCATTCCTCCTAGTTCTGGTGTCTTAGTAGTAGTAGTAGTAGTAGTAGTAGTAGTAGCAGTGTAAGAGGTAAGAGGCATACTTCACGTTACATTCCAAGCGCTTGGGCAAGACCTGCAATCACTCATCAAGACTAACCCCCCCTCTCCTGCCACTTCGTATTGTTGTTGGTATGATAGCGGAGTCACACGGGTATCAACCCCCCCGTTCGTCTAATACGTCTGCGGTCTCCGATGTGAGATTTTCCCTCACGTGGCCGACCCTGTTGAACATGTATTACGCCTGCGTTGCTTTGGTGAGCCCCTCACCTGTACTCCTTTCTCGGCTCCTCCTCTTTGGCTTCTCCTCTTGTTAGCTTGTTCTGACGTATTATTTTTCTTGTCTTTCCCGTTTTGGGCTCGTATGCTCCTATTTCCCCTTCCAAGGTATACACGCATGCACACACACACACGCACGCACACACACACAGACATGGCATGTAATGATTCCAAAACAAGACCATCCTTATTTCGTATCACGGGATTCCCATCTTAAAGAGGAAGAGAGAGTAACAATAGCCTATACGAACAAAGAGGAATATAATTGCCTACTGACAATACCCTCAATGCATGTCCCCTTGACGCCATAGAAAAATAAAAACGCCGGCCAATTCCTTTTTTTCTTTCTTTGAAACGTAGACAATGGTGGGGTATCGAGAAGACAGAGAGAGGGAGACAGGGAGAGGGAAAAGGAGAAGAGGATATCACTTCCGCGACGCCCCAAAGTAGGTCCTCTTCTTGTTCCCCTGCCCATTCCCCTCGGCCTCATCATCCGCCGCCGCAGCTTCCTGTTTCTTCTTACCGCTCTTCTTGCTCCCAGCGCCCGTCGGGGTAGCGGTGCCAGTCTCCCTAAACGATGCAGATCCAGGTGTTGGTGCGTGCGAGGCCGGAGTCGATCCTGGCGTTGCATCCTGTCTCGTTCCTTTTGTCAGCGGGGCTTGTGCATCTTCGTGAGGTAGGGGTAGTACAGGTGATAGATCAAGGTATCAAGTCAAACTCACCCCGTTATTAGCCTTGTACGACAGCGACGACTTGGTAAACACGCGGTTCAGCTCCACCGGTCCAGCCTTGCGCCTCTGCGCTGCCGCCCCGCTCTGGCCCTTCATGTAACTGTCAAATCCTGTAATGATGTTGCCGCTCGGCGTGCTCTCGAGGTACGACGTCTCCTTTGCTGCGATGCTATCTTCAATTTGGCCCTACGCACACTTCTGTCAGTCAACTGCAAGTGCAGGGCGTTTGAGTAGATATTAAGAAAGCACAAGAGCGGCCGGAGGGAGGACCAGAGAGGGGGGAGGACAAACAAGTCTTCGTTCTAGCATCCTACGCTTCTCAACCAGCTCCCGAACACGCTGCTGCGACTTCTTATACTCGGCCATGGTGATGGGAGGATTGACGGCGTTAACGCCTGGTCCTGCTCCCGCGCCTGGGCCGGCTCCCGCGCCTGACGATGCCGCACCGTCTGACTGTTTCTTGTCGGCCATGGTTTATGTTCGCGTCTGGGTGGATGGGGTGGTGTGTTTATCGGGCCTGCTACCCGTAGACCTCGCTCGTCTCAGGTATTTCGGTGTATGTGACTGGTTTGCAGTGTTTTTGTCAAGACCCTGCGCATCAAGGCCCGTCGTTCGTGCTGCTGATAATGATGGATGGTGATGGATGGTTGATGATGGTCGTGGTGGTTAGATTTTGTTCGCTCTTTGTTTGGATTGTCGCCTTTCCGCATACAATTCCGCAGTGGGTCCGACACCTTCCTACCGATACATGTGAATTGTCAAACCAACAATATCATCCGTACGGAGTAGCACATCGCAAATGTGCATTTCACTTCTGTAACAAGACAGGCTCCGCTAAAAATTACCAAGGCACTACTCCGTACTTTATGATTAATTCAATCTTGGAAACCAATACACTAGCTAGCTCAATTCTATCCTACAAATACCAATTCTCGAGAAGCCAACCTATATGCCCTGTCTCATGCAAGGTGGGATGGCTCGTCAACCTCCAGGGAACCAACCTGTGTCTAGGTAATATCATTTCGCGTCGGCTTTGGTAGCAGCGTTGTCGCGCTCTTGATCTTCTAAAACATCAGCAGCCTTTTTTCGAGAGGGTGGAGGGGAGGGTGACAACGAAGCAGATGACGATGCCCTGCGCCTGCGGTCCCGGCGTCCCCGGTCCGACTCTGACGATTCGCTACGGCCACGGCCACGATCACGGCGTCCCCGTCTAGCCCTGGGCGGTGGCGAGTCCCGGCGGGTGTGGCTGCGGCTGCGGCTGCGGCTGCGAGTCTTCGAGGGTTTGTCCCCGCCTGAAGAAGACCTGGACCTAGACTTTGATCTCGACGAGGTACTCGAGTAGCGTCTGCGTCGTCTGGGCGATGGGCTTCTCGAGGAGGAGTGTCTCCTCCGCTTGGGTGGGGGGGAACGATGGTTTGAGGACTCGGAGCGTGAGCGGTGTGTCGCGGTCCTTCCGTAGCGGTCCCTCTGGCTATCCCTACCACTGTGGCGCCTTGGTGACGCGGAGCGCCTATTCTTGTTGCTCGAGATGCTACGGCTGCGGCTGCGTGAGCGGGACGAGCCAGATGCCGAGATAGATCTGGTGCGACGGCGGCCACCGTCACGGCCACGGTCGCGGCCCCTGTCGCGGCCCCTGTCGCGGCCCCTCCCACTACCTCCTCGTGGCACGTAGCTGTCTCGACCATACTGGTCGCGCGAGAACCGGTCCCTGTCATCTGGAGATCGAGAGCGGAAACGGCCTCTGCCTGCTCCGCCGCCGCCGCCACCACCACCACCACGGCCGCCGCCGCGATCAAAGCCACGATCACCCCTATCGCCCCAGCGGCCACCACGAGATCCCGAGGGTGGGCGGGTACGTTCACGTCGGTCTCGGTCCACAAAGTCGGAGGTTTCGCGGTCGCGTCGTCGGTGGGAATTTTCAGCTGCCCGGTCTGCTTCGGCCTATAATACACGTTAGGCACTGGGTGTGTGTTGTGGGGGAGGACGGTAAAAGTCTGGTCGAACCTTTTCCTGCATGAGCTCCTGCTTCTTAGCCTCGAGGAGTTCCTTAGGAACACCCTGGGGGCTAGCCTGGGCGCTCAGGAGGAGCTTCCATAGGTCCTTGCAGAATGTGGCCGTGTCCTTTTCGAGGAAGCCCGTGAGTTGGATCTGAGTGGATTTAATGTCAGGCTAGAGGAAAGGAAACAGTTAGTCGAGTACATCATCGAAGAGAAGGTGTCTGTCGCAACGTACATAGCGAGCTCCCTCAACGAGGCCGAAACACAGCTCGATAACGACGTCGTCATCGTTGCCGAGAATCTCGGAGATGCGACCAGCGATCCACCTAGCACACTGTCAGGGGTCGTGTATGTTGAGGAGAAAGAGAGTCACGATATCAATTGGTTGGCGAGTCGGGGGTTGTACACACTTTTTCACGACGTGCACGTTGACTTTTTGCATGTCAACCTTTTGGTTGAACTCTGGGGGAAACTTGGTCGACTTCATGAGCCGGGCATCGCCGCCGGAAGCCATGATGGGCCCAGGGAAGATCGTATAAAGGCTTCAGGGTGTGGAAAAGCAGCCGATTGAGTGGCGGGTGTTGTGCGCGACGAGTCCGACAATGATGTGAATGAGATGAGAGGGAGGATTGGTGGTGGTTTGAAATACACAACAGAAAACCTAAAGTGACGTCGAGTTTTAGTGCTGACAAGCCCGATGGAGAGACAGCCCATGCTACAGTGGCCTGGGGTCGGTGCTCCAAAGCGCTGTAGCTGCTTGAGTTGCAGTATGGAGTTCACCTATACTTGTGCACTAACTCTAGGTGTGTATGTACTGTAGGCAGCCAAGATGCGCCATCAGCCAGAGTGCCACCACTGACAGAGAAACTCCAGCTTTATCTAGACGACATCTCTGCCCTCCCCCTCCCCCTGCCCTACATCCATATCGACGTCGACCTCAACACTTGGTGGCCAGGAATCTCCCCTCAGGATGGAAAACGGAAATTTACACGCGCCCACTGTAGCCTCCGGGCCTACCTCCGGGCCTGCTACCACCAACGGGGCGGCCGGGCACCTGAGCTTCGCGGAGCTCCAGGAAAAGAAGGAGAATACAGAAGCTGAGCTCAGGGCGCTGGGTAGTGTTCTCGATACGGTACACAAAAATATCCTTCTCTTTCTTCTGCAACTCTCTCTTTTCTTTTGGACCTTCGCTGACAATGTCGACTGTTGAAGCATGGTGTGGACATGGATACACCTCTCCTCACGAGAGACGGCTTCCCTCGATCAGACATTGATGTTGCCCAGGGTATGGTGAAATGAGAAAGTATGTATCTAGTTGCGGATGCCTCTGACAGCTTGTTAGTTCGTACAACGAGAGCGCGCATCATTCGGCTACGAAATGATTACAAGGACCTTATGAAAACCATTGAGAACCATCTCCACAACCACTTTGCGAACCTAGACGATGACGCTGCCCCCCAGGCACCAATATCCAACGGCCACATCGGGCTACCAGACGCCGAGGATGATGCTCCCGACCCGGTCTTTGCTAGAGTCAATACCGTGGCTGCTGGCAGCCCCGCTGAGACTGCTGGTCTGAAGCCAAGCGATGAGATTCGCAACTTTGGCTACGTCAACTGGTCTAATCATGATGGACTCAAGAGGCTGGGCGAGTGCGTTCAGGGTAACGAGGGAGTAAGTTGTCTTTTTCGCTTCCCCTCCGAATTCTTTATTTGGCCGTATGTTAACACGTGTGAAATTCAAGGCAAACATATTTATCCGAGTATCGCGCCCGACTGGCGCAGCCCAACGGCAAGAGCTTCGCCTGACGCTATACCCGAGGAAAGATTGGGGTGGCCGTGGGATGCTGGGCTGTCATATCCTACCCATACAGTGAGGAAGACGGTGCCACGACATGGGTTTGAGGCGATAAGGCAGGCAATATTGACGGCCTAGTATGCCAGCTCAATATACTTGTCAGGTTCGAATAGCGGCCTATAGAAAAAAAAGAGGACGACGTCTGTATTTGTATAGCGGCTTAATTGGTGAGCATCTCTTTCCATGAAACAACAGAACCCTCACGGGTTTGCTAGTTGTAGGATACGGGTCAATCAATGTATTATGTAATCGGCATCGTCATTATTATAATTACCGAGAGGAAATTTGCGTGAGCTGGCAAGCAAAAAGTGATGGATATATGTCTGATGATGATGCATGCCTTTCAGTCCTATTCACTTCACTTTTTCCACGGTTTTCTTTTCAGCGGGGAAACGGTGACGACTTGACTAGGCTGTGATGGGCTTAGGCACCAAGTGGTCTGCATCGTGTATTGCACCATATCAGGGTAGCTTTTGGGATTGTTCATTGTAAGACGAATGTGTACAGGTAGTCCTAGCTATTCCATCTCGATAGCTTACAAATATGGGGTTCGCAAGAAGTTGGGATTTTTTTTAGAAAAAAAAAACATGACAGAGTCAGATACATGCCTATGAGGAGCTGCAGTGGGTCACGATGGCCACGATGGCAAAACAAAGTGATGTAATACATGGGTGAAATGGCCAGGGGCCCGGCGAGCGGGATGGTGCTACTGCCAGCACTGTAAAAGAACCTCTAAGAATCCCTGTCGGCTGACCAATGAACTAGTGGTGGCCTCAGGCGGCCAACTGCACTCTAGTCAGGTCCAAGTCAAGGTCGCGTCAGGTTCAGGTCAGGCCTTCCTCATGTTTGCCCACTATTGCCTATGCATGTACGGATACCGCGTTGCATTTTACAATGTACAGGGACTCCGTACGCCGTAATTCCCACATCCAGCACCCGTCACTGACTGATTACGTCGTTTTACATATACAGTTGATAATGAGTCCTCCTGTCAGCGGCACGGACGGAACAACGCCGGGGAAAATGCGTCTGGAGGTACTGGTCGGACCGGCGTTCTTCCGAGTATTTCTTCAACAATAATAGTGCTAGAAGACGGTGAAGATGGCGTTATTTTGGTGACTTACTATATTCCATTATTGTTTATACGGAAAAATCATAACTAGGAAGGTATTATTCAAGGGGTTGGCTTATCCGGAGAAAAAAATTTCCCGTATTCCGTCGCCCTATTTGCCTTGGTTTACCCCTCTACATACTACAGTACAGGTAAGTAAGGCTATCACGGATATACGTGGTTTGAGGGGGGCTGACTTAGCTAGAAGAATGGCTTACCCGTTGTCCGTCGCCCTGTTTGTTCCAACACCTAAGCTGGGATTAGAACCCACCCACAGAGCTCAGCGTGGTTCTCTCAGTGGCTCGTTACACCAATGACCCCCCCGCCCTCCCGACCAGACTGAATTTTCTCTCATTGTTTGGCCCGCCCGTTCCCTCGGTCGAAGCCTGACAGCGCTGGCTTGACTGATGCGATTTTTTTTCTCGCTCTCTCTCGTTCCCCCCGCTGAGATTGACCCTAGTACTTGATACTTTGTACCCAGTCCCCAGTTGCTGTGTGCTGTGCCACAGCTCGCTCTCATCACTCAGCAAGATAATAACAGCCGCCAGCTGCCAGCAAACAAAAACAATCTCTCTCTCTTTTCTCCCCCTCCCCCGCCACTACTCTATAAAAAAAAACCACCACCCCCCCCCTCAAGGTACGGAACACTCCCTTGCCCTTTCGGTTGCTTTATATACCCATTTGGAGATTTCATCGAAAAAATTGTTCATGTCTCTGGATCCTTGATATTCCTCTTCTTGGCTTTTGCTTTCTTGTCCCTGGGTCTTTTTCCTCGGGGAAAGGGAACGTCTTGAAGTGCTTACCCTTGTCGATCGGTTGTTTTTTTTCTGCGTGACGTCGACTGACCGCATTCTGCACAGCGAACAATCACCCCGCTTGTTTACCGAACCGCCGCACTCTACCATCTTCTGTTACCCCTCCACGTTCAAATATACCCGTCATCATGGCTGCTCAGCAGGTCCCTACTTTCAAGCTCGTGCTTGTCGGTGACGGCGGTACCGGAAAGGTATGTGCTAGGAAGGCGGACTTAGGGGGGGAGAAGAGAAGCACACGATCTCACGCTTTCTCTCTCTCTCTCTGAGCTACTCCTCCTTCTCTACGGGCATTATATAAGAAAGGACTGACATTTACTCCCCTGTTGTAGACCACCTTTGTCAAGCGTCACTTGACTGGTGAGTTCGAGAAGAAGTACATGGCCACTCTTGGTGTCGAGGTGCACCCTCTTGGTTTCAGCACGGTAAGTTTCTTCTTCTTCTCTCTCCCCTGCCCCTCGACCCCTCTTGGGCTTGGGTGTGAGAGGATGGAGAGATGAAAAGAAGCGATGACTGATTCGATGCCTCTGCGTTATATAGAACTACGGTCAGATCCAGTTCGATGTCTGGGACACCGCCGGTCAGGAGAAGTTTGGTGGCCTCCGTGATGGTTACTACATCAACGGCCAGTGCGGCATCATCATGTTTGACGTGACGTCGCGCATCACATACAAGAACGTTCCCAACTGGCACCGTATGTATTTGTTTCTTCTTCCTTCTCTCCTCCATGTCCGGTCTTTTTTTTCTCCACTCTCCCTTCGGTTAGACAGCCGTGGGTCTTTAGCTTTAGACACCACGATTACGAAGGAGAGGGGGAAGGCCAAATCGCCACTTTACCTTGTTTGAGTTTGCGACTGACACCACCATCACAGGTGACCTCGTCCGTGTCTGCGAGAACATCCCCATCGTCCTCTGCGGTAACAAGGTCGACGTCAAGGAGCGCAAGGTCAAGGCCAAGACCATCACTTTCCACCGCAAGAAGAACCTCCAGTACTACGACATCTCTGCCAAGTCAAACTATAACTTCGAGAAGCCCTTCCTCTGGCTCGGCCGCAAGCTCGTTGGCAACCCTCAGCTGGTGAGTTCTTTTGCTAAATTGGATGAATCGATTGGTGGATATTATTCATCTACGTTACTTTCGTTCTTCGTTGACGCCATGCTAACACACTACCCACTGTATAGGAGTTTGTTGCCGCCCCCGCCCTGGCCCCCGCCGAGACCAAGGTCGACAAGGAGCTCCTCGAGCAGTACAAGCAGGAGATGGACCAGGCCGCTGCCCAGCCCCTGCCTGACGAGGGTTCTGACGAGGACCTGTAAACGACGCGCGACAAGGATATTTTTATAGAGTGATATCAAAGGAAGGAGCTCTTCGTTTTACGGTGATAGGAAGCCAGCAGAAGAAAAAAAAAAAGGGAAGGCAGAAATAAATTTTTTTTTTTCAACAATGTATGGGTATGGCACTCGAGTGAAGGAATGAGAAGAGAGATTGGATCATTGGGTCCAGGGTGTGTCTCAATACCTGACGACAATGAAATCCGTCCCTCTGCAATTTTACAACGCAATGCGGGCAAAATATATGACGGTTACAGTCTAAGGAGGAGGGGGAAGCATGATGGTATTTGTTTCTGGAGATCGATTCAAAGGCCATACCTGTGAGGTTGTCTGCCTCAGTTGGGGGGGTGTGCTGTGCTGTGCTGTCGAGGCATGGCTGAGCCATGAAGCTTTTTCATAACAAATCCAGATTTAGATAGACGTTTCTTTTTCTTTTCGTTCTTTCTTTCGTATTCGATTTGATTCAATGAACGCTTTACTTCACTTGACTCGACTTGGTCAGAAAATAGATGCACATATATCCTGCGGCTGTTGTCAGACGGCGTGTCGTTGCTGATATGTCGGTCAAGCAAGGACAAGGAGCCAAGACGTGGAAGAAATTTTCTACTTACCCTATATTTTAGACTCTATCGAAATCCGCAGGGCATTGGTTGGATGGTGTGCAGGTGGTTAGTATCGGTGTTATGATACGCCTTCGGGATATGTGTATCACATCCAGGGGTTCTAAGTAGAATATTTAGTGGCGGAAGCAGAAGGTTTTCTTCTGATGTCCTACTCAATGAGAAAGTATCTAGGCTATACCACTTTCAATCCCACCCTCATGGTTCAACATGTTGAGGAAAACAACAATAAGACAATACCTGGAATGTTGGTCACGTTAAGAGAAGTCTGTATTAAGTGAGACAAACAACCCCGGAATAGTAGAAGACAAGGGTTTCAAAGGCTTCGATTGCATGAGTACTGATTTTTCTCTCGAGCTGAGGGTGTGACTGACCAACCGAACAGTTGAAGGGAGCAATAATACGTGTATGGCAATGGTAAGGGGACAAGACTGAAGCAATCGGAACTGATTCTGATACATGATGGCAATGATACCCCTTGGGACATTGGGTGCTTTGTGTATATCCTAGCCCTATAGTCTGGCATTTGATAAAATATGAATCATCACTCGTAGCTCTCTCTTCTTCCACAATTCTGCGAAAGAGGGAGAGAGAGAAGAAGAAGAGGGGAAGAAGATGGAGATGTAGGACCAGCCTCCAGGGGTTCCAACGCGTTCGCATGGGCGCGCGCGTGAAATTGGAGCGGGGACAAGGTGCAGGTAGTTGGGCAGAGTTGAATAGTCGGTAAGGAAAGGGCAAAGTTGGGATTTTTTTTCTCTCTCTTGAGCTACGGAGTAGCACGCAAGTGTAGTTGTTAGTGCTATTTGCCAACGTACGAGCAGTTAATTAATACGAGTATCAATTAATAATGGGACCTGTACAGATTACAGAGTAAACAGAAGTATTATGGAGTAGAGGGAGAGGGACAGAGTGTAATACAGGCAAAGTGAGAGCACGGAACATCAATACACAGGTTAGATCCACATATAGTGTCCCCCAGCCACAGCATTGCAGCGGAATAACAACACGGTGAAGGGTGAGAGGTAGGTAGGAAAGTGGATGACATCGAGTGACAAAAGGACGCGTATCGGGTTTAGCGGAATGCATCCTCAAGATACACGTAGGACAGTCCCTGGACGGAGGACTGAGTGAGAATTGATCACGGTGGAATAGACAAGAGGAACGAGAATACAAATAGAGGGGCCGTGGCAACGTCATGTTGACTTATTGCCCAATCGGGCAATGTATATGATTGACGCGTGCGGATCAGAGGAGGAAGGAGCATCCTGTGGCTGTAGTCGTACTTGCATTCTATGAACCTACACAATAGCAAGAGTAACTCTGTTGATCAATTCAAAAAATGGAAATAAAACGTAGAAAGAAAAGGACGGGTTCTTCATGAAAGAATACAGAAAAAAACCCACCAAAACTAGAAAGAGCCAGGGACGTGTCCAACTGGCAACATGCCAACACCACACCACACCCCTGTCGTAGACGCGTGAGCTTTAAAGGGCCCCATCCCCCCTCCCCACCAAGGGAAAAAAGACCGGGGTATTGACCGTGTATCGTGGGTTGGGCACAACTTGTAACCTCTTCCTCTCTTTTTCCCCTTCTCTCCCTCTCTTTCCTTTTTTCTTTTCCTCTCTTCCTAACAGGTATTCTTGTTCTTCGATATCATTTCTTTTCTTAGGAGGAACATATAATACCGGGGTTTCCTTTCATATTGTATCACCATCCATCCATTCCCCTTTGTTTATCATCTCTCTTTCCTCACACACGCGTCATGTCTCTTCCTCCTCCCACCTTGACTCCGCCGCGTGAAGCGGAGCGGCACCAGCTTCAGTATTACCAACAGACACAGACCGACAGGATGAATAGCAAGATCATCAACACGCCTTCGCCGAACGGGAGCAGCTCCAATGACGCAGATGGCCATTCCACCTCGTTCATCTCGACCGCCTCGTCCTCCCAGCTCAGTGACGACCATGACACGTCGGTCGGCCTTGCAGATCGCTCGGAAAAGCACCCGAGAGCTAAGAGAAAAAGAACCGGGTATTTGCATATTCTCTACCTTGAGGGGGGGGGGGAGGGGGGACAGGAAGAAAAGACCTGTGTGTATTCTGACTTTGCTGTTTTATTATCACAGGGCTCACGATAAGATGATACTCGAAGACGCCTACCGCGCCAACAGCAAACCCGACAAGCAGGCGCGCCTTGACCTAGTATCGCGCGTCTCGCTTTCGGAAAAGGAAGTCCAGGTAACTACCAATTACCCTTCTGGTCACCACTATACGCGTTTGGGTTATTGACAGAGTATAAGGTCTGGTTCCAGAATCGTCGTCAAAACGATCGCCGCAAGTCGAGACCCCTCACCAGCGAGGAACTGGCCAACCTCCACCACAGCGGCATCCGTCTCGTCGCCAACAGCAAGGACACCTTCCACCACGGCGAGAGCGTTCTCAAAGTCACCCACGGTCCCGTTTCTATCGGCCTTGGAAGCCCCGAGGAGACTTCCCTCCACCATCCTCATCCTCATCCTTCTTCCTCTGGCCTTGCTATGTCTGCCTCGTTCGATCATCACAACAGCCACAGTCACCACTCGCGCAGTCTGTCCGAGATGGACAGCAACCACCACCGCGACCACCAAGCGCCTCAACATCAAGACTCTTCTCCCAACAACAGCCTTTCCAGCTCCTTCCCCGGAACCCTGGGATACCTTGCCAACCGTCGTCGCGAGAGCGGTGCTACCCCCGTCACTGTTAATGCTCTCTCCACGCCTGCTCCCTCATCTCACTATGTCGACTCTTCCTTTACCTTCCGGTATGCTCTCCTCCCCTCTCCTCACTCTATACTCTCGCTATTCCTTTGCAAGGAAGGTCCATCGTGACGAATACCCCCACTGACAATACCAGCGTCGACCGTTCATCCCCCACTGCCCCCTCTCACTGCTCAACCCCCCAGTCTCAGATCCGCCTATCTTGCTCCCTCGACGGCAAAGCCGAGCTCGTCCCCACGCCCCAACAACGACAGCTGCAACGCGACAGCAACACGCCCTCCACCACTGGCGCTGGCCGCTCTTCACCTGCCTCCCAGCGCTCCCCCAACGGTGCCGACCAGGGTTGCACACCCTCGTCGCGTCCTCGTCCCCGCGAATTCCGCCGCAGCTACAGCGCTACTACCACCCCCAATAGCGGCGGTGTCAGACTCCCCTCCATCTCCACGCTGCTCAATCCCGCCACCGCCTCCGGCACCGCTGCTTCCAGCCCCTCCATGCCTCGTGGCCCCTCCGGCCGCTCACGCAACGTCGACGCCTGGGAATCGTGCGCGGCATCCCAGACGCGCGACGAACTCACCGCCATGGCGGAGAAGGAGTCCAACGGCGATGCGCTGGCTCGTATAAGCCTCATCCGTTCCAGCAGCAACACCAGCAGTAACGGCCACGGAAATATCCTCCAGCCCAGCGGTGTCTCCAAGCGCAATGGCGATGCCTCCCGCCGTCCCTTCCAGCATGGCACCAAGCGCGCGAAGCTCAGCCGTGCAACGTCCAGCCTTGCTCGTCTGGAGAGCACCGAGAAAAAGGATGATCAGGACATCTGGCTGTCCCCCACGGCCGATTCGGACAAGGAGAACTGGAGTCCCTCTGAGACACGTCAACAGCAGCAGCAGCAACATCGGCAGCAGGAGCCTCCGTCATCGGCGCCACGCAAAACAGCTACGACGACGAGGCCGGAAATGACTCCCCTGCAGGATGCCTCGTCCCGGAGGGCGAATAGCAACCTGACCAAGTCGAGTCGGGTACGCCTGAACGCCAAGGACGGTGGCAAGGCGATTGCCATTTTTGACGATGCCGTCGACGGTGGAAAGAAGCTCCGCTCCACCGAAGAGGTCGATGGGTTCATGGGTGTCGACGTCAGTCCTAGTAAAAAGGGGGATATGGACGTCGCTAGTAGTCTGTTGTCTCTTAGGAGGGGAAATTGGGAGGCACCCATTTCTTTCTGATGGCTTTTCTTGTCCCTCTCCTACATTTTTTCTTTTGTCCGTGTTTTCTATGTTATATTTCTCGTTCTTTTCTTTTACAAGACGACTTTTGGTCTTGTTGGGTTTTGTCCGGAGGCTATCATTTGTGTGATATTTTCGGTGGGGAGTTTTTTCCCTCCTTTTTTACTTTTTTCCTCTTTCTTTCTTCATCTTTCTTTCTTTCTCTTTTGTTTTTAAACGTCTTACCTGCATCATGATAACGTTGATGGTTTGTATTTAGAACAGGAGTTGGGTTGGGTTCAGTTCGGTCGTTGTAATTTATTGGTCATGGTCTGGAAAACAGCACAGTTCTATTTTTGACTAATACCTACTTGGCATGGCATCATGGAATGGTATCTAAATGCATGTGTTTGTTCCATGTACAACTCACACCTTATATGTTACAACTAGCAGAATGTCAGTGTCGAGTAGAATTACAAAGGAAAAGCAATGCATACTGGTAGAATGTCAATGTCAGCGACTAATCCAAGGAGACTTGGAACTAATCCAAGGAGACTTGGAGTAAGAGCAATCAGATACATGGTTAGATAAGGTTGATAATAAGGTCTGGTGAGATAGAAGGGAAGGGGGGGTTGGGAACGAGTTGTATGCTCTTTAAAACCCTAGATGCATCTGTTCTAATTCTTGTATCCATCGTTATAACACGCTCAACATGAAAGCAAAAAAAAAAAAAAAAAGTAAATAGGGGCAAGAGATCCAAGAGAAATGAAGGATGGACCATGTGAAAAAGACAAGAAACAACAAGAAGGAACAGGGGGAGAAAAAAGAAGTAAAAACCATTCACCGAACAAGCTACATCTCTAGACGTCTGGGACTGGCAGCCACGCTCCCATCCTCACTAGCATAGAAGCCACTATCCGTGTCGATATCCCAACCGTCGCTCTCGGCATCACACCCGGCCTCGGAGCCGGCCCCGCTATCAAAGGGCTTCTGGGCGGCAGCACGGACGTTCCACCTAAGGGTGCGGCTGACGCTGTCGAACCATTCTGTGTCGGTGCGGGTGACAGTGGGGAAGGGGTACTGCGAGGCCGAGATGGTGATGTAGTCGCCCTGGCGAAGCTCGATGCGGCCCTTGCCATCAAAGGCGCAATAGGCGGTGGCACGCGAGTTGCGTGGGATGGCAACGCGTAGCTCCATCGTATCCGAGAGGACCATGGGCCTGAAGGACAACGTGTGCGGGCAGATGGGCGTGAGCAGGATGGCCGGAATGTCCGGGTGGACGAGGGAGCCGCCGGCCGAGAGGGAGTAGGCCGTCGACCCCGTCGGCGTCGAGAAGATGCATCCGTCGGCCTGAACGACAGTGAGCAGTTCGTCGTCGCCGTAGAGCTCCATGTTGGAGACGTAGGGCGAGGGCCCGCGGTCGATGACGAGCTCGTTGAGAACCTCGTACTGCTCGCCCTGGCGCGTCTGCCCGTCCGGCCCCGCCCGCCAGAGCGTGCACGTGAAGCGCATCCGCAGGTTGACCTTCATGCCACTGTTGCCCATGATGCGGTCCAGGTGGTCTACGTACCGCTCGTACTCGAACGTCGTCAGGAACCCCAGGCTGCCCAGGCTGAAGGACAGCGTCGGCGGCACCACGCGCTGAAACAGCCACGACGTGAAGAGGACCGTGCCGTCGCCTCCCAGCGTCAGCACCAGGTCAAACTCGTCCGGGTAGTTCATGCACAGATCCGGCGTCCAGTACTTGAGCATGTTCTTGAACCGCGGGTTCTTTTCCAGGATCCCCGCCGCATTGAACCGCTTCGAGTTGCGCAGCTGCAGGTCCACATACACGGTGACACCGAGGTCTGAATTGTACCGCGGCGTGCTCATCAACCACGTCGCTAGTTCGCGCGTGTGGTTCACGAGCTCGTTGTCGCGCGCCTTGGTGACGATCATGACGCTGCGCACTGCGCGCTTGATGGGCCGCCGCTGGAGCTGCTTCGACACCTCGCGCACGCCCGTGGCCGTCTGTACTAGGCGCCCGTGCGACATGCTGTCGTCGTTCTTGATCTCCTCGAGTATCTTGTCAATGTTGACTGACTCGTCAAAGCGTTGGTGGTAGAAGCAGGGTGACTTCAGGACTGGCAGAGCCGTCACCGGCGTCGTCCCGGATTGTGACAGCACTAGGTTGTTGAGGGCATCGTTGAGCCTCCTGGACGACGAAGGGCCTATCGGGTCCCTGAGGGGCAGCGGTGGGGGTGGTGCCTGGTGCTGGTGCTGGCGCTGGAGTCCCAGGATCTTCTCTTCGGGATTGGTCTGGGTCTGCTTCTCGACAGCCTGGGTCTCCTCCGGATCGATGCCGGTGTCGGTGCCGCCGGGGACCATGACACCGTCGAGAGAAAGGGGCTCGGACCTGGCAGGCTCGGGAACAGTGGCGAGACGGGCCTCGATGGAGTCGGGAAGTGAGGTCGTCTCGGGGCCTGCTATGGGTTTGACAACAGCGGGCTTTTGCTGCTGACGCGGCAACGACCAGCGATCCCACGGGTCGGCGACGGGTGAGGCGGGGGTGGTGGCAGAGGTGGAGGTGGAGGAGGCCTCAGTAGCGGGAGTGGTTGAGGGAGCGCTAGAAGTGGCAGAGGTTGGGGAGGCGTAATCATTCTTTTGGCGTGTGACGAGGCGATCCAGGGAGAGAGAAAGGTCGTGACTAGACAAGAGAGCGTGGCTTGATAGCGAAGATTTATAAGAGGGAGCGTTATCGGTGGTGTATGAGGTGAGACCAAGTTGCTGCTGACTGCATTGGTCCGTCGGTGCTGATGCGTCACGGCTATCACTGACCGGTTCCTCGGTGGGTGCAATGGCCGCGCTGACGGTGCTGCTTGTATCGAGAGAGGAGGGAGCCAGAGAGGGCACGAAAGCCAGCTCATGCGATGTGGTTGCCATTGTGGTGAATGGGAGCGGTGGTGGTGGTGGGAGTAGTAGTAGTGGAGTATTTGGATTATGGTCAAGCAAGGACTACTATTGGTGTCACTCGGAGGTGGCCACGAAATCCAAGAATGAAGAAATAACGGTACCGTTTCCAGAACGGGAGGGTAGGGATCTATCAAAAGGGGAGACGTTAGTTTCTTCTTTTTAACTCTCTCTATCTCTTTTTTTTTTTTTTTGAGAGAGAGAGAGAGAGATAAACTGTTCTTGGTATACAAGAAAAGCTCACCTGGTGGGTGATGTGCAGCCACACGGAAATGGGTTTAACTCCGTGAGAATAATACCGAGTCTGCTTTCGGCGTCGGCTTCGGCGGAATCGAATGCGGGGAAAATGAATGGCCGAGAGATAGAAATAGAGAAATAATGAAATATGAAGAGAGGGGGGGGAGAGCGGGATATTAAATATTATGTGAGTGATCCTCGTGTGTATGTCTTGGGGTGCCGTTCCAGCAGCAACAAATTCGGTCTGGTGTGCGAGTACCGATATAACGGAATTGGATGGCGGCAACGGCGGACTTAGAAGAAGCACTCGAACGAATAAAGATGGAGGGGTGGAGAAATGACAAGAGATATAAAAGATGGAACGAATGCAGAAATAATAAGAAATGGAGGGGACGAGACTCAACTACCAGAGTTTGTCTGTCGGACCGCGATGAAGGGGGAGAGCGAGAGGAATAGAGCACACACGGAGAGAGAAGAGAGGAGAGGGAAGGAATGATGACGACCACGAATCTTTTTAATACTAATCTCTTGTCTGATTCTAGGGGAGAAAGGGGATCGTTGTCTGAGAACGACGAGTATGTGCTCCGCAGTATTCACCAGTTTGGAACATCTCCTGGCCGCGACAAGTGGAAACGAGTGGTCTGCTAATGCTTTGACGGGGCCCTGTCCAACTACCCGTACAAGACGACAGTGATAAGACGCATCTGGTGGTGGGTTTGAATTGATAATACGGAAAGGGGGGGGGGGGCCGTAAGAGGACCAAGGCCCATGAAGGCCTTGAGTATCTGTGACATTCTTTGGGGTGTTGAGGGGGATGCCAAGGTGATGCCAAGGTCGGAAGGGAAAAGAAGGATCGCGGTGGTAGACTGGTAGTAATATTACTCAGTACAGTGTCCTGTAGCCTAAGGCATATTCACCCTACTGTGGCCGTCGCACTTGCCATGTACCGTTATCTGCAGTAAATAGAAGCCAAGGCAGGAGCGACTACTCCATACTTGTACAGAAGTGGCCCTTGCCCGTTTCAGCCTCCACCGCCTCTCTGCCTCTCTTTCTCCTTCCTCGAAGTTCCCCATGTCCAGCCTGATACTCTCCTGGCACCTGCCACAGGGCAATGCCAACTACAGATACGGGACGTATAGTACGGAGTAACAGCATTACTTACATGTGTCTACGCGTACAAGTAATACTTCCCACCACTCGACAATTGTTATTTACCGCCGTCAATTATTAGCACCGAGCTAATGCTACATCATCACCATGCTACTGCAGTTGTCAGAATATATGCTATTATTAATACTATCACCACTACAAACTACGGAGTATGATGATACGAATTGACATCATGATTGCCAGGATGCTTTAAAATAAATAAATACTGAACTTGTCACGTTGCCATCAGCCATTCTCACCCACGCCCCCCCCCCCCTCCCCTTTCCCCGCAATACTCGTAATACTCCCTGTGTTGTATCTAGCGCCATCTCTTCATACTCTTGGTGCTTCATAAGCTCTCCTCTGCAACACCCTCTTACTGTTTTAGACATCATTACATATTACCAGTATTAGCGCTATACAAGTATTACGACTTGTGACTCTTGTTTACCTTCCAGCACTCGCGTTACCGAATCTATAAAACACCCTTACACGCATATATACACATACAGCATGCACGCGTAATCACAACAACCGCTAACATGAACCTCTCACATAGACCACGGTCGACCATGAGTCCCCTAAGCATCGTACTCGTCATGCATGTCTATGTTCGCCGCGGCGAAAAGGATATTTTTACCACTTATGCTTCATGGCATTTCCCATCCTCCCCCCCCCCCCCCCTCCTCACCCCCCCGTCTGAAATTCCAAGCCAAGCCAGACCAAGCCATGTGGACTACGAGCAGACCAGTTCTCCATATCTCATTCTCGTAAATATTACTGACTCGCTCTCACACTCGACCATACGTGGACCATCCACCCCTGCACCGTTACTTTCTCTCGGGAAAGAACCGGGCATTACGAGTAGTATTGTCCGTACAGGTATCGCCAGCTGCTATACGTTGACTCCACTCGTAGATATGCTCGTACTGTTATAGCAATCCACTCCCCTTGTCTCGCCCCCCGTTATTCTGGAGCTCGTTTTAAGCTCCCTGGGACCTTCGATACGTAACACCTTAACGCAGGGTACAAACCGTGCCCTCCCCTTTCTCAAGCGTGTACGAGTATGAACGGCTTTGAGGGGATAATGACCTGGTTCGTCTCATATAGTATCTCCCCCCTCGGCAACGTTGATCGGCTGATCGGACCCCGCGGGAGGGCGCGAGTTATTCATAATTGTACGCTCCACTGTTCAGTGTTGTTGCCGTCTTTAGCTCCCGCTTTTCCCGTCATTTTCCTCTTTTCTTTTTCTTCTTCAGACACCCAGGAAGGGGGAGGGGGGGTTATCGTATTATCTGGTGGACCCCATCCTCCTTTTTTTCCGTCCTGAACGAACTTTGCTCGTTCTGTCAAGAGAGAGGAAACCCCTCATTTCCAGTGAAGATCCTTGGCCACCTTGGTCTCCATGGCGGACCTGATAAAGTCTTGTATACTGGTAGACTCGGGTTCGTCGCTCATGACCGTGTCCTTCTTCCGGCAGCATACCTGCTCGCCAGTCCGTAAAACCTCTCGCCACTCGTCCGGCGAGAACGACCCCTGGCTCTCGGCAAGGAGGAGCTCCCCGTCCGATGTGAATCCCAGAACGTGCACGGATTTAGCCTGGCTAGCCTGCACCGGGTCCGGATCGATAGTGGCGGCACCTGCACCGGCACCGTCCCCCGACGATGGTACGGCAAGTAGTGTCGCCGTGGCAATCGTCTTGAGCGGCACGGCTGCCGTCAACAGTCCCAGAATGGCAGAGTGAAGCAGCGCCGGAATCAGAGCGAGGTCCTGGAATCGCATGTGAGTAACCGTGATGCGCAGCAAGAGTCAAGGAGCAGGAGACAGCAACAAAAGGAGAAGAGGTGGAGAGGGGGGGTACATACAGCTTGGGCCTGAACAACCTTGGTATTCTCATAGGCATTCTCTGGCGTCTGAACGACCTGGAGCGTAACCTGGATCATGCTCCTGGGGAAATCGCGGACGGGAATGACGTGACGCAGAGCAGACTGCAATATCGATTCGAGCTGACGTTCAGCGGTACCTGGACTGGCGTTAATAATGACTAGCCATACATAATAAAAGAGAGGGAGAGAAAGCGTGTGTGTGCGTATGCGTGTTTATGAAAAGAGAGAGAAGGGGGGGGTTGAGAAATAGAAATGAATACTCACCCCCAACGCCAGCAGCCGGTCGAATATTCACATCAACCAAAGCCTCAAAGGCATTTTCATCACGCCGGGGAGCTTCAATAGGTCCATTGACAGCCGAGATGATAGAGTAACCCTGATAGGAGAAAGTAGCAGATCCGTCGGCCTTTTCGAGCCGCGCCAGTTCAGCGCTGGGCAGATCGTGTGGCATTGTGTTGTCTGCGTGTTGTTGTGAAGACGTTTTTTCGGGGTATGAGTTTGAAGTTGGACCTTGATGACTTTTTTTTTTCCAACCCAGGCCTAGTAACGTATAGTGAGTGAGTGGGCTGTAGTTCTGTCCAGACACACCACCCCCGCGATCGTCACCCACCGCCCTGACCATCAACAACCCCCACCACGCCACCAACAGCTCTTCCCCCAAACTCTTCCCATTACAAACAAAACAACAAAAAATGTCATCACAACAACGGCAACAACAATCCAATCCTGAAGCTTCAGCCGCAGCGGCGACGGCGGCGGCAGCGGCGGCAACCGTCCCCAACCTCAAAGATCGAATTCCCAAGCTCGAACCGCGCAAACGTCGCAACCAACCGACCAACCCGTCCCCTGTCCCCGAGACCCCATTTCTCCCGCCACCACCTGACACCTCCCGCAAGGCCGGGTGGACGTTCAAGACGCCCACGCGACGCATTCTATCCCGCAAGGACCACGAAATCTTCCTCAAGTCCAGTACCGTAACGCTCATAAAGGCGTGGGTATTCGGTCTGGCCGACGCCATCGTCGACACGCCGTGCTCGGCCGTCACGGCCGACCAGGCTGGCGAGCCCATCCGCGCCATACTGTCCATCCTCGACGAGGCAGAGTCTTTCGTCGCGCAGTCGCCGCCGGACGAGCAGGGGGGGTCACGCTTCGGCAACAAAGCCTTCAGGGGGTTCATTGACCTGATCCACCAGGCCAGTCCGCGATGGCACGCGCAGCTCCTCGGGCCCGGCTCTGCTGACGCAGCCGATGCGGCCGGGGAGGCGTCGGTGTACCTATGCCACTCGTTCGGCAGCAGGGACCGCATCGACTACGGGTCTGGTCACGAGCTCAACTTTGTCATGTGGCTTCTCTGCCTGTACCAGACGTCGACGCTGCCGTCATCCAGACCCACCCTCCAGGCCCTGTCTCTGCTCGTCTTCCCGCGCTACCTTACGCTCATGCGCACCGTCCAGCTATCCTATTACCTCGAGCCCGCCGGCTCCCACGGCGTCTGGGGCTTAGACGACTACCAGTTCCTGCCCTTCCTCCTCGGCGCCCCCCAGCTCCTCCACCACCCATACATCACCCCGCGCTCCATCCACCACGACCTCGCCCTCGAGGAGTCCGCCCACGACTACATGTACCTCGGCCAGGTCGCCTTTGTCAACTCCACAAAGACGGTCAAAGGCCTGCGCTGGCACAGCCCCATGCTGGATGATATCTCCTCCGCCCGCTCCTGGGCCAAGATCGACGCCGGCATGAGACGCATGTTCGTCGCAGAGGTCCTCGGCAAGCTGCCCGTCATGCAGCACTTCTTATTCGGCAGTCTTATCCCTGCTGTCGACGGGATGAGCGAGGAGGACGGCGAGGAAGGTGACCAGGGGCGTGATGGCCATCAACATGAGCATGGTGCCCATGCTGGCCACGATCATCCCCCCGGTAAGGCGCATGATGGTACCGGCTGGGGTGATTGCTGCGGAATACCCGTTCCCAGCAGTATTGCTGCCGCTCAGGAGATGAAGAGAGGTGGTGGCCAGTCATTGAGGAGGATTCCCTTTGATTGATCATATCGCCATACCACCTTTCCTGTGGACACCATGTTACAATGGAAGAATGAACACTATATATATATATATATATATATAACGACTGTACGAATCTTTCTTTTCACGACATGTTATTATTCCCTGTCTAAATGCCCTAGTACTTGGCAAGATGGCACCCGTCTTGACACTATTGGATCCGTCATTACTGGTACTATTCAAATTATATACACCCCTACAGGGTCTGGGCTCCCATTTCAACATATAACCATATCATAATATCATGATTCAACAACAAATACCAGGATAAAAAGAACCAAAAACATAGCAAGAGGTCCGCACCCTTCTAGTTCAGATATGACTCCTCCGCTGAAGAGAACAATGACCTCCCTGAAAAATAAAAAGAGCAAAAGACTGTAGCATCTGTAGGGTAGACGCATATACAAGCCCCCCCTCTGGGAGAAAAAAACGTTGCGCCGTACATGATAGCAGAAAGAGAAGAGAGGGGATTAGTAACTCGTAGAAAATCCATTCAGAAGCCGCCAATAAGGTATCGTGAGAGTCATCAAAGGAAAAGAGAAAGGGGGACAGAAAGGAAACAACGTATAGTAATGGCATGGACACAGACAATGATTGGTTCAAGCACAAAAAAATTGCATCGAAGGGATAGGTCCCGTCTCGTCAGGGAACTTGGTGAGGATGGGGGGCTGACGAAGACGGTTGGCCACGTGAATGTCAATGAGCATCTCAACCATGGCTTCGACATCCCGACGGAGATTGAACAGTTCAAGAGGAGTCGAGAACTGAATGGAACCGTCTGCTGCGGGCTTGCGGTAGGCGGCAAACACGATGCCACGATCGATCGACTCAGGCTCGATAGAGGGCGAGCATGGAACGGAACCCTGGCCTTCGTACTTGCCCGGGTAGAAGGAGCAGGCATAGGCACGACCGAAACCTCTACCAAGAGCCTCCTCGTCGCGGTACTCCAGCCAATTTTGGGAGCGGAGGACGGTGACGTGAGCCTCAGACGAAATCTGGAAGGGAGATGAGGCGTTGTGCAGACCATAAGCGGCCAGAAGGCGGCCTGTCATGGCCTGGAAGTGAGGGCCACCAAGACCTGCCGAGCTGTCCTCGGGCCACAAGTTGACAACGTATATCATATCAAAGTTGTATCGGCTTGCGATGCGCGCGGCCTCGAAAGCTGCAGCCTTGGAGGCTCGGCTTCCGTAGGGGGGGCCGAGCGTCAGCATCCGGGGGCCACGAAGGGCGGACATCACCGAAGGTGACATTGTTCCAGAGAATGTAGCTGGACGAGGTGTGTCTAGAACTTCTGGCACCTCTGATATCTCCGTGGGGTCAAACTCAGCGACGTTATCATCGCTGAGGTTAAGAAACTCATCAAAGTCAGGCTCATAAAGGGAGCCTCCAGACAGCGAGGGCTCAAAGACATTGTCGATGCTGCGAGTAGTCGACGGCGGGTCAGATTTGGGCTGGGCCTCTGTGCCGCTGTGGCAGTCATCTGCCTTTCCAAAGGTCTTTTCTAGATGCATTTGCATCTCAGCGAAGAAGCCAGGGGTCTGAGGCTTCGTCTTGGTGGTGCTGCCATGAAGCTGCCAGTCAGACTTTGGACCCATTTCTGGAGACGACTCTGGAGTAAGCGGGACATTGGTACAGGGGGCTAATTGTAGCTTCTTGGCCTTGGGGCGCCTCTGAGACAAGTCATGATCCTCGGGGTCGGACGAAGGAGGAGTGTGAAGCCTGGATGCAGGTGCATCGAGTCGAAGTGGGGAGATGGGGCGAGGTGCGCCACCAGGAAGGCTGGGCAGCCTCTTGGAGGCATAGTTGGACCACGGCGAGTTCATATCTTCCTGTCGGCTGGGTGGGGGTTTGGGGAACTCGAATCCACGAAAAACCGATGTAAGCTCCTCGCGTCTCTCACTATCAAGGGAAGAGGAGCGAGGACGGGTGCTCCTGGCGCTACGCCAGGCGATGGTGCTGGAGGAGCTGCTACTGTTGGTCGAGGCTTTGCGGCCGGGGAAGGTTGATTCCACAGGAGAAGGACCGTTTTCACCCTTGGCACGGCGCTCTTCTCGAGCAGCCATACGAGACGTCTTGGGTCGGATGAAGGACGGGGATGGGAAGGACAGGTCTGCGCCTGCTGGACGGGTTGGACTTGCGGGTGCGGTAGGCGGTGCAGTAGGCGGGGTACTAGATGGCTCATTTGAGAAGAAGGAACCTTTACGCTTCGAGGAGAAGAACTTCTCCAGTCTGTCGAGGCCGTTCGCCATGTTAAAGTTCTCGAGCTGTTCAACACACAGGCACGACCAAGTTAGCCATAAACACATGACAGCGTCGAAGTGTATCATTCGCCAACCTTTCAAGATAAGGAGAGTGCAAGGGTCGTTGTAAAACCAGAGCAGCTGAGATGTAGCTTCAGAACGGACAGTAATGGACGAGGGATATCCAAGCTCCCTAGCACACCTGGTGCGTCCAGCGTCGCGTTGGTTGTTGGCCGTGTAAGCGAAAAGAATTCGACAGTGAAGACAAGATGTAAGTGAATGAATTCCCGGACGGGAAATTATATGTGAAGTCAAATGTGAGGAAAGGACAGTCAAAGGGGCAGCATGACAGGTCAAGGACTTAGATGCCAAGGGCTTAGAAAGAATCAGCAAGAGAGGGAGAACGAGAAAGCTTCAGTCTTGACGAGAACCAACATGAGATGGGATGGCATACTTATTAAACTGCTGGGTCTCACACTCAGCAGAGAAACGAAGAGTTTCAGAGATGGGGACCAGAGACGAGAGAAGGGTCCGAGTCGAATTCAGAAATAAGCAAGACACGCAGCAGTGATTGAGAAGATGGTGGTTGATTTGACAACCTAGTGGGTATTATGCATCACGAAGCGGGAAAGATTATCAACAACACAAGATGATGGTGTGGAAGGGGAGCGAGGTAAGGGAGGGTTTATTAACAGAAGTTGACGAGAAAAGATAATATGGTGTGTTTGATTGTTTCCAAGGTGGGACGATATGCAGCCGGGGCCACGGGAATGAGAGACAGACAATTCAGAAGGGTAGACAACAAAAACTGTTGCATCTCAGATCTCACTCAAATTGGTGTAGTGGGTGGGTGTAATGGTGTGGTGTGGTGTGATGTGGAGATGGGACGAGGAACCGGGAGAGGGAACCATGCACGATGAACCATGTACCTTGAGACTCGGGGGAGGGGAGGGAGGGCCCATGCACCCATCACCTAGGTAGGCTAGAGACTAGGAAAGAACACAGCAGCTCGTTCTTACCCTTTGACCCTCTAGCAACGCCTCCGCAAGAGAAATGATGGAAGGCGCAACCCCGCTAAGACATACGGAGTACTGCCATCCCTTACGGCTGAAAAATAGAAAAATGGAAACAGGGAAGGCGCAGGGAACCCTTTCCGTAAGGTTTTTCTTGGCCAGGTAAACCATGTCGAGATGAGAGGCAAGGGCGATCGGACAGCTTGGAGGAAGGGGCTTGTCCCCCTCTTCCGTCGTCTCTCTTTCCAAGTCAAGACGAGCTACAATACGCCGTGCAAGACTAACACGACATACGACATGCCGCACATTCGGAGTGCGTGGTAGAGGTAGCAATGTATTTATGTAAATGGATCCATTGCATATTATAATGTACTCACTCCTTAGTAGCGTATGACTACTCGGTAGGTTGAATCGGATAGGCTACTGTAGTTCAATCTGGCCCCCGGGGAATGCGGAGGTTCCATGGGGCGGCGGATATGTCCTCCATAGCCTTAGTTCAGTGCTACAGGGCCTGTAAGTCTAGGGCTCTAGGCGATGCTCCAGGCGATACGTAACAGCGTTCTAAGTCCCTCTAGGTGCTTCCCGACCACCGGACCCCCGAGTCAGTCCCGCAGTAAGGCCTAAACGTTGGACGAGCACCCCGCCGTTTTCCTTTTGCCCCCAAAGCAAGGCAAGCCAACTTGAAGGCAAGTACAGTGTGACGTTCCTACCACTCGTATTATCGTCGGCTACCTCCTCTGATTTTTCTTGTTCTCTCGTGAATTTCTGGTCCGATCAGTAATATCAAAAATCCCAGGCCTTCTCAACTTGATGTATCGTATTCGCGTTGACGTCTCGCCACGTCGTCCGGCCCGGCACAGTTCCTCGTTACGGGCCATGCTTTTGTGTCATCGGCCGTCTAAAGGAGCAGAGTAGAGAAAAAGAAAGGAGAGTAAACAATGCAACAGCCTCTATCAGTTTATCCAATCGTTCACCCAGTTTCTCCCAGAATGCAGGTGTAGGCGTGTCCGTGATGCTACGAGCACCCATGTGTATGTTCTTGGGTCTTGGCGCCATCCGCTCAAAGCACCTGAAAGGCTGAATGTTTACTGTCTTTTCTCTCCTCGCCTTGTCCCCATGTACGAGAAGTTAACACCCAACCACGCCAACCGAACGTCATGGCTCCTCGCTCGTATTTCCAACCGATACGTGGCGTCCGGAAGCAGACCAAAGGATACAAACACCACGGAGAGCAGAGCCAAGAGGGTGTGGCTGACACCAGCTTTCTCTCCACGACAGCCCAGTATTTATTTCACTTGATTTCTGCTCCCTTGCTTTGGTACGAGTACGCATACGCTGGTACGTCGTGGCGCAGGCAAAGTATTCGGTTCCAAGCACTCGGATTATGTGAACGCACAGCATCTGTGGAGGGGTTACATTCCAGCCACCTCATCTGTATGCAACCCCAAGCATCTTGATGGGGCCATTGCTGACCTCATTCAAAGAGACAGGTGACAGAATAAGCTCCGTTGGCTTCTGTGTCGTGGAATCTGTGCCGTTGGCTTAGGGAACCGTTGACCTGTACAACATATGGCGAACCACGAGGCCTGTGCACCCACCACGCAGACCAGCTACAATGGAATACGGGGAGAGTGCAAGTGTTGCCCGACAGCCAAGTACGGCTTCATCCCCGCACTCGCACACGGGTCCTGGCACTGGCAGCGCAGTCAGTATCCTGTACCGCTGACCATGAATTGCAGGGGTGCTGTACGGATAACCAACGCGGAGTATGGGTCCTCGCTCAAGTCACTCGTTTAGAACACTCGTACATATTGCTTTGGCCTCTACCCTCTTTCTCCTGTGGACGCTAGAGGCTGCTGGAAAAGAAAGATCGGTACGGCTCTGCTGACAAGTCGCCTCTCATTTCCCGTTACTTGTACGTCGTTCATCGTGTCAATTGTGGCTCGGGTTAAACACGTATATTTCGCTGAGAAACAAGTAGGGAGGCTAGCCTTACTACTATCACAGCTTCCACTCGCTCATGGGCCCCATCTTGTCTCGGACTACCCGAAGATGGGGGTTGCTTGTCCTCTCTTTCTAGTTCCTGTTTTGCAATTGGAAGCATACGGAACCTTTTTATTATGGTATTTCCGACGCGGCAGTAACAAGAACTCTGTCGCCAGTACTAGCGATGTTTTCCCACTCCAGACGACGAAAGCCATCAGAAGGAACCACGGCCGGCTCTTCCAGTGCGCACGGGCCCCTCTCATACAATGTCTGCTTCAACTGCTAGGCCATTGTTGCCCCGTCATTAGTCGATAATACAGCCAGCCGTACGAGTACTGGTGGTCCGTGGTCCGTGGCACTACTTGTACTGTACACACAAAAACAACTCTCAGGCCGTCCAAGATTTAGGCGGGCCCCCGGGGTCATCCAAAAAAAAAAAAGCAATTGTTTTTGCGTAGAGCACAAGTCTACAGAGTACGGAATCCATCACCACTATTACCTGTTCGTCTACCACTAGGAGCCCCTCACACTCAATCACTACCTGCATTAGGACAAACTCTGGAGGTGTCCTAGTTCAATGTTGACGGCGAATTTAGCTCCCAATGTGGCTCCTGTGGCCGTCCAATGTCTCGACCCTGCCTCCACGGTGCTCCATTCACTGCCCCCAAGGGCGTCGAGGAAAGAGACGACATAAGGCCCGGGATCCATATCTGGCTAATGCGCAGTAGATGGCAGTTCAGTACGACGTGCGAAGTATAAACACGCTTTCTTTCTAGGACCAGTACCTGTATGGAGTACACAAAACACTCTTTGTATTGATTGGTCTCTCCCCATCGTCCCTCACATCGATGAAATTAGTTATACATCATTCCTCAAGCCAGTGGAGGCCCAGTGACGTGGTATCGGGCTCTGGTCACCACAGAATCGCTTACTACACATGTACGACAGACACTGGCGATGTACTATTCCATACGACGAGCGTCAGTGTTGTTATTGCCTAGACACCGGAAAGACTTGCAGTTTACCCATTTCTTTGAGTGCTTGGCAACAAGATACTACGAGATTCGTTGGGTAGTAACACCTGTTTACAGCTACCACAAGACGCAATTCAGCTCGACAGAATGGATGCCAACCGAGTATCATTCTTGCCCCCCCCCCCCGTCTTCTTTTCTTTCCTCACGGATTCCCCTCCAGTATTCTAGGCCTGCAGAAAGTTTATGTAAAGGCCCGATCTCCGCAGGGGTGCATGAAGAAACCTCGTCGGTATCGACACACTTATTTGTAAAACAAACGGGAACAGGCAGGAACAGGAACATGTGATACTCACCATCGAGGCAAACCTCTTGTCATTCAAACCCTGCATACGGGCCGTCAAGGCACCAAGGCACCTAGATTGTTCCGTATCCAGAGCTTCCAGCAAGTTTCAGTGGATATATCAGTATACAGATTTCAGGGCCGCATATGCGCCATGACCTCGACATTGTCTACCATCCACGAGGAGTTTGGTCTTAGTCGACCACCATCTTCTTTATTCGCGTAGCAAAACAGGAAGATGGACGGCGCCCGTGTCAGTAACAGTAGTTGCTTTTCGTCAGTGTGTTTCTTCTCTCCCTTTCTGGGACATCGACTCGAATCTGCCGTATTATATTAGCCTGAGATCTGCTATTACGGAGTGATACTGTGGACGAGCAGGAGCCTCAACACTGTTCGAAACCCGGTAACCCCGGGGAAACCGGACGGAATGGCCCCAGTCCCCACCTCGATATCACTCTTATGAATTTAGATCGTCTTTGGTTCCCTTTGTTTCCTCTCCTTTTTTGGGGCCCCGTCTACCCGTGTCTCCATCTCATTAGCTATGTGTACCGGTGGTACACACGAAAGCTCAATATGAACCGTAGACAGGATTCGATGGTGCGGAGCCTTCGAGAATCTGCTGGGAAGGAAAAGCAGGATTAGTTGCTACCTGCACCTACCTTGTTCCAGCTTATCGTACTAGCTGGCTTCATCAGAGTCAACGGGACAATGGTGAAGCCCAACAATCAAACCGACTTGACTGAACCTCTCCCCAGAGTTGTTCGAACCATCCCAAGCGTTGAATGTAACGGCTACTCGTTGAGCATAGGCCAATGTTATTGAACAGAAACGTTGATTTTCTCATTTCACTTCCCCCTGTTCCTACAGTTGAATCTCCCACCTGCAAGTTGTCAATACCTGTCTTGGATTTTTTTTTCTTTTCCATTCTCATTTGCCTCCTCTACTCGTGTTCGTATGTATGCTGCAGGTAACAGAAGGAACAGCCAACGAAAGGTCCTCGGCACATAATCTCAGGTCCCTCCCCCCCCCCCCCTTGCCACGGAGAAAAAGGGATAAGGGACATGACTTGCATTTCAATTTTCCATTTCTGACTTTCCACTGTCTCTCTCTCCACGAATAGAGGTAGGCGGACGTTTTATCCCTGTTTGTTGAGGTCTCGCATCTTGGCTTTCACGGAGTTTTGATTTATTATAGGTAATACATGTAGTATTTGGGATCACTCTTGTCCGGGTGCGAACGTAGAGTTATTACAGCAATAATACTGATTAGAGACTGGAAAGGGAAGCTGGTGAGTGAAGAGGGGGAGGGAGGTACATTCATATTTACACCAAATGATGATGGAAGATGATGTAGTGGGAGCTGCCAATATATCGCCCCGAGTGTAAAGTGTTAGCAACTGGTTTTATAAATGTTCTCTCATAGAAGCCACATATTGCATACATTTACGCATCATCCCATCAGGGAACAAATGAGTTGGCAGGAGTGTCAAGTTGGGTGCTGCAAGGAGACACAGTACAAATGAACACAAGCATACGCACACACACACATCTCTGCCCTGCACGAGTCTTAGGATGTGAAGAAATCTCTTTTTACAAGATGTGCACAATCCGATACATGATGATCGACCCGAAACTTGCATCCGGTGGCCTTCGAAGGGGGCTGCAGTCCCACATGTCTGCTTGTTCGTAAAATGTTAGGGGTGGTCTGAGCAAGCTTTGTGTTTGACCTTGTCAAAACAAACGAGTAGGAGTGTATGTGACCTCGGAGAGTAATTAACATGTAATAATTGCTCTTCTTTTCTTTTCCTGCTCTTCCCTCTTGGTCGAGGGGGTACAATGTAATGTGACCCCCTGCAACCGTTGTGGCAAGAGGAACAACACACCTAAGCCGCAGACGCATGTTTCTCAATGAGAAATAAAATCGTTATGAATCCGATTCGCACTTGAACTGCAGGATTGTATGGTATCGGTTCATTATGTGCCCCCTGTCTGTACTGACGTTGTTTTATTCACAGATGAGAGGAGGGGGAACTCGTTCAGAGTTTGGACGACTCCTCGTCTTCCCCGAATAAGTTGAGAAAGGCAATGTGTACTTGGTCCGTTAGATCGCTGGCCTGGAGACTGCGGCCCTTTTCTTCAAACGCCAGACGGGATGCTTCCTGTTGTGTGGTCAGCCCTGTGCTTAGAGGACTACTTGTTTATTTTCGGTGAACATGTATGAGAGCAGGCGAGAGCGCAGAGGGGTATGGTAGAGGAGGGAAGAAAAAGTCGATGAAAAGAAACATACCCTCGTTATCGCACTGCCTCCGAAAGCGGCCAACCTCAGCAACTCATGGCCATCCATCTTCGACGGCCCCGTGTCCCACAGGCCGTCGAGGTAAGCCTTCCTCCAGCCAAGAAACGTAGCCACAGATCCGGTAAGGGTGTCACCCTGGCCGGCGCTGCGCTTCTTTCCGCCCACGACGTCGACGATCAGCGTAGTCTCCCCGTCGGAGATGAAGTCGCTCTGGCCCTTCTGTATGATGGTCACGCCGCCCAGTTCCCTAGAGAGGGCCTCTACTCTTGCCGTCTCTCTCTTCGTATCGGCATCGTCTTTGACCTTGACGCCCAGCACGTCGCAGAGCCGTCCGAACTCGACGACGTTGGGCGTCAGCACCGCCTCGGAGTAGCCCCTCACGAGGGAAGGGTCCTTCTGCACAACCTGCAGTGCGTCGGCGTCGATGACGATGGGGATACCCTGCTCCCGCGCGGCCCGTATCACATGCGCCAGCGTGTCCTGCATGAGGGGATCGCGACCCAGACCGGGCCCGGCGACCAGGACGTGGAGGCGGGGGAACATCTCGATTATGCCCTTTGCTATGACGGCCGGGTTGGCCCCTTGAGCCCGTTCGACTTGCGAGTATGGCCCCTGGCGCATCAGAGGGTGAACCATAAGGTTGGGCGAGTACGTCTTTATCACGTCGCCTGCGCCGGGCGTGCAGATGACGTGAGACTTTTGTCGTGGCCATGTGTCAATTTCCTGTAAGGAATGGTAGAGAAAATGGAGAAAGAAGAAGGAGACAGACCATATCACATCCTAGCTTTGCGCTCGCCATGGCTGAGAAGTATGGCGCTCCAGTGTACTCTTTACTGCCGCCTATGACGGCTATACGACCCAGTTGGCCTGTGGGAAAGAGGTTGACAAGGTTAGATGACTGGTAATTGCTCTTTCTCCCTGAAATGTCGCATGGTATGTTCCAGGGCTGCTCACCCTTGTGAAAACTGTCCAGCATGGGTGGTACCATTCTCTGGACCTTGGCGAGGACTTGCTTCGTCATGGCGGACATGCCGGGGGCGGGTTCGCCCATTGTAGGTGAGGGGACGGAACCGGTTATGTCGGAAAGAAAGGAACTATCTCTGGAGGGTGGTGTTGTCTTATATCAGAGAGGGGCGTTAGTTAAACAAACAGTCCTTGATGTGATGTTTCTTGTGTTGAGAATGAGAGGAGGAGGGTAATCAGTTCAAAGAGTGAGGGCATTATCCGAGTCCCGAAGAGGCAAATTAATAAAACCATGATGTCACGAGATTCAACACCCATTACGCATCACACATATATACATCATATTATAAGCCACAAATAAACATACACACGCACTAACAGACAAGAGAACAGTGGGAACATGACAGGTTTCAAAAACTATTGGAACAAAGGAAATCGGAGGGCTTTCAATTGAGTTTTAAGCTCTAATTTACAATTGTGGTACGACTGGCGATTTCTCCCCCCTTTCCCATCACACAAAGTCATTTCGCTTCCCCCTCAAGCTGTGCTTCTGTTTGAGGATAATAAAGAGGGGGAAAAAGCAGGTACTAACAAGACGACATGGCAACGACAACATCTCCAACTCTAGATTTGAGCTACCTGGCGCAACACCACTTTGAAATGTTGGCCCTTCTTTCCAGAGAGCTTACTTTTTTTGGCGCCTTAAAGTGAGGTATAACAATTAACCGAGGAAGCTCTTGGTGAAGGTGACGACGGTGTTCTTAAGCTTCTCCTCGAGCTCCTTGCTGAGGGCACCCTCCTTGTCGATGGTGGCGATCAGCTCAGACTCGTTGGTCTTGAGGTGGCTGATGAAAGAGGCCTCCCACTCGAGAATGCGGGCGACAGGCACCGAGTCAAGGTAACCGTTGATACCGGCGTAGATGAGGGGAACCATCTCGTTGACAGCCATGGGCGTGTACTGCTTCTGCTTGAGGAGCTCCGTCAGGCGCTCACCACGCGACAGGGTCTGCTTGGTGGCGGCGTCCAGGTCGGAACCGAACTGGGCGAAGGCGGCGACCTCACGGTACTGAGCAAGGAAGAGCTTCAGGGAACCGGCGACCTGCTTCATGGCCTTGACCTGGGCGGCCGAACCGACACGGGAGACGGAAAGACCGACGTTGATGGCGGGGCGGATACCCTTGTAGAAGAGCTCAGACTCGAGGAAGATCTGGCCATCGGTGATGGAGATGACGTTGGTGGGAATGTAGGCAGACACGTCACCACCCTGGGTCTCGATGATGGGCAGGGCAGTCATGGAGCCACCGCCGTGGTTCTTGTTGAGCTTGGCAGCACGCTCCAGAAGACGCGAGTGGAGGTAGAAAACGTCACCGGGGTAAGCCTCACGACCGGGGGGACGGCGGAGGAGCAGCGACATCTGACGGTAGGCGACGGCCTGCTTGGAAAGATCGTCGAAGATGACGAGAGAGTGCTTGCCGTTGTCACGGAACCACTCACCGATCGAGGCACCGGTGAAGGGAGCGAGATACTGGAGAGGAGCGGCCTCGGAGGCGGTGGCGGCAACGACAATGGAGTACTTCATGGCGTCGTTCTCCTCAAGAGTCTTGACGAGCTGGGCGACAGTCGAGCGCTTCTGACCGACGGCGACGTAGATACAGTACAGCTTCTTGTCCTCGTCCTTGCTGTCGTTCCAGCGCTTCTGGTTGAGGATGGCGTCAAGAGCGACGGCAGTCTTACCGGTCTGACGGTCACCAATGATCAGCTCACGCTGGCCACGGCCGATGGGAACCATGGCGTCGACAGACTTGAGGCCAGTCTGGACGGGCTGGTTAACAGACTGACGGGGCAGAATGCCGGGGGCCTTGAGCTGGGCACGGCGCCTCTCGGCAGCCTTAATGGGGCCCTTGCCATCAATGGGGTTACCGAGGGCGTCGACAACACGGCCGAGCATCTCGGGGCCAGCAGGGACATCGATAATTTCGCCGGTACGCTTGACAGTCTCACCCTCCTTGACAAGACGGTCAGAACCGAACAGGACGACACCGACCTGGCCGGCCTCGAGGTTCATGCACATTCCCTTGACACCAGAGGCGAACCTGGATTGCTTTATTAGCTTTGATTTTGACACCTATAGTGACAACTAATCGTATCAATGTGTGTTGGTGGCACTTACTCGACAAGCTCCTCAGCCTGGACGTTGGCCATACCGTGGACACGGGCGATACCGTCACTGCACAAAAAAGACTCAATCAGCAATTTATCCCGGTCAATCAGGGACCATCATGGCGTAAAGGTAGAGAAGGCAGCTCTGAGATGCGCTCGGCATGTTCTCTCAGCTGTTGTTTCCTCTCCCCTGGCTCTCCCCACGGTCAAGGTGTTTTCCCCTAAAGCTCCACATACCCGACGGAAAGAACGCGGCCGGTCTCGGCAAGACCAGACTCCTCCTGGACACCGCGGATCCTCTGCTCGAGGATGGAGGAGACCTCGGTGGGCGAGGCCTTGTCGGCGTAGGAACGGGCCTGGAGGGCGGCGCCGTTCAGGGCGACGGGTGCGGCATTTCGAGTCTGAGAGCAAAAAAGTTAGCCGAAGCTGCAGAGGCAGGACAGTAAAGGTCCAAGGAGCTCGAAAAAAAGCTCATGAAGCATTTCCAGCAGGCCAATTGAGCTCCTAGATACATCAATAACTGATGCATCGATGCAAATAGCTCGTTGTTGGATGACGATGGTTGCTGGTACTGCTGGGCTCTTTTGCGGTCTCGTTCTCGGCAAAAAGGGTGAGGAGATACTTACGGCAGCGACCCTGCCGGCAGCAGAGACGGCGCCGACAGCGCGGGTAGACTGGCGGAGAGCGTTGCGGAACATGGTGCTATTAAGGACGGAAACAATTGCAGCAGTGTGCAATTGAAGAAGGGGAGAAAAAAGGAGAGGAGAGATGGGGAAGGAGAGATGCCTTTGCTGGGGAGGGAAGCAAGTTTGGCGAGATTTTGCAGAGGAGAACGGGACAACGGGACACCGGGTCAGAGGGCAGGAAGGAGCGAGAGAGAGAGAATGGAAAAGTGGGTCAGGTCATGTGCTCAGGCCAATGACAGCCTGATGCGCGGTTTTGCCCTGGAACTCCCGATCCCCGAAGGACGCCGCCCCAGGGGGACAGATTTCCCCCTGTAGGCGTCTTCAGGCCTGTAGGACGCCTAAACGGGCTTCTAGCCGGCTAACTTACAGCGCTCCTTTCTTGTTCCGCTCTCCACCCGAACAATTTCGCTGGCCCGGGGCGCCTCAGGCTGCAAGAAACCCACTGTAGCCTCAGGCATATGTCCATCACCTTCCACATCCTCCTCCTTGAGCCCGAGCCGACAGTAACGTGGGCGGCAATAGCAATGATGCTCGCATTATACCTGTATGAGTACAGGTAGTGTTTTTGTTTCGGTACTATCTAGCCGTATTACCTGCTTAAAAAAGAACAACACAGTATTCAGACTGACTACTCTCGCACATTCTCCCTACAAACAACTCATACCGAGCTGACCTGCCGTTACCCCAGGGACTGCGACACTTTAGGGGCTGGGGTATGGGGGGCAGTATGACCAGCAATCATACACTGTCTCCGTTGCCCGCGATACGACCTATTGTGTACCTCTGTACTCCGTGATCTCGTACTTACGAGTATCAATCGCCGTGGCCCCCGGTACCTATATTTTCAATCTAGTTTGTCGTATTACCCTATGTCTTGAACCAGCATTTTGCCTTGAGAACCAGTGCACGACACCGTTGCTCCGCTCGACGGTTGGGAGGTAGAAAACGGTAATATCCAATGGTGAAATCAAACATGGGTATTATAAAATAGTATCGCCATTTCGTTATCAGATCTTAGGAAATTGACTTTGGCGGCATGCAGAACCGGGAAGCCAATGTCGGTGTCTCTGTCCTTGTTACATCCCGAACCTTAATGGGTTGAAGTCTTAGCGCAGCTGCACTAATTACTCACCTGTACTCGTAATGATACGGAAATATAATTGTTGTCAGTCTCATCCAACAAGGTATTACCATCCAATGTACGGGCTAAATTTACCACTGAGCAATATCGTAGAGATTCCTGCATCCAAGTAAGGGTCAGTACAAGTGCCGTGTACGAAATGACTACAACGTATTACTCGTACTCGTACAGTGCAATATCGTACATGTCCTTTATACCATCCTAAGAAGCATTCGTACAGCGCTGTATTACGTCGCCATGGTTGAGCCTAGATAATCGAGCAATAGACGACACACAGATACTTATGATGAACCAAAGGAAAACGTCATCGGCACCTGTTCACCATCATCTTCCACAACAAAGGGAAACAAAGTGCAGTAGCACTCGTGGGACGTGGCATCACATTCGATATGGATTTTTGGAAGCCGGCATAGGCGCCGGTCGGTCTCTCAGGCCGTAGCTCTCGACTGAATTTCCCGGTCGGAGCTTTGATGCTAATAAGCAACAATAACTACATAGGGGACCAGTTGTAGTGGAACCCTTTCTGTCTCCTGAAGGAAGCATAAGTCCACCTCCTCTTGCTTTTTCTTTTTGTTTGTCCGTTTCCCTCATAAAATTCGCCGGTAAACCCATGCCGAAAAAAGATTCAAATCAAGAACGCAACCGTGAAACAGACCCATTATCCATTTTCCCTCTTGTCGGAATAGTGCTAATAAAAGCATTTACCTGACAATACCGTCGAAGCGGCTCTTGAACCACTTGACAGTCTCCTCGCGCTTGATGCGGTGGCTGGGGCCTAGGGTGGCCTTGGCACGACGGCGGCGGGTGACGCGCTCACCAGGGCGGGTCATGCAGCAGTAGAAGTCCATTCCGTAGATACCGATCGAGGGGTCGTACTTGATACCGAGATCGATGTGCTCGCTGATACCGAAGCCGAAGTTGCCAGTCTCGGAGAAGTTGCGCTTGCGGAGCTCGTACTCCTTAACCTTGAGGCCACGCTCGAGAATCTCCTCAGCCTTTTTTTCGTTTGACTCCTGTTAGCTTTCAAAAATGGACTTTGTAAAAGAAAGAAATATGTAGTGGGAAGAAAGAGTATTCTCACCTTGGGGCCACGGACGGTGACGTGAACGGAAATCTTCTCGTTACGGCGGATACCGAAGGTACGGACAGTGTAACGGGCCTTGCCTGCAGACAACGTATTAGAGACTGAATCGAGGAAAGAGCAGGGAAAAAAGACACGAGACTCGGATGTGAACGTACTGTAGACAGGAGTCTGACCAGATAGCTGCTCGAGCACCTTGGCGGCACGGGTGAGCCTGTCACCGGATTCACCGACGGAGATGTTGAGAACCAGCTTCTGGATCTTGAGCTCCCTCATGGGGTTGTTGGCCTTCTCGGACGCCATTGCTGCGGTGGTTGTTGACTTGGGGTTGTCGACGGTGAGGGTTAGTTGAGAGTGGTTGTCGATCAGGTTTGCGATAGGAGGGGATCGCTAAAAGATTTTGTGAAAGGCCTCTGGAGAAATTTGAGGGTTTTCCTGCCCTCTCAGGAAAGTGTGCGCTGTGGGACCTCAAAAGGGAAATATGTGGGACCAACAGGAAGCCCAAGCCTTTCCTGTTCATAAATGGACTAGCGCAATTATCATGCGGTACATCCTTACACGTACCTTTTTTTCCGGCCTGATTGGACAGGCTCCGCAAATTTCAGAGGAACCATATCATCCTCGCCCTCAAACCTAAGAAAGGCCCAAATGCTTGGAGGGGAGATATTATACCTGTCTGTGTCACGGTCGCGCAAAGCAAAACAAAACAACGCCCCGTCGACGACAACAAAACCCCAAATTTTTTGAAACCCCCAGCGGAGTTGCGAAAGCAAGTTCTGTTTATATATCTGCCCATCATGTCTAACAAGCAGGGAAAGATGGTATGTTTTGCTCTTTGCAGGCCCCCTCACCGATCTTCATGTATCGCTAACCTCATGTCTTTGTTGCTTCCAGGCCGGCTACGTACGTTCCCCCGACCCTCCCCGCTACGCGCCTTGAACCGATATACTCACGGGATGCTAACTCGCGCGTGTGTGGCAGATCAACTGGCGGATGCGTGTCACGCTCAATGATGGACGCTCGATGACCGGTCAGATGTTGGCGTTTGACAAGGTATGCATGCTCATTAAGGGGAGGAATTGAATAAGTAGATTCGTGCTGACGCAGACAAAACCAGCATATGAACCTCGTTCTCGCCGATACCGAAGAGTTCCGTCGCATCAAGCGCAGGCAGAACAAGCCCTCGGCACCTGGCGCGAGCGCCGGCCAGACCGTCGAGACGAAGGAGAAGAGAACTCTCGGCCTCACCGTCGTCCGTGGCGCCCACATCATCTCCCTGTCGGCCGAGTCCCCGCCCCCGGCCGACCCCAGCGCCCGACTCAACAAGTCTACGCCTGGCGGTCTCAGCTCGACACTCACTGCCGGTCCCGGTGTAGCAAAGCCTGCTGGTCGAGGTGCTGCCCCGCCCTCTCTTGCCGTATGCAACAACCCCTCTTTTTCCTTCCGCAGGGCTTTTCCCTTGTATTATGATGTAGGCACTGACTGGTATATTGATAGGGTCCTGCTGCTGGTGTCGGTGGTGGACCACCCCCTCCTGGCTTCCCTGGCTTCCCTGGTGCTCCTCCCGGCTTCCCTGGTGCTGGACGTGGAGGTAAGTTGCATCATTTCCTTTTCATGTTATGCGCCCTTGTTCTGACCTAATCCACAGCTCCTCCTGGATTCCCAGGCGCTGGCTTCGCTCCTCCTGGTGCTCCCACTGGTTTCCCCGGTGCGCCTCCTGGGGCGCCTCCCGGGTTCAACCCAGGCGGTCCGCCTCCTCCTGGGTTCAACCCTCCTCCCCGACGATGATACCCTCTTTCCCTCCAAAAGGCGCAGTATAGTTTTTCATGTTTTAGACAAGATCTCCATCCCTTCCATCTTGAAGCTTGGAGTAGGGAATAAAGCACACACACAAAGAAAGATAAGGTCATGACGGACGGTAGGTAGCGAGGGGGAAACGGACAAATGAGAGCTTGGGCGTAATGGCTTTTTCGCAAAAAGGGATGCCTTTGGAATCAAGCACAAGACAAATGTACGTGATTTTTCTTTTTTACGATTGTCTCTCTCTTTGGAGGTAACGCGGCATATTCATTTATTATTATTATCTCCAAATGCAAACGAAACCAAACATACGAAGAATGTAACCATACATAATATTGTCACAACATAAACATATTCTCCCCAACTAGACCCCGACAGCATGGCTAAACACCCTGGCAGCTAGCTGGCTTAGAAGCCTAGCTCTATCACCCTGCGGCAATTCCTAAGCGGTATGTTAGTTTTCTCTCTCCACGTTTATCTGTAGTGGTAGTTGAATTGGCATGAGGACGTACCTGGAAGACGGCAGCCACGCTCTTCCCCTTGGCGTCGCGCACGGCGCCCAGCCGATTCCCTGCGACAGCACCGGCCAGCAGACCGGGGACATTGGCGATGATGAAGCCCAGGGCACCGCCGCTGGCACCGCCAACTACACTCCAGAATTTGCCCGTGGGCCTGCTGCTCCCATCCTCGGCCATGCCCTCGTCGCGCATCATCTCCTCAAACACGTCGCTGAACTGGGCTTCCTCGTTCCTCTGTCTGTCCCCCGCGGCTCCGTTGGGGCCGCCGCTGCCAGATTGGTTCTTTGTGAAGAAGTCCCACGCCCAAGAATAGGCGTCTTGAGGGTTGGCGGGTATCTCTTCGCCTTCACCATTCGCGCCCTTCTCGTCTGAGTCGTTGGAGCTTCTGCCGCCAAACAGCTTGCGCTGAGCATCGTATTCGCTGCGACGTGAGGCGTCAGAGAGTGTGTAGTATGCATCGTTGACGATCTGGAACTTGCGCGTGCGCTCTGCCCGCTCGGGTGAGTCGGTGGGCACACGGTCCGGGTGTGTCTTCAGCGCGGCTCTGGGGTGGTTCACAGTCAGTAGAACAGGGGAAGAGGAGTAGAAAGATGCAAAGGGGAGTATGAACTCACTTCTTGTAGGCGTCACGAACCTGCCCCGTGGTTGCCGTCTCCGACACCTCGAGAATGGCATCTGCAGATATCCTGTAAACGTGTGACGTTGAAGAGACGGAGCGGAGGCGGTCACATACAGTAGTTTGGTGGCGGACCGGTGGCCATATTGAGGGTGCTTCGGCAGGCAGTGAGATCGGTAGGAACTAATTAGTGAGGAGAACTCGTCAGGGAGAGTACTTCCTGGGACTTTGTTATTTGATAGAAGTGTCGAGATAGAAATTTGAATCAGCCTGCGTGGTGTAGAAGAAGTAAGTTGAGAGAGCGATTGTAGGACGTCATGGCGTGGCGGTGCTACGTGGCTGAGAGCTGAAGCTGGACCCACACGCTCACATGTGATGTTTTAGCCTCGACTTGAGTACTAGTAGTTCCAATATATTCTATTCTTTTCACTATTCTTTTTTCTGCGTCCCAATTTCAGCCCAATATCTAAACATTTGAGCTCTATACAATCACAACTGTAGAAGCACTAATTTCATAAAGCATGTACGACGTTCAAAATATACACAATCACTCCCCACCATGCTGGAGAAATGCATCGTTGAGATACAGCGTAGCCCGCTGAATAGCATCCTCCTCGACCCGCGCAGCATCCTCGTGCCTTCCCAGCCGCTCAAAATGACCAGCGAGCACCCACATGTCGCGCACGACTCTCAAATCATTGTTGGTCCCGTGGGCAGCCTCACGCTTCAGCACAGCACGGCGCAGATTGTCCTCTGCATCATCCCACTGACACTTCTCCTCGTTGAGCCTGGCGAGCATCTTGCGTGCATATGCGTGGAATCTTGCCGCCGAGCGTTGCTGGTCGGAGGAGGTTGAAGAACCATCGCCGTCGCTGCTGGAACGGAGCAGATTGTGCGCCAGCTCTTCGGCCGCCACTTTGTCCCCCAGGTCCATCTGTGTGAATTCCAGCACCAGCGCCTGGATCCTGAGCTTTTCATAGCCATCGCCGGCATCATCGGCGCTGCCGTCATCCTGGTCAGCATGATGGTTTTCCAGATTCCGTAGCGCAGCAGCCATGTGGCCGGCCCTCTTTTCCAGCCCGCTTCCCCTGCGCAGCCGCGTGCGCGCATCCCATATCAGCTGCTCGTACAGCCACAGGTGCCTGTGGGCCAGAGATCCGACCTCCTGCCCGAGCATGTCGACGTTGCGTAGCCAAGCCTGCCGGAGTATGTGGCAGACGTACCGGCGCCCCTGGTGGGTGCGATAGTCGCACCTCCGGATCTGGCGCAATATGAACTGCAGCGGGTGCTGGGCGGGCAAGAGCCGACGCGACATGGCGCTCGCGTGGTCCAGGAACATGGCCAGCAGTTGTAGGTGGCCTGTGCCGGCCATGTCGTAGACGGTGTCGAGCATGTGCCACACCAGGTCCGGATGGTCCTCGGTAAGGACGTACTCGAGGACGTGAAAGCCTTGGCGCGCCGCCATGCCTGCCAATTTGCCCCTGCCGCGCCGGAACAGGTCGAACACCAGCTCGAAAGTGCGGTACATGGTCCGGCTGTCCTGCATAGGGGGCCGGTTTGGGCTCGCGAGGTAGCGCGACATGGGGTCCGTCTTAACCGAAGGCGCCTCCAGCTTGCATATGCTCCATGTGAAGACGCTGCCTAGGATGACTTCGAGTTCCGCGAATGGGCCCAGGTTGGCCGATGGCTGCTGGCTGATTGTCAGTATGGTCGATGTAGAGGGAGCCACCGTCGTATCTGTCATGGCTGACGGAGTAGTCGACGCAGATGTAAACATGCGAGGTGTAGTACTAGTGGTACTGATAGGAGGGGAGTAAGACTTCTTCGGGGAAATCGTCATTTCCACCTCTCGGCCACATCGCGACACCTCATCTGAACCCGTGGTACTTTGTGACCTAGCCCTGCTTGCCTTGCGGTACATGCGCTTTCTGAAGTTCCACTTCTTCAAGCGTTTCTTGTACATCTGCTCACTGTGATGACTCGCAGCAAGATATATCAGCCAAGTGCTTCGAAGAGATGGGGAGAAGCAGATAGACAGAATGATAAGAAGAAAGAAAGAGGGAGAGGAATCGTACGTTGCCCAAAACCCATGCCTATGCTTGATGATCGACATGGTCTCATACAACTTCCTCCCATCCTGAATGTACAGTTTCTGAACCACACCCCTCACAGCTTCCCACTCATCCTCTGTATGCTCCTTCGTTCCTGGCTTTTCCGATCCAGAGTTAGATCCCTGCTGACCTGGAAGACGGGGAGCCAGAACAGGCAAAGGACATAAAGTCATATTTGTTTAAATCCGGTGTGTGCAGTGATAATGCTTCCTTTCATATTCAAATCTTGGACGGAAAAATTGGAGAACCCGTTGTCTTTTTAGCACCCCCCACTTCCTTTCCCGGGAGTATGTTCATCAACACAAGGAGGGGGATATCCCGAAATGGGGGGTTGCTGCAGCTGAAACTCTCCAACCTCTGGATACTATCTGTTGCTGTCGTGACGCAATGTCCAGTCAACAGACATGTTCAAACACGTCTGAACCGTGATTGTCTTTGAATGCCTTCCAGCAAAGAAAAAAGGAAAGGGGAGGGGGTAGTAAAAATGAGAATTGAAGAGATGAAAAGGCCTACATGTCCCTACTAGTAGTAGTCTCGTCGAATAATTCCCAGTTATATTATTAGAACACCCATCAGCGTATAGTTCACAGACCTATATGTACGTATAACTCGTTGGCTCCCCTCCCTATTTCAAACATTTCGAGCCTCCTCTATTTCTCCTCCTGACCTGTCTATTGGTTGAACAAGTTCCCTGCATGACACGACAAATGTCTTGTGATAATATCACGTGATGTTCTTCTATCAATCGTCTCTCGGCTATAGTCTGGTTCAACCACGGAGTATATGTGAACCCATCTCACCAGCTGACTCAGCATATGACAGGCAGAAAGAGAGGAGGAGAAAGAAAAATAGGAAAAAAGTTAGATAAAAGTGGACCCATAGGCCCCAGCAGGCTTTGAGACGTATAAAAATTTCCTCTCCAAGCTTGGAAGCTTTGCTTCCTTTCTTTTCCTTTTTTTCTTCTTCGTGCGGCTGGCACAATGTTTTCTCCGTGTTGCTCGAATCCTGACTACCTGCCAAGGTATATCCGTGGATTATCACAATCGCAGCGTCAGTTGTGCCCCAGAAGAATCAAAATTGCAGGCTGGCTACTCCCCATCGCTTTGGGCTCCCGATCGCATATCACCCGAGTCTAGATGGGGAGGTCGGACATACTACGACCCTTTTCTGTGCCTTGTTTTGTGCGTGTGTGATATCATGTCGAATGGGAAGAAGCTGGTCGAAGGACCATGTACAGGTGTAAACACGTTTTATTCATGAACATCGAAGTCTCGAAATCGCTTGCGTATGGTGTGATAAAATCAAATAAGCTGCTCGCTGCGGTTATACTCGTAGCCATATTTGGTCCCGGGGGTATGCGGCCATGGTCATCGTTCCTTCATTTCTCCCTTCTTTTTCTTCCCTTGTTTTCTCCCAGTTGGCTCTCGAGTTGTTTCTGCTAGTCCATAATGACTGATCCCTTCCCCTGGTCTAAACTTTTCTATTTGCTCTAGCCTCCGATGGAATTTGGTGCGAAGGGTTTCTGCCGATTGGCGTTGGCTCGACGCTTCCTATATTAAACCTTTGCGGCTTCCTAGTGGCCCACAACGCACGCACCTATTCGTCGTCGCCAACTTTCTTCAGTGTGCCCATCTCTCGCTTCTGACCGGCGTCGCCAATTAGCCTGACCCTGTCGAGGCGCACCGTCTCCGCTTCGCCGTCGCCCCTTTGGACGTATATAACGAGTGTTGTCGTCTTCTGAAACTTAACGAAGCGCAGGGGGATGCTAGCGGTACCGTTGGCGTTCCAGTCGTCGGGGCCAATCTCGATGGCCTGTGTGGGATCCGTCTCGTCGGCCTCGTTGAAGTCCATGTTCTGTGTGCGGTTGATGTAGAGGTGGATAACGCCAGGCCTGGCTGGCGCGTCATCTCCACCTTCGGTAGGAACCGACGTGATCTACAAGGCGTCAGTAAACTGTCTGTCATGTCGTCTTCGGGCCGTACAGGGGATCTTTTTTACCTGCAATGTGTGCAGCTTGATTGTAGACTGAAAGGGAATGAATAGGAGCAGCTGATCATCAGCACCGCTCTGAACCCAGTCCTTTTCCGAGGACGAGGCCTTGCCATCCTTGCTGAGGGCCGTCGGCTTGGCACCATCAAAGAGGACCCTGACGGGGCCGGCGTCGTCGTCGGCGTTGAGGAGCTCGCAACCGCGGATCTCAATCTGATCGGTAATATCACTGTAGCCCTTGGGCAGGTCGGCACCAGTCCAACCGCCGGAGCCGGAGGAGCCGTCTTCTAGGGCCTGGACATCGGCGGCGAGCTTCTCGACGACTTTCTTGAGTTGGACGGGGTTCGCACCCTGGACCTTTTGGTCAACCTTTCCATTGCGGAAGACGAGGAATGTGGGCAGGGCAGCGACGCTGTATTCCTTAGCAATGCTTGTCTGCTTGTCGGTGTCGACCTTGACAAAGGTGACGGCGCCAGGGCGGGAGAGTGACTTGGCGAGCGTCTCGTACAGGGGAGCAATCTGCTTGCATGGACCGCACCACTCGGCATAGACTATATGATAGCATCGAGGTCAGTAACAATGTGATAAACCAGAGATTTTGTTGGTTTGTCCATCCCTTCCATTGGGGAAAGATACCGAGCTGCTAGAGAAAGCTCGAGCTTCTGCGGATATACAACGATGGTGGTGGTGGTGGTGGTGGGGGAGCGGGGGGACTGGAGGGGCATGGAAGGGAGACTCACAGTCAGCTACGACAACCTTGGATGACCGGATCAGGTTGTCGAAATGCTCCTTGGAGGTGATATTAATGGTAGACATGATGTATGGCGCGTGGGGAACAGCTCGTCGTTCTACCACGCGAGGAAGGTACGAAAATTTGGAGGTTGACACAAGAGAGTTTGTTGCTGACAGGTTCTGGACACTTCCGGTCTACAGGCAAGTCAGGGCAACAGGACTGTGCCGGGGATTCCATTGGAGCCCGGGGCAGGTGAGGGGCACAAAGACATCTGCCCGACCTGCAAACCTTCCATTTTATTAGGGGCTTTATAACTGTAGCGCCACTCAGTAGCGGGTAGTGGCCATTGTCTATTTGTAATGCACATGCGCTCCCAAGCTCTGCCTGTCTTACATTGTAATCAATGTTACTATTGGATGTGAATATCGATTATGGACTCAGCCTTTTTCTGACTCTCTCCCGAATCACTGCTGCACGTACAACAGCAATGCTGCACGTAAGAAATGACAGTTCACCGAGGCTACATAGTCGCAGGACCAACTGTTAGAGGTATCTCGCACGTACATATTACACACATTGCTGTACTCCGTACTCGTCGTGAGTTATACTGACAATGACTACGTCCAATACTATTATAAACAAAATGCAAATGCGGCCCCATACCACTACCGCTACTACTGATAATAGAGATCTGTCCATGCTCATGTCCAATGTTCCATGCTTGGTCTATCAGCCGCCTCGTTTAAGTCTGTGCACGTATATTACATGCAGCGGGTCAGAATCAGGCTAGGTTGTTCACGTAGTTAGATCGTTTCTTTTTCTGTTCAAGTCGAAACTGGAAAAGGCTTCATGGTAGTTCGACGAGGTAAACGAACCGTTTTCCGTCAAGACATGTCTTCTTATTACAGTCACATTGTCTCTATCCCAACAAAACGGGGGCATAACAACAGCACTAGAACGACAACACTTCCGAAACCCGCTTCCCTATTAATAACGACTTATACGAACTAGAGCTATTCGAATTCTAATCATGTTGGAGGAATCGTGGGGGGAAAGCGCCCACGCGCGGCGGACAGCAAAGGCGTGGTGGGAGAGGATCCTCCTAAGCTCGTCGGCGGCACCCACCAACGTCGTAGGAATCTAAGCCAGAGTTCAAGCCTAGGGTTGAGAAGATAACCAGTCGGCTCGAAAAAGAAGAAGAAGAATAAGTATAAGGAGAGCACACTTAGAAAACAAACAATACCCCCTCCTCACAGAAAATCCGCGTGCGCCACGTCTACACCAACTGCTATCCCAGGTACGGCTTCATGAATCCACGACTACCCGAGAAAGAGGCCAGATGCAAGATAGAGACCGGCGGGTAGACTGCAGAGAATTTGGAAGCATTGAGCCCACTGCGACCGCTCAAATATTCGGAGGATTGGTCCAAGCCGGAGACTGGAGAGAATGATGATGATATGCTTCGCTTGGCAGATGCTCCCACGAAAGATGCCCCCACAAGGAACATTGGAGGGGTATAAGACGATATACACGAGGGGAGGGGTTCTCTTACGAAATCATGTGATATTGGCGCTGGATTGTCTTTCTTCTTTCTTGGTCAAAGTGAAGTGTCATGGACTGATGCTCCTTTGGGACGAGTGGTCTAGTATTTGGATACCATTACTGCATAATACATTGTTCAAGTTCATGACATGTTGTTCCTCCAAAAAGAGCATTTTTCAAAAGGAATTTCAAGACCGCAACAAAAAGTGAATATTTCAAAGACATAAATCAAAGCTCAAAGAAACATAACAGTATAAATCTCCTCGCCACTATGGGGCATCATTCATGGAGCAATAGTCAAGGGCTGGAAGACAACCTCAGTAATACTGATCATGCTGAGCCCGTCGATGAGGCGAATCATCAGCCCGTCTGCTATCCCTATCCTCGATCTCGATGCGAATATGCTGGTCCGTCTCTTCGTCATCATCAGTGATGAGCAGCCTCCTCTCCGGCTCCGGCTCCGGCGACGCAGGTCTATAAAACCGACGGGGGGCATCGACGTAGCGGAAGGATTCATACGGTTCGGGCTCTGGCTCCGGACGACGTTCCGGTACAGGAACAATCCTGTCCCTCTCGACGTAGACGTCCCTCTCGTAGTAGTGGTGGTAGTGGTGATGGTGCTCCTCGCGCGACTTGCTCCTGTGCTTCTTGTGGTGTTTCTTCTTCCGGCGGGGGGACCCGGGGTCGACGTCCACTGCTATGACGTCTATCGGCTCCGGCTCGGTTTTGGGCGCCGGGAGCGCCAGGACGGGCGCCGGGGGAGGCGAGGGCGGAGGGCAGGGCTCGATGACGACGGGGGGTTCCATCGGGGCCGGGGGCGGGGGAGGTGGTGGGCTGGGAGGGATGATGCGCGTTATGCTCGTGTTTACCGTAGTGATGTCCGGTTCTGGATGCTGGAGGTACACGCGCTTCTTGGCACCGGGACGGGCCCATTCTTCGTGATAGTGATGGTGGTGCTGGCGGTGGGCTAGCAGTTGTTCGGGCTCAGGTCAGTTTGGTCTCGATCCTTGCTTGGGGTTTTTCTAATGAAATCACGTTGTTCCATGTGAGGACCACCGTGGAAGCAGAACTAACCCATGATGACGTATAAGTCGCAAACTGGACCTGGGTACACGGACAAGGAACAGAGGGTGACCAGCGTGCAAATTAGCGGAGAGTGAATACTTGAGTCAAAATGATTGAAAATCACTGAGAATGAGGAAAGGAGGAAGGAGAGAAAGAGGCAAGCGGTGATTGTACTGGCAAGTGGCTGAGCTGATCTTTCTTTGTCTATCCGTCAATGACGTGTGACGCAAAAAGCAGGATTCTGCCCTATCCAGTGCGGGGTCCCCGTCTTCTGACCGAGTATGCCTTGTGATTTGTTAGCATGAGCCTCAACGCAGACATCTCTTTCATACAATGGCTTTTTCTTATCTTTCTTATCTTCTCTCTTTGAGAGTTCTCTACTTACTCTTCAATATAGGTGCGTCTTGATGGGATGTGTCTTCTCTCTCCTCATATCTACAGCTTCGTGGTGTAGGGTAGAAGATCAGACTTACAGAAAAGTATGACGTCGTTCTCGAAACGCACCAAAGCCTAGACCAGTCCGCCTAGTTCTACCGTTGAATATATCTATAGATTCTACACCAATACATGTATGCACACGCCCATTATATCACACACTCTCTTTGCTATATTATTCTATTAATACACTGCACGCTACTATTTTACTCCTACGAGTACTCGTAGGCTCTTGCCGTTTTGGACAAGACACATTGACATGTACGTACAATGCGTTACACGCTGCAGCAGGCATGATGCAGATTTGCGGGACCCGGGGCTTTGAAAGCCCACTTCTACTGGTACGATGCAGGGCATGAATACATGTTGATGTGCGAGTACGACGGACGTATTGATCTCTAGAGAGAGAGGTGATCCTAGGGGAGAGGGAGGAGTGAAGGAGAGAGTTCCAGCAAATCTCAACGGTTAGGATTCAGAAACCGGATAAGAACACGGAGGGAGATACGGAGTATTACGGTGTTTCTCAAAATGCACGAAATGACTGCGCTGAAGATGTAAAGAAAGGTCGACAGAATATGTAAGGGAAGTTATGTGTGGCTCAGCGCTGTCCCCCTCCCCGCCCGGGAGAGTGGGATAATAGGTCTGAAACACTTGATGTCGCAAGGGCTGATGAAGACTATTCGAGGGGATGCTGCTCATGGTTACGGGACAGAGAGTACAGGGAGCGTGACACCAGGGCCCAGGAAGGCAGGCAGGTTGAGTTTCACGGTTCAGAGGACTCCTGAGACGGATTTGTTATTGCCGGATATTACTTGTACGGGTGATTGACGAGATTGGACAGGATTGACGAGATCTGACCCAAGGATCACATGGAAGTGTGCTAGTTAGTATTCGTAGCTGAAGTTGACTAGTCTGTACACACAACGGCAAGAACTGAGTACCAACGCATGCCTGACAGGACGGCAAGTAATATAATTCCTTATTTTTTATATATATATATTTTAATTATTACATTTTTGTGTGTTTTTGCGATTTGTTATGAATGACTTTTTTTCTTTTTTTTTCTTTTTTTGCTTTTCTTCATGTTCCATCCGTAATCTTTTCTCCTTTTCGAAACGGGATTCTTCGAGGTATACTATTTCATTATGTATTACTCAATAATGGCAACTGTTCCTAATAAGCAATGTGCTTCAGTGAATTGGACGTGTATGTGTGTGTGTGTATGTGTGTGTGTGTGTGTGTGGATCGGACAAGGAGAGGCCCGTCTGCCACGACTGCAGATAAGGAACTTGCTTGTAAGAGCAACAGGTGTCCGTACTAGTACTGACAAGTCTATAATTGACAATCGATATTGTTACACGCACAGGTTGAGCTAAACATGAACCCTTTATTCTCATTGCTCGGCGTTGAAACTGTGCGTGTATTCCCTCCCTTGGGAAAGTGGCTCATTACCATCCATTCCACCCGGGCCGTGTATTGGGGGGGGGGGAGGGGGAAGTCTGGACCCAGAGACGTGTTGCAGCCGGATCAGTGTCATGTTGACTAGGCATGGAGGGCGGGAACAGAATTGGTAGGATGCTCAAACTGTAACAAAGTACGGGGAGTACCTGGATACATGTTATCTCTTGTACATTCCCCCTCCCAAAAGGAGGCGAGGCCGTCAATACTAGTACGAGTAGCAGTACTGTTCGTATAGAGTTAAAGTACAGACACAAGGACTGGGTAGGATGTTTTGTCGCTACAGGTATGACTGCCGTACGTCCAACCAGGACAGCGTGCAGAGCATTGGTATCGTACAGCGTAGTACAGCTTCAGAATGAATAACAATCGAGATACTACTTGTACTGATACTCCATAATACTCGTACGACTTAGAGTACAGAGTATTACAATTCCGGGTGTTACATTATGAATCCATCAGCCGTGATGTCGAATCAAGTGTGATAGTGTATGTATGTATGTTTGTGTGTGTGCATTACTTTGGGGAGCCACGGGCAAACCTGATTGGAAGAGTTTGGAATCTCTGGACAGAGGAATTCCCAGGACCCCTGGAACCCACGACACGGAAGATAAAAATTGATTCAAGGCCAGCTGCAGGATCGGACGGACAAGCCCAGACCAGCAGTTGGGAACTCGTGCACTCTGTGGGAGCATCAATACTCTGAGCACAATTGTCAGGATCTCGAGAAGATAGAAGAGGTAGATAGGACCAGCTGAAAGGGGGTTGGCGGCCGAGAGTCTCCTGGGCAGGTCTCAGGTTTAAAGGTTTGTACAGTCTTCGACTATGAATAAGTACGAGCAGCCAAGTCCTACGGTCTATTACCAGTCGATATGGATACCCTGAGGAATAGACAGACTAGTGGTAACAGCCGAGAATTGGAGACTGCAAAACGACGTAATAGTGGCTCCTGGTAATAAAGATTTAATATCAGGTCATTCAGAGAGTTTAAATAGGCATATTATCAATTTGGCAGTTCAAATACAGAGAGCTGTCTACAAAGGACCAGCAGAATACCACCAACTTCTAAGTGGTAATAATACACGTGTACTCCGTACAGGTAATAATAATAAAACCCGAACAGTGCAGCGTCAAGAGAAATGGAAACCCACCTAGGGAACGGACCCAGAACCAACGGTCAAAACGCCCGCTGGAGCCTCCACCATTCCCTAGATTCTGTACAGATGAATACATGTACTTGTCCAGGTAGCCTACACAAGTAGGTAATAATACTCGTACGCCGTAAACCCCTAAGAGGTGCATCTTGCTCGGCAGATGGAGGCCCCTGGAAGCCGAGCATGCTTCTCTGTTACGATTGGTTGGTTCCGCACTAAAACCACGAGTAATTATGCTAGCAACTATATTACTAGCAGCGGTAATAATATAAACTGTATCGAGTACGTGAACGAGTAATAGTGGTTGCACTGTCGTTACAGGCACTAATGCTGCTACAGATACTCATACAACCAGAGCTACCAACAAGTAGTTCCGGGAGACTTGTTCCGTCCCTTGACAGTTCCGTCTTTGCACGTAATTTACCAAGTATTACATACGTATGGAGGACCTATGGCTACGAGTAAGTATATGTACTCGTACATGTGGGAGCGGGTTATACAGGGCAGGACATCTGCCAGTTCAGCACACGCTATTCGTTCCAGTATGGTAAAGCCTAGCATATGCCTGGAGAGCATCGCAATTATTATAATACGCACACTAGCTAAGAGCGGTTAACCGCTTAACGGTGTTATATTGCTTGAAAAAGTACGGAGTACTATGAGTACCTATTCGTACTAGTCCGCAGTAGCACCGTAATTACAGTTGTACATGTATTACAGTGTAGTTTTGTGAGTGACAGCTGCAACGTGACAGCGTGTGTGTCCGCCTGCTCCTTCCTCGGTGTGTCGTACTCGTATGTGGTTCCTTCCTTGGGTGTGCGTCTTGTCTCATGTGCTTTAAGAGAAGGAGCGACATAACCCACACCTGCCAATTCAATCCTTGGCACTCAAAAGCCAATTTCAGTCGATCCCGTCATCAATTCCTGGGGGGGACTTTCCCTCTACAGGTATTATTCTCTATTATTCTCCTCCTAATCCTCATAGCAATTAATATTTGTACACACACACTCACCATACACATACTCTCTTAATTTTGTCATCATCTCTCGATCTATTCTTCCCCCTTGCTGCTGCGGAAATTTTGGCTGCTGCTACTATTACGACTAGTTTAAAGTAGGGAAAGGAAGAAAAAAGAAAGAAAGAAAGGCGACAAAAAAGAGAGAGACTCCATAATACTGGACCCGCCACCGACGCCGCCACCCACACCCACCACGCCCCCCCTATACTGCCCTTTCCCTCTCTCAATACTTCCGTAATAATACTCCACGGTGTGGTGGACAAGTATGCCGCCGAACAAGCATTGATCCTGCACATCGTCAAACCAGCTGTGCTAATACGAGAGCATACGACGCGCGCTGATACAGGGTCCCATAGCACACGAAACACTCACCCCCGAGAGAGAGAGAAAGAAAGCCAGCCAGCCAGCATACAGCATACGATAATACTACAGTGTCACAGACACAGACTCCGCTGTTCTTCCATCCCCACGTCCTGTGGAAGAGAGTGGAAGGAAGAGAGGGTCATTGACTAGGTTGACCAGGCAAGGTCAACCGGACAGGGTCGCCTAGGGGAGGGGAAAGAGCCCGTCATCGCCCTACCGCCGGCCGCATTGTTGATCGTCTCTTCGCATGACGACTAAGGAGATACGGTAGTTCTACTCGTACCCAGCACAACAAGCTCCAGAGGAGAACCATGTCGCACCGCAGTGCGCCAAACTCGCCCAGGCTGCCAGGGCCTTCCTCTTCTTCATCTCCATCCACTTCGCCCGTCGATGGCGGCCTCTACTCATCATACCCCAGACCGCCGTCCCCTGGTCGCTCCCGTTACGCCTACGCCCCCGGTTCCACGAACCCCGGTTACAAGTGAGTTGACACAAGAGTTTCCTCTTCCTCTCCTTTCTTTCTTTCTTTTCTTTTCTTTTCTTTTTTTTTTTAATTTTTTTTTTAATTTTTTTTTTTTTTTGATTCAGTCTTTTCTTTTTTTATCATTATTTTTTTATCATCCTTTTTTATCTCTCTACGTGTGTACCTTGCCCTCTCTTTCCCAATTTCAAATTCCATTCTACTGCTACTGCTAGTAGTTGTGTTCTTGTTGCTCCTCCTCCACCTCCACTCTCTTTTTTGAATATTACTGCATAGTGCCTTTGCGCGCATCCCACCTCGATTTGCTGTCCCCCCTCTCTTTCTTCTCTTTCCTCTCGGTACACATCTTCAAATGTGTGAGCGCTTACTGCCGCACTCTGCGCCGTAACGCGCCTCGTCTTACTCTTGTCTTTCCTTATCTCCATCTTCATATCCACTCCTCATTGTCTCTTGTCCAACCGTCCTTTTTTCGATACGACCCATCAGCTTGCTTGCTACTGCTTCCACCCGATCCGCCTGCCGGTTTTGGCTAACACGCACGCCGTCTGCGTCCCTCCTGTACCATCAGACCTCAACACCCTCCGCGCCTCAACTTGAGTGGTACTCGAAGCTTCGTCACCTCCCCGAGCAGCCTAGGACCGAGACGTAACGATCCGCCGACCTCCGCCACCCCCGACCACACTACCTTTTACAGCGATTCTTCCGGTCCCCCCAGCCCGGAAGTCCAGAGCCCAAAGTCCGTCGTCCCTGTGCCTCTCTATAATAACCCCACCATTACCGCTGTCGCCAACGCCGCCATCACTACTACCGCACGTGGCTGGTCCACCGTTTAGAGCCATCGACAGTCATACTGACCTCTTCAACCGAGCAGATATCCTTACCCTCTCTCCGCCTCTAGCGTCCCGAGCGACACCCGCAGCGCCTCCGAACCTTTGACCTTCAGCAGGCTCGCCGGCTCCCAAGCCAAGCCTTCCTCAAAGACGGCCATGTCTGGCACGTCGGCCGTTGTCCAAGACGCACAACAACAACTGCCTCGGAATGCGTCCATCGACTCAGCAATCTCGGCTATATCCACCAAAGCACCTGCCCGGGATGGCGCAACGCAATCGAATAGTGGCGGCGGCAGCAGCGGTGGCGCCCAAGGCGAGACCGATATCGCCGTTCTCGTAGCCAAGGCCGGCAGCCCCGAAGCTCTCATCCACAGCCTTCTCAAGGAGAAGAAGTCACAACACCAACAAAACACCCAGCTTTGGCGCTTAGTCGACAAGCAGAGGGCCATGATTCTCGGCCTCAACAAGGATTTGGAGAGGGCCCTCAAGGACAAGGAAAAGTACAGGACCAAACTCAAGGACATGATGGCCAACCCGGCCGTCTCTAAAGCCGCAGGACTTGTGCCCGGCTCTCGGGACGCCCAGTCCGACCGTACTATCCCTACCATCCCCGCTCTCGACATCGAGCGTGCCACCGATAGGGCCGCACTAGGCCCCGAATCACCCAACTCAGACTCAGACGGCCAGAGGAGCTCGCCAATCGACACCGTGCTAGCTCCCTACCCCATCACGCCGCCCCTGGATCAGTCCGCCAATGCCGGTGGCGCCACCCAGCCTATGCCGAAACTGCCGCATGATCCGGCCTTTACTGACCAGACCCGCAAGGATATTAAGGCCGATGAGCAACAACAGCTGCGCGACCTGCACTTCCGAACCTCGTTACCGCCATCACGTGGCCTGCCGCCCGACCCCCCCAAGGTCCCGCCGCCCATGCCGCCTACGCGACTCGCGCCCAGCCCGTCCGCTCCCAACTTGTCCATGCCTGGTGTTGCCGCCAACGAAGGTCTCGCCGTTTTCCCTGCTCCTCCTCGAAAGGGCCCTCCGGCGCCTCTCCAGCTCAGGTCGGAGCACCGTGACTCTGTCCAAGACGAGGAGACCGACTCGGAGCTCGATGAGATACTCGATGTTGACAATCTGGGGGATGACCGTGGTCGGCGGAGAACCAGGGCCCAGGATGAACAAGATCGCGAGGCCCGGAGCCAATCCAAGAAGAGCAGCGACAACATTGGCAACGTGCCCCCGCAGACGACGTCCGCGAAACCTCCTCCCCTCTCTTCTGAGGCGCTGCAGCAGCTCGAGGCCGGATCTGGAACCGTGGCCGGATCCGCCTCGCTCGATACCATGCTCCAGGCACCTAGCACTAATGCCGTCCCTTCTGGAAACGCCATGCCCATGAGCCCCGGGTTGCCCATGAGCCCCCGACCCACCACCGCCACGTCCAGGGGAGGAGGTCCGCTCCGTTCCCCTCCCCCTCTATCCCCGGCCGGCGGCTTCCCGGCAGCACCATTGTCGCCCCGACCTGCTCGCCAACCGATCCCGATGCCCGCCAATACCCCTTTCGGCTCTACACACCCAACCCAAGCCCCTCCGCCGCCGGCCATTGTCGAGCAGTTAGCACCCGAGGACGCTCCGTCGTACTCAGCAGCGACGGGCAATAGGGGCCGGGGCGTACGGAACCCTACGGAGCCGGAGCACGCCAGCCCAACGGAGCGCACCCGCATCTACAAGGGACTCATGACCGATGAGTACCCCGACCTGCTGCTGGCCCCTAATGCACTGCCGTCGATTGCCATCCAGGTAGCGTCGTCACGCATGAAGCCGTCGCGTGCCAGCCTCATCTCCCTTACGCAGTTGGAGGAGGACCCCGTCTTCACCCTCGCTGTCATCTCGCGAGTCGATGGCGGCGAGTTCTGGCGTGTCGAGAAGGACTTGGCGTCGCTCAGCAAGCTTGACAGCCGCCTGAGGCAGTGTGCCGCCTTTACCGCCCAGACACCCGACCGCACCCTCTTCTCCGGACACGCACCCGCCAAGGTCGACGCTCGCCGCGTTGTGCTTGATCAGTACATGGACGAGGTGGTCAACACGCCACTCGACCTGGCCACGGCCGTCGAGCTGTGCAAGTACCTTTCCACAAACACCCTGCCCCCCAATGCCGACGAGACGGGTGCCTCAGCCGGTGGAGGCACTGAAGGTAGCGCCCACATGATTGGGCCGGACGGCCGTCCTATTCGCAGCGGCTACCTCACTAAGAGGGGCAAGAACTTTGGCGGATGGAAGTCGAGGTTCTTCCTCCTCGACGGTCCTCTGCTCAAGTACTACGAGACGCCCGGCGGCGCCCACCTGGGAACCATCAAGCTCCAAAGTGCCCAAATCGGCAAACAGTCCCAGAACAGCGAGAACCACTCGCCAACCAACTCTTCCAACCCCAGCAGTGAGGACATGGAGAGTCAGTATCGCCACGCCTTCCTCGTTCTCGAGCCCAAGAAGAAGGATATGAACACCCACGTCAAGCACGTCTTGTGTGCCGAGAGCGACAGGGAGCGCGACCTCTGGGTTGACGCGCTCCTGCAGTGGATCGACTGGCGCGATCCTGCTGATGAGCCGAACACATCCAAGTCTGGCGGTAGCGGCCAGCAGAAGGGTTCCGTGCCGGCTTCTTCCTCTCGCCACGGTTCCAGCAACGCGAAGCTCAAGAAGGGAAGCGGTAGCGGTAGCGGCGGTCACAGCAGCGGCCACGGCAACGGCAGCGGACACGGCAGCGGACACGGCAGCGGCCACGGCAGCGGCCACGGCAGCACCAACAGTAGCAGCCAGCCGAGGAGCGGCCACAAGGTCTCTGACTCGGACACGCTAGTTGGTATGAGGTACGGCTCTACACAGGCGGGTGAGGCGCCGCAAACTGCTACGGCATCGTCACCGTTGTCGGCAAGCCGACCCAAGACTGCAGGTGGACCTGGTGAACAAAGCAGCCACAACTTTAGCCATGATATCATGAGCTCGCAGCCTAAGATGATATCCGGACCCAAGGACCCGCAGCCCATCTCGGACTTGGCTGCTTGGGGCAACAAGGCGGGCGGTGGCGGCGGCGGCGGTGCTGGTGGAGGAAGCAGCAGTGGCGGTCTCGCAGCGCCGACGCATGAGGAGAAGAAGGCGCGCAAGCGTAGCTTCTTCGGCTTCGGCCCCAGGCAGCGTTCGAGCTCAGACGGCCCAGACTTTGGAGCTGCAGGCGATCGGTCCGGGGCCACACCGCCACCTGGTGTCATGGGGACGGCACAGCAGCGACAAGTGTTCGGATCGCAGCTAGGCGAGGCCGTGCGGTTCAATCCACCGTCAGACGTTAATGTCCCGCTGCCGTCGGTGGTGTACCGATGCATCCAGTACCTGGACTCTAAGGACGCGGTGCTGGAGGAGGGCATCTTCCGGCTCAGTGGTTCCAACGTGGTGATTAAGCAGCTGCGCGAGCGGTTCAACACGGAAGGCGACATCAACCTGGTGACAGATGAACAGTACTACGACATCCATGCAGTGGCGTCGCTGCTGAAGCTGTACCTGCGAGAGCTGCCTACGACGATACTGACGCGCGACCTTCACATGGAGTTCCTGACGACGATGGAGATGCAGGACCGCGGTGAGAAGCTAGCGGCCCTCCGCGAGCTGGCAGCCCGTCTGCCGCTTCCCAACGCCACGCTGCTCAAGTACCTCATCTCTTTCCTCATCAAGATCATCAACCACGCCGACATGAACAAGATGACGGTGCGCAACGTGGGCATCGTCTTCTCACCCACACTCAACATTCCTGCTCCTGTCTTTGCCATGTTCCTCCAGAACTACGAGGCCATCTTTGCAGTTGCCCCTGAGGAGTACGAGCTCCCCATCCTGGGCAACGGCCTGGACGCCTCCCACCCTCCTACTCCTTCCCCCGTGCCCACGCGCTCCGATTCTGGAGGCGGCGGTCGGGAAAGCCCGCGGGACGCTAGCTTCATGGGCGGCAGCGGCAGCAGCAGCAACGCACGACATGACCGCCAACCGCCCCGCGTCGACTCCATGCGCGATTATCAGCAGAGGTCAAACATGACGCCCACCCCTCCCCTTGTCCAGCCGCAACGCCCCGCTTACGAGGCCACTCCGTACGGCGCACCTCCCCCTTCGTCTGGGCTACCTCCCAGCGACAGCGGGTACAACCTGTACCCTCCTAATAGGGGCGGTCCCGCAACGGCGGCATACGACCGCATGGCGTACTACCAGACCCCTGTGAGCGAGGACCAGCAGAGCAGCAATGGGTCCGTTGCGTCGTCCGTCGAGCAGCAACAACAACAGCAACAGCAGCAACAGCAGCAGCAACAGCAGCAGCAACAGCAGCAACAACAGCAGCAACAGCAGCAGCAACAGTACCAGTCTTCTGGGAGCAACGGGAGTTCAGCACCCAACGGTGCTAGCAGGCGGCGCAACAGTATGATGTATCTCGGCCAGATGGCTGGGCTGCAACCACAGGGGTCAAGGAGCAGACTCCGTGAGGAGACGAGGTACCAGTGAGGGCCTTGACCTTGCCTGTTCTTTGAATCTTACTTTTACTTTTTATTTATTTTCTCCTACCGCAGCGCATTTTCCCTTATTTGATTCCAGGGGTAATGAAGCATGATACCATTTCTGTTACTCTTTTCATTACACTCGTACTCTTTACATGTTTTTATTTTGTTTTTTATCGTTGTATCTTGATTCGCATCTTGATATATATTCATCTTAACATCCTCTATTACATCTTGAAATATTTACACATACGCCCACACATTTCTTGCTGACATCTCGAAGCATATCTACTTTTCTTCTTTTCTTTCCTTGTTTTTGCTTTCGACTTTATATAGGATGCCCCAGGGACGACTGGATGAATGGATGCGGGATGGGACAGATCGTGTGTTTGGTGTGTTTGGTCCTCGGGGGTTCTCTTCCCTCATAGGGGGCTTTTGCGTATGTTGTTTGCGTCCTGACGCGTTGGTTCGGTGTAATAAATGTATATCTCTTGTCTGGCATGGCTGTTTTCCTCTCCCTTTTTTTCCCGACTTTGTTCATTCCGTTGAACCTGAGTCGGAGTTGAGTTGTGAATGCCGAGGTAGTATGCCGTTTCGAATCACTTATTCAGCATCGGCAAATCGGCAGTTCAGAACGCCGATCCTTTCTCCAGTAGACGATTCTCACAGTTTCCTTGTCGTTTTTCTTTACTTTCGTGACTATTTCTCACTGTCAGTCTTCATTTATTTTTCTACTCCTTACGTCGTCTCATTTTCGACGTCATCTGCTCCCAAAGAACCTTGGTGAGCATGGACCCATTGGCCTCCCACCAAAACGCCAACTCCGGACATGCCGGGGACGATGACGCCGCGATATCAGACGGAATTGAATCGGAATTCGGCGAAGAGCACCGCGAACACCAGCACTACGAGCAAGACCAGCACCACGACGAGTGTCGCGAGCAGGGACAGCACTACGGCGAGCAGCAAGAGCATGACAACCATCATGAATCTCCATCCAGCAGCAACCACCCAGTGGGGGCATCGGGGAGATCCCCAGCAGGGAAGAAACGCACCCGCGCATGCGAGGCCTGTCGGTCCCTGAAAGTACGGTGTGACACCAACACTAATGTGCAAGGCTCGGAGTTGGGCCCCTGCAGACGCTGCGAGAGAGCCGGCAGGGAGTGCGTCGTCTTGACGAAGCGGCGCAAGAGACAGAGGAAGACGGATAGCAGGGTGTCTGATTTGGAGAAGAAGATTGATGCCCTCGCTGCGAGCCTGCAGGCCAGAGGAGTTGTCACTGTTGCGCAGCAACATCGATCTCAGCAGCAGAAGCAGAAGGAGGATGAGGATGAGGAGGATGAGGGACAATCGCGGCAACAACAAGGCCAACATCACCGTTTTAATGGGGGGGCAGGAGGTGCAGAAGGGGAAAAAGGAGTAGAAGGACAGGTGAATGTCGCACTGTCGGAAGCAGGGTTCGGCGGTGTCAAGAGGCGGGCCACCAGCCCCCTGCAGCGGGACAGCGACGCTCACACACTCCATGTCGGCACATCCCTGGACCGGGAAGAAGGCGACATTGTTGACCGTGGTATCATAAGCATGGACACGGCGACGCGGCTCTTCACGCGATACACGATGCAGATGGCGCCGCTCCTGCCGGCGGTGGTGTTCCCGGCATCGACGACGGCGTGGGACTTACGTCAGCAGCGGCCCGTGCTGTTCCTGTCCGTCATGGCGGCGGGGGCGTCGGAGACGCCGCCGCTGCACAGCGCGCTGCAGCGGGAGCTCATGTCCGTGCTGGCTCACAGGGTGTTCCTCACGGGCCAGCGGAGCATGGAGATGGTGCAGGCGCTGCTGGTGTCGGTGCTGTGGCACTACCCGCCCGAGCGGCTGCAGGAGGCCAAGATCTACCAGCTGGTGCACGTGGCAGCTGTTGTGGCCATCGACGTCGGCATAGACAGGCGGGCGCCGCAGTCGGGCCGGGGCTCGCTCGACGGCGCGGGCACGTACTGTGGCTCCATCGAGCCCACCACCCTCGAGACGCGCCGCACCTGGCTCGCCTGCTTCTATCTGGCCTGCAGCACGGCCGTGTCGCTCCGCCGCACAAACTATCTCCCCTGGACGCCCTTCATGACCGAGTGCGTTGACGTGCTGCGCGGATCGCCCGACGCCGCCCCCACAGACCGCACCCTGTGCCACCTCGTCCTGCAGCAGCGCATGGCCGAGGACACGTCGCGCTGCCTCTCCCTCGACGACCCGGACATGGCCGTCGACGTCAACGACCCCGCCATCCAGGCCTCCATGCGCACCCTAGAGAGGTGCCTGGACGCCAACTGGAGGGACGTCCAGGCCGACGCCGAGCCTGACGTCGATTCCGGCGGCGAGGGAACCATGGCCGTCACCCTCGCCATAGGCCACAACTTCATCAACCTCCTCATGCACGAGGTCGTCCTGCACACACTGTCCCCCCCGCACCGATCCAACCCCTTGACGACCCATGAGATGTCCTCCGTGTCCACCTGCCTCTCATCCATAGACCGCACCCTCTCGGCCTTTGGAAGGCTCGACGCCCCTCAAATCAGGTGCCTGCCCACCTTTGTCCTGCTGCGCGTCGTCTTCTGCGCCGTCATCCTTGTCAAACTGTACTTTGTATCATCCAAGCCCGCCTCCGTTCTGGGCGCTGTGCTCAACAAGGCCAATCTGGCCGTCCAGCACCATCTCGATGCCCTCATCGACCGCTTCCGGGAGGCCTGCGATGATAGTCATAGCCGCCCCGCCGCCAAGTTCCTCGTCATACTCTCCATGCTGAGGGAGTGGTTCGTCAAGCAGGAGGATGCCGATGGGACCATCCCTCCTCCTCACCCCCCCGGAGACTATGCCTCCTCCTCCTCATCACCCTACCAATACTACTTTCACATCGCCACCCCCACTGCAACAGCAACAGCAGCAACAACAACAACAACAACAACAACAACAACATCATCATCATCATCAACAGCCGCCGTCCTCCCCCCCTCCTATACAGAATACACCGCTACATGTCTTTTTTGAAATCCTTCCAATACCGAAAGAGATATGGTTTACAATCCACCACCCTTAAACATCCCGTCAACCGTTAGACAACGGCAGTCTGCAATCACCTGCTACCAACGCCACCATACCAACCACTGCTGCTCAGCAGCAACGTAGGTATCAACAGCAGCACCAACCCATCACATCTATGCTCTTCGATTTTGCCCCTCTCAATGGTCCCGATATTCGCTCCCAACATGTGGAACACATACTCGTTCCCTGCTGAACCAAACGCTGGCACACACATGATGCAGTCGGATCCGTGGTTGGAGGATGGGGTCCAGGTTTTGACAGTATAGCGATTAGCCGTACTTGCAAATGACTTAAAATAGCCGCAGTCTCATGTCAATTTCTCGAGACACGCTCAAATAGACATAATCCCTTGTCAATTTAAGACTCTTAATACATCCGTTCATGCCGGGCCTGCGATGCATCACCAAAGAGTACAATTGTCAATAGTACACAATCTCGCCTGGTCATACGAGGAAGCAATTAAAAGAAAACATAATCACTTTATAAAACGCCCGTATGCCACCTGGAAACGCCCTTTGCTGTTTTTTTTTCCTTCATTTTTTTTTCATTGCCGTTGAAACCCTTTTTTTTTCAATTTCTTTTTCAAGAAAAAAGACACGGAAACGCCGCATGTTCGCTTCGTCATTTCTGTCCAGATAGAACAGGGGAAAAGCCCTTGTCTTGAAGGCCTCTGTTCCACTGGACTAATCATTTGTAAAATTCAATAAATGTCACGACATGCCCCGAATTAGTCCATGTAAAAGTCGCCCTTAAGAATACGCTCCTGAAAAGCATCGGGCTTCTTGTGCTTCTGCTGGGCTGTCTGGGGTGCCTGAGCCTGGACGGGGGCCGGTGGCATGTCCGAGACCGACTTGGCGCGATCGTGGACGGCGGAAAATGAGGCGCGAGAGGGGGAGCTCGCCATGGAGAAAGATGGCCGTGGGCCGGAAGACACGGCGCTCTCGGCTCGAGACCTAAGCTGCTCGGACCAGTTGAAGCCTTGCTGGTCTGGTCGCGAGGAGGCATTGTCAGAAGGGTGCTTTGCATGCTTGATATTGCTTGCCTGCGAAGAGTGTGGAGCAGTGGCGTTGCCGGTGCCGACGCTCTCACGGCGATTGGCGAGATAGGCAGAGATGCTTGCTCCCTGCTGGCTGGATCTGCGACCGATGCCGTTGCTGCCGGCGGGAGGAGGAGGGGAGTATGGGCTGGTATTACCATTACCGGGACTGCCGGCCTGACCCGGTCTGTAGGTGCCCCCTCGCATAGAACCACTGTAGCTCATGCGGCGGGTAAAAGGCGTGGTTGGAGGGGCCCGGGGGCCGGCGGCCTCGTCATCTTCGATGGCGCTCTCGTCCAGAGAGTCCGAGTTGTTGGAGTTGGCCGATAGGCTGCCGCGTCGGGCGACAAAGTTGGCGCCTGTCCCATTGGCGCCACCTGAGAGGCCTAGGGTGGTGATGGAGAGGCGTCGGCGTTGTGGGTCGGCAGGACCGTTGTTGTTGGAGCCGCTCAGTTGGAAGAGGTTGGACAGGGCAGCCTGGGTGATGGAGCTGCGGCGGTTGGTATCGCCGCCGTTGTGTGTGTTGACTTCGGACATGATCATGTGGATTGTATCTATCGTGGACTTTGTGCGACGCTGGCCTCTCAATGTGGGCGACGTCCTCGTCGTCCCTGCAGTGGTGGTCAAGTAATGTCTGGCTCTGGCCTCTCACTCTCTCCCTGGGATCGAGACTCAGGGTTGCGAGGAGGGTGAGCCACCGGTGTGGTTTGACGATGACGACGGCAACCGGCGGTTGGCGGCCGAGGTGCAGGGGGAGATGAAACGTTGGCACGGTTACGGTGTTGGCGGGGGCGGGGTGAGAGGATGAGGAATAGAAATCCTGGGGCAATGGGATGTGAAGAGTATATTGGGGGAGGAATAAGATAGATGGCGGAAGATGGAAGAAGAAAGGAGTTGAAGGTGGGAACATGGGGGAAGAGAAAGAAGTGGAAAGGAGAAGAGGGAAGAGTAAGACAGAAAGAGCTACTAGGTAAGACTAATAAGAGCGGAGAGCGGGGGCGAGATGGGGAGGTCTGGGGTGGCGTGGTGTGATGTAGGGACTGACTGGGATGGATCATGGATGTATGAGGCGATGCGGATGTACTTACAGAGCAGAATATGTTTAGTTTTGGTAGGGTACCGAGTTCTCTAGTAAAACTGCTTGTTATTCTGCTAGTATTTTAGTGTTGTCATAGTATATTAGCTACTACTCATACTGCTACGACTCGAGCACTATCACTCTCAGTACATACGAGTATAGTGTTTGCAGAGACCATCAACACCCTATAGTGGTGAGAACGTACAGCGTAATACCGCGAGCTGCAGCTCGTACGGAGCAAGTACTCGTACGAGAACGACGTAGCAGTATTATGGAGTACGGGCGGGGAAGGGATTTATAAGTGAAGGGACCTCCCAGGGACCTACCATTTTTAGTGTCAATGAGTGCCACTGGAATCCACGGGCTGCGCCGCACAGGGAAGGAACTGCGTGGTACGAACGGGAGGAGACAGGGAGCAGCCCCCCACAAGACGTCAGAGCTTCCTCAGGCAGACAGTTTTCAAGGATGGGAATCCTCAGGCAGCTGGTCTGTGAAAGTAATATTATTGCTGCTGCTCCGTTTCTCTCTCTATAATACTCACCTGTATGTACGGAGTACTCCGCAGTTTGCACGAGTCGCCCCAAACTCTCATGTGACATATCACGCACGGCAAATCAGTCTCAGGGCGACAAATACATACGCATTTTCCTTCTCTATATAAAGGATAGACAGATGAGAAGCCGGGGAAAAAAAGAGGCCTCCTTAGTACGATCACTCGTACGACCACTCGTACGACCGCGAAACCGCCACGAGAGAACAAACCATCACCGAGGCAAGGGCCAAGGGCCAAGCTCGCTGCCCACCACATGCATATCACATCCTGCGAGATGCGACCCTCCCAAGAGCCAAAGGACTCCACCACACCAACTTTCCCCCAGATCGGCACACTTCCCCTGCCAATGGCAATCGCTCGAATACTATAGCTTGAGCCGGACTCGGGACCAGTCATTGTGTGCGGCTACGTATCACCGTTGCGGGGTAATGCTTCTGTACCCTTTCCTCTGTCTATCTATGTACTTCATTACTTACGAGTCTGGTTGACCGTACATCCCACCATCCTTGTCCATGGTGTATGTGCTGGGTCGTCCTGGGCACCATCATCATCACCACCTCCATCAATGACGGCTTCATGTCCTCGGAATGCAACGCCGTAGTGTGTCCCCCCTCTCTCATCCATCTCTCCTCCCAAGTCCAACTACTTCTGTAAGGCCCGGACACTGAAGCTCGGGGCTTGCGACAGTTCAACGTTCAACCTTAATCAAGCTGAGAAATGCAAACGAGTCTCTCAATTCCACAATGCTGGGATTCGCTCTTACCCCCTCACCAGTTAATATTTCTCTTCACTATCTGTCTGTCAAGATATGACTGCTCTGCAAATCTCCCGACTTCATGGCTGTCCGCCTGATATCGAAAGGACCTTTCCGGCCCTTCCTATCCTCTCGTGCGCTGGTGCTCCTACCTCTCCATGCACACACACACTTTCTCGCCCCCGCAATGTGACACATTGCAGCCATCATCGTGATGAGAATTACAATTATATAGACTAAGAGAGGATGGAAGAGCAGTGCAGGAACAAGGGTCTGGTGGGGACATGTATATCATGTATGTACGCCTGTAGACATACACACGCATTCGTGTACGCGGCATCTCTCATGCACCTTTCTTGCGCTCCGCCCCTCCAGCAGCAGCATCAGACCTCCGCCCGCATAGTCCACACACACCACAGTCTCTGGAATTAACGTATCCCGCATCTCTGCATGACGGACGAGAGCACCGCCAACCGTTCCGCGCGGCGGTGGCGTCCACCACATTGGCACACATGCTGCAGGTGGTAGCGGCGAACGCGTTGGCATACGAGCAGAGGGGACATGCTTTGTTGTCACCGTCGCTGCTACTGCTGCTGTTCTTGTCCTTGGTCGCGTGATCCGGCGTATCCGCTTGTTCCGCAGCCCCTCTTGCCGCCGCCCCTTTGCCTCTGCCTTTGCTCCTGTCGTCTCCACTCCTGCTGGTGGGTGGTGCTTGTTTTGGCGGAGGAAGGGCCGGACTTGTGATGATAGGACGATGCTTCTCTTCCTGCCGATGCTCCTCCGGACTGATCCTGACCTCGGTGGGCGGTATCGAATAAATCTCCACCTCTGAATCCGAATCCTGCCGCGGCTCACGTTTGATGCCCGTGAAAACGCCCTGCAGCTCCTCCAGCTCATCCCTGGCCTCGGGGTCATCGTGCGCCTCCTCGTCCTCGGAGACCTTGATCATGGACCTGCCCTCTGCATCGACGAGGCGGTCCCCATTGAAGTCAACGGCGTCCTTGGAATCAACCAGGTCGTCATCACCCTCGTCGTAGTCACTCTCACCATCACTGCTGCAGTCGTCCTCGTCCTTGACCGTGACCTCCTCCTCCTTCTGCTGCTGACCGAAACGAGCCATCGCCGCTGCGGCGCGTAGTTCCCTCCCCCTTGCGCTCCCGGCAACGCGCGGCTTCCCCTGCACCTTCTTCCCCTTCTCGAGCTTCAACTTGGCCTGGTCGTCTGCGCCCAGGGGCACGCCGTTGGTCCCGAACTTATTTTGTATGCGTCTCGTCTTGCGCTCCTGGTAGCTAAGCGTAGGCCTGGACTTCCTCTTCCTCCCGCGGGACCGGTACGTCCCGCCGCACAGATGCTCTGGCAGCGCGTCACCGTCGACGACAGTGTCCCTCTCCCACCGGCCGGTGGACAGCGCGGCCCCCCTGCCCCAAATGCCGTCGCCGGTGTAGCCACGAGCCCACAGGCCGCGCATATCTTCTGCGTACCCGTTGCGCACGGCCCAAAAGGCGCGGGAGTGGTTCATCTGCTTGCAGTGCGCCAGCTCATGCATCATGACCATCTGGACGTACTGCAGGGGCAGCCACCGTCCGCCGGGGGCCTTCAGCACAAGCTGGATCACCTCCCCCGCGTTGAAGTTGCGGCCGACGAATTCCCGGTTCGTGGGAAACTCCTCCAGAGACATGACATAGAGGTGGTGAGAACGCATCACGGGGAGACATTGCGCTGCTATGCGCTCCAGGAAGTCTTGGGATGTTTGCGAGTCTGGGCCGGCGAGAGGCTTGATGAAGTTGATGTGTGGGTTTGGCTGCGTCTTGCGCGCATTGAGGCGTGTGATTCCCAGAGGCATGGCCTCTTTTGTCTTGCACTTTCTTTCTTTTGTTGTTGTTGTCGTTATTATTATGATGGTTCCGATGAATTATCTAACAAGGGACTGGTGATAGTGATAGTGATGAATTTGTTCGACACTGATACTAGTCGTGACTGTACCGTGAAATGTGACGTACCGATACGATAGCATGTGCGGTGGCCCGCTGTCTAGCTTCTCCACCCCCACCAAATTAGGTCAAACGAGAGATCCCAACACACACACACACACACACACACACACACACACATGCACATAACCTCTTCCTTCCCAGTCGTCATCTAAACAAAAAACGTGTCAGATCGCAATGGGGAGTCCAATACGAGAACAGCCGGTGTCGTCGGTCCCCCAATCCCTCTACACAGAGCTTCAACCGCCTCCATCACCACGCACCCACCGCGCCCTCCGTCGCCTCCAATCCGCCCACGCCCTCGGCGCCGCCCATCGCGCCTCCGCAGCCGCGGCCGCAGCCATAGGCGTCTCACCAGGCGCAGGGTCGTCGCTCATCTCTCAGCAGAGGCTCCAGCAGCAGCAACAGCAGCAGCATCAGAGCCAACAGAGAAATGCCGGTCCCGGAGGAGGCGCTGGTGGTGGCTCACCAACCCGCACTGTCGGCGCAGGTACTAGTCGTCAGCGGACGCGTGCCAACAGCGATGCCACGCCTCCGCTCATGCACCAGATGAGCATGAACTCTCTGGCTGCGCCACCGAGGACTGCGAAACGGACGGGACTGACAAAACCCGTCTTCTCGCATGGACATCTACCCCTTGCACATATCATACGCGACGGGCCCGCGGATGGGGACTACATTGGTGCTTTGGAGAGTGCGAGGTGGAAGGTTATCGACGAGGGAGTCAAGAGTGCAGAAGATGGCATGGTTGGTTCTCTTCCTCCCTCCCTCTCTCTTCGTAGCCCTCCCCCCCCTCACTATGCCTACTAATCTTTTACTTTGAAACAGTCCACCACGAGAATCTACGTCTGGCTCATCCTCCTCGACGCCCCCATCCTGTCGACGGATGATTACCTCTCCCTCGTCCACCGCGGCGCCTCACCAGTCTACTCGAAGATCCGCAACGACACCTTCCGTACCCTAACCACCGACCCTCTATTCCGCAGACGCGTCAGCGAGGCCAGCCTCATCCGCCTCCTCAACGCTGCAGCTTGGAAGCTCCACGACGCCAGGGAGGAGGACCGGCTCGCCTTCCCGCGACCCATACACCCGGAGAGCAGCAGACCGTCCATGTCGCGTCTCAGTCTTGCCAGCAACGCATCTGAGAGTTCCCAGAGTAGCTGATCCTCCCCCCTTCCCGCGCTCTCTTTCTACTACCATCATCATATGTGATATACTGACCCTCATGCAGAGCTAGAACAGGGTGTCTACGTCCAGGGCATGAACGTTCTGGCAGCACCTTTCCTGTACGCCGCCCGCAGCGAGGCCGAGGCCTTCGTGTCATTCCACACCCTCCTCACCCGCGAGTGCCCCGGGTACATCCGCGGTGCCATGGACGGCGTGCACAGGGGGCTCAGCCTTGTTGACAAGGTCCTCGCCATTGTCGACCCGAAGCTAGCAATGTACCTCACCGCCAAGGGCCTGTCCGCCGAGATCTACGCCTTCCCGTCCGTCCTCACCCTCTGCGCCTGCACGCCTCCCTTGCCAGAGGTGCTGCAGCTCTGGGACTTCCTGTTCGCCTATGGGCCGCATCTGAATATCGTGTGCATCGTTGCCCAGCTTACCATCATGCGATCGCAGATCCTGGAGTCGCCAAGGTATATCACGATACACGCATCCCTCTCTTTGCACTGATCACGTAGCTGACCCCTCCTTACAGCCCAAACAAAGTCCTCCGGTCTTTCCCTCAGCTCAATGCCAACCTTGTTAAGAGTGTCACCATTGGCATCATTAAGAAGATCCCCGATGAAATTTACGCCGAGATTGTCAACCACGCTCTATGATATCTCTTATGTCTTTTGTCTTTTTTGTGTGTCTCCGCAACGCATCAACGTGTCTTTACGCAGTAATGAGAAAAAGGGAGGATTGGGTATCAACGAGGTCATGGTCATAATGGAATAAAGAGAAAGGAATGCACTTATGATGAATCGCAAAGATCAACAACACGATGATTTACTTATCTCTATCCAGTAGTTACGTCAGTACTTTCTTTCTGCCAAGTGTGCTGAATGGGCAAAATTAGTAACAAAATATAAATAACGTATATACTGATTTCCTTTCTAGTAAGTGTATGATTGCCCACCGGCAACTTAAATGATTCTTGATGAGAGACGAAGAATCGAAGTGAAAGTAGAGATAAGAAATAGAGAAAAAAGAAAAGATCCCAAACGCTAATGCTGCTCTCAAAGAATAAACAAAAAAAAATAAGAATGCTGTATATGCCGACGAGTAATTCTATAATATGCATTGCCCATTTACTCTCCCCAAATCCGATCGTCTTCCTGTGATGCGTTTACTCGTTTTATGTATCGGAGGTGTTATGTGGTCCTCCATCGTTCCGTATATATGTGTCTCGTCAAGAAAGCATCGCTTATCTTATCCCCTCTAGACTGAATCAGTACGTCGGGCAGCCGCTCTCGGCACGGTGGAAGGCATTGGCAAAGAATTCCTGCATGGCTGTGTAGTGGAAGAGAATGCCTCCTAGTACAGCCGCGTGCCAGAGGTTGTGGCTGCCTCCAATGTAGTCAAACCAGCCGGGGCACCATCTCTCGGGGACCTTGCTGGCGTAGACGATGGCACCGGTGAGATAGACCATTATCGACTTGGAGATGGGCGAGTAAAAGTCGTAGACGAATTCCGGCCCATGTGTCACGTACAATTGCAAGATGGGCATGAAACCCGTCAGGGCGAGGCCTACATAGAAGGCAACGCGGAGCCACGCCATATCGGAACCATTAAAGCGCGGGTGCCACGGCAAAACCACGCCACCGATGCCGAGTACGGCCGACAGACCCATGTACATCCAGCGGCTCATGGGGTCACAGTAGAAGGCTGTGTACTCGGTTGTCATGATAGACGCCGCGATCAAGAGCGAGATGCCCGTGTAGTCGACGCACGCAAACATGGACATAGCGTTGATATCGGCCACGGCATTCATCGTGTGCCAGATGGTCGAGCACACGAGCGTCAGACAAGCCATGACAAAGAAGACGCCCGCCACAAGCACGTCGCTTTTAGTGCTGAGAGAAAAGTTTGGGCTGCTCGGGTAAAAGTACAGGGCCACAGCTAAGACCAGGACGAGCCCCAGGGCGTGGGACCAGATGTTGAAGAACTCGTTGGACAGGTTGAACATGGACCGGATGCACTCAATCTTGGATTCGTTGAACCGATAGCCCCGCCTGATGTGGGGGTTGTTCCGCCATGGCGTCGGCAGGTCTTCGTACACCAGCAGGCCAGTCTCCCTGGCCTGCACAATAGCCAGCTGAATATGCTCCTCAAGCGTGTAGGCAGCTCGACGGGCAACCTCGATACCGCCATCCACAACGCCTCTGGCTCTCTCAATACCCTCATTGGCCATGCGTCGGCCTTCGTCGACAAACACGCCTGCGGCGTTGGCAGCGTTGGCCAGCCCACGTTCGCGAAATTTGTAGACGCGGTGCTCAAAGTCACTGAGCATACCTTCGAGGATGTCGATGGCGATGTGCGCCTTCTCGTTGAGAGTACCGGTGGCTTCAAGTGTCTCGTGGTAGCGGGCCTCGAGCGTCTCAACCATGACATGCAAGCGTCGGCGGCCCTCGCCGATGACCTCTTCGGAGGCTTCGGAACATCGCGTGCGGACGGCTTGGAGTGTGATGTATGCGCGAGAAAAACTCGAGTCCTTGCTAAACTCGCCGTAGTTTTCTATGAACTGGAGACGGCGCTCTAGCTCAGAGAGGAAGAGGTCAACTTTAAGAAGAATGCCCTCGTCACTGTCCATGGTGTATCCGACAGTATGCTTGCGTCTGGGTATGTAGAATGAGTGTCGTCGCTTTCGCAAGGGTTGGGTACCGAATCTCAGATCAGAACCGGACGAGGATGCAACAGCCTCATCATCGTGGACACTGTCAGCACAGGTCGAAGTGAGGACAGTCGCGACGTCGCTCATGATTTGTGAGGGGTACCGGGGTAAGGGAATGGAAGGGCTGTACACGAGGTATCTGTCGCAAAAAAAAAAAAGGCGTAGCAACTGATACGAGAATCTTTTTGGCCTTGGGATGGTCGCCCAGCCGTTGTCAATCTGGGAGGCACGCGCGGGGACAGTGAGAGCCAATTGGCCGGTGCTGTGGTCGACGGTTCAAACGTGCTGCAGAGCGTCCGTTGTACTCTGCGGCATGTCTGATAAAGACGCAGTAGGGACGACGGTCTAGTGCGATAGCCAGAGATTGGCGATCAGAGGGGCAGGAGGACCGCAGTATCGACCGTGCACTTGTAGACGTTGAACCAGTGGCAGGGGCGTTAATATTGGTCGTGGTCGGAAATAGTTTTTTGAGAGGAAAAGAAATATCACAAGGGATGTAATGTAGTATGTGTGCGTGGTTTGTTTGTGAATTGTGTCGGACTGAACGGAACACTTGCGGAGATTTACTTCTTGGCGGCTCAGAAAAAAAAGGGTGTGCCGTCTTGTTGTCTCGGGGGTTTATTGCAGCCGTACAGGACACCAGTTATGTATTCCTTTGGCTTGCAGCCAATGGCGTAGTTTGTTGCGCGGCCTCGCTTACATTATTAGCTCAAGCCTGAGGAAATTTGCAGCAGCAGACTAGGTTCAGGTAGCGGGGGGGCTGATGTCGCTGTTGTCGCTGCTGTTGTCGGGCTGCAAGCGCTGCGGACGTAAGCGTCGTACTATCACCTCGGGTTTCAGGAATCAGAGGAGTCTTTGTCTATCGTCTGATTTACGGCGGAAGTACGCCTGGTGATGATGGAGTTGAAATGAAAGTCGACAAAGCTGGGGACTCAGAGTAATATGTGGATGTGTAGATGTTTTTTATTTTATTTTAACAATGACAAGAACGCCACTCGCAACTGTCTTCCACCGGGATATACATTATTACTGTATTACCGCTTGTTAGCGGGTGGCAAGGGTGGCAGGTGCCCGCCCGATAAACGGAGGTGGGATACGGAGTAGACGTGAACTTAAGGAAGGAGTGCCCCTCTACCCACCAAAACAGCAGGCATCGGTTCATAACTGCCGGGTACCTTCCCCAAGAAGCTTGATTCCATTGGCTTTGTCCTTCTCCGATCTTCGCCCTTGCCCCAACAAATCGCTGATATCTTTAGAGAACCACTGTTGAACGTGGTCCTTTCTCGCGCTTTCTGCAGTGATGACTTCATGAGCGGAACACTTGACTGATGCTGCCGTTACTCAAAGTGTGAGTTTCATTGGCCGGCATGAAACGCGATGCGCTACCGGTACTTGTTATTCTGCCCGGGCGTGTGTAGTGGCGTGGCGTCCCCATCCGTTTTCTTCTTCCAAAAAGAATGCACGTGACCGCTTTGATGTCGATATTTCATTTTCATCTTGATATGAATCTTGTCAAGTCTGAATAGCAGAGAATCACATGGTACGGATGGTTTTCTGTCGTTGATTCGTACCGGCACGGGTCCTGAGATTGAACGCCGCTGTTCCTATTCAACTTTCAATGATACTAACATGTAGTGTATGATTCATGCTGTCAAACATGTCAACTAATATGAGAACAAATGCGCGACAGATAGGGCCAAGAACCGTACTTCACCTACAAAAGGCACATCGTACCTATTCTCCAATCGTATTGTTTCAATCGACTTAGTCGGTTCAGTTTCGTCTGCGATATAGGGCGATGTGTATATTCAACGCTGTCGGTGCCGAATCGGCGCTGGGTCCGCCTGCTCTGTGATGACCATGCATGTACTCCAAATATCTTGAAAGCTTTCCTTTTTTTTTGCCGATAGAGAGCATTGTCTGCAGTAAACACCAGAGCGTTTTCATGAACACTCGTCTCGAATCGTGTTGATGTTGTCTTATGAGAACGCTAGCCATGACTACATCCGCACTATCACCAGAAGCGCCTCCGCCGCCCTCAGAAACGCCAGAGGAAAAGACGAGCCATCAACAACACCAACAACACTATCATCATCCCCAGACAACTCCAAATCCCGCTAATGGCGAGAATACCGTCCTGGCCGTCGAAAGTGGGCGGCCACTGCACTCGATCTTCTCCCCCCGGATGAAGAGATTCGTGATAGCCATGACCATCTTCGCTACACTTTTCTCACCCATATCGTCCTTTATATATCTGCCTGCGCTGACGCCCATCGCGGCATCGTACCACCGCTCAATCAGCGAGATCAACTTTACCGTGACGGTATACCAAATCATGCAGGCCATCTCGCCATTGTTCTTCGCCGACCTGAGCGACCAGATTGGCCGCCGCCCAGTCTACATGATAACTTTCACCATCTACACGGCCGCCAACATCGGACTGGCCCTCCAGAACAGCTACCCTGCCTTAATGGTCCTGCGTGCCCTGCAGAGCACCGGGAGCAGCGCCACCGTCGCCATCGGCAGCGCCATCGTCAGCGATCTGGCCACCAGCGCCGAGAGGGGCGGTTACATCTCCATCGTCCAGGGGACCATACAGTTTGCCCCGGCCATAGCGCCCATCCTCGGGGGCGTATTGACGCAGTATTTTGGGTGGCGGTCCGTCTTCTGGTTCCTCGTAATTGCCACAGCTGTGTTTGTCGTCATCTATATGCCATTCGTACCCGAGGTATGTTCCTCTTACTGACAAGAATGAAACCTCGCCCCCCCCCCCCCCTTTTTTTTTTCCCCCTAACATGTCCAACTAACTTCAACTGTCCAGACGGCGCAAAACGTCGTGGGCAACGGATCGATTCCACCGCCCAAGCTCAACTCTTCGCTGACGTCGTCTCAGCTAAGACCGTATGGCGGGAGAGGAATCTTAGATGCAGAGACTAACAGGGCTAGCCATGCTCCATCAGCGCCAAATAAGTTCAAGATTCCCGTACCCAATGTATGGGCTGCGGTATGCATCGTGTTTGAAAAGGACGTCGGCGCACTGATGCTCTTCATGGCTCTCTTTGTCATGGCCAACTTTGCCATCCTGATCCCGCTGGAGGACGTGATGCGCCGCGAGTACCACTTCAACGACCTGGAGGTAGGACTGTGCTACATGCCGTTCGCTGTGGGCGCCGTGCTGGGCGCCATCACGACAGGGAAGCTGCTGGACTGGAACTACGCCCGCATCGCCCGGTCCGTGGGCATGTCTCCCGATCGCAAGAAGGGCGACGACCTCCGCCAGTTCCCCATCGAGAAGGCCAGGCTTGACGTCATGTGGCCGTGGCTGGTGCTGGCCATGACCACAATCATCCCTTGGGGATGGGTCGTCACGGCGGGGACTAGCCTTGCCGCGCCGCTCGTCGTGCTCTTCTTTGCCGGCATGGGGGTCAGTGGACCCGTTGGCATTCTATCCACACTGCTCGTTGACCTTTACCCCATGAACCCCGGACGCGTGTCATCGACTTTCAACCTTACTAGGGCAACGCTGAGCGCCGTGGGCACCGCTGTCGTCCAGTACATCATCGACGCGTGGGGGTATGGGTACACGTATCTCTTCATGGGCCTGTTAGTTCTGTCTGCGAGTCCGTGCATCCTGATTGTCAGGAAATGGGGACCCCATTGGAGGGAGGAGAGATATCAGAGATTTCAAAAGGAGTGAAAGTGATGACAAAAAAGAGAGAGGGAAAGAGCTGATGCAGCAAAACGTCAAGTAGCAATCAAGCAAGACGGGCTTAGTTATTTCAAAGGAATAAATAGAACAAAACATAAAAATAAAGAATCCACATATTTCTGGTTGAGAACTATGTTTGTAAGGGATACTCGTCTTTGTTCTTTGTTCAGTCTGTAGCACTAACAAACCGGGTGTGACTGCAAGCGACCATTTCTTTGTGTCCACCAAAAAGGCCGGGGGGGTAAGCCCAATGACGGCACAGGCTCAACTTCAACCTTTCCAACCTCCATCCAGCCCACTTCACCATCCAACCCGTTCCTCGCGACAACTCTCCGTTGGAAATCCCTGACCACCGTCTGAGCGAAGCGATACCGCAAAGAGGAAAATGGCGATCGACAAACTCATCACGGACCCGACGCTGGTAGCAGCCGTCCAAATCTCGAACCAGTCGCGCGACCAAGCCAACAAGCTCATCGAGCTAATAAATTCAGTCGAGAGCAGTCTCAGCAGCAGCGAGACTACAGCGGAGGATAGCGCTGCCGGTGCTGCTCCCACACCCACACCGGAGCAAAAGGCCAAGGTGGCCAAGCAGCAGGCCCTCTTCCTCGCCAGCATCGCCCAGCTTCGCGGTGTGCACCGTCACGTCACGCTCGCGGCGCGCGACACAAAGGCCCAGACCGCCGAGGCGAGACAAGAGGTTGACAGGCTGCATTTGCAGCTTCAGAACTTGTACTATGAGCAACGGCATTTGCATGATGAGATTGCCGCGTGCGAGGGATACGAGTATGTTCTGCTTCACCACATCACTTTATCTTCCCCATCATGGCTAAGTGCCAGGGCTGACCGGAGGACTCCGATAGGCACAAATATCAACAGCTCCCTCTCATGCCGGAGGACGAGTTCCTGGCCAAGTACCCCGAACATGCGGACGATGACGAGAACACCCTCATGTTTGCGAGGATAGATGCCGAGCGCGTCGACAGGGAAGGGCTGGAGCAGCAGAGGCAGGAGCTGCTCAAGCGCAAGTCCAAACTTATTGCTGATAATAAGCGACGCAAAGACGATTTGGCTAATCTTGATAATGACCTCGAGAAGTTTATCGATGTATGTTTCTTCGCCCTTCTTCGATGACACCCTTGCTTTTTCTTGCTTTTTCTTGTTCTTTATTCACCTTCTACTACCCAGTATGATCTTGACTGACATGTATGTGTTACTGCAGGCCGCGAAGCCGATCCAGAAACTCTTTGAAAAGGAACATTAGATGCCAAACGAACACTTTTACCTTTTCTTCTTGCTTTGGGGGAAACTGACATTTTTAAAATGTGGCTTTTCCCTTGGGCTGTACATTTCGAACATCTTTTGGCCACCATTTCTCTTTTCTGGTACACTTCTGCACTCACACTACATATTTGGCGTATTGCGGACTTGGACAGGTGTTTAGGATAGCATTATGGAATCGCGATACCCTTCGATCTGACCCGCACTCGTACGACACATAGATACGGACACGGTGTATGAAAACGCCGACTGACTCTGAACCAAGTCAATGTCGACCGAGGTGACTCGCCGCATCATCGCACAGATAGAGTTAGATTAGATCGTACGTACGTACAGAGCTCTGAGGGTTGATGTAGCTCGAGGCAGCCATACTGAGCATATCGACCTTTGCCAACGCCGGGGGATTGCCCATGTCGGCGTCTACGCAGCTAGTAGGGCTCATGGTAAAGGACCGCTTGTACCTCAACGCCATCATATGGAATGCCCTCAAGGATAGGGTCAAGGAGCTCGAATTGGTTGAGATGGAGCTAGGACGTCCATCCGCTAGGTCAGGAAGTCGTCGTAGTCCCAGAAGAGACAGGATCATAGGACGTATATTTAGAACCCAAAGAATCCAAACGGCAATTACAAGTATACTGAGCCTCACATTTACTATGTGGTCGCTGTTGAGATAATATCACTACGAAGTAATAATATGCCTCATGATGAGCATCTGGCATGTTTACGAGTTCCATACGAGTACTCGTAATACGTGGCGTGGTGCATGCGATGCATGAACCCAAGCTCTCGGCTCAAGCAGCTGGCGATTCCTGGCCAAGCCTAATGTATATCTGCACGGCGTAATATATTGCTCTATATGAACTCGTCTTTGCATTACAGCGGCTCGGGTATTAAGCCTCAACCCTTGTCAGATCATTATAAGCATCAACTCATAGCCAACTCTCAAGAACTATGGACATTATTTAGAAGAAAGGAAGGAAACCCAAATTTACGACATGCACGGGCATGACCTCGAGCTAGGATTAAATCAGCCGCACAGACATATCGCCGGTTATACGGAGGACGAGGGACCATACTATGACCGAGCCCGTGAAATCTCTGACTGTTGCATGTTGCATATGGATGTACTCTTACGATGTATTATAATTTATAACATTGCCGAATCATGGTAGGAATACTCATACTCGTCCAGGTAAAGTGAATAAGTGAACGGACCACCAACATGGAAGAAGAACGGAGAAAAACAACAAAAGCGCCAACATCGGTTACGCTAAGGACTCCGTGTCTACACCCCCCCCCCCCCCCCCCTCAAGAGCTTCTTCATTTCCCAGGTGGATCTACGGAGAGGGAACCAATAGACAGTAGGGAATATCGGCATGGATAAATTGAAGATGACAAGGACCGTTGCGGGAGGCCCCTCAGGGAGGGAACCATTTTGGACTTGTTGGGAGTGTCCTAGTTATGAGCGGCTGCCAACATGGAAACGATACGAACGTACACATATTGTCCCTCCCCCCCCTCGCCCTTCTTCTCCCTCGGTTGGATTGCGTCGTCTACATATATTATTAGATTAGGGCACTTACTCGTCTGGTACATGTACAGAGAGAGCCGCCAAAAGGATAGGGTTAACGATGGATTGGATAATACTAGTAGAAGTATTAGTATTAGTAGTATTACTCGTACGCACTTCGAAACAGGTAGGACTGGAAAGCATAAAAGCCATCCGTAACACGTAGTTTCCTACGCACGACGGAAGGACTTTGCAGAGGGTATACAAGGGGTCAATACATGAATGATACTTCCCCATATTACATCGTAATACTCCGTATACTAACAACGGCGCAGGTGGTACAGGCAAGGGTCTGTTTCACACACAATGCTTTGTGCACGTCATTGCCGTACAGTTACCGCAAATGGAGATCTCGATGAAGCTCGTCATTACGCTACATTCAAGGAGACTAACCTGTTTCTCTCCGTTTCTTCATCCCTCTGGTTCCCTCTCTCTCGCTCTCTCTTATCACCGGACGACGGTGGGGGGAGGGAAGAGGTTGTCTGGTCTACAAGCATACCAGATGGTATCATTGAAGCTGAACGATGGTGTTGCTTCTATTATATAGTTGCAGCGACCAGAATCGCACTGTGCGGCACATGACGTATTGGTGCAGCAGCTTGTGCATTGGGACGCCGACGCCGAGGAGGAGGGGGAGGGGGAGATCGACTAGCCATGGCAACATATGGTGAGCTCTGGGCCAGTGAATATGCATGTGGAAGCATGAGTGGCAGCTGTGCATCATGCACATGAGTCGGGTCGAGTATGAGTTCTCTGCACTTCTATCCGTACTCTATGCCCAAGAGTCGAGTTATATTATCATGTAACCTCTGACTTTATTCTTTTTTTTTTATCTGATGCAGTGGGCGGCAAAACCCCCTAATTACGCTCTGCATACAGGAGCGTGTTATCGCTTAGTTGCTTTCCATAGAACTACTCTATTCAAGCTCATCATTCTTGTTTCCAACAGATACGGTCATGAGTGTGCGACGTGCAGGAGCAGTGACGAGGAAACAGACAGCATGATGAGATGGCCTGACAGCCTGATAAGACAGGGTTCCATCCTTGGACTCTCTCTTAGAGGTTGAGACCTTTGGATGGGCATGGCATGATGGTCAAAACTGGATTAATGACGATGGACCACAAGCAACAGGGCTCCAGACCGCTGGAGGCGATGCGCAGCGCTACAGTCTTCCAGATATGGCTTAGTGTCCGTGTGCGGATCTACTTGGGATTTGGCGCGGAAAAGAAAGGCGGGAAAAAAGATAAAATACAAACGAAGTATTGTTATTTAGCTTATGGGGTGCTCTTGGCATCCTGGGATTAAACAGGGTCTAGTGATTCTCTTCATAAAGGAACACTAATCCGCAAGATACTCTCTTAAGCATGGGACATTCACCCACCCCCCCTTTATTCTTCGTTTTGGCCGGCCAAATAGGCCAGAGAGATGGTCCCGTCCTGTCGGTTAATGGGGGCCGCCGCCTCGCACCCTCTCGCTCTTTCGCACCGAGGCAAGATTCGTATACGTCGTATGCCATTTAGACCTTGGTGCCCGGGGCACAGCATGATGCACATCGATTCCATACATCTCATTCATGACGATAACGCTGCCTCTGTGACCACGAGCTGGTAGGATCCGGCATGTCAATCGTCGCGTACGAGGTATAATTAGTGGCAATAGCGCGCGGCGTGATTGTCTTATACTATCATCCGCAGATAACATTGAAGCATCGTAGCGATTCATTCTGATCATCCTTGATGAAGAGATAGTATAATGGAGTGGAAAGCATAAGAAAAATGCTCTCTAGGAGGGAGAGCCCAATTATTTCTTAGCCACGGTGCGCCGCAAAGCCATAGCACATACTGGTACGGCAGACTAGCGCACTACAACGTAGCAAGGCCGCACGATACACACCTATGGGTGCCGTTCAACAGGCACGATGCCGGTTACAGCTCTGCGAGCAGTTCACGGGCGGCAACCCATTGACGCGTAGCTTTCATTGGCAGTGAGTGGGGGAGGGGGGGGCGGCACAGCTGGTCATAAGAGTGTGGGAGCGTCACAGCTCGCACCGCCGCAGTGGCATCTACGCAAGACTAGAGTAGTGTTGTAAGTCAGTACAGTAATACAGGCAGAATCACAATACCAATCAGTGTTACTATCCTGACGAGGAGTGACGAGTAAGTCCGCAACGACGACCCAGATGTTCTAGTACGAATGAATCTGCCAAGCCAGTGAGTATATCATATATTTTCAGCAGACTATACAGATTACGGTAGCGGAAGCGAAAGAAGGCGAAAAGAGACTCGCCCACATTTCGTACTAGAGCCTCGTACAGCCTATAGATAGCTCCCCCTGGTTCGGAGGCAGTGCCAAGACTTCAGGACCCTAATTTGCTACTGGGTGCAAATCTTGTAACTGCGACTATGTCACCCACCGTCCCACCCACCTGGCACGTGTCAGCACCCAAAGCACCACCACTGGCACCCGCACCTACATGTCAGTATTCGTATACTCGTACACATGCACGTACATGAGAGAGAGAGGGAGAGAGTGAAGAAACAAGGGGCAAGAAGGTAGATATATAGGTGATAGTAGTGCCCGAGAAGAAGACAATAAACCATCAATGCATCGCGCCTGCATGCTGTGTAAGTGTGTGTGTGTGTAGTGCTCCTTCTTTGTTATACTAACAAATCCCAGGAAGAAACAGCCATGGGCGTGGCCTCCTCAAGCAACTCTGTCGTCACTCATGCCAAGAGTGATCCAGGTATGCGTCACCTTCCCTGACCTTGTCCACCTTTCCCCTGGATCATCTGACGCTAACCTTAGAAAGGTCATCAGCCGGTGCCAGCTCTCTCTCTCTTCGTGTCTTCTCTACCCGTATTGGTTTCAACCGTTTCTCTCCTTTTGCTCTCTAGCCTCCCCCATTGTCTGTTCCCCACGTTTCCCTCCTTCCCTAATACCTTCCTTCCGCCTTAGACTCCACGGTTCGTACAGACTACTCACCTCAATCCGTCCTCCTTCAAGTATCTAATGGTTTGGGTCAAGTCGCCGCCCCTGCTCGTCGTCGTAGTCTGCTGCTGTTGCCTCTTGACGGGGTTTTCTTCTTCTTTTTCTTCTTTTTTTTTCAATATTTTTCCTGGTCACTATTCTATATTTCGACAAATACATAATATATACCCTATCCGCGTCGGGCCAGAGAAACATCCCGATATCCGACACACAACAAGACCTTCTGTCCCTGTACAGCTTTCCCGCTCTTCACCATGAGTCTCCTCGCGTGGTGTACGAGGCGTGTCGGCGGCCTGAGCATGATCGCCCTCATCATCCTCTGCTACTGGGTCATCACTAGGGAGTCGACGCTCCAGCGTCATGGGTACAAGTTCGAGCACCCAGAGACGCAGACGGCCTCTTACACCTCGACCCTGACCTCGGGCGCCGGCATCTGGACCTACGTCTTTGTCTACTACTGCATCATTGTTCACCTTGCCATCGCTTGCTTTCCCCTGCGCGCTTGCTGGGCCATGTGGGAGCTCGGCTCCGCCCTCTCTCGCTCTACTCGCGCCGCCCTCAGCGACTCTGGCAAGAAGGCCCCTATCACTCGCCGTGACTCGTACACGACCGTCTCCAGCTCTGAGACTTCGTTTTCCGACCGCTACGGTGCCTCGACCGCCTCGAGTAGTGAGATGGGTGATGTCGAACTCGAGAGCACCGAGATGTGCCCGGATGGCACCGGAAATGCCAAGACTGCCAAGGCCGCCAAGGCCGTCATCCACGCCATCATCCTCCCCAACTACAAGGAAGAAATCGACAGTCTAAAGGAGACTCTTGAGGTCCTTGCCTCGCACCCCCTAGCTCGCTCTTGCTACGATGTAAGTAAACCACCTTGATCTGTTTCCAGACAGGGACAATTCCAGAGTCATTCTGCCGCGAAGATTGGAGATGTGCGAGTGTGACACTGCATGTTGAGATCCCATTCGAACCTGCGTCAATCTCTTTTTTTTTTCGGCGGCTTCCCCCAGTCTCCAGTTTGTTTTTGGTTTAGCCAGGGCCATGTCAGCGCTAACAAACTATTTTATAGATCTACCTCGGTATGGAGCAGCGTGAGCAGGACGGTGAAGCCAAGGCTCTGCGCCTCATGCAGGAGTTTGCCAAGCAGTTTCGCTCAATCGACTACACGAACCACCCTGGTGATATCCCTGGTGAGGCTGCCGGCAAGGGCAGCAACATGGGCTGGGCCGCCCGCAAGCTCAGCGCAAAGTATCCCGCCGAGAATCGCAAGAACGTCATTGTTACTGGTATCGATGGTGTGTGATGTCCTCTCTACAGAACAATGGGCAGTGAGCGCAGATGTCTAAGACCTGCGCCACAGCCGCTTTCTTTTTTCTTTCTTTCGTACGGATATAGCTAACGTCATTTTTGCCTCCAATCGTTTGTTTAGCCGACAGCCATCTCGCAGCCGCCTACTTTGCTCAGCTCACTGATATGCACATGTCTTACCCCGAGACGGCCAGCACCACCCTCTACGCCGTCCCGATCGTTTTTGACCGCAATGCCCACGATGTCCCCGCCGTTGTCCGCGTCGCTGATATCCTCTGGACCGCTGGTGGGATGTCTGGTCTGTACCGTGGTTCCACGATCGCCCCTCCCACGTCCGTCTATTCCCTGTCTCTCGACCTCATCGACCGTGTTGGCGGCTGGGACTGCGACGCCGAGGCCATTGGCGAGGACCTGCACATGTACGTCAAGTGCTTCTTTGCTCTCAACGGTAACTTGACCTGCCGCACCATTCTCAGCCCTGTCAGCCAGAGCAATGTTACCGGCGGTGGCAAGGGCGGCATCCGCGGTCTTTGCATGGACGTCATGGCGCGCTACAAGCAGGCCCTCCGCCATATGTGGGGCTCTCTGGACACTGGTTTCGCTATCCGTAAGGGCATTGAGATGTGGCAGGACAGGAAGCAGACGACCCGGGCCTACCGTCCCCTTCACAGGTCTCACGGCGACAACTCGGAACTGTACTTCCCCGGCAGCCAGGTGTGCGGCGACGATGCCACTTCCCAGCACCCCCGTGAGTCCGGTGTCTTCTCCGATGTGAAGCAGGAAACGGTCGAGGAGCCAAACCTCGAGAAGCTCTGCTACATTGCCCACCGTCTGTACGAGGCCCACATCATGCCCGTGCACATGCCCATCTTCGTCGTGGCCTCGACCATCTTCCTGTACGTCACTGAAGGCAAGGAGGATACGGGCAACCTCCACTGGCTGCTCGAGATCTGTGGACCTCTGCGCGCCCTGGGCTTCATGGCCGGTGCCGGTTACATCTTCTTGTACGAGCGCTACCACCACGCCTGTGTGGCCATGCGCGAGAAGGAGATGAAGGATGCGGGTCTGTACCAGGGTATGTGCTTCTCGCACCGCTCATTCCGCAACAACTGGGGGGACTACGCCATGGTGCCCATCGTGGCGCCCCTGTATGGTGCAATTCCCTGCATCCAGGCCGAGGTTTCGCATTTCTGGACCGCAGAACTCGTCTACACGGTTAGCAAGAAGGTGACAAGGCAACGCGCCCAATCCGTTCACGACGCAGCAGCAGCTCTGGCATGAGCTGTTTCCTGTTTTTTTTCTATTCTTCTCCTACCCCAAGTCCTTTCCAGCATCTCTCTCGGCAATCCAGCGTCTCATTCCTCGCCCTTCTTCACAAGATTGTTCTCCTGATTGCTGCACAAAACAATAATAGTTTCTAACTTCTAATTTCTTTTTCTTCCTTTTTTCAACCGATAACGACATTTGTCATTCGGTGAAATCTTCGGAGCAACACGTGTGTATATAGAATGGGTAAGGTGTACCTTTTCCCCGGTCTTGTCCACTGTGCTTCGGCATCAGCATCAGCATTGGTATTGGCGTGATTTGTACTTTTTCGGTGTCCTTTTTTTTTCATTTAGCTTGAACCCTTTCGGATTTGTTGTACTTCACCTCATCTCCTTCTTCCTTTATCCGGCGCTTTCTTCTCTTTTCTTTTTCTCTTTTACGGCGCGACAACACACAAAGACTGGGGTTTACAGGGCACACACATATATTATTCAAAGCATTTGAGTGTTAGTTTCACAACCAAAAAACGGCCGAAAACTTTTAGATCCGCCTACAGCTAACAACAATAAAAATTGCAAAGAATGGAAGGCGAAGGACGGGAAACATGCCTTCTTTCTTGGAGAGAGGGATTGTGTGGAAGGGGAGGTCACCAATCGCTAATATTGCTAGCTTGGGAGTCTGGCGGCACACAACCTATGATAACTCCATTTATGATAAACTTCATATTGAATTAGTTCACCCATGTCTCGGTACTTCATCAAACCTTTGTGACAATGATCGTTGGTGTTGATTATTAGATGGTCCAGCTTGCAGGAGATGATGACAGGACGTACGAGCGCAGCGAGGAGAGCTCCCGGCAGAGCCACCGGAGGCATTACTACTCTAAGCACATAATCAGCCACCACATTAGAACTTAAGATCCGAAGGAGACCGGATGTAAAGAGTGAGGCCCCACCACACCGGTCCAAGTGACCGCCATGATTCCGGTTGACCTCGGGTTCATAATGGTATACTGAGAACGGGGGCACGGGATGATAGATATATAAAGGGCCTCGGACGTCCTTCGATATCTAAATGACAACAAGCAGAACATCACCATCAATCCACTTCACCACCCTACATACAAACACAATCGCCTCACAGACAACACCATGACCACCCTCAACATTGGCGTCTTCATGCCTAACGGCGCGCAACTCCTAGACATGGCAGCGGTCGACCTCTTTGGCGTAATGGACAAGTCGTACCTGGAAGCCGTCCAGGCCATGCTCCCCGACGAAGCGCTGTGGGCCGTGGCCCCCATCACCAAGTTCCACTATATCACGACCCGCGCCGTGGGATCGCACATCCAGCTCACGTCGGGTGTGTCCCTCAAGACGACGAGCTTCTACGATGAGGAAACCGTTGCCCCAGGGAGACTAGACGTTGTCGTGGTCCCTGGGCCAGACCCCGCGAGCACGTACGAGCAGGGCGCGCTGGACTGGCTCCGTCGCCACGCTGAGACGTCAGGCGTGGACATCCTGAGCATCTGCACGGGATTATACGTCTGTGCTGCGGCGGGGGTTGCCGATGGCAAGAAGGCTTCTGGCCCGCGAACGTCGCAGGCGGATCTGAACAGCAAGTTTCCCAATATCAAGCTTGTGGGGGATAGATATCGGTGGGTGCAGGATGGGAATTTTTGGTCTAGCGGTATGTCCTTGTCACACACTCTCTCTGTTGTGTGTTGGGCTAAGTGCTAATGATCGAAAAAACGAAATTTAAGGTCATGTCACCAATGGCAACGACATGGTTGCTGCGTATGCCAGGGCTAGTCCACGATGGGAATCCCCTCTTGTCGAGTTTGGACTTTCTGTCATTGGGACTGGAGACCGCCCTCAATTATATGAGTAGATGGAGGAGAAGGGGGATATGTATATGAATCTGAGAAGCGTACCCCTCTAGAAATGAGGATAGAAGAGTGTTGTTGACGATGGTGCGAAGGAAAAAAGAGGGGGAGACGACGTGGGAAGACGGTAGACAAAGACAAGAAGAAAAAAAGACAAAAGGCGGTTGCTGAGACACCAGAATGCCAAGACTAGATTAGACGCGTTATCGCATCATATGAGTGGTCGGGCGCTTTTATAGTGGGGCAACCTTCCCCAATCAGCCAGAAAAATTTCTAGACAGAAAGAAAGTCTGGACTTTTTTTTTTTCCTTTCCTTCACCTCGTCCGTGAACCTCTTCTCTTTCTCTTTCTCTCCCTCAATCACATCCTCTCCTTTTCCTTTCTTTCTTGCCTCTGTTCTCCTTTTAAAGTTTTAGAGAAAAGAAAATCAAGAGACTCAACTTTATCCCCTTCGCAATGTCTATCCTTTCTGGTCCCGTTTACGGCCTCGAGGTCCCGCCTGGTGAGGTCCTCATCCCGGCCTCTATGGACTTTCCCGCTTCGGTAAGTCGAGCGCATGACTGTTTATCTTCTGGCAGCCTAGTCTGTCTATGCCTCTAGAGGTTATATCTTTTTCAATCTTTTCTTCTTGTTGACAATTCCTCTCCCAGTTCCGCATCACAATGGCTGCCATTGACCCTACTGAGGAGGCCGAGGCCGACGAGGAGGGCAACGTCCCCGCCCTCCCCCGTTCCACCCTGCGCCTCGTCAAGCGTGCCTACCCCGGCCTTGACGACGAGGAAGAGGACGACGAGCTTGACGAGGAGACCCTCAGGGCCCTGATCGACGCCAACAACGATAGCGACGACGATGAGGATGACGAGGAGGTCAACGGTGGCCCCAGCGACCCCGCCAAGTCCAAGAAGCAGAAGGCTTCGGCCGCCATCAAGAAGCTCCTCGATCAGGTCGGCAGCGACTCCGAGGACGAGGACATGGAGGACGCCCCCAACAGCTCCAAGTCCAAGAAGGCCAAGGCCAAGGCCGAGACCAAGGGCGAGACCAAGGCCAAGGCCAAGGGCAAGGCCAAGGCCAAGGCCCCTGCCAGCGAGGACGAGGACAACGATGAGGAGGAGGACTCTGACGATGACTCTGAAGATGGCGCTGACCTCGAGAACTTTGTTCTCTGCACTCTCGACACCGAGAAGGTAAGCACTATCTCCCTCTGTATGGAAAAGAAAAGATGATATAAGAGAAGGGGGAGAGGAACAACGGAGAAGAAGAAGTAGAGAAGAAAAAGAGAAAAGGAAGTAAGAACGAAAGAAAGAAGAGAACTAACAATCACCGCAGCACTACCAGCAGACCCTCGACATCACCGTCGGCCACGGGGAAAAGGTCTTCTTTGTCGTCAGCGGTACACACACCGTCTACCTCACCGGAAACTACATCATGGACGACGAGGAGGACGAGGAGGATGAGTACAGCGACGAAGAGGGTGACGAGAACTACAGCTTCTCTCCCCGCGAGCTCGACTTTGACTACGAGTCGGACGAGATGAGCGACGACCTCGAGAGCGACGACCTCGACAACGTCGCCGACCCCCGTGTCACCGAGATCGAGGACGAGGACGAGGCTCCCAAGTTGGTCGAAACAGCCAAGAAGAACAAGAACAAGCGTTCCGCCGACGAGGCCGAGTCACTCGACGACCTGATCGCCAAGTCGGACGACACAAAGCTCTCCAAGAAGCAGCAGAAGAAGCTCAAGAACAACAAGGGCGAGCCCGTCGCCGCCGAGGACGCCAAGAAGGACGCCAAGGGTGACAAGAAGGTCCAGTTCGCCAAGAACCTCGAGCAGGGCCCTACCGGCTCCGCCGAGAAGGCCAAGCAGACGGCCAAGGGCAGCGTCAAGACTGTCCAGGGCGTCACCATCGATGACCGCAACCCCGGAACCGGCCGTACGGTCAAGAACGGCGACACTGTTGGTGTTCGCTACATCGGCAAGCTAGCTAACGGCCAGCAGTTTGATGGTGAGTCCTCCTTCGACACGTGTGGCACCGCTACACGAGGAATCAAGTGCAATCCGAGTGCTGACATTTCTTTCCTCCCCCACCTACAGCCAACAAGAAGGGCAAGCCGTTCTCCTTCAAGGTCGGTAAGGGCGAGGTCATCAAGGGCTGGGACATCGGTGTCGTCGGCATGGCCATCGGTGGCGAGCGCCGCCTGACCATCCCCGCTCACCTTGCCTACGGCTCAAGAGGCATGCCCGGCATCCCCGCCAACAGCCAGCTGACCTTTGACGTCAAGCTCCTCGAGATCAAGTAAGAACCCTCGAGGGAGATTTCGAGATCGGTCACCGATTAGGTCCCCCCTCACGTCGCGTGTGTGTATACTTGATATGCTTTTCGCCTTGGTTTCCCTTATCTACTATTAGTACCCTTTTTTTATGATGAAATGTTCTTTTTTTTTTTTTTCACGAAGCCGAAGAACTCTTGGACCGATGACCTGCCCATTTGGCAGGGAACCGGGATAGACTGATCACTGATTTGCTATAAGGGAGGGCAATCTAGTAGACAAAGGCGTTCGGACGAAGAGAAAGAAAAAGAAAAAAAAAGGGATGTTCCTATGTACTCGTCTTTTTCCTGAGTATCATCGCTTTGAGAAAATGTCCTCTGGACTGGTAGTTTGGGGCTTGCCATTTTTTTTATACTATGATCAGTTTTTTTTCTTCTTTTTCTCTTTCTTCTCAACCCTTGACTCCCCACGTTCCTTGCAATTGAATGTATAAAAGTCAGTAGGAAGCATGTTTAGCACTGAACTTGAGGCTATCATCACCAATTCTTCAGGTAGTATTCTGACAAGCGTCTAGAAATAACTTTTTTTTTTTTCATTTCTCAAAAGGAAAGAACAATCCGGTTTACCTCTTTCTAAGAAAGATTTTAAAAAGAGTTTAGGAACAGGAAGTAGTCAATCAGTATTACATATTCCTGCTCATCAGATGCAACAACGGCTTGCCATTTTGCTCCCAGCCTGATTCTCACGAAATGCTTCCCATCTACATATCAACGACAAGCACCATCTTATTTACCCACCGAGGCACACTGCCTACTTTCTTTTTCTCTTTCTTTCTTCTAGGCGTCAGTCATTCTTTTTTTTCTTTCGCGACGCCGGTATTTACCAACAGATTCGTCTATTCACACTCTTTACCAAAGCCCGAATCCCTAGTCACCAATACCATTCACAGTCCTTCCCTTCTTCATCCCAACCGCTTTCAAAGTATAATGCGGCCCGCCATCTTTAGCCCTCGCAACAGTCCCGTCCTCACACACGTCAGTGAGGAGCCACCGTCTCCATGCTCCCATGGTCCCCAAAGTTCACGTTCATACCTGGATCAGCAGGAAAACACGACACTTGGCCCAGGGCCTTACAAGCTGAGAGATGCCGGCTCTAGAGTCTGGTCAGACCTCCGTGGTGTTATCAAGGCCACACCGAGACCCAACCAGAATGGTGTGTAAACTTCCTTACAAAATACAGCGCGTTGGATGATAGCTTATACCGTTGCAATGAGATGTGAAAAGTCTCCGAGGTTATCAGCATCGTCAATAGTCCAAGTTCGGCACTGGGACCAAGTTCTATATCTGTTGATGTGTCGGCGAACGATGAAGGCAACGAGAACGCTCAAGAGACGTACATGCCAAAGTCCAGCATGACGTGGGACCTCGTACGCAAACTGAAACGAATCAGCCTGGTGCCGAATCCTACAGTCGTCCTTCGCGACCTTCCAGGGGAGCGTCGGAGTTCAGTCCACAGCCCAGTTCACGTTCACTCGGTGCCCTCGAGCGAGGCCAGCAGCCCGCCTCAACCGGACCAAAGACGGTCAAGAAACAATGCCTCGGGGAACAGCTTCTTTGACTCCCGCATATCCATTGTTGCCACAGACCTGCTTTCCAGGCGACCCAGCCAGCAAATTTACCATCCTTGGACGAAATCGAATCCCGAGCTCTTCTGGCGTAGGCATGAGAGGTCGCCCTTCGGTCAATTACATCCAACTGTTGCCACCGTTGAAAAGACAGCTGCAGCCAAGATATTCCTCGAGACCTACTTCAACGAGAAGCTCCACAAGAAGAGCCCTCGAGCCATTCGGAACCAGTACTTGGAGACACAACTGTACTATAGCCCTCATCTTTCCGAAGAGCAGAAAGCCGGCATCAGGATGTCCTTCTAGACCCAGGAATCCTGTACCATGAGGAAACTCCGGTCTCTCAAATCCAGGATTCCGGCTCCAGGCTCATGTGCTATGCATACGGATCCTTATACCGAGCACTACGAACCCATCAAAGTGCTGGGCAAAGGAAGTTTTGGTGTAGTCAGATTGGTGCAAGAGAAACTCCAAGAAGGGGAGCCTGTCCGCCCAAGACAGGTGTTTGCGATGAAAGTCATCCGTAAATCAAGCATGCTCCGTAGCAACCAGGAAGGTCACCTCCGAGCCGAACGGGACTTTCTCGTGCAATCTGAGGGTGCAAAATGGTATATGAAAATGGGCAGGCCAAGCCCGCATGCTACTTTCATTCAGCCAGTTACTGACACCTCATTAGGATTATTGCTCTCGTTTGCAGCTTCCAGGATCTGTCTAATCTCTACCTAGTCATGGAGTATATGCCTGGAGGTGACTTTCTCAGCCTGCTCATACGGGAAAGCATCCTCCCGGAAGCTGCTGCTCGCTTCTACGCCGCAGAGATGATTCTTGCGGTTGAGGAAACTCACCGGCTGCGATTTATCCACAGAGACATCAAGCCCGACAACTTCCTCATATCGCATTCTGGCCACCTCAAGATATCCGACTTTGGCCTTGCCTTCGACGGCCACTGGTCGCACGACACCTCGTACTACAACTATCACCGCAACTCTCTGCTTACTCGTTTCGGCCTCGCCGTCGACGGTGACCATACCGACAGGAAGGAGAGCCGCCAAATACAGAAACAGATTGAGAAGACGCAGAACTTGATGGCGCTGTTTGAGCGCTACGAGATACGAGCGGATTCAACCGATGGAAGCCTCGAGGAGCTCATCAACTGGAGGAACAAACACAGCAATCGATCATCGGCCCATTCCATGGTAGGAACAAGTCAGTACATGGCTCCCGAGGTTGTCGGGGGTAAGAAATACGACGGGAGATGTGATTGGTGGAGCATCGGTATCATTCTGTTTGAGTGCCTCTATGGACATACTCCCTTTCTCTCTGAGAAGGGTCGCCAGGAGACAAAGCAGAACATTGCGGTAAGCATACCTGAATCTACGCATGGCTCTTTATGTACCTTCTAACGCCCAAGGCTATTCAGGACCACGAGAGTAACTTCTGCTTCCCATTGCAGCCCTATGTTAGCGATAGGTGTAAAGATCTTCTATATCGACTAATCCGTAACAAGGACAGCCGCCTCTGTTCCCGACGGTACCGGACAAAGGAACACAATCGATTCGATAGAAAGAAGCATACTGATTCCATGGGAAATCACGTCTTCCCAGATGACGCGGAAGACATCAAGTCACATCGATGGTTCAAGAATATTCCATGGGATCGACTCGACACACTCACGCCACCTTTTGTCCCCGAAGTCTGTAGGCCCGATGACACGCGATACTTTGACGAATCTGGGACGGTTGATGATATGTCTGGCTCGGAAGACGACGATGTGACTCCCTCACGAGAATATGCCAGGGATATGTTGAAGGAGTTCTCGTTGGATTTCCAGAACCTCGCCATGAATCTCGTGGCCAAGCCGTATGACACGGCCAGGCTGCGCAGCATCGATCATCAGATTGATATCTCGCCAAAGGTCTCGCCGTCGCAACGGGATGTCCTCAAGAAGTTTGTTCGAATGTGCGGGGCCAAGGAACCCAAGAGAGCCAGGGACAAGATTCTCCGAGATGAGAAGGTCAGAGACATAGCCATGGATATGAGGAAGAAGACGGCCTTTATGGGATACACGTGGAAGCGAGTGAGGCCAGACAGTTTCACGGCGTGGGCTTGAGATGGGCGTCCTTGGGAGGTGCGAAGGGGAAGCTAAGCTTGGGATTATCATGATTAATTATAGTATAAATAGGAGAATTAGAAGTTTTACGATATGAGTATGCAAGTATGCATTATTATCTTTCCATCATCTCATCGTGACTTGGCCTCTTCGTCATCAAACTCACCGAGCGTGGCGAGACTGCCCGACGCGGCAGCCTTGGCATTGCGAATCTCCCACTCGAATTCAGCGAGGTTACGCAGTTCAGAGGAGAAGAACAAGAGGGCGAGAAGGCCATTGATGACACCTGACACCAAACCCAGTGTAGACACGAGGAGGAGGGCAAAAGCGACGCCGTTGTGTGGGCTGAACCACACAGCCACGAGACACCCGATGAAGATGACGACGGAGGCGTAGAAATGAAGGCCGCGCCAGGACTGTTCGCGGAGCTCTCGCGTCCTACACCGATCGATGAGGGTGATTATCTCGTCGTACAGGGGGAGGGTGCGAGCAGGGTCACGAGCGGGGCGGTGGCGAAGCTGGGCATTAAAGTCCACGTCTACGACGGGAGGGGCGGTTGCCGTCTCTGAGAGGGAGAGATAGGTCCCGGAACGGAGGGCGTGGGAGGGGTCAGCATTGCTGTTTCTGTTGCTGCTGTTCTCTGAGCCGGGGCTATGTCTATGGAGGATGGCGTGGACGGCATAGTGATCTGACAGCGAGACCTGGAGGTCCGGATGGCGATGAGTCATGGCCACGGAGGCGTCCTTGACCACCCAGGCTGGTCTGCTCGGCGATTGCGAGAATGGGGATGGAGAGTGGCCGGTAGAGGCGAAGATGTAGTCCAGGCGCTGGCCGTGGGGGTCAGGCGCATCCGGGTCGACGGGGCAGGGGTTGCGGGCCGACAGATTGCGGCGGTCGGCCTTGGACCAGCGCCAGGTGTTGGAGACGTTGTTGCTCGTCGCGCCGTTCTCGCGCAGGTTAAAGTCGACGGTCGGGACGGGCCGGCCACGTGCCGCCTCGCGGGGGTGGCCGGACGAGCCCAAGGAGCTGTCCGGGTGGAGAAGGCGCCAGACGTCATGTACGGGGGCGTGCGAGGTGATGATATCGTGGGCCAGCGAGAGGGGTAGCATGTTGAAGTCGCCGAGCGCGACGATGAGGTTGCGGTCGCCGCCGGCCGGTCCCCGGTCCGCCTCACGGAGGAGCTTGGCCATGTGCCACGCCTGGGCGGCCGAGTGGCACGCGTACCCGTCATCGCGGGCGCCGTACGAAGCGTGCGTGTGCGTGTTGAAAACGTCCACCATCACCGCATCCTCGTCGTCATCACCACCATCGCCACCGCACCCCCCGGCATCGCTTATGCGGATCTTAGCGTGCGCGACCCCCTTTCCGACGTACCAGTCCCCATGCCAGAAGGCGGTGGGACGCCCGTTGAGCGGGTACCCGTGCATGGAGCTCTCGACGATGGGCCAGCGGCTCAGGATAGCCAGGCCGCCGCCGAAGGCGCCGCTGTGGTAGAACTTCCCGTGCGGGAGCACGTCACGCACCCGCCGCCTCAGGACCGCGTAGTCCTCCTGCGTGAAGAGCTCCTGCAGCCCGACGATGTCCGGCGGCCGCGGCGTCATGGTGGCCAGGCTGTGCGCTATGTACGCTATACGCTCATTGCGCAGCGCAGATATGTGCAGGAGGCCCCAGCAGTTGAGCGTCAGGATGTGGAGGTCCGACGGATCCCGGGGGGCTTCCTCCAAATCTTCTTCCATTGTTGCCAGACGTTGTTGAGATGCAAAAAAATAAAGTAAATAAAAAAGTAGGTTTGTATGAAGCAGGGGTAGAGCTGCCAAGATGAATACGCCTTCAAGTACAGCTTTTTAACTTACCCTGCAGGATCGCATTTGAAAATGACCGTCCGACATCAATCAAGCTCACGAGCATCAAAACAAGTGTATAGAACAATGATTAGAAGATAGCAAAAGAATGTCAATAGCTAATGCATACCCAGTGATTGAAATATCAATAGGGAAAAAGTACTCCATCCTCCTAACTCTATCTCCTTGCCTTAAAACCAGTCCCATCTCTCCTGTTCTTTCTCCCTGGAAAAGTCCCCCGTCTCGTCCGGCAAACATATCCTTCTCTTTATACGCGTGTTCTGAATCACCAGGTAATTATTATTTTCCCCTGTTATGAGGACTCCTGCAGAAAAAGACGACGAACACACAGAACAAAAACCGCTGAAAGAAGACGCAAAGGGCGTCATCCAGAACAGCAAGGTAGAAAAACAAAAATAGCATTGGAATATTGATTTTGTTTTACGACATAATAGCAACAAATTATTCATCCCGCTTAGCACACAATCTCCGAGTCCTTGCCCTCCTTTTTTGTTTTGCAGATAGAAATGTAGAACCAAAGAAACCAGGAACAATAGGGAATGAAAAAAGTAGATTAGAAAAGAGAGAAGAAAACAAGAAAAGAATGAAGAAATTAAGACATCATAGGTTTTCTCAGTTGCCATGCTGCTAATTCGTTACATGCGGTGTTTTTCCGATTCTGTAGAATTTATTGGTTAGAATGGAGGTTACATGTACTAGTAGAGGCCAGGGTTGTGGGATGATGCATAGGGCTTACCAAGTCGGGAGTAGAGCATGTAAAGAGCCATGCGGTTGCATTCCTCAGTACCGGTGACTGTCACGAGGCGCTCATTGCTGCTGTCCTGAGGTTCATTGATCTTGATGACACTACCGCTCATCTGGCGTATCTCGTTAATCTTCTGGCCGCCCTTGCCGATAATGGCCCCCACCATATCGTTGGGGATGTATATCTGCTGGGTGATCGGGCCACCGGGTATGCCGCTCTGCATGGGCTGGCTCTGGGCACCGCCGGCGTGAGGCTGGGGGGCGCCTCCGTGGGGACCGACGTGAGGTTGGACATGGGGGGCCGCAGCGCCATATGCCGCCGCCGGCTGAGCACCGTACTGGACAGGCATGGCCGGGTTGGCGTGGGCGCCCGCGTGCGGCGGGTACTGCTGCGGGTAGGGGGCCGGCGCCATCTGCTGCTGGGTTCGACGGTCATGCTGACGGTAGTAATTGTCGCTGCGGCCGAACTGGCCTGATGCGGGCTGGGGTGAGTAAGGAACTACCTGCATGCCTCCCGGGATCGATCCCGCCGGCTGTCCGCTTCTCGTCGCGTAGGCCGACGCGGCCGGTCCGCCAAAGCGGTCGTTGAGCTGCTCCAGAAGCGTGCTGCCAACGTAGTAGGTGGCGATGTGCACGGCATCAGCCACGCCCATGACAACCAGTGACCTCTCGCTGGATAGGGGAAGGCACGAGTCGGACGCGTTAAGTCGGGCACCAGAGGCCTCCTGAATTTCGCGAATACGAGCACCACCTTTGCCAATGATAGACCCAATGAGGACATGTGGAATCAGCAGACGGAGTGGGTATGTCTTAGATGAGGCCGTCGAGGCCTCACCCAGGGGCTCATTGTTTAGCGTGCGAATGATCAGGCCAAAGGCCTATTTGATCACAGTTAGCTGAGCGCTCACAATGAGAAGGGAGAGCAGCCCCTTCAAGCTATTTTGTCTCGGGGTCACTACTTACCTTGGCGGCAGCATCTACTATGCCGCTGACGGTGAGGATACGCTCGACAGCTCCCTTCTGGTAGTCACTGACAGTGCATTTGGCATTAGACAGCTTCCTGATGTTGGAGACATTCTCGCCACCCTTGCCGATGATCGTGGCTGCCTCAGGACTGGAAATAACGGCGCGGATGTGAATCCAGGACGTCTCGTCGTGGGCGGCGGCGGAGTTCGTTGCTGTCTCGGATGTGGACGCGACGGTGGCGGCGGCAGCTTTGGGATCGGCGGCATCGGGCAGAGCAAGGTCTGCAGTATCGGGCGCTGCGCCGTCAGAAGCCTCCTCCCCGTTCTGCTCGGCGGCCGACTCTGTCTCGGCAGGCTCCTCCTCGGGGGCGATGGTAGGCTCGGGGATCTTGTCCTCCTCATCATCGTTTTTGATGACCTTGTCGAGGGCGGGCCTCTTTGCATCGGGCTGGTCGGTGGCTCGCGAAGGCGACGAGGCCTCGAGAGGGCGCTTGGCCGAGTGTGTGGGTTGTGTTGGCGATGCAGACATTGTGAATGTATGTAGTTATTGTTGTTGTTGTTGTTGTTGTTGTTGTTGTTGTTGTTGAAGATGATGTTCGGGTGGTTTAATTTGACTGTGTCACGGAATTGCAATTGGACAATCAAAGTCGAATCTGTTGGCTCTCTTTTTTGTTCTTCTTTTCTTTTTAAGGCTCGTCTATTCTACACGCAGGGGGTTTTCAAAGGAAAACGTGCTGGTGTAGTGACTGGACCAGTGTGGAAAGGTTTCGGATTTCGAAGTGACGGGCTTCGTGATGTGGATTTGGAATCGCGAAGGGCCGTGATGAAACAGGGTCGGGTGGAGGAAGAGACGGAGAAGATGTGAGGAGATAGTCAGGGGTTCCGGGAAATGAATTCCTAAGTTATCCCTCTGGTGGCGATACAAAGCTGCCGCAATGGGCGTTGCGATGCCAAAAGTCCAGTGTCTTCTTTCCCAAAGGGCCAAAGGAATTGGGAAGGAGGAGAAAAAGGAGACCAAGATGAAGCGGTGGTTGGATTGTTGTAGTGACGGAAACGAGAGATGTAAAAATAGAGAGAGGAGAACCGATACTCAAGGACGGGTCTCAAATACAAAGAAGGGAGAGACAATCACTCAGCTCAAACCTTGAGATGCCGGCAACACTCCAGAGAGTTAGTTGATGACGGGATCCTAGAGAGCGCGTGCGCGTTCGGGTTTGATACGTCGGTTCCCACGATTGTTTACTGTCACAAACAGGATCGGTCGCTCGTCCGGTAAGAGGGTCGGGCACAAGAAACGATGAAGGTCCGTTCGAGTTGTTCCCGCGGATATGGTAGGGTACAAAAATATTCGTCGCGTCGCGAGATGAAAAAAGCAGGTTGGTAAGCTCCTGTATGGGCAATCGAGAGACCAGAAGAGAGACGGGGCAAGTCCAGGGTCCGAGCTTAAGTCACGTGATATATGGGACAACTCCCTTTTTGGACAAGTTACCCACACAGTATGAGTTGAACATATACACCGTATATATGCTGTCGATAAGTCACCGTTTATTTACAGTGTTAATACAGTGTTAGAAATAGTCCACTCGTCGCATGCTATTACGGCTTAAGGAGAGCTTCAAACTTCAGCTATTCACATACATCATATATGATACACTCTGTATATACTTAGAAGACGTATATCATGGATCCCAGTACGAGCCAGAGCAGAGAGGCCCAGGCTTACAGCGCCAACCTCGACTACACTCTCAAAGAATTGCAGCGCAGGGTACACGAGCATGAGAATGAGCTTGAACGCGTGAGTCTTGATCACAAGTGCCCTGTCTAGGTTGAAACAAGATAGAAACAAAAAGTACTGACGACCAAAACAGTTACGGTCTCGCGGAGATGATATAAACCAGTCGCCAGCAGCCCAGGTCAAGATTATCCAGACAGCGTTAGAAAGCGTGACCAACTCGGAGCCCTTCCTCCCGTTCGCCAGCTCCATTCTGCCCGCTCTGTTGGCCCTGCGGCGGACACACGAGACAATTATGCAGTCAAAGGAGTACCTGCTTGCCCAGGGGGCCGTGGTAGACCGTGAGAAGCGTGACCTCGAGGCCGAGGAGGCCAACCTGCGGGATCACAAGCTTCTCACCGAGGCGCTGGGCGACCGCATCATCTCTCTGGAGGAGGAGCTCTCGTCCAACGCGGATATGGCCCCCGAGGACGGGGCCCGTCGACGCAGAGAGGAGTTGGAATTACGGAAAAAGCGCTACGACCAGGAGAGCAGACGTCTCTTCAAGGCCCTCAACGACTTCATCGACGAGCACCTGGCGCGCATGCTGGCGGCTGAAGAGCTCGGCGGCGCCGTGGTAGGCGAGCTCATGGACATTGACGGTAACGACCTGGCTGCGGGGTTCAATGCACAGGGCAAGCCGAAGAAGTCATCCGGAAAGGACGCTGTCATTGACGACAAGCGGCAGCGTCGCATCGATGAGATCTGGGGAGCCGCGACCACCAGAACCAATGGTAACAGCGATGATATTCGCAGAAACAATGGTGACGACGAGGTCGTGGCTGCGGGACGTGAGATGAAGCAGCTCACTCAGGCTCTCGTGGAGCAGCTCCAGGAGGCAAGGGGGGATAACTCGGCCTCGTATGTGACGCTGTCGCGGGAGTCGGCTGCTGCCAGGTTCCTTGTGCGGTCCAAGGTGGCTCAGTTTCACCCAAAGGACGCGTCGAGGCTACGGCTGATAGATTTCGGGCGGGAGCTCTAGATCAGTGAGAGCCCAATGCCGAATTATCTGTCCACATGCTCTATGTCCGCTCTACGTTGCTTTGGATGACTCTTATCGAGTTACTAATCATAGCTGAAGCTTACGATTATCACTATGTACATACACTCATGATACGCGACCACACCACCTCAGTATTCCGCGTTATCTCCTTGATAATGCATTTGCAGTCCCTTTTTTTCTTGGCTTTCTTCACACTATTACTCACTCCACCGCTCTTCCCCGCTTGACGCACAGTTGCCCACAGCAAGGGAAAAAAAAGCAGGTTATCCAGATCTCCAAAGCTTGCAAGCAACCACTTAAGCTCCATGCAACTCCATTGGCCGACTCCACAACGCGTCCTCGCTTCTGCCCCTCGCGTCGCGTCACCGCCCTTCGCACCCTTGCGTCTCTGCCCCCCTCCTCCTCTTCCCGTCTCCCCTCTTCCTCAAACGCCAGATCGCACTCTCTCCTTCCCCCCTCCAGACCATTGTCCCTCGTCCGGCGCTTCAGACCAACAGCAAGACGAAGCATGTCCACAGCACCTGACGCCGCCGCCCCCGCCGCCACAGTCAACTCCCCTCCCGCCAAGCGAGTCAAGACTGACGGCACCATGTCTGCTACCGAAGAGCCCAAGCTTCTCATTAAGAAGCTCTCCGACAAGGGTCGTATCCCTACCCGCGGAAGTGCCTTTGCCGCCGGTTACGACATATATGCTTCCAAGGATACTACCATCCCTGCGAGGGGCAAGGCTCTCGTCGACACCGATATTAGCATTGCTTGCCCTGCTGGAACTTGTACGTGCTTCTTCTCGCACGCTCGCCTTTGAGATTCAATTCTATGCACTAACTTACTCTGCGTGGCTGAAAAAAAGACGGCCGCATTGCCCCTCGTTCGGGCCTTGCCTCCAAAAACTTCATCGACACTGGCGCCGGTGTCATTGACGCCGATTATCGCGGCCAGGTCAAGGTCCTGCTCTTCAACCACGCCGAGTCCGATTACGAGATCAAGGAGGGCGACCGCATTGCCCAGCTTATTCTCGAGCGCATATACACGCCCGAGGTCGTCGAGGTTACGGAGCTAGAAGAGAGTGTTAGGGGAGCTGGTGGCTTTGGCAGCACTGGTACTGCTTAGACTAGGAGAAGAAAATTACAAGAGAAATGACGGGCTATATAGCAGTCCAGAATAAGACATGAATTTAGAATAAATAATAAGAAGCAAAAGATGGCGACCCAATATTTCATAATTGCTATCTTAACTAAATTTGTATATCATGCTTTTCTTTTTTTTCTTCTCCAGGTGCCCTGTACCATTTTGTTCTTGTTGCTACTTACGCATTGTCATGCTTGTGCGTTACAAAGCCTTGGCCTTGAACTGCATTGCCGGTGCCCTCAGACAGACCTGATTCCTCACGAGCTGCAGTTCAGCCCCCTTACTGTTGAGCAGCTGCTCCCTCTTTGCAAGCTCCTCCTCCCCCGCCGGTACAGACGCCTCCCCCATCTTGCTCTTGGTCCGCTCAACAACAGCCTTGATACCCTGGCTGGTCCGCTCTAGTAGCTCATGCATACTGGCGAGAACCTTCTCGGCCGCCTTGGCGGCGGGGAGATCCACCGCGCCTACGTCGTCCGGGCTGACCCAGTTGGGCCGGGAGCTGAGTCCGGGCACAGCGCTGACGGCCTCGCGCATGCGCACCACCATGAGGGCGCCGAACATATCGCCCGTGCCGCAGAAGTAGCAGTCGATCGAGGGGAACACAATCTTGAAGAGGCGCGCACGGCCCGTCGAAGTCATGGTCGACCCCACCACAGATAGGTGCGCCTCTGGCTGGTCCGCTGCAGGGAGGTTGACCGACGTGATGACTACGTGGGGTACCTTGTACTTATCGTGTAGGACCTGGATGGCCTCTGTGAGGGACGCCATGTCGGTTATCTTGACGTCGGATAGTAGTCTATACATGCCAGTCAGTGAATCCGCCACAAAAGAGAGGCATAAAGGAGATTAAAGTAGATAAGACAGGGGGTAGGGGTTGCATACTCGGCCTCAAACTGGTTTGGCAGAATCAGATCTGCATAAGGAACGAGAGACCTGTAAGCCGGTACCACATCCGGCGCAACATACACCCTCCCGTTGTCGCCCATGACAGGATCAAGAACCCAGAAGAAGCTGCCGGGAGACTTCTCAGCCCTAGCCTTGAGATCCTTGGCGATGGCCCCCACGGCTCCCACGGCCTCGGCTCCGGGAATGTATCCGGACAGCATCATGTCGAAGTCGTCGAGGTACGACTGCTTGAGACCCTGGTATAGTTCCGAGATTTCCTGGGCTGTCACCTTGGTTCCCTTGAACTGCTTGTATCCTGTGTGGTTGCCTAATCTTGGGGGTCAGTTATGCACATTACTCTACCAGTATTAATGCAGATGGGGGGGAGGGAACAAGGGTTCACTGTCTTACTGAAATGAACAGTGTTGAGGGCCGCAACATCGCATCCTAATGATTGCATGACAAATACGGCAATCTTGTTTCCCACGTATCTGAGACTCAACCACGTCAGTTGGGAGATTCCTCTATAGAAGGCACAAATCCCACTTACCCAGAGACCACCTGTAAACACCTCTGTCAGTTCGGAGCTAAAATAAAGACCTTCCTTGAGAGAAGCGGAACGGCAAGAGAGCTTACATGGCTGGCCACGGCCAGTACTCTAGTCTCAGGCAGAGGTAATTCCGTCCCCATTGTATGTATGTGTGTCTGTGTCCGTTCCTTGCTTCGAAGATGTGACGTTGTGAGGGACTTTGGTTTGTCTTGTGATCAACTCAAGAAAGGAAGAAACTCCTCCGAAAACCACTGCCAGCGACAAAACTACTTTGAAATATATAGATTTCTGAGACGTGATAGGTACTAGGGTTAATATGGAGGCGTAGTTAAGTTTTTGGAGTTAAAAGGATGGGAAAAGTAAGAAGATAGCCCATCATCATTCCTAAGCTTCTTCGGAGTCGTTGACTCAATCCTTCGGATAGTTACCGCGGGGTTCCACAAGGCATTAGCCCCACCATTTGACACCGGCGACTGGGATATTGGCCTTCATCTGATACTTCGTACTCGTTCGCTTAGGAACATAAGATACGGCCATATCGGGATTCACCCCCTTTATTTCGACATTCTTCTGACTATCGCGACTATCAATCCACATCATCTCCTATACACACGATAAGAGCACCCGAGTTGGCAACGAAGAATCACAGAGAAATGGCTTGACAAATAATGACATTGTTTTTTTCCTCTACTGGTTTTGCTTTCCCCCTTTGACTGCCGCAATCAAGCCCCATGACGATAGCTACTAGTATTAAGTACAGCGTACACAAACAAATATCTCTCCTGCTATGTATCTTCTTTTTCTCATGACACTGCCATTTCCAGAGAGCCATTTCCTCTGCTGGGATATCGGGGGTACCTCCATCGCTATGACATCCTCTGCCTCTCTTCCAGCTCACAACGCCATCCCAATTCAGCGCATAATAAATTTCGTGACACGTGCAGAAACAAAGGTTTCCGATGCTTTTTCACTCCTCATCGCCAATCTATAGAATATGTCAGTACTTTTTATCATATTCTCCTCTTCTTTTTGGGCGGAGCTTGACGTACCTTGGGCGCGAGGTAGAAGCGCAGATAGCTGTTACCGCCGAGGCTGTACTCGACAAGCAGAGGCACCTCGTTGGACAGGCAAATCTTGACCTGGCTCGACAAACCGGCAGCCTTGCAGAAGTTGACTAGGTACTTGAGGGAAAAGGTCAAGGTGACGGGCTCCGAGAGGTTAATGTCGACGTTGAGCTCGGGCTTCTCGACGTTGGTGTGGCTGCGGAGGGTGACGGCACCGTTTCCAATGTCACCGTTGGCGGCAAACTTTACACCGTCCTTGGAAGCATCAATGCTTACTTCACATGTTTCTGTTAACCAAGCGCATTTTCCCCTCTCTTCTCCCTCTCTATTCCTCTCTCGCGTGTGTGTGGCATTAATACTTACCAGACTCAGACATGGCAGCCAGATCGGTACAGATACGGCGAAACTCGGTCGACGGCATAGCGACGGTGGCAGCGTACTCGGTCTCGGGAATACCCAGGTGCTCCTGGTCAATGTCCATGAGCTTGAGGTCGTACTCGGTGATGCGGTCGTTGTCGGTGCTCTCAAAAACGAGGTTGAGCACGTCGGGGGCATCCTCGGCCTTGAGGGTGAGCATGTCCTCGTTCTGGGCGGCGCGGAGCACCTTTGTCAGCGACGTCAGGTTGACGCCCAGGGCAATGTTACGGTCGCAGCGGAAGGGCGAGAAGGTCTCGGCCTTGAGCATCATGGACACCAGAGCCACGTGGGAGTTGTCCATGGCCTGGAGGGCGATTCCAGAGTCATTGCAGTCAAAGTTACAGTCCTGCACCAGGTCCTTGATGGCGTCGACAACCTTCTTCAGGACGTTAGCCTGTTCGAGACGTGCTTCTAACATTTTCTGTATGCAATTGAAAGAGGTCAGCCCACATAATCTTGATTCTCCCTCTTCTTCTTTTCTTTATTAGGTCCTCCAGCAGTCGAGGGAGGGGGGAGGTTCCTCTCCCTGTGCGAGGCGTTGCGTAAAAACTAACCGGCGAGGTTGTGAGAACAGTCTGAGGTGGTAAAAGAGAAGTGTCTTGTCCAGAAAGGAGAGGAGCTGACTGTAGACTTGGGATGTCAAGGTGAGAGTGTAGAGGGAGATGGAAATGGTGTGAGAGAAGAAGAGGAAAGCAGAGGAGCAAAAAGCGAGAAAGCAGTCTCAAGGTACTTTACGCGAAGGCAAGAAGGAGGGAGAGGAGGCAAGTGGGCGGGACGCTCTGTGTGCTCTACGCGTCGTGACGCCAACCAGACGCGGGGCAAAAGACCTGTCTAGCCTGCTAAGTCAGCAGTTAGCACATCTGTCGGGGGGGGGGGGAGTATTTGCCTATATCAATATTTATTACTACGTATCCACCTATTTAAACGTCTTCCCTGTTTGCAATCACTGGCATGGATTGCAGTATATTTGTATTTTTACACTGCCTACAGATGTACACATAGCAGTGTTGATAAATTTATTCAGGGAGTAAAGCCCAGAATAGGTCTGTCAGGGTCAAGAGTGCAGCCAAGAGGGGGCACATCAGCCCCCCAATAAAAATCTAATGTTGCCTCTTCCTAGGATCAAATATATGTACAAAAAAAATGAAAAGAAAAGAGCTGTGCGCAGATGCTGAGAATAATGAGACGCGAGAAGGAACCCAAGGCATCGTTGCCTGAAGAAAAAGCAAATATCCTGCCCAACCAGTAATGCTTTTGCTTTGCATTACGCCTACTGGAATTTGTAGAAAAACAACAAAAGAAAACAACAGAACATGATGCACCTGTGAACGTTGCTCCGAAGTATGTGCAAAGCAGCAGAAGAAGAAAAATTACACCATGCCAAACGAAAGACAAGAGCCACACTGGCAAGAAGACGAGAAACAAGCAAGATGGTAGGAAAGAGCAAATGGATCATGTCGTCGTTTTAGTCGAGGGGTGTGGTTGTTCGGCCCTCTATGGAGCTGGAAATGGTCGAGGAGAAGAATGCCAAGATGGGTGAGTAGACCAGACATGGCCTACATGGAGATACGCCCTGGCGCAGGAGCACTCATGCGGGACCGGGGATGGAGATTGATGACAGTCTCGAGCTCCTTCATCATGCCGCGGGTGTTGTCGAGGTTCTGCCTCGCCTGGGCCTTTTGCTCCCGCTCGTCCCTCACTCTGGCTATCCTCTCTTCCCTGGTTAGGGTGCTCCGCTGGCGAGGTAGGGCCACGGCCTCAAACACCTCACGCTCCGGCTCATCGTTGGACTCGGACCCGGCAGACGACCCGCCCGTGAGAGCCTTGAGGGCCGCTGCTGCATTGCCGTCCTCGTCTACTGTCATCAGTCCGCTGAGCGGCGAAGACATGGGAGATATCAGCGTGCTCATGGACGAGAGCCTCTTCTCGTTACGGTCGATGCCTTGGGCCAAAGCCGCCTTACCCTCCTCCCAGGCACCCATCAGCTCCCTAAGGTCCGTGCCGATCGATTCGTACTGCGACATCAGATTGGGAGCCAGTTCTGACAGGTCGCTCGAATCGTTGAGCGCCCGGTCTGATTCTTCCCTGAGCAGGTGGAGCTTGGCCTGCAGGCCTCGGATACCCGACCCTAGCGAGTTGAGCTTATGCAGCTGAGACCGCCAACGCTCCCTCCCTGGCGTGAGGGGGCACTTCTGCGACTCGGGCGGTGGGAATGACTCTTCCTCGCTGAGGACGCCTTGCGTCTTGGCACCTGCTTCCCTGGCCGACGTGTTGAGGCTCTGCAAGGCTTCAACAGCGGCCGTCCACCGTAGGAGGTCTCGGCTCTCGCCGTTAGCGTCCAGGGCAAGCAACGAGCACAGAAATAGCTTGCGCATCGTGTAGAGCCTGCTAGATAGGATCTTAAGGGTTCGTAATGATTCGGGGTCTTCGAACTCCTCCGGGTCAAACCCGCGGCTCGCATCGGAAATATCAAAGTCGCTGATCTCGTAGATGTCAAGGTACTTTTCCAGATCCGTCTGTTCGGCAAAACCCCTGACACCGGTCGATACGCTGATGTGCGTCTCCAGTATGTCGGCGAGTGCGGCGCGGAGAACCTTGCGGATTCGGGTGCACTTCCGTGACTGCGTCCTGTCCTCTATGCGGGTGACGGGGGGGAGAGGTGTGCTTCTATACACGTATATGTCAGTAAATGAACGGATGGGGGCGGTAGGGGCGATGGAAGCACATACATCCGGTAGCCCCTGGACACGAGCTCGACCTCTTGGATAAGGGACAAGGCGGCACCTCCCGCAGCATCAAACTCGTGGGCGACAGATACAAAGGACACAACCTCCGACAGAGCTTGCTCCCTCCTATACCGCAGCCACTGCCTCTTCATATACACCTTGGCTAGGACGACGCCAGCGGCCGCCAGACATATGAGGAATATGAGCCTCTTCCGCGTGACAAATGTCGGTTTCTTGCCCACAATCCAACTCAGAATGACGGCTACGGCCAGGACACCTATCACCATGCCCATCATACCCTCAGGCGAGTACTCGGGTCCACTGCCATTGCTCCTGACGACTTCATCCAGGACCGAGGGTGGCTGGTGAGATCCCAGCAGGGAGTGGCCACTTAGCAGCTGAGAGGCGACGATTGTATACCGGAACTTTTCGAGGAACTTGGCATTGTCGACTCGGTCGATGCTCGCTGCTACAGCGGCCTAAAAGAACGCACGCGTTAGTACTATGGGCTCGAGCCATGGGCAAGAACGGAGACTAGCAAGGCCGTACTGAGTAGTTCTTCTTGATCAACCTGAGCGATGAGGTTCGTCCGGTGTTGAGAGGGGGGAGGTTGTTTGGCTTATTGTTTCGGAATCGGGCTCGGACTGCCGGCCGTCCCGTGGGAGCAAAGGGTGTCGGACTGGCTGGCGGCGAGAGGTCGGAAGAGGTGGTCGAGGGCGCATCTTGTTCGGCGGCAATGGCATTTGTCCATTCACCATCTGATCCATCCCCACCGTCTTTTGCGTCGGGGTCAGTCGGAGCTCTCAGGAGGTGAAGAGGGGGTAAGTCGAGAGAGGGGGCCAAGCTTCCTTACCTCTGAGATAAGCGGCCAGGGGCGTCTCTTCGTAGACGATGGGTTCCATCTAGGCGGCGTTCTACGGTGGCAGCGGTCTTGACGGATGAGAGGCGACAGCTGGACTTGATATCCCCCAGACAAAGCTGGTAAGGGGATGGCTATTGGCCTTTGTCAGCTGGCAGCGCACATATGCCGACGTAGGGGCGTATGTTTTCCGGTTTTGGACGAAGATGTATCAGCGGTAGGGGCGAAGGGGAAAAGGAAAGAAAGAAGGACAGAAGAGTAGGATTAAGAAAATGTCAAAAGGAAAGAATGGCTTAGTGAGTCAGTCGATCGTGCATACGTCGTATGCGCTGCCAGTACGCCGCCAGTGGATGTTTTTGAGATGGATGGTGAATGGAACGTCTTTCGATGTAAATGTGGAGCTTTTGGGGGGATCTATTGTTTAGATCCTCTGGACTAAAGGAGCGTAGAAGAGTCCGAAAGCAAACAATAATAGGTAAAAGGTCTGCTCTGCCTGCGCCTCACTTCGCCGTCGGGGCCACCGTTTGGGCAGCACCCTTAATTTTGGAGACACTCTAAAGTAGTCATTTTAGGTGCTTCAATGCACGACAGCCGCACACAAGCACGCACCACAAAACACACATAAAGTACAGATTACACGAGTAATACTGTCAGTAAATAAATAATCAAAACAACGGGTCTAATATATGGTTGTATTACTATTATTATTGATTAGCACTTCTCACCCTGAGCCCATAATAGTACAGCGTGTACGACTAGTATTAATACTTGTACTTACCTTCCCCTTACCGACAGGTGCGATGCACCGTTAGCTTGTCTGTTTACCACTGTTACATGGTGGTGAACATTCTTCTGTCTTGCTAATGAAAGGTTTGATTGTTTCTTCTTCTTTTTTTGGGTGTATGAGTACCTTGCATCGACATAGCCGTCACGATCATAACCACTCAACGTCGTCGTTCCCATTGGCACTTCCAGCTTGATCAAGTTAAAAACGGGACTGCTGCACTACTAGTCGTCCGTTGTTTATATTCAAGAACCATGGTTATCTACTTGCCAGTCTTCCATCTTGTCTATCTCTTCTTCCTCAGGATGTAGCCGTGGTACAACAAAGTGGCCGGACCCCCCATTGTCTCAATCTCCGTGTCCCACTCGACGCCCTCGCAGTTGAGGATCCGTGTCGCAAAGTGTGTGGGGCGAAAGGTTACGTAGAGGAAGACGCCATAGTCCTTTAACACGCGAAAACCCTTGGTCATAGAGCCGTAACGGAGTCAACTGTGGACGACGAGGAAAGCTTCTAGAGGGTATCTGCACTGGGGAGGCGGCAGGTTCTCGGCAGGAACTAGGAACCCGGCTGGAAGGCAATGAGGATTGATCAGGTGATCGACGAAAAGTCCAAGACAAACACAGAAGAGAGACAAACACACCTCCCTGAGATACGCGCCTGTCTTCTCAACCACATCGTCTGGAGGGCTCCAGATGCTGCCGTAGATCATGGCATCTAGCGTTCCCTTGTCAAAGGCCACGTCTATCGACTGTGCGGAGATGCTGTCCATGTTACATATATTCAACCGTCGCCACTCGATGCCGCTAAACTCGCCATGCGTCTTGCTCATCAGGTCCGCCACCACCTCGGAGAGGTCGACACAAAGCTAGTTTGCGTAGCCATTCTCAGATGACGCGGATCGACTACTTGTGAGTACGGGTCTCTAAATTGGCACTGGAATAGGAAACGGGGGGTGGGAGCGGGGGCGGTAAAGGTTGAGACAGAAAGGAGAGGAAACAACAGGATGGCAAACACGACGCACGCTATCTCCAGATCCGAGATGCAGGATCCTGGGATTCGTCTCTGGTGTCCTGGATCCAAAAAATCTCTTGCGAAAAAAGGCCTCAAGGCCGTCGAACGTGCGGAACCACTCGTGAGTAGGCTCTTGACCGTTCGCCGCTGTATATCGACGACAATTCCCAAAATATGGGTGAGAGATCTTTTCGTTTACCTCGTCGGAAAAATGGGACATTCTTCCATCAATTGTCTCCTTCAGCCTCCTCGCCTGTCATAGTTCACACGAGGCTGGCTCGGACACTTTTCGCAAAGGCTGGCCAGCGGAGACTCTGCCGGCGGCGTGGCGGTAATGAACAATGTGCAGCCAGCCAGATACTATAAGAGTATTATTAGTACCGACAGTGCTTGTGTTAATTGTGGTTGGTAATGGAGCTGAATGTGTGAGGAATGTGATGATCATAGAAGCTGTTGCTACCAGTACTAGCTCCGACGATAGCGGAAGAATATCGGCAAATCGTTCATGTGGCCTGTTCTTGACAACTTGTGCTCCATTTCGCCAGCCAACCGGCGGAGCTCTGATTACTTTCTGCTCCATATTTCTCCATACTCCAGACTCCAGAGTCCCCATCTGCCCATCCACAATCCCCAGAGACGCGGAGAAGTTGGAGCTATTGCATTGCGCCTGCCTACGAAGCCTCAGTATCAACCTATTATGAAGCTTCCGATAGGTACCATCAACCAATCTCCCTTGGAGATATACACGATAAAGACGATACTCGGGAGTCGGCCCAATGGCTTATTCGGCAACGCGAGCCCGCCGTGTCCGGCGACAGTGGGTGTCTCCTCCAAACCCCTCACGGGCAGCAGTGTGGATAACAGACCTGATGCTGCGTGAGGCAATGGAAAAATACCAGCGTCGATGCCTCGTCACCAATCGAACCCTCAGCTCAAGCAGGGGCCTTTTTGAATGCCGAAGGAGGCCCCTAGGAAAGCGTCACATGGCTGACATGCTGATCTCTCCTCCACCCTACCGACCGACGTGGTGGTTCGAACTCATGGGGAACCAGTACGCGTGGCAATGGCAGTCACCCACATCAGCCCAACATCGCCGGGAAAAGGAGCAGCAAATCACCTTTTCTGGCTTAGCTGACAAGTGCATGAGGTGGCTCGAGGCGTCGGACCTTGACATGCCATTTCTCGACCCGCCCACTCAAGCAGCTGCCACCTCCATGCAGAACCTCCAGCTTACCGAGGACAATATTGCACGTAGTTCCTCCAAGGCGGCCAGTCTATACGATACCAGTCTCTTGAAAGGGGTGTCTACACTGACATCAGCTATTCGCGGCGTGGCAACCATGGACAAGCCTACCTTGGACAGTCTCACCGACGCCTGCTGCCGGTCACTCCGCTCCGCCTTGCACAGCGGCGACTTCACCATCGACCAAATATACACCGTTATGGAGCCACTAGGAGTCGGCGAGCTGGACCCGCGCCTCTCGGAGCCTCAGATCCGAAGCATCGACCGATCCATTGCTAAGACCGTCATCTATACGATTGCCGTTCTGCGCCGGCATAGCCATGACAGCTTGTACGAGGGGGCGTGGTCTGCCATTATTGGCCACGTCTTCTCCATGGCACCCAGCGTCTTCAAGTTCCGTCGATTCAGCTATATCATGAGCCAAGCGAGCCCCATGGACATCCATAACATTGACGACGCTCTATACCGTCAAATCATACGCGAGTTTGCCTACACCCACGGCGACGGGCTACGGAACAGCGGGGTCATCGCGCCGTGGACTATGCGGTTGTCATATTTTGCCCGTTCCCTGGCACAGATACCCCAGACCAAGTTCGATTCCATCTCCCGCGCCGTTACCGAAGAGGTGTGGCACCCAGACGGCAAACGCCAACATCGGTTCACTTGGCTCCTCATACAGGCCCAGCTAAGCCACTCCACGGCCCAAGATATGGCTGCCCTGACCCTAGAGTACCAAGATGAGTACGGTCCCATGTCGGGTTCCGAATTGCGTGTGCTGGCGATGGCGCGTCTCGTGTCCGAGGGCCGACTAGATCTACAGACCACCTTTCAGCTGAGCCGGATGTACCGCGCGCAGCCGTGTTCCCGCTGGCCAGATCTGGCTGAGGCGGTCATGGATCTGGGCGGTACCGACTCGCTCAAGAGCCTGGTGCGCTGGCTCCAGTCAATAAGAGGGTTGAGCTGCCTCATCCGCTCCCTCATCTTTACTAATATCGACCCGGAGGAAAGCGGCCTAGCCCTGAGCTCCCGGCGCGTCATGGGCAAGATAATGGAAGACGCCGGCATAAGCCCGCGCTCGCTAGAAGCAGAGGTCGATTTCATCAGCGCCAAGAGGCTAAAGATCCGGGGCCGCGGCACTGATATCCCCCCTTCCGAGCTCAAGAGTCGCATGCACATGCGTCGCGGCATGATGGAGTTCCTTGAGTGGCTGGCTCACTGGTACTTGCTGTCCCCGCTCCTGACGGACCGCCAGGCCCTCCGCGGTGTGGAGTGGTGCCTCGTCCGCTACGAGTGGATGGCCAACGATAACGGTCGCGGCTCCTCCGTCGTCCTCGCCGTTCTTGCACGCGTCCTCATGCGCGACCTCACTGCCGGGCAATGGGGTCGCACATCGCGCCTCAGGTGGCTCATGACGAAGATTGAGAAGTACCAGGGTCACGAGCAGGCTAGAAAGGCTCTCAAGACTCTCAACGATTGGCGCAACATGACTTCCGCTCAACAGGAGAAACGTCCTTAGTGACTTCAGGCAAGTCATGTATATAAGGATTTATTGCACCTGGAAAGTCTTTTGTCGTATACACATATAACAGAGTACTTGGTAATGAAACAAACGCATTAGTTCGATAATTTACTATATAATCGGCCGTTACATGAAGAAGCAACATTGTAAACATGATAAATAGAAGACGTTATCAGATAACGAATAAGAACATAGCGTATAAAAAAGTAAGAAAAATCCCAATAAATCCCAGTATATCCCATGATATCATGAACCAACCCAAACCCTCTCTTTGAACCTAACCGATTAGACCTTTCCCTCAAACGGGGAAAATAAAACCTTAAACAAAAGAAAAGCATAAAATCATGCGCAAAAAAAAACAAGACACGTAAACATCTCATCAACATCTTTTATCCTTCTCTCATTCAGCCATTCGTGCTCTCAGTAGCGAGGCTCAGTCGGCTGCGTCCACCAAGCGATGCTCCCCCAGCATCACTCAACGCACTGAGGCCGCGCCTGTCGCTATTGGCAATGACGACTTGTGCCGGGCACACGACTATCTCCTCATTACCTAGGCCATTGTCATCACCCTTCTTGACGACCAGAGGGAAGAGCACAATTCGCACTATCGCGCCATCCGCCTCTAAGTCCTCAGGCGACACCGGCTGGCCCTTGCTGGACCGCTCATTCATCATGGATGCATTGAACTGAACCGTCTGAGCAAGCTCACCCTCTGCGTCATACTCGGGTTGCAGGGGCGGAAGCATCATATACTCGGCCTTTTGCGTGCGCATCTCAATGGATAACGACACGGCTTCCCGTAGAACTCGACGCAGCTGCGACAAAATCTGGTTTTCCAGGTTGCTCGGAGGGGGCAGGATCTTGCACAGAGCCTGGAAGATTGCCTGGACTACGGCCTCCGTGTCCTGATCTCTCTGGGTTATAAAGGTCTCCCGCCTCGCCAAGAGCGTCAAGGTGACGGCACGCCACTGGCGGACTGCTTGGGGCGGGCCAACCTCTGTGAGCATCTTCTCAAGAGACTTGAGCTTCTGACGCTGCTCTCGATCCATACCGAAAAGGTAGCGCGTGAAGACAAACTCCCAGATCATATTCATGGTCATAGACATGAAAATGTCGCGGCGCCTCACACGATCGCCGAGATATTTGTCGACATCGGTGCCATCCAGGACGGAGTTGTCAAGTCGATCGACCAACTTCTCGTCGTCGATCTCGTTGGTCAAACGGGATGACCGCATATCGGAGAACTTGGAAAAGCGCAATACCCATTGCTGGACGTGGGAGCAGAGTTGCTGACACCGACCATCAAAGTAATCCTCGTCCTTGATTGCAAGGAACTCGGCATCGGCAGCCTTGGAGGCAAGAATCTGGCGTTGCATCTCCCGAACCTGTTCCTTGGCGTCCTCGAGTTGTGCGCGGAGGTCTGCAATCTCGGCATCCTTTGCTTGAATCGTCTGCTCCAGTGCGCTGTCTGGTCCATCTAGGCTGTTGAAAGCAGCTGCGCCTGGGGCAACACTGAGGCCGTCGTAGCGGCCATCGTGCTTGACAAGCTCAGCATTGGCCCTGGTGAGGCCCTCGTTGACCTCGGTTATGCGCGACACCTCGTTTTGTAAGAAATGAAGGGAGTGTTTCAGGGATTCGATCTCAGCATCGCGCTCCGATAGGGCAATAGATGTACGATTGTTCGCGACGGCGCTAGACTCGGCGCGGGAGTGTCCCTCAGACAGCATGCGATTTTCGGCAAGGAGCTGCTCAACCCTGGACTCAAGCTCGAGCACCTGCATACTTTGGCGGCGACGCATGCTGTGGGGCCGAGTCGGGGAACGGGGCGTGCCAATGCGGCCCTCGCCAAATCCATCCTGCGCAAGCAATGTTAGCCATCAGAGTCAGAGACATGGAGTGACGCCACTCGAGCGGGGTAAAGATGGGATATTCACAAATACGTCGGCCATGTCCTTGGAGCGGACACGACCTTCGTTAGCGACAGGCGTAGAGTTGGTGGTTTCCTGACTGAGCGCTCGCAAATCGCCGCTGACGCGCTTGTCAACACGGCGGAGAGGTGGTGTGGGGGTCGACGACCTTAGATCTTGGGCATGTTCGTTGATGCCTGGGCGGTCAGGCCGAAGCTTGAGTGGCTCAGGAATGCGGCGGCGCCTCGTGAGGCTAGTGTTGGACACGGACCTCATTAGCCGAGGTTCACCCAGTAGCTGGGAAAGTGGCTGGGAAGGCGGCTCAGATGATTGGCGCATTCGCTCTTCGCCTTTGTTTAACAGTTGGGTTGTTGTAGACGCTGCTGCGGCTGATTTAGAGCCGCCAAGTATCGCAGGTGCCGTTCCCAGCCCCAAGCTTCCGTAGTCCCTTGGTTTCTTGGCTCTGAGTGACGGCGACTTGGCCACCTCCTCCTCAACAACGGCGGCTGGCTTGCTCTGTCTCTTCTTTTCTGGATCCGGAGTTGCATCGGCAGTCGTCGGTTCTCGTAACACAGGTGTCCCAAGCGACGCCCTCTTGTGGTGATTTGTCGGTGTCATAAGGTTGGGTGGCGTCTTCTGGGATTGCTCCTCCTCGGGCATCTCGGGAACTGCTGGCAGTGACTGAGGAGAAATCCTGGAGCCTCCAAAGTCTGATACCAAGCTGACACCGAGGGCCAATGCATGGCTGTCCTCTGGCAAGAGGCCAAGACCACCAGTGGGGTGGTCATTGACTTCAGCTTCTTCGCGGTTGAAGAGGTCAGTGTATCCGTGTGTCGTAGTGTATAGTTCTCTGCTGCTCTCGAGTTGTTCTTCCTCCAATGGTGCGCCCAGTCGAGGTGTCTCCTTCCAACTTCCGTCCGATTCGGACAAGCTCTCGCTCTTCAACGACGTCAAAGGCAGTCTCTCCTTGGTCCTGGTTTCATCCTGATGCGTCTTCCAGGACTTATCCACTTTATCCTCCTGTGGTGATGCGCTACTATCGTCCTCTGTAGATGGCGTCTTCCTCTTGTCCTCCTCAATCTTGTCTCCTTTCCCACCAGACTTCCCGAAAACGTCGCTTTCCCCCAAAGGCATGATCTCGTTCCTAGACTTCTCCATGGTCTCATCCTTCTTGTCTGCTTCTCTGGCATCATCTCTACCCCAGAGAACAGTATTTTCCTGCTCGGCCAGTGCCACCTTGGTCTGCTTTCTGTCGGCGCTGCCGATTTTGTCATCTAGGTTTGTCTTGTCAACTGTCTCCCAGAGAGCAACATCGTGAAAGAGGTCGTCGTCCTCAGACCTCTTTCCCACAACTCTCGATGTCTTCTTTCCCTTCTTCTCCTTCTTGCCAACCATAGAGCTTACCGCTAGCGATACCGTAGCGCCGGCAGCGGTAGTAGTTCTTGTAGCGGTCTTGTTCGTAGCATCCTGATCTACTTGAGTATCCACTACCTTGTCCTCGTTTTTCTCTTCCTTCTCCTTCTCCGGCAACTTATCCCTGGGGGAGGCTTCAGACGTTCCTGCTGTGAGATAGAATCCGCGAGAAACGGTGTGAGCCTCCTGGGGAATATTCATCAGCGCGGCCGTTGCCAAACTCTCAGTGAATGGCTCGCCTATCTTCCCAACGGACTCAATATCCTCTGCAGGCCTGATGTCCCCAACAGGCCTATCCTCTGCCGTGACGGTTTCAGGAACTTGGCCTCCCTCGCCCAGATAGTCGAATGTAACAGGATTGCCAGGACTTGGTACCACTCCCATCTTCGTTTTCTTTTTCTCCTTTTTCGGAAAGCCAGGAGTGAAGAAGCCTCCATCTTCGGCGATTTGAGGCTGGGTGTCGACACCGCGCTCATTGAACACCTCTGGTCGATCGGCCGCTGCAGGTATGTCCATGTGTTCAGGGAGAGGTGAGTCCACTATTGCAGGCTCTGGAGTTGGTTCCGGATCAATAGCCAATGCCTTGGCCTTCTCTTTCTTCTTCTTCTCCTTCTTGGACAGACTGGTAGTCGAGTCTTCCAAATTATCGGCAGGATCAATGGCAGTTTCAGAAAAAGGATCGGCAGTGTGATCCAAGTCACTAGGTTCATCAAGCGGCTCCTCATTAACAGGAACGGCAGGCTCGGTCTGGTTTGCCAAAGAAAAAGGCTCATCCTTGGAGACCGTCAGGGGCTCGCTGGAAATGGTCGGTGCCTTGGAAGTGTCCCAGTCGAGCTCCATGATCTTTACTTTCTTTTGGGTTTCCTTCTTCGGCAGGCCTGCAGACAGATCGTTGTCGACGGCAATGGGTGCAGCTTCAGAAGAAATGTGCTCAGCTGCATCGCTCTGAGTCTTAGGCATTACATATGGCCCCTCGACGATAGGGCCTTCGGCTTCAGATTTGGCCCTAGACTCAACTTGTTCGGAAGAATTGAGAGGAGTCTCATCTCTAGCAGTAGCCGGAGGCTCACTAATGAATGCAGGCTCTTCAGCGGTGTCCCAGCCGAAATCCAGGGGAGCAGCTTTGGCTTTCTTCTTCTTCCTATCCTTCTTGGAGAGCCCCGCCAACAAGCCATTCTCGTCTACGACGATTTCTGCTGGAGGTCCAGGGATGGTCTCGGCCGCATCACCCAAGTGCCGGTATGGCTGAACTGGCTTTTCTGTGGTAGGGGCCTCGGTTACAGGCTGAGCTTCCACAGGAGATGTTGTGTCCTTCGACTCAGTCGGTGACTCAGCCGATGGCTCCTTACCAACCGGAGTTTCAGCCTCGACGGTGACGGTTTTGTCGTGCTTCTCGGCGGGTGGTTCACTAACCACCGCAGGCTCTTCAATAGTGTTCTCATCGAGCCCCATGGCCTTGGTCTTGCCCTCCGTCTTCTTTTTCTCCTTCTTCAAGAGACTCAGAGAAAATTCTTTCTTGTCGTCAATCTCGGCAGCAGACTCTGAAGTTGAAGGCTCGGCATTTGAGGGCTGTGCCGAATCAGCCAATTCTGGAACTCCCTCAGCTTGCTCCTTGGTAACAAGAAGCTCGGCTTCAGGCTTGGCTTCTACCAGAGGTATAGAAGACATCTCTTTCCTGCGGTCGGTTGATTGATCGCCAGCCACTGTGGGCTCTTCGACAACCACCGTAGGCTGCTTTTGGGCGTCTATATCGAGGTCCATGGCCATCGCCTTCTTCTGCTTTTTCCTCTCCTTCTTGGTGAGACCGGTGCCCTGAATGTCATTTTTACTAGCGGGCACGGTGGAGGGCTCGGAAGCGTCAGGCTCAGAAGTAGATTGCAGGACAGCATCATGCGAAACCGGTATCGTATCAACCACTTCCCCAGTGGCAAGAAGGTCAGTTGTCGGCTTAGGTGTGGAAACTTCTGCTGTGTCCTCCAGAGCCTTTGCCATCTCAACCGGAATCTGTGGCTCGGCTTCGGGTTCGGATAAATTGGTAGAAACCGGCAGGGTCGCTTCATCCTTGACTTCAATCGATGGCTTCGTGGATAGCACTGCTTGCTCGGTAGTCTCATCCCAGTGCAGACCGAAATCCTTGGGCTGCTTCTTATTCTTCTTCTTCATGTCCTTCTTCGAGAGACCAGTACTCTTATTGTCGTCTTGGCTCATGGGCTGAGCGACTGGCTTAGTCGCGGGCTCAGCAGCAGCGACAATTGGTCGAAGAATGGGCTCGGCGACGGGCTCAACAGCAGACTCGGAGACTGGCTCAGGAACCGGCTCGACGACCGGCTTGGGAAGGCTTGCATCCTCGGGCTCCGGAATGTGATCTGAGGGGACAGTGTCCGGCTCTTTGGAAGGTTTCGAAGAGGAAGCACGGTCCTGGGGCTTCTGTGTGCCAGCCTCCCAGGCCAGGGCCATTGCCGTAACCTTGCCTTTCATCCTCTTTTTCTTCTCCTTCCTGGAAAGGCCAAGGCCTGAGTCATATTCTGCAGGGGGAATGGAGGTCTCTGGGGCCTTGCCTTCTTCCGAAGCAAAGGGCTCCTCTATCGAGGGGGCCTCTCTTGTTGTCCCCTCCAGAAAAACATGGGGTACTGGGATCGCCTCTGCCACGCTTACGTCCTCTGCTACAGGGGCCTCTTTCACAACAGCAGTCTCCCCAACTAAGGGAATCTCATCCGCCACAGCGGCCTGCTTTGCCGTACCAATATCCTTCTGTTCGGGGGTCGCCTCTGCAGCGGGAACCTCCTCTGACGCAGCAGTGGGTGCATCCAGAGTTGACGTGTCGATGGCTGTATCAACATGTTGGGATAGTTCTGTTGCAGGAGTAGGTTGTTCAGGCTCCCGTGTCTTCTGTAGATTTTCGGCGGCGGCCTCGGCGGCAGCCTTGGCCTTGGCTATCCCCTTCCTTCTCTTCTTCCTCTCCTTGTTGGACAGGCCGACGGCCCAAGACTCGTCATCCTCCTCTTTCTTGATTTCTTCATGGCGCGCTTTTAGAGCCGCCCCTATCAAGGAAGAAGATGCAGGGGTTAATTTGTCCTTGGACTCGGTAGGCAGGAAAGAGCCTGGCTTCAACTCAGAAGTAGCAGTGGTTTCAGAAGAAATCACAGCAGTTAGTGGAGACTCGGTTTCTTGCTTCGGCTCATCAGAAACGGCGTCAGCGGTGGTGGCAGCAGCTTCCTGAGCGAGTGCTCCAGCCATGGCTTTAGTCTTTTCCTTCTTGTTTCCCTTCTTTGATATGGATGTACTCTCGAAATCACCCTTGCCACCCTCGGCAGCTAGTGAGAACGTCGCTTCAACCGGCTGAGCCTCCACCAGGACTCGTGCAGCAGGCTCAGGTTGCTGAGGAGGCTCATTCTCTGTATCAATGTCTCGCAACACCTGAGTTTCTGGGACAAGCGGAAGAATATCGGTCTCGGATGGAGAGACTACGAGATCGGAAACTTCAATAGTTGTCGGTTCGGGTGCATTACCACCCTTGGTGTCAGTCTCTGCTGCAGTCTCTCCTTTTTCTTCAGTTGGCTGAACCTGCTTCTCGACTGCTGAAGGTTCGTCAATGTCAAAGGTGACAGACTTCCTTTGCTGCTTCTCGTTTTTCTTCTGTTTGTCCTTCTTCGAAAGGTTTGATGTTCCATCCTCGGCGACTTCCTTAGACGCCCCAGACTGAATGGGCTGGACATAGCCTTCCAGCGTACGTTCGTCAGTGGTGGTCGTGGTATCCTTAATTACTATGTCCATAGGAAGGTTGGTCTCCGGGGAGATGGGTTCCGTAAAGGCGGGTTCCGTAGAGGTAGGCTCAATACGTTGGTCAATGTCGGCCGTGTCTTGGGGTTCAGTGTCCAGCTCCGGTTCATTTGTTTCCTTAGGTGCCTGTTCTTGTTCCAACTCGGTATCTTTAGCCTTTTTCTTCTTATCTTTCATTGACATCTTCGGATCGAACCCACCCCGCTCCTCGTCAGGATTCGCACCAGGATCTTGGCCGGATAGAGATTCCACGGGCGTTACAAAGCCAGAGGTATTTTCGGCGTTGTGTTCGTTAGCTTTCTTGTCATAGCTAAGTGCATTTACGGCCTCCGTGAATTCTGGTTCTGGCATTTGGGGCTTGTCGGGCTCCTCAGGAACTTGCTCTTCCTGGGTCAGGGTTTCCATAGCGGCAGCCGGTGGCGCCAGTTCAGCAGCCTTCTTCCTTTCATCCTCCCTTGAGAGCTTTTCCGTGGATAAATTACCGCCGTCTTCAGCTGCAGAAGCAGCCCCTTTCGACGCAGTGTGTAAGGCTTCAAGGGTCTGGAGCTCTGTGGCATCCTTGGCATTCTCCACGGCAGGTGCAGCTTCCGTGGAATCGGCCGGCTGCACTGCCCTCTCCCAGGTGTCAAGCTCCTTGTCCTGGGTAAAGACATCAGACGTCTCCATGGCCAGGGTCGTTACATCCACAACACCGGCACCGTGAGAGGCAGCCGGTACTTCTTCTGCTGGTTGCTGGTCCTGTGGTGGGTCCCGGATGACATCAATGGAAATGCTTCCGGTCCCTTCGACCGCATCAAAATCCAAAGACACCTGGCCCTTCTTGATTTTCTTCTTGTCCTTTTTGCTTTTCTTTGTAACCTCGAGTTCCTTCTCCGGCTCCACAACAGGCACGGGCGCCGGGGAAGGTATAATCTCTGCAACAGGCTCGGGCTCTGGGGCAGGCTCAGTTTCCATGGCAGGCTTGGCTGCTGCTGATGTAGATTCAGGTTCAGGCGTCGAGGTGGAAGTCTCCATAACTTCACCAAGAGTGCTCAAACTCTTATCCTTCTTCTTGGACTTCTTGCTGGTACCCGAAGATTCTCCAGTGGGGAAATCCATCGTTGCGGGGATCGCCGCCTCGTCTGGGCCTGCTGCCTTGGTTTCCATCGCCTTGTCCTTCTCCTCGTTCTCAACAGCGGGCTTTCCCCAGGCGAGATCATCAGATGTCTCAACAGGTGCTGGCCTGCGAAAGAAATCATCGGGGAGGTCCCAGCCGTCGGACTTGACTGGTTCTTGTTGGGCCTCCTCTTCCTGCTGCTGCTGCTGCGCCTCTTCCCGCAGCTTCTTGGCCCTTCTCTTCTTCTCTTTATTGCTCAAAGGACGATCGGCTTCCTCATCAGGCTGGGATGTTATTTCTGGTTCAACAGCAACGGGCACTGTACCCGGAGCTGTCTCGAGGTCACGGACAGACTCATTGGTGGCAGGCTTGTTTGTGGTAGGGGGTTCCAGGACCAGAGACTCCTCGGTGATGGCCGGGTTATCTGAGTGGGCTAACGAAGCGTCTTCGGTGACGGTGGGCTCGGCTACCTCATCAGTATGAGTAAGCCCAGGTTCATTGGAAGTGTCAAGATCTTGCTGTTTCTTGGCAGCCTTTTTGGCCTTCTTTTTATCCTTCTTGGACAAGGACTGGTTGGGCTCTTCTTCAACCTGGGGCTCCGACTTCGTTTTGAGCGGGGTCTGTTGAGTAGCAGGCGCCGAATCTGGAACAGGCTCGAGGTCATGGGCATATTCTTCTGTGACGATAGGTTCTTCGGTCTGAATTGGTGCAAGTGTGTCTTCTGAAACGGGTGTGTCTCCGGTCTGAGCTAGCGTGCATGTGTCGTCCTTGGGAACGGACTCCTCGGGAGCAGTGGTAACAGACTCTACCACAGCAGTTGCTGCTGCTTCTTCTGCGGGTTTCGGTTCCTCAAAGGTATTCTGAGACTGCTCCTGTTGCTTTTTGGCGGCCTTCTTAGCCTTCTTCCTGTCCTTTTTAGACAATGGCTGGTTAAACTCCCCTTCGGGTAGAGTCTCAGGCTGAGGTTCTTTCACAACGGGCGTAGAGTCGGAAGGAGTCTCCAGGTCATGAGAGAATTCTTCGGCAGAAGGGACAGCAGGAGTGTCTACGGTGAATGGAGCAGAAGCCTCCTCATGAACGGGAACGGAAGCCCCCTCAGCAGTGACAGGCTCATCAGGGATGGGAATCCACTCAATCTGGGTCAGTGATGGTGTGTCGGCTGCAGCGGACTCTTGGGCAGATGCAGAAGTCGCTTCCTCATTGGGAATCGGCTGATTGAAGTCAAGAGAGATAGACTGCTTCTTGGCAGCCTTCTTGGCTTTCTTCTTGTCCTCCTTGGGCATGAGCTGGCTGCGGTCGTCGCTAGGCTGGGCCTCCTCGAGCTCAGTGGTGGAAGGCTGGATCTCAAAGGCGAGTGTTGACAGCCCCGAGGCAGCAGTATAGAAATCGCGGGGCTTGTCTTCGGTAGCGGACTTCTCCATACCAGGGATGTCTTGATTAACAGTGGGCTCTCCTTCAGCCAGGGCCGGTGTCGCGTGTCCTGTGGGGGCGGGCTCCGTGACGGCAGAAAGCTCCTCGACGGGGGCAGAAGGTTTCTCGGTGGTAGCAGGAGCAGATTCTTCTGTGGGCGCGGGCGCTGACCCCTCAGCAGGCTTCAACTCGTCCGTAGCATCCAAAGGCAGAGACTGCCTCTTCTTGGCAGCCTTCTTCGCCCTCTTCTTATCTTTCTTTGACAACCCCCCGCTAGGCTCCTCCTCTTCAGGCTTGACTATCTCGGGCTCCACAACATGAACAGTGGGCTTGGAAGTGGGCTCAAGAGCCGCAGCTGTCCCAAGGTCGGGAGAAGCGACATCGCCAGCAAGCTCCCCTGTCGCAGAAACGCCTTCGAGGGCGGCAGGCTCCTCAGTAACGACAGGCGCTTCAGTGGCAGCAGGCTCCTCAGCGAGGAGAGTCTCCTTGACAATAGTGGGATCCTCTGTGACGACAGACGCAACGGCAAGAACAGGCTCTTCAGTGGCGGAGATCTCTTCGAAGACGGTTCCTTCAGTGGCGGCAGGCTTTTCTGTTTGTGCCGGCGCTGCTACCTTTTCTACCACATTGTCAGTCGCGGAAGTCTCGTTCAAGGAGATAGACTGCTGTCTCTTGGCCTTGGCCTTTTTGCTATCCGTCTTGGACATTGGTTGGCTTGACTCCTCCTCAGGCTGGGCCTCGGGCTTGGTCTCCGCCTGAAGCTCCTCTACGAAAGACAACGCAATCGTCTCAGAAGCATCCGCTGTGTCAAGGCTCCAGGAAGCGTCAACAGCGGGCTCCTCGATGATCTTGGGCTGCTCAAAAACAGCGGCAGTGGCAGACTCCTCAGTCACAATGGACTCCTTGGTAGCGAGAGGGTCTTCGGTAGGTTGTGCCGGCGCTGCGGTTGCATCATCCCCTACCTGCGCGGGAATCTCCTCGGCAGGAGTGGACGCAGGGGCGGACTCGTCAATGGAGATCTGCTGTTTTTCGTTCTTATTATCCTTCTTCCCCTTCTTTTCAGACAAAGAGGTTTCTTCGACAAGGGCCTCGGGAGGATGGTCGTCCTTGGAAGTCTCGACGGATTCATCCAATGCAGGAGAGATGTCAACATGGGTTTCGGCAGCGAGCTCCTCCTTGGGGGACTGGAAGAACTCTTCGACAACTGAGAGGGGGTTTTCGAGGGGGACCTGAGACGGCTCAGTGCTCGCGACGCGCTCTTCCTGTGTGGTCTCAAGAGAGACATCTCCCTGGGAGAACAAGGGCTCAGAGATAGCTTCCTGCAGAGTACTAGGCTGGGCGTCGTCAACCTTCAAAGGGAGGGTTTCTAGCCCTTCGGAAGAATCCAGACTCCGCCCTGTAGGCTGAGCCCTGTAGGCTGCCGACTCGTCCCAAGCAGCAGCAAAGTCATCAGCAACAGCTGTTACAGGCTCGCTGGGAGGGTCTATGGGCGTTGCCTCCGCTGCGGTTTCATCATCCGCGACCTGTTCTTCAGCACGAGCAGAAGGAGCGGCAGGTTCTTGAACGCTGGTGGAAGGAGAAGCAGAAGGCTTGTCGAGGGCATCATATTGCGAGGCGTTCTTTTTATCTTTCTTCTTCTTCTCGCCCTCCTTCAATAGAGCTAGAGCCTCAGTGCTGGGTTCGGTTACAGGTTTCTCAAGAAATGAATCCGGCTCGTTCGCCGCCACCACGTCAGGTTCAACATCTTGGGTGGCAGAAGTCGATTCAGCGATGGTGGCGGACATATCGTCTTCCTTGACTTCGACAGAGGCCGTTTTTGGAATACCCGCAGGTCCCTCCGCAGTGGACGCCATAGCGTCAACAAGAGTCCCAGCATGTTCAGGTGGTGCCTTACGATCCTGCGATGTTTTGGGCTCCTCAGAATGCTTTGTTTCAGCAGAAGGAACATCGACAGTCCATGCATCCAGAGCTCTATCCTCTGCTGCGAGGTGGTCGCCGGTTGCAGTGGGCTGTTTGACGATAACCTTGTCAGCGACAGCCTCTCCCTGCAGGGCTGGGGCTGCCGAGATGGTCTTCTTGTTTTTCTTCTTGTTCTTCTTGCTTTTCTTGGAAGCAGCTGGGGAGTCTTGAGGTTCAGCTTCGACAGCATCAAGTTCCTGCTGCTGTTCCGCAGACTTCTCCCGTGGCTGCCCCTCTTGCTGAGGCTGGTGCTCCGGGAGGTCCAGCGATTTCTCCTGCTCTTGCGGCTGCACCTGCAGGGACTTCTCCTCCTGCTGCGCGGGCGACTCCTCGGCTAAGGGGGAAGGCGCAGGCTCCTCAGTTAGGGCATCTATGTCAAAGCCAGCAATTTCCTTCTTGTTGGCAGCAGCCGCCGCAGCCTTCTTGGCCTTCTTGGCCTTCTTCTTTGCTTTGCCGGTGAGCATGGAAAAATCCTCTTCGGTTGGGAGCTCTCCTTCCCGGGCGGGAGCAGTTGATTGCTCCTCTGGTACAACAGCATTAGTGAACTCTTCGGGAGCGATAGCAGAAGTGGGCTGCTCCTCCAGTACAGTAGAAGGAGTGGGCCCCTCGGGTCCAACAACAGAAGTGGACTCCTCGGGTGCATAATCCGAAACATCGTGGATCTCCAGGCTACGCTCTTCCTCGTTCTGCTCCTCAACGGTAACCGGTAGCTGCCGCTGCTCGTGATACTCTTCAGCAGCCATGAACGGGGGTGAGTCATGAGTCGTCTGACGAGAAAGAGTCTCGTACTCTTCCAAAGCATCAGAAAAGTGCTCGTCCGCGGAGGCCAGACTCTCATCGACATCGACAAAGAGTTGCTGTCTGCTGCCTGTCTTCTTCGTCGGGGTGGTATCGATGCCAGCTGCCCAATTGTCATCATCGCCGGCGAGCTCGGCAAAAATGGTCCTGTCGGACTTGGCGGATGAAGGTCCCGACCGGTGGAGGAAAGAGCTCCTGTCCTTGGGCATAGAGGTAACAGTGTCGGGCCCTGGACCTTCGGCGGCGGTGTAAGCAGAGAAGTCTGGGAAATCGGGCCTGAACTCTGCCTTGGGCGTGGTTTCTTGAGAGCCTTCCGCGTCCCGAACAGGTGTGTCGGGCAGAAAGCCTGTGTCGAGGTTGAGAGGTGGCCTGGCGACCTCGTTGAGCTCTTGATCGCCGAGCGCATATTCATCAGCAGACTCCCAAGTCTCAGATCCAGGGCCGAGGGAGCTCCCGGACGATGCTTCGCTCGGTGGGAGTGCTGGCAGATGTTCCTGCTTCGAAGAATCTTTAAAGGAGCCATGGCGAGCATGCTCAAGCAGGTAGAGAGGCTTGATCTCACGGCTGGTGTCCCAAGATGTGGAACGCGGTTGACGCCTTCCTGATACAGACGAGTCGGGCGCCCCGACCATCGGAGAGGTTCCGGGTGAGGTCTTGAACGTAGCTGGTGAGGACGGCCCAGACCTCTGTCCCAAGCGCAGCTGGATGGGTATGGCGGTGTTACTGGGTGACTTGGGGTGGGTATCCATGACGCTTCGGCGACGGATGTGCGAGGTCCGTTCGCGTCTGCTGTTCTGCTCTTCTGGGGGGGTGTCTGGCCGACTATCCGGCAGACTAGGAAGATCCTCGATGGGCTGGAGTGGTGATGCAGGCTCGCTAGGGGGAAGAGGGAGCAGGTCACCATACCGGGGGTCGATGGCGGGCTTAATGGTACGTGCGACAATGTCGGGGTCGAAGTCGCTGGCATCGCGGAAGCCGCGGTCACCTCCGTCTTCCTCGTGAGAAGTGCCTTTGCGTTCCGAGGAGTCTTTATCTTCCTCGCTGGCATTCTGGCGGGAGGGGGCCGCTTCAAGGGCTCCGGCACCCGCCAAGCCGACACCCGCGCCAAGGGTGTCGGCACTATCTAAAAAAGACTGACTCTTCTTGCCGTCGTCTTTGCTTCCAGACTTGAACATGCCAGAGAACAGGCCACTGCTGGACCTCTTGACGGGGAGCTTACTCTTAAAGCCACCAGGAGCAGAGACAATGGATTTAGAGTCGTCGTCAGAGTTATCGTAGCGGTATGACCGCCTGTCAGTGCGCTTGTTGTCGCTGCGCGACTCTAGCCGGACAGAATCATCAAGAGAGCTTCGGGATTTCTTCGAGTATAGGTCATGCGATCGTCGACTAGAGCGTTTGTCTTCGTAGCGCGACAGCGATACGACGGAACTCACATCCCTCTGTTGGAAAAAATCGCGGGACTTCTCAGGGGGCGTGTCGGGGAGCGATCGCCCGTTAGAATGTTTGTCATCGTACCGTGACTCTGATTTGATGGAGCTCACGTCCCTATCCTCGAAGGGTTCACGATACTTCTCGGTAGGCGTGCTCGGCCTCGATCGCCTACGGCGACGGGATTCTGAAACGACGGAGCTCACGTCCCTGTCTTCAAACAAGTCTCGGTCCTTCCCAGGAGCTGGGTCACGGTAGGTCTTGTTGAAGTCCTCCTCGGTTTCGCTTCTGCGCTTAGACTTCTTGCTCTTCTTGGACGACGTGGGCTGGTCCCATTCGTCATCAGAGTTGATGGCTTGAGAAGAGCTCGGGTCGGGGACAGAGTCGCCGGGGCCGTAGACCATGGGGTTTACGTCGCCGTACGACCCATGGCTCTCGTCGGCAGCGCCCTTATCGGCAACTTCCTCCCGAACAAACGAAGGCTCCGGCTCGGCAAAGGTAGCGTAATCATTATTAACGGTCATCTCTTCCTGTGCTTTGGCGGCGGCCTTGTCACGCTTGCGCTGCTCCTTCTTGCTGAGTTGAGGAGAGACATCGATGAGCGCCTCGTCAGTGGCAGGAGGTTCTGGGGCCTCGGGCAGGGGCTCTCGGGAAGACTCTTCTTTTTCTTTGGGGGTAGCAGCTTCGGAAGCGGCCCCGGCGGCATCATCTTCAGCATACTGCTGCTCCCTGATCTTCCTTTCGCGCCTCTTCCTCTCATTTTTGCTCAGGTTGGCCCAGTCGTCGGCGGGAGCGGCGGGCTTGACTTCATTCTTGACAGTCTCAACCTCGCCAATGACGTGTCCAGTCGTGCCATTGCCGTTCAGGTTATCGTCAGAGCCAGGAGGTGAGTCGCGGCGTCGGAATGTGGGGTCATCAATGACCAGATTAGGATCGAATCCAGTATCCTTCAGGCCAGCTGCCAGGGTGGCCGCAAACTCGATATCGTCAGCGTAGTCACCGGCGATCTGATCAGCAGATGGTTTGGGGCCGGGAATAGGCGGTGCTTCGCCGTCATCAACATTGACGTAGTAGGCACACTCAGTCCTAGGCTCAAACTCCTTGGGCGATTCCGTCACAACAATATCAGGTTCATTCGTCGGCTCAGCCGAGCTTCCAGCAATTGCAGAGGCAATCATACCCCACGGACTGGTCTTGCTGAGATGAGGTCGTGACTTCTCGTCTGGTGGCGTCATATTTTCGAGTCGCGGAGATTCATCCCTAGAGTCGGGAGTCTCGAAGCTCTTTGTCTCATTTTCACCCCAGCTAACTGACTTGGAGCTGGTGGCGGGAAGGCCAACTGTAGATTTAACATTTTCTTCATAGTCCCTTGAGCGGCGGTAGACGGTACTCCTGTCAGCGGAGGGCGCGGCGACTTCTGACTTGGACGATGAGATGTCCGTGGTCTCCCAAGAGTCTCTGTAGTCCCTAGAATCCCTGGCCTCCTGTACCTTCTTGGCTTTCTGAGATTCATTGGCTTCCTGAGCTTCGTTGGCTTCCTGAGCTTCGTTGGCTTCCTGAGCTTCGTTGGCNTTGGCTTCCTGAGCTTCGTTGGCTTCCTGAGCTTCGTTGGCTTCCTGAGCTTCGTTGGCCTCTTGAACTCTCCTGGCGTCCTTGGCCTCCCGGGCTCTCTTTTCTGGCGTAGGAGTGTGCTCGCGGCTAGGTAAAGGGGTCGGGTAGACCAAGTTGAGGAGAGGCCTCTTGCGCTCGTGGCCATGGATCTGGTCCTCGCCGAGGGTTTGGAACTTCTCGGCTTCCCTGGGTGTAAACCTGTTGTCGATACGAACATCGGCGTCGGGTTCGGCGTAGGGGCCCTTGTTCTTACCATTGTACTCAGGCGGCGTGACGACCCTAACAAAGGGGGTCGCGTTGTCGATGTCTTTGTCCTTGCCCTGGGCGTCGGACCTGTCGGAACTCCTGCTGCGGTTGGAGCGAATCTTCTCAGCGGCAATCCTTCGTGCAATCTCGGACTCTCTGTAATACCTGTCTGCGTCCTCCTGGACGGGGTCCTTGGTCCGGCGATTATCGTCACGGCGATCCTGGTCCTTTTGATTGCGACTACGGTCTTCTGAGCGGGATGGGCTAGCATGAATTGCGCCGGCCAGGGCAGTAACTGCGGTGGCACCTGCAACATACTTTCCGGTGTCACTATGAGTCTTCTCAGAACGATCCTTGTCTTTGTGCTCCGAGACCATGCTCTCAATCTCGAATGAGTCTCTGCGGCTCAGCCTTCCATTGTGGGCAAGGGGTTCGCCGTCAGAATCGGAGTCAAACTTTGGCTCACGCTCAACTGTGAAAACAGCTGGCGTGAGAGGTCGCTCGGGCTCCGCTGGGCCGGCGGGAAGCTGGGCGGTAGGTAGTTGTGCGGCAGGCAGTTGAGAGGTGGGGGGCTTGGAGGCGGGAAGCCTATCGAAGAAGTCGACCTGGTACTGGAATGGGTCATAGGGTCCTTCAGTGAGAAGCTTCGGCGCAGCGTCGGTTTTAGGTTCTTCGGTCTTTTCTGCCGCAGGAAGCTGGTGTTTCTCTGAAAGATGGTACTTCTCGGGAAGGTGGTATCTCTCGTCGAAAGTCTGAGACTTGTTGCGAGTGGATGAAGGGACGACGGCGTATGCGTCTCCCTCCTTTTTGCGACGGGATGAGCGTTTGCGGTCCTTGTCCTTCTCATCATCATCCTTGTAAGAGTAGGAATCACGTTTCGACCTGCGCTCCTTTTCTTTGCCATTGACCTTTTCGTCGACGTCGTTGTAGGAGAAAGAGTCGCGTGTTGGCCTGCGCTCCTTCTCCTTGCCTTTATCCCTGCCCTTGTCATCGACATCCTTGAGAGAGGCGTAGGGGGCACGCTTCGATGCATGACGCTCCTTGTCCTTCTCCTTGCCCTTATCCTTGCCCTTGTCATCAACATCCTTGAGAGAGGCGTAGGAGGCACGCTTCGATGCATGACGCTCCTTGTCCTTCTCCTTGCTCTGGTAGTCGTCACGGGCGGAGCGCTGGTGTCGTTTCTCCTCGCGGTCCTTCTCCTTGTCGTCGCGGTACTTGCCCTTGTCATCGCGAAATACCTCACTTGCCTTACGCTCTTCCAGGTTGTGGCTGGATATGACGGCGCCAATCGCTGCGCCACTGACGGCAGCGGCAGCGGCGCCAGCCAAGGCCCAGTCCTTATCGGAGGGCTTCTCGCCAGAGGTCTTGCGCAGCTTTTCGAGCTCCTGAGAGTTGATCTCATCCAGCTTGTCAGCATCGTAGAGCTGGGGGGAGACCGTCTTGTGGGGGACGGGTTGCTGAAGGGGGACTAGTCCGGGGCGCGAGCGGCGCGGCAGGTCGGTCAATGCGTCGCTCGTGATGGCCAAGGCCAGGGGTTCTTTGGGGGAACGCCTGGGTCCCTGGCGGTCAAAGGGCACAACAGCCTTCTCGTCCCCTAAGTTGTAGGGAGTGTCGATGATTCCGCGGAGCGAATTAGTCGGGCCAAACAGGCGAGGGTCGACAACAGAGCTCTTCCTGCGACGGTGAGCAGCCACGGGAACGCCTGCGGCGGCAGCTCCTGTAGCTCCTGCCGCCGCGGTAGCCGCGGGTCTGGGGGTGTGGGACACTGTGGTGCCGTATGCCATTGATGAGTCAACGCTGCCTGAATCATCGGACGTATCATCTTCGTCGGAAGCCGACTCCCAATCCGAGTCGTCTGAGGAGGAACTGGCAGATACTCTCGACATTCCTAGGCTGCGCCTGCCACCGCTGTTGTGACGCTTATGACGGCTAAACTCGCTATACCTAGAGGTGCCCGAGTCATACCTCGAGTTCTTAGACTTGTCCCAGCGCCTCAGGTCGTCGTCGGTCTGATGCTTGGCCAAATCGGACAGCTGGCGGCCGATTTCCATGATTTCGTCGTCCGTCTTTCGCCTGCGCGACGGGCCGGCCTTGGAGGAGCCGTGCGCGTCGGAGTAATAGTGGCTGGCAGCCATATCGGCAGCACCAGCTACCAAGGCTGTACCGCCGGCCATGGCACCGGACATGTGAGGTCGCGAGTTCGAATGCGAGAGGTGGTGGGAGGATGACTGGGGATATTGGTCGTGAGGCAGCTTGGACGGAAGCTGAGCAGCAGCGGAGGTATCATGGTTGCCAGACGATGTTCTCCGTTGAAATTCGCGGCTAGAACGGCTAATATATCCGGTTCCATAGGCGAGGTCAGAATTCACCGAGGAGGAGGACGAGTTGGCGAAAAAAAGGACGCGACGGCGCTGCTTCTTCTGGCCGCTCCTCTTCCTGCGCAGGGCCCGGCGCTCCGACGGAGCGCTAAAGAAGCTGGCGATTGCATTTCCCGGGCGCTTCTCGGGGTACCTCCGGGATATGTCGAGCAGAGAAGACGACGTGGAGCTAGATGAAGAATATAGGGAGTTTGATCCGGAGGAGGGGGGGCGCGCTCCTCGGGTGTTGGTGGTCATAAACCTGTCGTCGTCGCCACCGGTGAACTTTCCATCCGAGACCACTCGGGCAGCAGAGGGTCCGGGGTTGTTGTGGGATGATCTATTGTCATAGGCGGCAAACTTATCGTATGCGGTAGCGACGGCGCGAGGGCCAGTGATGTTTTTGGATGTGGTGGCCACTGTCGTTGTTGTTGGGATGTGGTGTGTGGAGTATGAGTAGTCGGTAGTAGCTGGGACGTGGGCGGGAACAGTCCTGTCGCGCTCGCTTCTCCTCTCACGCATCCGCCTCAAGGAGCTCTGAGGGCTCCCATGACGACGGTGGCCAACCATGACACTAGCCCGCGCGAAGTTTCTGTGCTATAGCCACGTCGTCGTTTTCTTTATGAGGGGAGACGGAGGTGTGATGAGTGTGAAAAGGGGGAGGAAGGAGAGAAACAGCGGTGCTGGATTGAAGATGATTAGGATCTTTGTTGTGTTATTGTGTTTTGGGAAAGAGTGGTTCGACCGTACGGATATTACCAACTATTATTACTATGGGACACAGGCTACAGCTGCACCTGCGCTACAGAACTCGAACCAAACACCACATTACATTACATGCCCCCCCCCCCGGTTTCCAGTCCCTCTTCTCAGCACTGATCTTTCTTTCAGCTCTTGATATCGCTGGAACCCGCTGCTCCAGGGATAAAAAATAACAAAGGACCCATTTAATCCGACTTAGCCAACAGGCGGTGGCTGGGGATGAAGAGCTCGCACGCCCCCACTGACCAATGACTCTAACGTCTGTATCGCTACCAACCAACGGCTTGCCCAACCTGAAAGTGGGGCTTTGCCCGAGATTCTGTCATCATTCATGGTCCCTCACCACCACCACCAACCCCCCCAGCCCCACGTGCGCCACTCTGTTTGTATCCATGTTGTGGCTAATACGATATGTATTATTTACTAGGTAATTCGTAAATTATATATCGTATTTATTAAGATCTCATATATGAATCATAACGAACAAGAATAGGAAAAGAAACAGAGAAGATAAAGCTTGAATTCCTTCTTCCCTCTTCCCTCACCTCTTTATATTGCATCACCTAGCCCACTATCACTGGTTTCCTCGTTTGTACAATGCAATAATCGGACAATGATACACATGCTACCCATGCTAACACCGCACGTACGTAGAAGTATACTCGTACCCGGCCAAGAATTTCCCCACCTGATGCCTTGCCAGCTGGCAATCTGGTAAGCTCGACGTCCCTGATTCGTCCATCTGCCCACCATCTTTTTTTACAATGTCCTGAATACCACGTAGTAATATGTAGTGCTGAGTACTACCACCAAGAAAAGAAAACATCATACCCGGTGTCATTCCATTCTTTTTCCATCAAATATAATTCAAGTTTTTCAAGTGTCCGTCGCAACCCGAAAGTCTATTTTAGTAGTGAAAGGCACTCATACTGGTATTTTATTACCGTAGTAGCAACAGTAGTAGTGATACAACTAGTATTACTATCGATGCACTCCGGAACTTTTACCTCGTGATAGCAATTAGACAATACCGAACTAGTGATTTATCGCGTGCCACCAAGGTTCACTTCAATTCACTGGCAATCTCACACTCACACTGCTTTCTTATGGATACCTGTAGTTTCTACAACCAAGGCCCACATTCTGCAATGCATGGGTTATAATGCTGGCAGGGTACAAAACGTACGAAATCTTTACAATCTACTGGCCAACTTTCTTAATACTCGGTCCAATGAGATAGATATGATACTCTGCAACTCTAGGATTGATATTATTTTTCTCATTACCCGCATTACACTGTCCACCCCACCGGGGGGGGGGGGTACAGATCAAGACATTCCAGGCAACGAATTCGCAGACTTCCTCGCCAAGATTGGAGCATCATTCCCCCCTCCATCAGGAAATCAGACACGCACAATAAGCTACGCACAACGGAAAGCCAAAGTACAAGGATACCTCTTCTAACAGTGGCAGGAAGAACACTAACCGACATCATATAAACCCCTCCAAGTTCTCGCATCTAGGAAGCTAATCAGAGAGTTATTCCTCCCCAGACCTTAGCTACACAGACTACTCGCCGCATGTTCAGGCCACAGCGACTTCTACGCATACCATACGCAGTAGCATCAGAACGATGCCCTCCTTACATGTTGTTACAGGAGAAAGGGAATCACAACATATATCTTTTATAGGAAGATAACCTCCTTTAACAGATACTTCCGAGGTCTCACAAGCCCTCGGTACGGAATAGAAAATCTTCAATAAGATCACAAAAGACAGATCCTTCTTCTTGAAGGCCTATAAGAACTGTTTAAAACCAGATTAGATCACACTTTCCTCGAGAAGGTATATAAAACTATAGACACTAAATAAATTAGAAACAAGAGGCGGAAGGTGTCGTAGTAAAACACACCATAGCTTAGGTAAGCTGGACTCGGCCATAAAACTGTCGAGTCCAGCACTACGATAATAATACAATAACGAGAACTTTGACACCACAGAACACCTGACCTACCTTGAACATATGCCAGAAGTGTTTGTGGTGTATGCTCTTACAAACCTCTCTTGTTATACAACTACATCTAAATATCCTCTTATTGCCCAAACACCCCTCCCGCGATTCCTCGCACTCGGTCTTGTTCATGTGTCGACCTTGATGTCTGCACAGTCAAATTCGACAGTCCTTGTCGGATCACAACAGACAAGGACAATTTTCTGCCAACAAACACAGCAGAAAAGTATGACAGGAGGTTAAACCGTCAGGTCACAAGGATGTTCGAAATACCTCATCTTACTGGAAATTCATCCCTTTCCTTTATACTCTAGATAAGATAGGTGCCCTTTGTCCTCTTTAGGAATAGCGTTAAACAAACAAACAACCATACACTGTCCAACCCTCTCTACATATACACCACCCGACGCATAATAATAATGATATATGTGTGAACTTGCTATGAGGTTTTTTGAATTAGTCATTTTCTCCTGGGTAATGCAAAGCAGAAAGAGCACCGACTTGGACTCGCGTCGTTCTAACCAATCTTATATCCTCGATATTTACATTGAAAACCGCCGAGGCTACCGATTGATGGCATTGGGAGAAAGAAAAAGGAATAAAGAAAAAAAAAAAAAAGGAAGGACACAGCCCTTCCAACAACCTGGTACTTTGAAAGTGTTGGAAGGGGTTTTGTCCTTTCAACAACTCTGGAAAAAAAGCGGAAAACATCGTAAATCATCCTTCTACATTTGTGACCCCAGTTTCCGGAAAAACCAGCGTAGATGTTTGTGACCCTCAAACCTTGAAGCATAATAACGTCAGACCTAATAACACCATGACTCCGTTATATCATGAGAAGAAAGAAAAGATAGAACTAATATTGAAGGGAGAACGAAAGACTCTTCAAGTGAACTGTCTATCTTTCATGTGCTCGTATTTTTTTTAGCGTTTGGTGCGTGTTTCAAGCTTTTCATGTTTTGTGTCGATGCGTTGTCGTCAGTGTTCCCCCCTGGCGGCCCGGCTTCTCGTAATTCGGCGGTTAGCCGTGTCATCCCTAGGTGGGCCCGGGGTTGATGGGCCAATATCCGTACTGGGAGGGGACTCGGCTGGCGCCGGCAATTCCCTAATGTGACTGGCAATCGTGTCAGGGTTCGAGCGTCTTGCGAAGCCTCGGGCGGCCCTATGCGACCCGAGGTCGACCTCAATAACCCTCAACTGCTGCGGCTGCGACTGTGGTTGCGATTGCATCCTGGCCTCAGTATTTCGTGGTCTGGTAGGTGAAGTGCCATCTATCGTGGTGTCGCTCATAACGGCGTGAAGAAATGTAGGCCTGTGGGTCGCATGCTGCTGTCTTGAGAGGGTTCCAGCCGAAGAGGGCGGGGTGGGGATATCATGGGCCCTGCTTTGGGAGGGGGTCTCGAAGTTCCAGGGGCTACTCTGGTGGGAAGTATCTGTACGAGGTGTCCGGTGACTTCTCGGCGGGGTGAGTATCGGAGGATGGCGCATCGCGGGATATTGTTGCTGCCCAGAGGATGTCAGGACAGTCGTTGTGTGGGAATGTATATTTGCTGGTGGGTTCAGCCTTGGCCGCGTTCGTCGGTCATCCCCGTCACCATTATCGGACCGGTGACGTCGGTCTCCTGTTCGGGTGCCGTCCTCTTCTTCATCATCGTCGGAGCCTACGTCGTAGTTGTCGCCATATCCATCGTCGTACCCGTCATAGTCCTCATCAGAGTCGTGACTCTCGGCATTGTGAAGGAATCGGGCCATTATCTCCATGTGATCTTCAGGATCATCGCTACCAAATATCAGCATTTTGTCTCGGGAGAGAATATCAGGCCGGACCACATACTCTGGAGTCAGGACGCCCTGTGCCATCAGAGCGTCGGCGATGGACCTCTTCAGCGGTCCCGCGTACTTCACGGCTGCGGGTAGCTGGTGGCGACAATACGGGCAACACGGGGACTCCGACAGCCACTTCCGTAAGCATTTATCTCCGAAGACATGGTTGCACGCCGGAATGCGAACGGGACTCTCCTTAACACCATCGGGGCTCGTCTCGTTGAAGGGTACGTAGCATATATTGCAAACTAGTAGTTGCATCAAGTTAGCAAATATAGGGCAACAGAAGGAGCTGGCACCATGGGCACCTACACCTCTCATCCTCCTCTAGACCATTCGGGTCAAGGTACACCAATGTACGTATAGCATCCTTGGAGGCAACCTTGCGCATCTTTAGAGACCCATGGAACACTTGCAAGTCCCGTCTTGTTAGGCGCACACCTGATGGCGAGACCCTAAGAGCCACAGGCCTCCGATTGAAACGACGGCCGTGTCTGGTTGACGTGGAGGCTCGATAGGGATCCGAGCGAGAGCGAAGATGGGCATCGGCCGTTGATGGTGATGGCCGGACTCGGGCGAATTGTCCTGGCACGCATAGAAAGGTTAGTTGAAATCGAGCTAAAAGCTGGTGGTGTTTTTAGGAGGGAGAGCTGAGTGGCAAAATAAAGGAGGAAATGAAAGGCCTACTCGGAGGTGGAGGGGGCGGATTATGTGCCAAGGGCTCGGAGCCTCGTGATGATGGGTTGTGACTCCATGGTGACGTAAGATTTGGCGCAAGGTCCGCGGCGGCGGCAGCAGCAGTGAACCAAGTCGAAACACCTTGAGAGGACAGGAGAAAGCTCGACAGTGGCTGCGAGACAGATAGTTGCTCGTCCAATATGGTGCTGTGCCGAGGTTCGGTGGCTGGAAAGTCAAAAGCTACTTGTCCGGTCAAAGTTTCCGCGGAAGAGTCCGATTCCCGATTCCATGGCGATGGAGCGAATGCCGCCTCGTGATTGGGGGGTAAGCCTCCGTCAAACCCCGAGCGCAGAGACGGGAGTCTGCCGCTATCAAGGAACCCGATCGGCGGTATGGGCATATGGACCCATGGCATCTGGGAGGCCGGGGACGTAGATGGTGGGACATGTTGGTAGCGCTGCTGTTGCTGATATTGCTGGGAGACGGACCAGGAACCTCCTGGCATCGAGTGGTGGTGGTGGTTGTGGTGAACGGGGTTGAGCACCCGACGAGGAAGGACATTCTCCCCATCGTCGCGTGCTTCTTCAGCCATGATGGCAGCAGTCCCGTCTCTGTTCACTAACGCATCTCCCATCTATGGGAAACTGTCCAGTAGACACGCTGCCTGACCGTGAAAGCGGCTCAGCAGCGTCTGCACAGGCCCCTTTCGTTCCCCTTCTGACTATCCTTTAGGGAGATTCGATGGCCAGAATGATGGTACTTGACAGGCCTTGTCTCTTCCACAAAGCTCGAACTTGCCCTTCACGATTGAGGCAGGACAATCTAAATGTTTCGAGGGAGGCAGTTGTCTATATGGGATCGGCGAGGGTACGGCGTCTGGCGGTTATCGTCGGAAGTGGTAGACTGTCGGCCTGACGATATGGAGGAAGATATACGTTTGGAGGGAGGAGGAGTGTAGACGGCTAGGCGAGTAGCGGTAGTAGATCTTTGCGGCGGAAAACGTAGAAGTAAGGCGATTCGAAAGCGAGATCAAACTGAAGAAAAATGCAGCAGATATGGAAGAATAATTATGCCAAGGGGTGAGAGGAGAGAATGGCGGAAGCAGACGCCCGGCAACATGGCCAGTTTGAATTAATTGAAAAAGGCGAGAAGGGGAGAGAAGGACCAACAGCCAGGCGTGCAGCCGACTTGTCTTTCTCTCTGTCTCTTGTTGTCCTCTTTGACGAGAAGGTGCCGTACCACGGAAAGACTAGGGGGCACACTTTCTGTCAATCAGTGGCCTGCTTGATTGTGTTGCGTTTGTGCGCTCGGATTTCGCCCAGAACACACGGACAGCCGTTTTGCTTGTTGTAGTTGAGAAAAGACGGTCCTCCGTTGGGCGACGACTGACAAGCCCCACGAACGGTGTGTCAGGCTTTTTCTCAGGAGTAGGGAGAAGGAACAGTAATCAAGGCCGTAGACTGCAGATACCCGAGGGGTGCAGAGAAGAGAGGGAGAGAGAGTAGGTATGTTGTGTTCCCCCTTAGGTTGGTAGTTTGGTGGAAGAAAAAAAAGAGAGAGAGAAAGAGTCCGTACGAGAACTTCGTATACTCGAATGTCAGAGAGTCAAATACAAAAGACACATCTGGTCTTCGCAAACAGGTCAGGCGGCCACACACACACACCCTGGCCAGGAATGTGGAGGGGAGGGGGAGAGGGGGTCAAGGCGTGGCGTTTGAAAGGCGACGGGGGTCAGAGTGCACAGAGATGCGAAAGAAGAGGAAGAAGCTGCAGGAGCGACTACGAGCAGAAAAAAGAAGAGAAAGGCGAGGGGAGGGTTGCTCATAGGGAGTTAGTGGCACATGGTAAAAAATAAAATGTTTGTGTGTATGTGCAGGAGAGGACAGTGCTGTAACCTTCTCCTCATCATCCATGTTTGTATCGAGGTTAACGAGGTTAAAATGGACGTACGGAGCAGAGATGGAGAGAGAGAGAATGAGGGGTTACAAGAGCACTATTACGGAGTAATTACCAGGGGAGCAGCTACTTGGTACACGGGCATTCCGAGTCATGAGTTGTGACGATGCGAGACAGACACAACTTTTTGGACTGGGGTTGGGTTGGGTTGGTAGAAGGTCCGATCGGCGGAAGCAAGCAGCAAGCCCGGCAAAATGTCGCTCTATTTTAGCATTCAAAAGGCGAGAGGGAATGGTACAGTAATTATACAAGTATCACCATGTCTAGGTGCATGGGGTGGGTTTGTCGGGGATTGGGATTGGTAGTAATAGCACGTACAGGTAGGTGTATTATTATTACTCGTAAGAAGTAAGAGGGAAAAGGTGGTGTTGTGGCTACTACTTTGGTGAGTACTCCTACTAACTAGATTGTGTCGAAAAAAGGATACAATCAAATGCTACCAAAGAAGAAAAGACGACGTAATAATAGTATTTCTATCCCAGTCTGACATCACTCTATGAGTACGCCTGGGTAAGAGACCTTGCTTTTTGCCTTGGCTGAGAGTCAAGTATCCTAATACGAGTACGGATCCACTACCCCCAAAACCTCCCCGTGGTAGCAGTAATACGTCGTAACCGGTGTACCGTCGGGTGGCTCTGCCTCATGGGACCCCTCCCTTCTCCCTCTCTCTCCTTCTATCCCTTGCACTGCGCTGCATCATGAGACTTTCTGGGTTCCACTGCGATGCATTTTGCGTCAAAGTAGCTCAAGAGAATATGTATTAGCGCATGCGTGGTCATTAATTGTTGTTTGCCAGTATTACGACGTATTTTATGACACTCCGTATGCCTATCAACGGAATGAATATTAATAGTCTGTACGTTTCTCGCCCCCACCATCGTTGGCGTCATGACGAGAATCCGACCGACTGACCGGTCGATAAGAGGGAACTGGCCACCTGGACTGATAGAGTAAAAATGGGAGTCTTCTCCCAGTATCAGTCCATACTAGTACTTGTCTCTTCGCTGCTTCAGACGCTATAGGCAGGTGAGTCTAAGAGAGCCAGAAAAAAAGACAGACTGGCGGGTAGACACATGATTCTTCTGAATTAATATACTTGGTCACGTCAGAATATAATCCACCGTCATGTGCAATGTCTACAAATCAAGTGCCAAATGTGCACCGTCCGTTCCGTACTCTCTCGTCTCCTCGAGGGTAGTCTTACAACATACTCCTTTTATGCCCTATGTCGCTTTCTTCCATGTATCATAAAAACGCCTCATGATCCTGGAAAAAGAAAACCAGGGGACAGAGGAATAAAAGAAGAGGAAGGAGGAGGCGGAGGATAAAAAAAGTAAAGGAAGGATAAAGAGAGAAAAAGAGAAAGAGAGAAGAAAAAGCAGGCGGAGACTATCACTTCCTTGGCAGACGATACTTCCCCCCGACCAGCTCTAACTGATTCTCCGCCACCTTTTCGTCTAGAAACTCCTGCAGCTCCTCATTACTCCATGGGCAGCCGTCCGCAATAAGCATCTTCATCATCATGAGGATTTGGCCCAATGGCATCGACGGTGCCGAGTTGGTCAGCATGCCCACAATAAATTGCCAGTATACGCCCTGCCGCTCCTTCTCTTGTGAGCTGACGCCCTTGGCCTTTCGTGGCGACGGCTGCGACGTATCCGCTTCAGCCTCATCTCCGGTTGCATCGGCATCCGCACCGGCTTCTGCGGAACCCTCCTGCTCGAGCGTCTCCATGACGATGTACGTCTGATTTCCTGTGTCCTTGAGAACCCTTTGCGACACCCAGAATGCTAGTGCTGCCTCGAGAAGGTCCTCGTCAATCATAAGATGCTGCCAGAGGTCTACAAACGTCTTCTGTGCTGGCGACGCCGACTCATCGTCCGTCTCATCTTGAAATGCGTATATGACGGCTGCCTCGTATGTCTTGCATTCGACGGTAACGGACCGATCCGTCAAGTCGAGCTGCACTGTAGCCGTACCCAGGTGATCCAGCCAGTTGAGTTTGCGCGCGTTTTTGAGCTGCTCGAAGCCTGCCTCGTACTGTTCCTGTAGTTCGGCAACGGGAAGCGGCACTTTGAACGACTCCTTGGGCAGACTGGGCCAGAAGAGTCGTGACAGGATTTTGGAGTGGAATGACGGCGCTTCGCTTCCCGTCGCCGTCTCCTTGCCAAGGTGCCTCCCCAGCGCCACGTCCACCCGTCTTGAGTCGTGTATGTCCTTAACCATGACGTCGCAGTTCTGTAGAGCATTCTCCCCGAATCGCCTCTTGAGTAGCCCGAGCACCTTGAGCTCTTGTTGGTAGCCGGACTGGCTGCTGGAGAGCAGGCGCTCTGCGATGATAGCCTGGAACTCTTTGATAAAGATATCTTGAGACCCAAGCGCGCTTATCAAAGTTCCAATGACATCCTCGCTCTTCGGTCGCTTGTAGTTTACGCCTGCATCGACGGGGTCTGGCACCCACGTCATGTCATCCCAGTCGAGCTCATCAACATCTGCATGTCGGCGCTTCTGTTGTGTCGGGTCGTTCAAAATGACGGCCAGCTCGCCTAGTCTCTTCTTGCTCTCCTCCTCATCGAGGTCCTTGGGGTTCGATAACAGGCCCATCACAACTATGCGAATTGCATCGTCCCTCTGACGTAGATACAGCTGCAAAGCATGGACGACGCGGTCGAGGAGGACCTTGGAGTGGTCTAGGGCGTGAAACGTGCGAATCATGGATATATATGTCTGTAGTATGTAGAGTGTGGAACAGCCGGGGTGAAGCAGTCGCTTCTGTAGTGCAGCCGAGAAGGTGTCAGTGAGTTGGAGACGGCGGCGCGGCGTAGTCACAGCGGAGCGGAGGTCTTCCACGCCTCCTTTGCTCTCTGGCCAGTGTAGAACGATCTCAAAGAGCTCGCTGATGCGGAGCCCAACAAGGCGTCCGATGGCAATATCCTTCCAACTCTCCACCTCGCTGTACTCAATCTGGATGCCGATCCGGCTGAAGACCAAGACGGAAAGCTGGCCGTACTGGTTCTCTACCCAGTCGCACAAATCTGCCATGCAGCCTGTGAGTATCGAGGTGGCAGTGGTCAGCGACGCCGCAGGGCCGCCCATCTCAGTCCACATACCGGCATACTTTTGCCGGATGAAGGTTCGCATGCAGCTGTCCATGACCTCGGCGAACAGGATCTGGAACTTGTCGCCAGTCAAGCCCACCTTTTGCAGCGATTCAACAAGCCCGAGAAGTTCATTGCGCGGCTCGTTGATGAAGCTGTCTGCATCCAAGTCCGATGATATGCGGCGAGAACATAGCACATCGAATGTGAGCTGACATAGGACCACGCGCAGGGCACTTTGCAGCCCCGGCGTCCAGGAATTGCTAATGGTAGCGCGTAGGTCCTTGCGGAAACGCGAAACCGAAACATTGGACTTGGACGGATTCCCAATGCCACGCAATACCAACGACAGGCCGTAGAGGTACTGGCGGTGGGCAGCTTCCAGAGTGCGGATGCTGGAGAGCACCACGTCGCTGGCCCCTCCCTGGCCGGCACACGCAGACAAGAGCGGCATGACGTGATTAACAAAGTGCTGTCGGACCTGCTGGGCGTGCCACACCAGAATATCCTCGGTGTAAGCGGCATGAGGCAGGGCGTCGTGAGGGTCCAGGACGAGGGCGAGAGAGGAGATGAAGGTCTCGTCCGTCTCCTGAGTCTCCGGGGTTAATGCCCCGAACGAATCCTCGACGGCCACCGATGAAGGGAGCTGGATGCGCGACGTGACGACGTGCCATGCCCTATCCCAGCGGACCTGGTCTGCGGTAGCCGAGCTGACATGGCGGTGGTGATGGTCGAGGCGGGCGATGGGTGCTGAAATGGTAGTAGGGCCGCCAAAGTGCCCACTAGGCTGAGTGGCTGGGAGAATGGGCGTGGGAAAGGATGTGTGGGTGTCAAACACGGACCGGAAGACCTTGTGCTTCCGTGCGCGTACTTTTGACACGGCCATGGCGCGTAATCACTGTGTTGCGCGCGCTCGCCTTTTGCGGGGGAAAATTTCACTGTTGCAGAAGAAGAAGCCACACCTTAAGGGGAGAGGAGCTGCATGCTTATGCTGACGTCTGAGGTGGTGGCCCTTTCTCTGCCTGCAGATGCGAGTACGGAGAACGTCCTTCTCTTGTAGGTCTCCTCTGCGTCTAGGAGCTGAGACTGGCTGAGGGCCGGACGTTCAGGACCGTCTTGGGATTTGATGAGAATGACGAGAGGTGGCCGATGGCGATGATGATGGTGGTGGGGTGAATGATTGTTTTGGTTTAGGCTATGCACGTGCAGCATCAGGCGCGACTGAGCTGTGAGCGCGTCTGCTAAATTAAGCGACGAGAGCGCTTAGCACGGTTAGAGACTGGCCAATCCGAGAGGGTGATGATATATCAACCATTAAGGCCTGGTAGACGCAGTGGGAGGGGGTGCATCACTGTGCGTCGGTCTAAACAATACAACACGAAGTGAACTAACAAAACAATATCGCAAACCACAAAGGTATATCTGCCATGCATCGTGGGATGGATATATGCCAAGGTGGCTTGAAGAAGCTGCACATTTAATCAGTCGAATCAACTGTTGGAACCCTCCTCCACCGTAAGCACAGGCGTCAAGCTGACGTTCGCGGGAGGGTGGGAGGGGGAGCAGCCATCATTCGGGAAATGATTTAATGTGTCGTAGACTCGTAGCAGTTTGCCCGACTCATAAGACATACTTGTGCGCTACACTTGTATCGGCCGGGGGGCATGAAGAGAAGGAAAACGCGGCATATCTCATTGCCTTTCTTGTATGCATCCTTTACTGAATATTTCAGCACTGTAGAGAGCACGGAAAACTCAAAATGACGGCGTTGAACACTGCCAACTTCCTGTCCGAGAGATGCAGGAATAGTATTACTGTACTATCACTAGGGAAGAAAGAAGAAAAAGAAGCCGGCAGTTTAAAGGGACCCTCCCTACCTCTCCCCAATGAGCCAACCCCCCACTGCAACTCTGCCTGGCGGCCGCTCCCACTTGGTGTTTCGTGCCTCCATGGTAGCAGGAACTAGAGTATCTCCTGACGGGTAACAGGGGGGTCTAGCAGTAGGCAGGTCGTAGGGGTGTCGTGAGAGGTGGCGGCAAGGTAGTTGGTTGCGGTGTACATTTATGTAGATGCAATCGTCAGGCGCGCTGTACGATGTACTGTCGAGTTTCTGTACAACTTGGCCTTGTGCAGCTAATTTTAAATATGTATATACATACATGTATTCTTGCAAGCGGAGCCTACTTGCGCCGTGTACTCGTAATTGCGCAATTGCGCTCCCTCTCCTCCCTTCTTCTTTCGGTATTTTTAAATACTGAACAATTAAAAGTAAATATATTACCCGTTTCACTGCGTCACACGGCCGTGGTTATGCGTTCTATCTCTAGCATAGCCTTACGATGTATTCTTGATCCCACGGAGGTGCATGGCAATACCGTATTACTTTACAGAATATGCCTGCACTAACATGTGAGGGGACATATATGCAGAGGTCAACTGCTAGCGAGTCTAAGCAAAACCGAGTGGCTGTGGAGGTGTGAAGGGGGGAGCCGAGGGGTGTTGATCGCAGTTTGCCCAACGGAATGCAGAGCGAGGCAAGTCATGGCGGTCTGCTCCGAATTTCGGCATACCTTGTACATTTTCACGAAGCAGTCACTTTACTATTTCTACTTTCATGTTTTTTTCAGCTCCTGTTTCTTTTCTATTTAGATTTCTGCTTCTTTTGGTTCATCTCTCCAATACTTGTGTGTGCTGGGTAGATCAATCCATATGTTCGGGGAGAAAAAGGGGCGTAAACCATTAGTTGACTAACTACTGCTGGTGGTCATCAATATCGCACATGTTACCAATTCGTGCCGTAGGGTCCGAGAGTTTCATGCACGTCGTCGTACGGGAGCTAGCACTTGCCGCAGCATTACAAGTCACTACGGTTGACGGATGGGCAGTTATACGGAGCGCAGACCAGGGCCTCCTTTTTCAATTCATCACGTCCTATGACGGCAATAACGTCACGGCAATAGTACACGGGAATAGTCCATTTGAGTGGCCCGAGTTGAGACTTGTTTGCAATCGGCTTGTCTGGTACATGTGTTGTCATGGTGGTGGTAGTGGCCATGATGAATCGCCGGAATACACCCACAAGTACGAAAAGAGAAACCGAAATAGTACGGCCTTTTAAGACCGACCTTTCTTATCCTTAATACTAGGCACGTAGGGCCTTCTTGAACATGGAGACGAGAACCGCGTTGTCGAGAGCACTTATTGGCCAACCCCATGTCGCGGCTCTAGCCATCAGTCTGATGTCAGCGCCTGGCAAGACTCTTTATAGCCCTATGTTCAGCTAGATATGCTGGGGGACAACTACCTTGTCGTCCATGTGAATATCACAGGATTACGATGTACGTAGATATTAGGCCCAAGACAAACCATAATACAACTGAAAACAGAAAAGACGCATGCCATGGTACATACATTCTACAAGTATCTTCCGTTGGAGGAAAACAAAATAGGTGTATAAAAGAAAGATAAATATAACAAGACTGACGAATATTGATTCGAGGAACAGGTTGTGTATGCATGCTGCCCGATTTTGACTGATTTACGAGGAACCAACTTCGACTTAACATGGCCCCCTTTCCCCTCTTTGAAAGAGAACCTGAATAATCTATAGACTATATGCTGTCGAATGCACACTCTTACGCTGTATTCCGAAAGCATCGTCGTCGGCTTGTACCAACGCATGCCTACAGCTACGTACCCGTTGTCCCCCCCCTCCCCCCCGAGGGTTCTAAGCGTTGTGGTATATTGCCATAGTACAGCAATACGTAGTTTGGGCAAGCTGAACTCGACCATGAAAATGTCTAATTCGACAAGGTCAATAGAAAGACTAGAATTTGGCAACTAGCAACACACAACCCATCTTGACCGCGTTCTGGTGTCATCACCCGTTTTATATTGAAGCCAGGAATGCTTTATTTGCCTTTGTCTGTTGCCTTCTTTGATTTATGCTCTTAGTCTCGCTCATGTCGACTTCGAAACGGTTCTGGCTAGAATTGACAAGAACATATCTGTCTTTGATGAACAACAGGGGAAAGAGTACGGAGGTATGTGTGCCGACCAATTGATGCCTTTCCCTGTCCTGTCTTGCCCTGCCCTGCTCTCTCCTTCCTGGTTATCTTTGCCCATTCGCCTCTTCTTTGTTGCCTTTTGCGACATGTAATATTGCACTCTCATCACACTCCTGCAAATACTAACACGCGACACAAGCGACATCAACCGCCGTGATAGTAACAGCAAACCACAGACAGGGAAGTAAACTTGCCTTCAGACACACACGATACCCATATTTTATAGGCAGAGGACTTTTGTCAGTTCTGTCTAGTTTATGGTTGAGGATACTACGTCTCAACGAGTTTCACACAGGCACAGTCCCCTCTCCCCTCTCCTTCTTCTTCATCCTCGGGAGGATCAACCGACAGTCTGTAGCATCGATTTTAGGGGAGTCAACGTGAATTCCCTTGCTCGTACTGGGGATCAGTCTTCTTCCTTCATCCCTGAAATACCGACATGATCCTCCTCCTAGATCTGGCCATCACCCAAAGCGCCTCCAAGGTGCCTGCATGCGGACGCCCCTACATGCACGAGGTATTCGGGCTTTACTCAACTCGCGACCCTCGCTCGCACACATACGTGTAACCTGGACTGAACAACAGCCCAACCGTTTCAATGTGACCAATCATAGATACAGATACACACACTCTACGTCGCCATCACTTAAGACTCTCTCTGTCTCCAAATACGGAAGCTCGTCTTCCGTGTGTCAGCCCGTCCACTACCAAAGGCCAGCACCGTTCTGCGTTTGCCATAATCACGGAGAGCTTTTTACCGATTTTTTTCTCCGAAAGACCGAGAGCTGGAGCATGTAGAAACACTTATCGCACGAAGAACATGATAGAAAAACATCTCAAGCACGTATATACACTTACATCAATAATATAAACAAGTGATAGAAATATGTATCGAAGAAGCGAGAGAAAGTAAAACAGGAGAGTAAAAACAACACTAACAAATAATTTCCAAAAAAAAGAGCCCGTATCTCCTGCGCCGTCCCGTTGTACGTCAATGCTGCGCTTTTTGCTCTCCTCAAAAGCCCTCATCGTGGTATACAGTAATAATTTTTTAGAAAAGAAATGCAAACGTGTCGATTTTGCCACAATGGGCAAGAATAGGGGAAAAGTGGAAAAACCCCTCTTCCAATAAAAGAGAAGTGGGAGCTGGAGATTTCAGTTTGCCTCGGGCGCAGAAGAAGATGCGAACCACTTGCGCGCGGGGCGCGAATTCCACCTCAATTCTTGGCAACTTTTCAGCCTCTCTCCTACACCGTGTCATCTGCCCCTCTTGTTCCCCAATGGCCCCTCGACAATACTTGAAATCCCCCCACTCTCGGGATGGAGAAGAAGGGTGTCAGATAGAAGCAAAGTAATGAGCTGGATTTCGAGTGCATTACCCGAGACGACATAGCTCTCCACCCCTCTGCTGCCTTGTTGGTGAAGCTGTATTGTTGTGGTTATGGAAGGTTTTTGTTTTTGTATCTCTTCTTTCTGCCATCTCTTCTGTCCTCCATGACTTGTACATGCAGGAAGAAGAAAAGCATACCGAAGAAGAAGAGAGAGAAAAGGGGTGACATAGTAATCAATTCACGAGCTTCGGCGCTGCCTGCACTTGCCGTGCAGAATATGACCATTTCGTGCCGTTGTTCTCGTGAACTCGGCCCCGCAGTTGGGGCAGGACGCCTTGGCTGCCTGGCCAGACTTTTCGCGCTGGTGACGTAAAAGGTTGCTGAACGTAGAGAACTGTCGGCCGTTACACCCATGTTCCCAGCATCGGGGCTTCGGGCGGCTCTGCACCACGCGCACATGGCCGACACCGCCCTTTGATGTAGGCATATTGTTGTTGCCGGCACTGCTGCCGCTGTTAACGTTGCTGGCACGGCCGCTCGTGCAGTTGCTGCCAATTGTCCCTGCTGTCATAATGGCCGGCATGTACATGATTGAGTTCTCGTGGGGGTTGACGGGGAGAGGAGAGGAGCGGTGACTATGTCCAGAGGTCTCGTCAGTCACTTACTGTGTGAAGAGAGGAAGGAAGTAAACACACCTGTAATCTCCCGAAGGATAGTTGCTGGAAGGCGAGTAATCCATGGGCATCTCATATCCGTGGTGGACAGGTGGAGTGTACGGAGTTGCAAACATCTGTGCCTGGCTCGGGTCATTGAGAGGCTGCATGTAAGAAGGCATGTAGGAGTCCATGTGTGATGACATGGGTACGGCCGATGTTGACGAGGCAGTAATATAAGGTGTCGCGGGCATTTCCATGGATGAACCACCGACGTCTGGGATGGGCGACAGGCTGGGGGAAGACGACGAGTCCAGGTGATATGAAGATTGGTGGTTGCTGACCCTGTGCAGGCGGGCATCACGGTGCAAGTCCCTCCTGGAACGCGCGTTATTATGCCCAAGTCTCTGCCGCTCGGCAATGGTGAAAAAGGAGCGGGGAGGGCTGGAGGTCAGAGACCGGGCAACTGTGGGAGGAGTAAGGCTGGGCTCTGATCCGTGACTCATGGTGCTGGAGGCTGAAGAGTAGTCTTGAGATCCCATACTGGTAGGAGGAGTGGTGGGACCCATGGAGGCTGTTGTGGACGCAAAAAGGTCAGCGTTAGTCGATCGGAGGCATATGCATAAGACCGATTGGAAAGCCAAAGACATACTGTGCCATGTGTAGGGGGTTGATCGAGGCTCGTAGACAGAGTCAAAGGGAAGAGCGACTCCGTTCATTGTGACTATGATGTGTGCCGTTGAGCTCAAGAACTGTGTATAAGAGTGCCGATGAGAGCGTGGTAGCTGTAAAACCTAGAGATACTCTGCGCATGTAACTATCTAGTCATGGTAGTTGAAGAAGATGGTTGCACAGGACGATAGATTGGGGCGTTAGTCGAGGGGCAATGGACTGGGATATATGTAAAATGCAATGGTATCGAAAGAAGGAGAAGATGCGAAAGATGACTAGTACTCGAAACAAAGTATGAAGATTGAGAGGGATGTCTCGAGCAAATATATGGGAGGAAGGAAAAGATTGTCATTGTAATATAGGCAGCGGCAAGAGCAACAACGCCATAGTAATAAGGTGGAGTTGGTACATTTCTAGGCAGAGTATTCCGTACTCAGTGCGGAGCAATAGTACTATAATACCAGCTGCGAGTACTTGGTGGTCTTGGGGTGTGTGCGGTCCTTGCAACTTCGTACTTGTCCATACTAATAATTGTCCAGTTGGCAGAAACACACATGGGATGATAACCTGCCTCCATCAGCCCAACAGGTGCTTCCTATCTGGTCGCTACATGTACTTGTTGCTGATGGATGGGTCGCTTTTCCTGTGACCGCCCCCCCTGCAATTTTGTACTCTGTGGGTTGAAAGAGGCACGGTAGCAAGGACAGTAATACTCTAGTAATAGTCTGGTAGGGGGTGTGTACATAATAAGCAACCCCCGAGAAGACACATACACACCCGTACATACATATATGTTTGACAGGGGGGGTATAGGACAAGACAATCCACCTAAGCTCACCTACATATGTCCCGCTTTGTACATTGTACTACTAGTAGTATCAAGGTATACATGGTTGTGATACGGCACAGCGGCGACCACTAAAAAACTTGACCTTTCTGCACCCTTTCATAGCCTCCTGCTTTGCTTCCAAAAAAAGAATCATCTGGACATCTGCCAAAAAATAGGGCAAGAAGGAAGAAAAACGTCTTGCGGTATGCAGTGCGACCAGTCGCATTGCACATCGGCGGTAACGAAGCAACAACAATCTAGTGGGGTTGCCTAAGAGTAGAGGGAGAGTGTATGGGGAGGTAAAAAGAGGAAGAGAAATGAGGGGGGGTTTACATGCACTATTACGGAGTGTCCGAGCCTGTGTACATGTGTTTATACTCATTACTTCACGACGAGTGGGGAATACTGAAAGACCACGCGGGTTGGGGTGGGCGTGTGAAGACTGACGACACCCCTTATCTAGTCGCAATCTCTTCTCTCTATAGGGTTTCCTGGATAACCTAGTTAATTTAGCCGGTTCCTCCTTTACGGGCAGTACATCATACACTAATGTATTAATACCATGTATGTAGGTAGATTATATATACGGGTATTGTATATATGGAGTGTGGTCTCTACTAATGATCGTTCTTCCCGGCCCGCTTTTTGGTCATGTTTTGTAAAAACATGACCAAAAAGCGGGCCGAACCCTTAGCACATGGCTATAAACCAGTATCACGCATAAAAACGGTTATCTCGGGCCCCCCTAACCATATGCTCTATTCGCTCTTTTCTAGCATCTCCTTCATCTTACCTTTGCTACTTCTCTTAACTATTTATAACCTGCTCTTAGCAAGAGACTTCGCCGCTATAGGAAACAGCCATTAATCATATCGGGGATTCAACCGTTTGGATGTTGACACGCTTAGTAGCGTGTGAGAACACACCACTAACACCCTTACCTGCATCAAAAGGCAGGTAAGGTGTTGTGTGGTGTCAAGTTCTTGATTTATTATCTTTGGAGCGATGGACCCGACTGTTTTATGGTCGAGTCCCGCTTACCTAAGCTAGGTGTACATTTCCTATGACATTAGCCAGGCAGTGTCTCTTCACCACAAAGGCTAGCAACGGCTACGAAACATCCTAAATAATATCGCCAGTATTTACCATTTCATTATAAAATCGGATGAGCGCTTCAGCCTAGCGGAGATACGTGTCTATCCTATACTTATCGGCGGTTCAACACAGTCATTATACAAGCCTACTTTAGGATATAGTCTCTGCTATAAGAGAGCATTAAAAGAAATATTCTAGGCCTAATATTGGGCTATTTATGATGTGTTCATCCGGCTAACCTAATAGAACTTTCTGTCAAGTGCTGACAAAGGACAAAGGACAGTCAGAAAAGTGTCAAGTCATACCAAGTCATACCAAGCCACATCAAGCCACATCCAAGAATAACATCAGGAGATCATCAAGAAAGATTCAGCCAGGGTCCAAGTAAGTATAAAGATTATCACAAGCAAGACAAAGGCATTTGAAACAAGATGCGAGAACAAGTATAAAGAGGGAGCTGAGAAGCTACTAGAAAGAAAGAAGACAGAGATGAATGAAAATAGCTTTTGACCCCAAAGTTGACCTTGAATCTCTTTTCTGGATCGAACCTGCAAGACTTAATCACTTTCCCTACTAATTCTGATAAGTCTCCCTGACACTTTCGTTATAAGGGGTACGTTGATAAAGGTTATATCCACAGTGCTTCGTTAACTAAAGCTGAGTTGGAATTCTCTACACGCAATTGCGTGGATATTCATTCCTATTGTGAATAGGCTTTTTTTTTCATCGTTACAAAGGTCAGGGGATTGATTGATCGAGTGAGTGAGAGAGGAGATAAGTCGTACGACCAAGGGTAGGGACACACATAAACGGGGACAGGTACGTACTTGGCACGAGAGCTGGGAAGAAAACGAGTCGGGAGGGAAAGAAAGAGAGAGTAATAATACTAGGAGTACATATACATCGTGAGGCGCAGAGGAAGACTGGAAAGAAGGAAAAACCTTGTATGCACGCAGAAGCTACGATAGTAACATTTGATGCTACTATAAACCAGCTGTGACTGTGCTATAGTAAAACACAGGCCATTTCAGCATTATTGCTCTGTAGTATTAGTAGGGGCGAAAACAAATCTCTTGATGTCTTTCATACCACGCACGCAGCGTGTTGCATAACACTCTCCATTGGTGACCTTGGCCAAGCAAGGTGACGACACTGCACTTTATGCAGTACCAGAGTGTGATGCGGATGGTGGGATAAAAAGAAGAAGCAGAAGCAGAAGAGGAAAAAGCGGCAAACAATGCACACAATAATACCCCGTGGGCGGGGGGTCGGGAAGAGAATGTTCAACTTGCGGTATCCAATTGATCAGCCTTGAACTCTGGAAAGGAGAGATTCGACTCTTAGGGCTACGAGGAGCAATCTTACTTGCTCATAAAAGAAGGCACGGATGAGAGGGTCTTACGATACTCGACAGAGAGCACAGGTATACTGAAATGGTCAACATCAGTCCTGTGTCATTTCTGATGTCAAACATGTTGCTTCCTTGTGCTCGGTATATATTATACGCACACAAGAACCGTCGTCGCCAATCCGGCATCTTCTTTTTGTCGCCTGGCGCCTATTTTCCGCTTCCTTCTTGCGAAGTCTGCTAAATCCAGCTTCAGCGTATGACTAGGCCACGCTTCCCTTACTACTCCGTACTGACAGTCTGTAGATAGAACAGTAGCGTTACATTTAACTGCACGGTATTAGCAACGAAAAGTGGGGGGGTTTTTGTGTACATAAATGATGATACTCGTCGGGGAAAAGAGGAAAAGGAAATGAAGAAAGACAGAGGTGGCGGCCTAAGATACACTCCACCCGTCTCTCTCCACTCTTCCCCCCACCCCCTTGTCCAGCTTTACTCGCGCCTTAAAACCCGGACCCTTGCTTCTTCGTTACTATTTATCCTTGAAACGTCGATGAAAAGTGGTACCCTGGCCCCCTCTGTCTCTCTTCCCTAACCCCAAGGCTTTTTCGTTTTGCTTCTTCTCTTCTCAGCAAAAAGCCTCGTCTCCGCAGCCTACCGGTAATAGCCAGAAGGTCGATATATCGAGGGCGTGTGTGGGGGGAGGAAAAGAAGGGGAGACGAGAGAATACAAGTTTGTTCGTTTGTTGCACAGGCCCCGGGGACCTTCCACCTTTATTTAGTCGTCGTACGAGGCGAGTAAGGCCTCTAGTACGTCGTACCTTATACTCGTTACGTCGTAGATTCTCGTCCCAGTATTAGTCCGCCCCGACTTTATAGTCTTGTGGGCACCGGCGTTGGCGAGATCCGACCTGGCCTGTCAGATCGTGTACCGATGCCCCTGTCTGGGCTTGTTCTCAGTAACCGTATGACGTACGGAACACTGGTACAGACCAGCTTGACCCATGGTCGGATCTCTCCTATCTCTACTGCTCTTGGTACGAGAACTTCCCGTAGAATGCTCTTGCTCGCCACATACTGATACAATTTAGCAGTAGTAGCAGCGAGTACTAATAGTACAAAAGCTAGTAGCGATAAATAATCAAACGATCGGTGAGACGTGTGCCTTTCTTGCGTAAATTCAGCCCGTTAATTATTTGTCCCATGAAAACAAACAGTAACAACGTTGCAGTACAACATACGTATGGCGTAACTTTAAACGTTCCCGACCCGAAATAGCGTATACGAAACGGACGGCTCGGGGAATTCCCAGAGAGCAAACGAATCCATGACGGCTGATCTATCTGATGGAACTCTCATCTGCCGGAACGTCTGTCAGGAGCGGTTCGTAGCAATTAGGGAACTGCTCATAGTCATACAGTCAGCCTCGTGACAATGGTAACACAGCCAAGAAGCTTGCATAGTGGATTCTTCTAAAGTCATATGACTTACACGCATCATCCGCATATCGAAGAAACCCGTTATTATTCTCATGGTTACATATTTGCTGATTGGCAACCCAACAAAGGAAGAAAAGTCACACAGAGACGAAACATTACACCTGCACATAATAAACATTAGCGAAAGAGGAAGATATACCTTACATCAAGACTCTCGCATCGACTACCGCTACTCCTGGTTAATCAGGCATGTACATGGTGTATCTACACAAACTGCTGCCTGTCAACGAGACTTGATGGTGTTAGCCGTACTCGTAGAGTACAGAATATCAACAG